TAACCCTAACCCTAACCCTAACCCTAACCCTAACCCTAACCCTAACCCTAACCCTACCCCAGCTCCAAAAGAGGCCAAGTATTATGCCAGATTGGTCCAACCCTAGGGGGGTAGGGTTAACTTCCTACATTTGACCCTACCACATCGTGACGGCATCTGCTATTGCATTGAGCTTGCACATACAGTCATTCCACACCATTCAACACATGTTTCATTAGGAGAACAAGTCAATTGGAGCAACTTCTTCTTGTTGCTCCACCTTGCAATGGTCCCCCCTTTGCTTTTGCCCGGTTTTGCACTTAGTCCATCCCTACCCCCTCAGTATGCTTTCTACATGGCTGATATCTTGCATACACTGGTTCTTCATGTTTACGCACCTCTCTGCACCATTGGATCTCCCAGAATCCAAAAAAAGTACTTTGACCCTACCTTGACCCAGTCCGCGGACCCTACTTTTGAACGCACATCCTGACCCATTTTTATAGTCAACTTGCGTAGGGTCACTTAATGACTCTTACTATACACACCTGTGACTATCTATTGACGCATAGAAAAGGGTATGTTTGGTCGCTAACCCTAGGCGGGAATCCCCTTGTAACCCTTAACCGTCCTGCCTTTTGAAGCAGACCGTCCTCCCGCTCACTACAAATTTCAACTTTTTTTGTAGCAGACTGTCCCTCAGTTTAATACAGACGTGTCTCAGGCTTGAATTTCTTTTTGTATTTCACACCGTGTCCGAGCAACCACCCCAATGACCACCGTGAATGGAAGCATGTGGCAAAAGTTGGAATGATCTCTCTCCGTCCATCAAGGGAGTCTTTGTAGTGTACGTCTCTCAGAGTTGACTATGAATGTCTGCGTTGTTGACTTTGGATGCCTTGGTCTTTTGTAGTGCATGTCTTCTGATTTGTAGTCTTGACTTTGACGCGCAATATTCCCAGGTAATTCCAATGAACTACAACGCGTCCCAGAAAATTTGTAGTGCACGTCTCTGGCAATACAAAATTATTTCTGAGCGCGCATCTCACTGCCCGCGCTGGCCGGTCAGACCCTCTGAAACTTACTTAACCTTCCCATGTGCAAATGTTGCACATCTTCGTGCATTTTTGATTCAAACGGACAGACAACTGCCGATTGCCTCAATTGTGTGCGACTAGCCGAAGTGACTGGCTTGATCTTGCGGTGTGACACTTATTGCTGAATGAAGATACAATGAGGAATAAAGCTCAGGGGCGAACAGTTGAGCTCTTCTAGGTGTGAGCGAGCAGAAGAGGGAAAGGTTGCAAAAATCCTTCGGAGACGAATGGGGGATCGCTCCGAAGAGACAAGCACGAGAGCAGAGAAGAATTGGGGCACCCTCTTGCTGAACCTTACGATAGCTAGTGCTTGACGTCTTCAACCTCGAACGTGCAAGCCACATTGTCGCTTTCTGGAGCATCGTCCCGCACAAAGATAGTGGCTCTGGCCGGCTCCCAGTGCGCACTTTTAACGGAAAACCTTGGATCCTTCTCGAACCTCTGTAGGACGTCAAGGAATTGTTGCATTGCTTTGCGTCCGTCACCTTGGACAACTTGACGGTAGGTGCCTTTGCCCATGTAGAAGATTTCGACGTCGCCACGATCATACAAGTCGTTGCTTTGGTTCATTGTGGCAGAGCGTGTTTCGTCGTTGCAGAAGACGAGGAAGGAAGGTCCGTTGTCAACACAATCGTTATAGTGTAGTCGTGAGGTAAGCGTCGATGGTTGGAATGTAAGGAAGTCCAAGCTCAACGTCGTCTTCTCAAAGCTCACCCCTATGCTTCCTTCAATACGCTGCCGATGTTATCAGGCCTCAGATGCATGACAAGAACCAGGCTCGCTTTGCAGACAGGAGCGCGCGCGCCTTTGTGCACACAGGGGAGCGTACCACACTCAATGCGCCCAGCACGCTTGGGCCATGCTTTGAAGACAAGTAAATTAGACGTCATTTGCATGTACGCTTGGATTAGTGCACCAGCATCTCAGATGTAGCTGCGCTATGCAGGCAATATTTCGACTTCGAGCTCGCTAGCAGTTGTAATGTCGACGAGATTGGTCTGCTATTGAACAGCTTAGGAAGAGATCATGACATGTCTATCCGCTGCGAGAGGGTGAGTTTGCGGCACGCACCGAGGGACTCGTTGCGGCTACCATCCCTGCCACTGCAACCGAGATGGCAGCTGCCATGGCAAAAACGATCTCTGGAAAGCCCCTCTTGAGGCCAAAACGGTAGAGATTGGCATTCAAGATGGGTCCAATCGTGCTCATGATATTTGCAAGCGACGAGAGCGTCGCAACAAGGTTTTCTGTACTGACTTGGTGGGGAAGCAAGATGGAAGCAAGGGATGTGATAGATGACACGTTTGCTCCAGCAAGCGCATACAGGGTCAGTCCGAGAAGATACGTCGGGTAGTTGAGCGCTCTGCCCGCGACGATGATCACAGCCCAAGCCAAGACATCGATGGACATGGAAATCACTGCGATCAGGCGATCTGCTGCGGCAGCGGCGCTTTTGAGACCAGGGCTGTTGTTGTTACCGATTCCCATGATAGCTCCTGTGCGGTATCGAAGGCGGATGGCATTTGCGATGCGAGGAAAGATGAGCACAAGGTAGACCCACTTGATCAGGCCAACGAGGCCCAACAGCCGACTAAGATCCTGAGCATGTAGGCTAAAGCGGGTCTGAATGTAAATGACCTGCAAGTTTGTGGTGAGAGCAATCTGATCGCAGAGCGTAGCAGCTAGGATGAGTTTTGTCAGACGCCAATCCCGTCGTTTTGGACCACCTTGTGTCTGGTTATCGTTTTTGATGGGCTGCAAGAGTTGAAGGGGCTGCGTTGCTCGAAGTAGGTGTGCCTTGAGGCTCCAAACTGTTGAACGAGTCCCATCGACAGTGTTGGTCGATTCAAAGCTTGCATCTTGACGAGCCGTGTTGTCTGGCATGTGAGACGGCAAGGACATGCAGGTCCACAAGAGAGCCGCTGTGGAGACGAGAGCTCCGAGCAAGATGGGGAGCTTGTCGGAGACATCATCGCGAGAGGTGTCGAGCGATAGAGTGTTGAGAAGCAAGGTGGAAGCGAGCATGCCGAGAAAGGTGCAGGACGACAAGCGGGCAAGCCAGGTGGAGCGCAGTGTTGCTGGAGCAGCGTCAAGGACGATCGACTGCGAGACAATGCCGATCAGTGTGTCAGGGCATCCAACCAGGCCGAAGAGCATCGACTCGAGTAGCAGCAAGCGAAGAGATGCCGTGGGGGATTGGATCCAGGCGTCGGCGCGTGCAAAACTATTGGGGACACTTGTGAGCACAAAAAGCTCTGCAGTAGGTGCGAGGACAGCAATGATCATGGTGAGGCGACGCCCAAGAAGTCGAAGCAGCCAGGGTGCTAAGCACAGCGCAGAAAGGCACGAGATGAAGCTGTTGATGCTGAGCATGTAGGAGAAGATCGTCGAGGTGCGATCTTGAACTTCGACTAGGCTGCAGTCGCGCTGACCGCTAGATCGACTCGATTGGACAGAATGCAGCAAGTAGTACTCTTGGCAGCTGAGCCCACGGATGAGATCCACGATGGAGCTGATGGCAACATAGTGGCCCAACGCGACCAGCAAGTTGGCTACAATTACAGCGACAAGGGCTTGTCTTGTCGAACAATCCAGCCATGTCTGCTGTGCGCTTGTGGTGGGGGCAGCATCGCTTGTCGATTCGGCACCAGCATCGCTGCTGTCCAGGGACGTCGGCTCCGCGTGATCTGGCTGATAGACTGTTGATAGCAAAGGCGTCGACTCGTGCGCAGTGGCCTGAGAATCATTGGATATGGTGAACAGCGACCCTGGTGCCGGACGGCGAAGCTCGCCCGTCAAGGAAAGGAAAGAAAGGAGATGTTGCGAAACCGACGTGCATGGATGGATGAGAATGCAGAACCGATTTTGCCGCCTCTGGCTTCGTGCAAAGCTGAGAAGTTGGGATACAGTGATACGATTTAATAAATCAATTTCGTTGATGCGAGCCGCCGCTCAGGCGGCAATGTTGCTTTCCATGCATGGAACTCACTCATCCGAGCTTGCGATTCCATCTTTCGAAAGAGAACAAGAGAAAATTAAATAAACCAGTAGTACGTTCTTTCTCGTGTGCACGATTCTACGTCCAGTGCGTCCTGGAGCTAACCATGGTGGACCCTGCGCCGACGGAACGCTGTCCAGCTGGATGACCTCGGTTCGAGACAGAATGCACCCTGATGCTTGCGCAGCAACCACTTCCTCGCTTATACTTTCGTTCAAAATATTTAATATAATATAGCGCCGCAAAGTTATCATTTTGCTTGTCTGCTTATCTTCAGCTCCATCGCACGGCTGAGGATTAGCCGTCGAAAGACTGACCGTGACCAGGCAGACTGATCTGGTCGGCTGAAGCGTATCCGACGCCGGCGGCAAGCAAGATATAAGCTATCGCGTATGATGCCTGCGTATACCCTAGGATGTTCGTTTCCTTCTCTTAGACTAGGTACGACCGTCGACCTGATCCTTTGTCCCTCCTTCACACTAGACCAAGCATATCATCAACCCTACCTTTCCGTGTCGATGTCTGACGTCTTTGGAAGCATGCGCCCTGTACGAGAGGCGCAACTCCTTTCCACGCTGCACCTTGGCTTCAGCATGCCTACATGCAATGATGGCGACTTTTCGCCTGTCTCAAACTGTCGCTTCTTCGACTTCACTCTACGATTCTCCAACGTCGTCTTTGTTATCCTTCCCTCCTGCATTGCCATCGTTCTCTTTGCAGCTCGACTCAACCGTCTTCGACGTAAGCCAGATATCAGAGGGGTTTCGCAACCTCATCGGCTTCCGTTGGTTCCTTTTTGCCGTCCTGACGCTGACCCCATCAGCCTCTTGGGCGCTTCCGTGTTCCTCATCAACGCTCTCCTCAACCTCGTTGTCTTCGTCATCATTGCGGTACCTTCGTCCAGCACTCTGCGCCATGCGCTCGATCAAACAACTGCTCTTCCTAGCTACATCCTGCTACTCCTCGCTTCTGGTCTTGCTGTGCCTCTTTCGGTCGCTGAGCGCAAAAAGACACGAGGAGGTTCCATGCTTTTGCCTCTCTGGCTTCTCGTTTCGCTTCTCTTCAATGCCTCCCGTATTCGAACCTTCAATGCAGTCCCTGCAATTCGCAGTTCACCCATCTTCACTATCGATCTTGTTTCTTTCAGCTGCTTAGGCATTCTGCTCACCCTCGAGAACGCCAGCGGTCTTCCCACTGCCGAGCACAAGCACGACTCCACTCACGAGTCTCGCGCCGGCTTCTTCTCTCGCCTGCTGTTCGTCTGGGTATTCCCTCTTCTCTGGTCCGGCTATCGTTCTCCGCTGCAGCTCGACAACTTGCAAGCCCTCAAGACAGAATTTTACGGACAGTCTCTTGCCCACGAGTTCGTCGCTGCCTGGACAGGTGTTTCCATTGAGCCGCAACGTCCTCACTCCATGTCACAGGATCACGACTTCGATGACATCAAGAACAGAATCAACACAAGCGCAGAGCACCCCAAAAGCGAAAGTTACCCCCTCGAGAAGCTGCCTTCGTCTTGGTGCGACGATGACAGAAATGGTCCCGGCCACGGTCACAAGATCTTCCCTCCGAGGGTTGTACAGCGAAGCTTGCTCAGCGCAACACTTCGTGCCTTTCCCCGATCTGCTTTGGCTCCTATGCCATGGAAGTTGCTGCTGACCGCATGTCAGCTCGCACAGCCCTTCTTGGTTTCGACCACGCTCGCCTTTGTCCAGTCTTACGCAGAGAGCGACGAGGCCCAAACTCACGACGCAGCACAACCAAAGGTCTACGGCTGGGGCTTGGTGGGCGCCTACGCCTTCATCTATCTCGGCATGGCCCTGTCAGAAGGTCAATTTTGGCATACCTCGTCGCAACTCATGGCGAAAGTGCGGGGTGCCTACGTGGAATCCATCTACCGCAAAGGTCTCGATCTCCACGCGCGGGTTGCCCAGACTAGTGGTGGTGGCAAAGCCGCCAATCTGATGAGCGTAGACACCGAACGCATCGTTGATGCCATCGATGTCATCCATGAAATCTGGAGTGGATGCATCACAATCGTTGTTGGCATGTATCTGCTGTACGCTCAGCTTGGTCTCGTCTTTCTGGCTTCCATTGTGTCTGTCGTGATTTGCTTCCTCTTGACCCCCCTTACTAGTCGAGGAATGGGCACGAAGCAAGGCAATTGGAGTGCAGCCACGGACGAACGAGTAGATCTCACCACTAGCATTATTTCGGACATTAAAGGGGCCAAGCTTTCGGCCTACGAAGATATTCTCCACGCAAAAGTCTGCAAAGCACGCGCCAAGGAGCTCTCGGCACGCAGCACGTTAATGAAGCAGATCACGGAAGTCATCACCTTCACCAACTCTGCCGACGAAATGATGGGATTTTTCACCTTTGTCACTCTCATTGTCGTCGACAGACTGTCTGGATCGAACCGATTCGATCTGAACACCGTCTTCACCACCTTGACCATCTTCCAACTCATTCGAAGCCCACTATTTCAGCTCGGACAGCAATACGCCTCTCTTCTGCAGGCGCGGTCCAGCATGGAACGTATCCAAGCCTTCCTCACCAGCGAGGTAAAACCCGATGTCCAGTCTGCCATAGGCGAAGACATGAATGCTGGCTCTGCTGCTGAAACTGGAAGCGATGGCCAAGCACTTCGTCATGCCGCCATTTTCAGAAACGCAAGCTTGGGCTGGGCCGAGGAAACTGTGCTCGCCAACGTCAACATTGAAATCCCTGCTGGCAAGCTGACCATGGTCTGCGGCCAGCTGGGTCAAGGAAAATCAACCTTGCTACTAGCCTTGCTCGGGGAATGCGATTTGCTAGCAGGGGAACAACAGCTGCCATTGCTGGCGACACGTGTTGCCTACGTCAGCCAAGACATATGGCTGCAGGAGAAATGTTCAATTCGCGACAATATTGTCTTTGCCACTGGCGATTACAATGAGGACCTTTATTCGCAAGCACTTCGAGCATGTGCCCTTACAGAAGACATCGAAGGACTGCCCAAAGGCGATGCAACACATGTTAATGCGCTGAGCGGCGGGCAGCGTCAAAGAGTTGCCGTAGCCCGTGCTGTGTATAGCGGTGCCGAAGCATATGTCCTCGACGACATCACTAGCGCTTTGGATGCCGAGACGGCCGCTCATATGTGGCGTGCTCTCATGGGACCTGCCGGTCTTTTGAGAGGCAAAACAATTGTGATGGCCACAAATGCTATCCATCTGCTTCATCATGCCCAGCTGGTCATTCGCATCGATGCAGGCAAAATTGCAGAGTCGGGCAATTATGAAAACCTCTCGCTGAAAGGCAAAGACGCGATGTCTCGCCACAGCCTGGAGGAGTCACAACGGGTTCTCGCCCCCGAGGACAAGAGTGCCTTGCAGCCGGGCTCGGATGACGATCACGAAGACATCCTCACCGGGTCCGTTGGTCTCAAAACGTATGAGATGTGGCTGAATGCCGCTGGCCGCAGCAAAGTCTTTGTTTTCCTCATCCTTTGCGCCCTCACAACCGGCACCCTCCTAGGCACACCGTACTACCTACAAGCCTGGGCTAAAGCCCAGCAAGAACATCGCTTCCGCCACTGGGTTGCTTGGACAGCAGGCTATCTCCTCCTGCCGCCTGCAGTCGCAGCTTTCCTTGCCACAGGAATCTGGATCTTCTGTGTCAACTGTGCCGAATCGGCGGGAAATCGCCTCCATGATGCCCAACTCAAGGCCGTCTTGTCGGCACCCATCTCGTTTTTTACCCAGTGGACCACAGGGCAGATCACCAACCGTTTCTCTCAAGATATTTTCCATATTGACCAGACGTTTGTCTTTGCGATCATCAACACAGTCGGTGTACTCATGATGTTGTTCGGTTCCCTCGTCACCATGATCGTCGCGACGCCGTACCTTGTCGTCTTGGTGATAGTGCTATGTGTCGCTTCCTGGGCCATACAACGCCTCTACCTCCCCGCTAGTCGTCAGCTGCGCAGGCTGGAGATGGCAACCAAAAGCCCGCTGTACTCCGCCTTCGCCGAGACGTCTGTGCCGGCAGGCTTAGCAACAGCGCGCGCACTCCAGCGCGACAGAGCCTTGTTAGAGCGCAACACGGCGTTGCTCAATGCCTCTCAGAGGCCCTACTACCATCTTTTCACCGTCCGCAGATGGCTTCAGGTTTGGCTTCTTCTTCTCACCACGATCACGAACATCGCCTTGGTTCTCCTGGCGGTCGTGTTACGCCATTCATTGCACGCAGGAGTGCTCGGCGTTGCACTGGTACAGGCAACCTCATTGGGCGCTTCGCTGAATCAGTTCATCGTCAGCCTTACCGAAGTCGAAATTGCCGGCGTCGCCCTCGAACGTGTCCGCGAATTCTGCCTTGTCGAGCCTGAAGAACGCTCTGCTATTGTCGAGAAGCCGCCTAACGATCATCAGGAGGACGAATTGACGATCGAGGGAAAGATAAGCTTCGATAAAGTCTCGGTCTCCTACGGCGCAAATCTCAAGCCCGCCCTGCACGAGCTCAGTTTTGAGCTATCGGCGGGGAAGCGACTAGGTATCGTTGGCCGGAGCGGGTCCGGAAAGAGCACTGTGCTTATGGCGCTATTCAGGATGATCTCGATGCGAGCCGGCACGATCATGCTCGATGGAGTTGACATTTCGCAAATATCCGTGAAGACACTCCGGTCTGCCATGACCATCATTCCGCAGACGCCTCTTCTGCTTGCCGCCAGCATCCGCGAAAACCTGGATCCAGACCTGACGTGCTCGGACGACGAAATTTGGTCGGCGCTCCACGCCTGTCACCTGACCGAGTTTGTAAAGAAACAGCCAGATCAGCTCGAACAGCTCCTGCTGACAGGAGACACTTATATCAGTACGGGTCAGAGGCAGCTTCTAGCGTTGGCACGAGCGTTACTGCGGAAGAAAGAGATCCTTGTTCTCGACGAAGCCACAAGCGCAATGGATGTCGAAACGGAAAAGACGGTACAAGCTGTGCTGGCAACAAAATTTGCCAATTGCACTGTGATTGCGGTCGCTCATCGAATCGCCACCGTCATCGCATTCGATCAAATCATCTGTATGGCCAACGGTCGAAATGTCGAGTCAGGAGCCCCGCAAGAGCTACTCCGAGCCCGAGGCGAGTTCTGGGCTCTGGCTGCCGAGCAGAAGTGCGTGTAGGAAACGCCGCAACCCAACTCGAAGAGATAGCGTGTCAGATCGGAATCAACAGCGAGGGACACAATGGCAGTAACGTACGACAAGCTGCCCCGGTCAGTCGAAAGGCGATGTTGCCACAAGGGATCCAAAACTACATCGTGTCATCGAGTCATTACATAGAACATGATCGACCCGACGTCTACCCGCTCTAGCTTTTAATAGCAGACAATACTGCTTGGAAACCTTCTTACTCTGCAAGAGCTCTGCAATGTCTTGGAGCCGCTTCCCGCTCCTTGTGGGACCTATTTGACACAGGATTTGTTTGGCTCTGATAGCCAGAAAGTAGAGCGACACGTCTTTCCAAAGTGGCACGATGTGTCGTGAGAAAGGGCCAGTGGTGCTGACGATCAGACCTTCTATGTGTGAGCAAACACTGTCACATATATACAAGAGCGCTGCGAGATCGTCATTCGACGCCGTCGCCGGCAAGAATGCCGTTGCACACGCAACAATCGTTGAACTAGAACCTGACGACAGACTGAAAGCGAGCAGTCCCAACGTCATGCCTGCAACACTACGCCAAAGTCCAGCGCGCTCTCGCCGCTTGCATTATCGGTGGGATTCCAAAATGAGGTCACAAATGTACTTGTAGGCCAACGATGATCCGTTGGCAGGTCAAGCGTGTAAAATGTGGGTGATAGCTCCGCGACGACGTCGATTGCGTTCCACCACAAAGTCCCAGGTAACCACAAAGTCCCAGGTAACCAGCTGTAGGTTTGTCGAGCAGGAACATGCACACCTTCCCTCCTGACATCCACAACTACTCCAAAGCTTTCGAATCCACGCTTGTGTTGAATATCGCTCCAGCGTACAGACGTCACAAATCGTAAGACCTGGAGACCTGATCAGCCCGCCCACACATCGTCAGCCTTATTTCGAAGTCCGCTGTAAGTACTGTACACCAGTACTATTGTCAGCTTTTTAGAGCTTGTTGCGGCAAGAAACTCGTCGACAGATACATCAGTACTGACAACTCCCCTAAACTTATCCAGGTTATCTACCGATGTTCTGGTTCAGGATCCTTTCGCTGCTAGCTGGCGCTGTCGTCATCGCCGTCCTAGCAGCAACGCATGACACCAATTCGAACGATCTTCGAGCGCAGGAAGAGAAGGCACACGTGTCATGCCAGAAGGGTTGGGCACAGAACTTCGACTTCGAAGAGTTTGAGCGACTCGGCGGCATCAACGACGATGTGTTTGCTCGATACATGGCCGGAAACTCTTCTCACACGAGTGGCGCAAACATGTGGGTGTTGTCGCAAATGGGCCTTCTGACGAATCTTACTGCAAAGGGACCGGATCCCTCCTCGATCGAGATTTACCGTGACGAACGGTCAGACTGTTTGAACGATCAGGATCTCGACGGTGCTGCTCTCCCCTCTGCAGCCTGCAGGCCAGGGAGCTGAATTGTCTTAGGTACGATGCGAGGAGTCGCACATGTGACCTTGGGCCAAGACGCAGTGCAAGAGCTGAGCTCGAGGACAAAGCACAAGAGAACGACGGCAAAGGCAACGAGGTGTCTGGCTGAATCTGAAGTGTCCTCGATTGCTCGTAGCACTTTGCACGTCCACGTCACATTCTCCAGTCAGCACACTCCCGCTTGTCAAAGCGTTCAGGTGTATCTGAAAGTCGCCATGCTGCCGAAACCACTCTGTTCTTCTTGTGTTTTGTATTGGCTCGCATCTTTGTCTGTCGTAAACTTGTCCGCAAACTGCCTGAAATCAACTGGCTGGCGACGCAAAGCCGTCGTGAGCTGGAGCGAGGAATGTGCAGCGTAACGTCCAGCGTAACGAAGGGTTTGCAGCTCGGGCACAGTGGCATACGATTACTGTTGCGCTTTGGCAGGGATGCCCGGCAACACCAAGGTGCTTGTGCGGCTCACATACCGGCTTCAGTTCTTTTCCGAGAAGGGTTGACCGATCCCGTACAGTTTCGATATTGTCGCTGCCAGCATCCGGAAACGGTCTAAATGCACGAAGTCGACCATCCGCGTCAGCCTCGTCACTCTACGAAACGTACAGAATCACATCAAACGCCACAACTAGCTATCATGATAGATGCAGCAGAAGTAGGCATCGATTATGTTGGACCTGCGACTGGAGCTGACCATTTCGCGCAAGGTCTGTTCCGTGCATTCTTCCGGGCCGTATCTTCTATCGGTCAATTTATCAATACGATAGCGGCCGTCGCCAAAACGCTTGAGGAATCCGAGTCTGAACCGCCTGCGCGGCGTCAAAATATACGGCGTCCTGCGAAAGAACTCCTAAGACGAGTCACATGAGCTCAGTGGTATTCAGTGATCTCAGCACCCACTGTTTCACATGTTTCTCACGGCAAGCGCTCAATATGCTTGTCTCTAGCAGCAGGAGAGCCAGCTCATCATACGCTTTGACGTAGTGTGTCCTCGCCGGATAACCCGTACCCGGTTCCATCTCGAACAGTAAAGTCCAGCACGAAACGTTGCAGATGAGACCAGAGCAGCAGCGCCGACACTGTTTCCGCTCGATGAAAGTTTTGAGATCGAGGTCGTCTTCCTTCCTACTCTCGCAACAGACATTCGCTTGCAAAGCTGCTGTCGCCTGATCGTATCTCGATACCGCAGTTGAGTCCTCGATCACGACATCATATTCATCTCTCCGCTCTAATTGAACTTCGAGCATACAATATACAGTAGCGCTGTACAGAAGTTTAGTGAGCAGACCGGCGTCTTGGCTCCACCTGAAAGTGGGACAGCGACGACTTCCCGTCGGTTTCCTGCTTTCATCAGCTCTATCGTGCTTCTTGAACTCTTCCCATCCTTGGTGGGTCGACTGAGCGGCTGCGCAAACGGCAAGTTCCGCACAGCTCGAGCCGGTTTCATTGCTGACGGTAATGTCCAGCCAATGCTTTCCTGCGTCAACGTGGAGGAGCGCATTGTTTCGATTACCTGCAAAGAGTCAACAAGCCCACAGTGGGTTGGAGAGGCTCACGTCTTCGTCCCCACACTCGATAGCAGGACAGGATTTTTGCCAAAATGATGCAGAACGATAAGGCTAGAGTGTCATCACAGCTCGGTCGTGGGATTCACTTTCCATGCTCCAAGCAGCATCGGGCAGCGAAGCGCTGCTACCTGGTGTGCAGTTCATGTGCGAAGGAAAGGCTTCGTCGCTACAGTACTCGATCACTAAACTTGATTGTCATCTCAGCTCTCATTCGGACCCCACCGACTACGACAAGGTAGGACGCCAAATCATCTCGTGGGCTTCTTTCTCGCCGAACGATACTTCGATGTGGTGCTGCTCTGGAGACGCATCAAAATCCCGCGCTGACCAGGTCCGGTATAAGCAAGAGACCGTTTGGTTGCATGATTGTAAGTTTTCGAGTCTCCCAGGCTTCAGAAGCTCTTCGAACAGCTTAGGCATCTTGCCTCACACCGATGCCTTGACAAGCCCGAACGTCGCGCTCTGATGTGCAAGACTTGAAACCCACCGATGCATGTGAACAGGGGCATCGCCAAGCTCGAATACGGCTATCATCGCGATGCCGACCATCACACGCCCTACAATGGCGGTCACTCGATGCACCTTCTTTGGCGAGCAGACATGGCACACCAGGGCACATCGACCGGCCAACCCAAGTGGCGGTGGTACTGCATCTGTGAGCTCAGACTCGAAGCTCTGGCGGAGCTCGTTCACATTTGCACGGGCTCGACGGTGCTGTTTGGTCGTCGCAGCCATAAAGTCCCGAAGCTTGGGCTCAAATCCCTATCGTTCAACATCACAGAGCTCTCTTGACAGATACTTTTCCTGCCTTCAAAGTCTTTGACCTCAAATCTGCCTCCGTTTCCACCACTTGCACACTCTCACTTCCACTCTCAAACATTCTCCCTCCATGTTCTTCTGGCGATTTTTACCTCTGGCTGCTGTGCTGGCATCTTTCATCTTTTGCGATGTCTCCTCGTCGGCCATTGTGCGTCGGCAAAGCGGCTGTGCAAAGTGTCCCTCTGGCGAGCTAGCAGTGACCCGCACCTATCACGGCAACGGCGATTGCTCGATCACCTGTGAAACTCTCTGGAAGCAATTTCAGTCGGTCACGGCTACTTGTGCGGCCACCGCCACGTTGGTTCACACTCTTGCTTCATTGATTGAAGCTGCTATCAGGGCGCTAGTGCAGGACGCCGCAGGTGTCGAAGGAGGATGGCAGCACAATCGATACAAGCGCTCCATTCACGACTTGGACTTGAAGGAATTTCTGCGTCTTGGGGGCGTCAACGACGACCTCTTCGCCCAGTACCTTGCTGGCAATTTAACCTACACGAGCGGTGCGAACATGTGGGTCTTAGCTCAGATGGGATTACTTGGACAACCAACCATAACAACTTCGGAGCAGACGACTGTCCAGATCTACCATGGCAATGCAGTTGTGGTCACGGCCAAGCAGAAACACAATCGTGGTGGCATGCAGCGGAGGAGCGAAGAAGGTGACTCAGTTTGGCTCAACGTCTGGCGCAACGACGTCGAGGGAGGGCAAGCCACAGCTCCATGGTTCGACAACGCCATGGAATTTGCCCTGGCTACCGATATCGGAAACTACTACACCACTGGAGTTCACGATCATGTATCAAACATCTGTGACTGCATCTATACCGAGACAGGCAGACACAATTTGGCCACGGGCCTCGAATTTTCAGCCTATCGAAAGGGTGGAAAACCGAGTCACTGGAACTGTCCGGGCTGCACATTGCGTTCTCACGACGAGCTCGGTGCTCAGAACTGACCGCAGCAGCCACACAACGCGTATCAGGCAGGCAGTCGATACTTGTTCACGGTCAGGTTGGTTAGGGCTCCAACGCAAGTGCCACTCCAATAACGCGCGATGCTGTGCCAGTAAGTCGACCGTCTCTTTCGTCTTCATGGCCTGATTAAATGTACTTCGTTCGTCGATGCTCTCGTGTCGATTGAAGCCTATGTCAAAGTTTACATTCCGGCGCTTCAGACCGGAAGCAGTGAAAGAAGAGAATGTTGTCAGAAGTCTTCAAAGTTCCGCTTCGATTTGACCTGCAAGCAGGGAATGGACCCTGTAGAGACCCAACGATGTTGGAACAGCAGCTTCTTCAATGTGACAGCCAATACGTTGTGGAAGAGATCTGGTCTTTTGCATTGCGCCTCTTGGCGCCACTTACACTGATCTGTCAGGAAAACACAGCCCTCGACTACTCAAGCAAGATGCCAGATCGCTCTTTTCGCCGGAGCTTGCCATCTGTCTGTTGATGCTCAGACCCTTGCCGACTCTTGCATGCGAGGTGTACGAGCACAGTCTAGTCGATCCCGCAAATCCGGGGTTTGGATGCAGAGAAAGCTCTGCGACAGAAGCGGCCGAGCCTGCGCAAAAGGACAGCTGCGTCGAATTTCCTGTTCGGCACGTTTCCCGCTGCTTGTTTTCTTTTTCCAATCTTGGGCGTCTGGACAGCCAACAGGTCACACGTGCAGCTTTTTGTGCGATGCTGCTCGTGCCGGTGTACGGCAGAAGGTGCTCGCTTCGCGCAGCAAGCTGTGCAGGAATAATGATGCCGGCGATTTCACAAACAGACTTGCCGCCGGCTCGCAGAAGCGAGCTCATTGTTCCATGCCATCGTCGGGATCCCACTGCTTGCCGGAACAAAGCCAGAGATGACGAGCCTATCAAGGTAAGTCAGACCAAGAAGCAACGCATTCGCACAAGTCCACCCGAGACAGCTCTTTCGCTGCCGTTTGCTCGTCCCTGAGTTTGAGTGAAGTGGTCGGACCGTTCTTTCGGGTCAAATTCCACATCGATACCTTGTTTGGCCAGCGGAGCCAATGTGGATACAGATGCGCAACATCCTTATAAGTTGAGACACCTTGACCACCTTTCTGCGATCCTCGCTCGTCATTATGCTCGTACACCTGCGTCATACAGACACAATGAAGATTGTCACCGTCCTACTCACCGTACTCTTTGCTTTCATAGGCCAAGAAGAGGTCAGCGCCCATGTCGGGCGCGGAACGCCAGTCCATCACAATCACAAGGCGCGAATCGGCACAACGACGGACCAGACCCGTCCTCTCAACGTTCTTCGCCGCTCTCTTCACCGCGACAATGCAGAACGAGATGATTACCTGCACGAGTCGATCCACAACAACGTCAGAAGAGCAGCCGCCAAAGACGGTGTTGTGCTGCCTGCGTTCGTCAAGCGTCAAGCCACTTCGCACGGTACCACCGAACAGTCGGGGGCACAGCTCAACGATCCAGCTGCAGAGTGCACGCCTTACGGTTTGCCCGTTATCAGTGAAATTGCGAGCCAGTTTCCTCCAGTGTGGCAACTGGCCGACATTCTCCCGGGCGACACAGAGGCGATGCAATTGCTGCAGACCATCAATGCGTCCAACCTCATCCCCTCTGGCATTGGCGTTCGCGGCACCCAGCCAGGCTCCTTGAGCGGTGCCAATCTGGATGGCAACTATAACTTGGCCCAAGACCCGGATTGTTGGTGGACAGACGCTGGCTGCACCTCCCCTAAGCATCCAGGCCTCTTGCCCGACATCACCACGTGCAACGAGCCCTACACGTACGGATATACCTTCGATGACGGCCCCAACTGCACGCACAACGCCCTGTACGACATGTGGGCTGCAAACCATCAGAAAGCATCACTCATGTACATCGGTTCCAATGTGATGGATTGGCCCTTGGAGGCACAACGGGGCATCGTGGACGGTCACCACATATGTGCGCACACGTGGTCCCACCGCTACATGACAGCTCTCACTACCAGCCAGGCTTTCGCAGAGCTGTGGTATACGATCAAGATCATCAAATACGTCATGGGTGTCACAGTCACTTGCTGGCGTCCTCCTTACGGCGATGTCGACGACCGCATTCGCGCAATCGCTCAGGGTCTTGGCCTTCGAACCATGATGTGGGATACAGACACCAACGACTGGAACATTGCTCCATACGGAACCATTCCCACCGCCTCGATGCGTCAGACATACTCGAGCATCATCTCGATGGCTACGGCGCCAGCAGCAGCCACGGGTGGGATCATCGTTTTGGAGCACGAGTTGGAGCAGTCTGCGATGAACATGAGCGTCGAGCAATACCCTGCGGTCAAGGCCGCTTGGAAGCACGTTGTGCCTCTGACTGCCTGTCTCAACATCACCCAACCGTACCCGGAAGATATCGTCTATCCTGACTTTGCTGAATACGTCAACGGCAATGTCGAAGCCTCCGGTCTACCTAGCGGATCTTTGGGCATCAGTTCGACTGCCGAGGTCACTGCTCAGGGTACTCTCAGCGGGATGGGTAGCACTTTCCCTACGGCAAGCGACGGCTCTGGCAACAGCAAATCCACTTTGGCGCAGACTGCCCAGCCCACCGGCAGTGCTATACGTTCCAGCGGTGGTAGCTCCCCGACAGGTTCTAGTCCGCAGCAAAGCCACCAGTCCAGTGGCGCATCGTCGATCTCGCCAGCCGCCATTCTGCCTGTCGTGCTCGCAGCAGGCGGCACTCTGATGGGCGCTGCGCTTGCTTTTGCCTAGCGATCGTCTTCCTTCCCCCATCCCTGATCGCTGCCATGTGATCGCACTTCTCTTAGACGATGAAACGAACTTTGGCTGATGAAGTGCTACGATTTCGAATGCCGTAAGCCAGCACAGAATGATCGTGGTGTACCGTCAAAGCATTTCTTCTGCGATGAGGTGAAGGACGTGCCAAGCTTTTGGGTCTGAGTCTCTTTGACTTTAAACATCGGCTGGGTATGAGAAGCAATCAAACTGTGAAGACCAGCGGAGCCGAGACCTTTGTGGAATTTCGAACGGGCCTTGGACACCTCGCTAGGAGAGTGTTATCTCTCATGCACGCTCGCTCTTGGTAGGAAAATCGACATGACAGAGCGGACTTGATCCGCGGTCCGAAGGCTCGGCTGTCTTCTTGGGTTCCTCGCCTGACTATCCCGAACAGATTGCACGGGAACGCCTTTGTGCTCGAAGTCTAAACGTCGGCTCGGCTCGGCAAGCCGACGTATGCATGTGTTCCTCTGAACAACAGGTTTAGGCTGTTCTTTCAGAAAGTCTTCCCCACGGGGAAACGAGCTGCGTCATGTGATTCTTGCGACTGCCTCTTTCATCTCTGCTACGAGCTTGGTCCGAGCGCTGCGCACATGGGGCGATCGTGGTGGGGTGCGACCTTCTTCAGAGGTCTTCGTGTTCGCTTCCCTGGCAACATCCCACGGGAACACGAGCCATACAACAGATGGACTTCATCGCGTCAGTGCGCTGTGGGGCCGTGGGAAACGTGTAAATGCATCCAGAGGCACACCCTCGAGCTGACCATCGGCAATCAGGTATAAAAGGCCTTTCAAATGTCAGCTTTGTCGTGACCCGGGCTGAACGTTCCCGCACCGCGCAGCTTGAGCAGCAGCTTCGGACCACAGAACGTCGTCCCTTGTCCGATCATCATCGGAAACTCGCGACTCGACATGCCATCCGTATCATCCCATCCTGCATCACAAATTGCTGTCCATTCGTTCGAACAGCACCGAGTGCTATGCCTCGGCATTCTCTCTGTCATATCTCACCACCTGATTTTCCGACAGGTCGAGCTTTGGCCCTTGCAGCTTCTCGCCCTGGCATTGGTCCTCTTCAGTCTCGATGTCTCTCTTCGGCACTCGCTCAATGACACGTCCATCTTTCCGCAAGCTGTAAAGCTCGCTTGCGCTGATCTGACAGTATGGACGTCTGGCGTCCTGGTCAGTATCGGAATCTACCGTCTCTTCCTTCATCGACTTCGTCACTTTCCTGGGCCGAAGTCGTGGGCTTTGTCCAAGTTTGCACTCATGTCCACCGACGCCAAAGGTCTTCGTCCAAGAGCCCTCGAAGAGGCCCACAAGAGGTACGGCGACATCGTCAGGACGGGTCCTCGTGAGATATCGATCAACGCGCCATCTGCCATTGTCCCTGTCATGGGCTCCAGAAGTTCCTTCTGGCGGGGCCCTTGGTACGCTGCAACCGCTGGCGCTCGCAGTCCACACATTCCTCGCAATCTGCACTCAACCATCATCGAAGCGGATCACTTTGCACGTCGCAAGGTCTGGGATGCTGCTTTCTCAGCCAAAGCGCTCAAAGGCTACGAGACCATCCTGATCGACAACATGCAGAACATGGTCGACCAGCTCGAGAAGCGCTCCCAGCGGAAGGAAACAGTCAACATCGACGACTACTGTTCGTTCTACTCGTTCGACGTCATGTCTCAGGCAGGATTTGCCGGTGACTTTGGCCTGCTCAAGCAAGGTCAGCTGACACCAATGATCCAAGCTTTGGAAGATTTCATGTCATTCGTGCAGCTGGCTGGCAACCTGCCCTACCTCGTCGAGATCTTGGGCCTCCTTCCGAACCCGATTGCCGAATTCGATAAGTACATGAACAAGATCGTCATGGAGCGCAAGGCTCGCAAAGAGGCGGTGCCGGACATCATGGAGCATCTGCTTCACGGAATCGAGACGGACAAGGGCAGCAGTGGCAAGCGTCAGGACGCAGAAGCAACTGCAGATGCGCGCTTGATGATCGTAGCCGGCAGCGATACATCCTCCACCACTATGGGTGTTGCCTTGTTCTTCCTGATGGAGAACCCCATGATTCTGAGGGACCTCCGACAGGAACTCCTCGAAGTGTTTGGAGATGATCCTGCGCTGTTGACGGATTTCGCACAACTGGACGAGCGGACCTGCCCGCTCCTCAACGCCATCATCAACGAGTCCCTCCGAATCATTCCGCCTGTGCCGACCGGCTTGCAACGCGAGAGCCCATCGGACGCCATCGTCGACGTGAATGGCCGCAAAGTCGTGATTCCGGCCAACACAATCGTGACGCTCCCGATCTGGTCACTTCATCGAGACCCTCGCAACTTTTCTCCTGAGCCGCTGCGATTCCGGCCTGGACGCTGGTTGGAGCCAGAAAAGGAGGAACGATTCAACAAGGCGGCTTTTACGCCCTTCTCTTTTGGAAAGACCTCGTGTATCGGAAAGGTTTTGGCCTACATGGAGGTGCGTCTCGTGATTGCCAATCTCGTTCGTCGTTTCGACTTTGAGCCGGCAGACCACTACGACGCTAAAAAGTTCCAGGATGGACTGGTGGATGCATTCGTGACTAAGCGCAACTACAAGCTCCCCGTGCATGTCAAAGTTCGGAGCCACGTCGGATCCTAGGTTCAGCCTAGATTCAGTCTAGAGGATTGGTTGCTGCGCGACCCCTAAATGCAAATGGATCATTTACAGCATCGTTGCGAATGTAATGCCTTCCGGTATCATTCTGTTGGATCTGTGTTCGGCGCCAAGGTTGCATCAAGGGTCAGATCCGAGGGAGTGAGACTGGATACAAGCCACGACCACCAATCGTACATGTCCTCTCCTACCTCTGGGTGGCGTGTGTGTCCCGCCTGCGGGGCAAGATCGAGCGCAGGCTGATGGATGGGATTCGACGTTGCCGCAGGTGACGCTGTTTCGGCAGCGGCGCGTGCTGATTCATGCAGCAACGCACCTTTCCTAAGGTTGTCGATAACGCTGCCGGACGAGGTGCTGAGCGTACTCGAGATCGTGCTTTGCCCCGCTGCCGTTGAATCGTGACAGCCGAGTCTGAGCTTGACACGGCCTCGAATGAGATTGACGATCCCGATCTCCTGTCTGATGCAGCGATTCGGATCTACACCTTGCTGGCGCTGATGGTCTTTTGCGTACTCGAGGAATTCATCGAGCATAGGCGAAAGGCTCTGCACTGTGGCTGGATCCGGTTCAGAGAGGAGGCATATGCCAAGCGCCGAAGTGGCATGAAAGTAGAAGAAGCGTCCGCCGACAAAGCTGTCCCTGGCGAGGTGGTCGGGCCATTGCAAATTCTCGCGCAGTTCTGCTCGTGCGCGATGGTCGCTGATCGCGGCTTGCATAGCGGCTTGACGTGACCTCTCGAACCCCGAAACAGCCCTGCCTCGACGCAGATAGGGCAGATGCAGCGAAACGAGGAGATAACTGACACTGATGTGAAGCAGGAAGCGATGCAGTGCGATGTTGCGGAACGAGCCATCATCGTGACCAGCTGAGCGCGGTCTCAAAACGTCATTGATGCCATAAGGCACGGGCAGGGAATGCTGGAAAGCCTGGAGCTCGCTATCAAGATCAAGGACGGCAGCGTACGTCATGTCGCGTTCGTCGGAAAAGAAGAGACCGAGCATCTTGCTGACGATGCGACACAGGTCATGTCGGATGTGCAACATAAGCGAGAGGTCGAAACGCATAGGCTCGACGTGTTTCGAGAGCAAGCGTGCGGGAGGTGCAGTGTCGCAGAAGGAGTCGTGAATTGAGGGTGCTTGACCTACGATGAGGCTGAGGAAGCAATCCTCGAAGACAAGATGCATCCAGACAGTGCGACGCATGATCGCGATTCTGCTTTCTTCTACATCGGGCTGAGGGGTAGGGCCCAGACGATGCAAGCCCAAGATCTGAGCTTCTCGAATGGCGGATCCCAAAGAAAGCCAGCTGTCCTTGGCCTGGCGCTGAAGGACGAGGAATCGAGCGGAGATGATGTGGGAGAGGACGATAAAAAGATCGTGGCTTTGGATGGAGGCGGCGAGCACATGGCACTTGCGACACTGATAGTTATACAGGGCTGCCTGCGATGCGCCGTGAGCTTCGCTTCCTAGTGAAAGAGGCAGGGACAGTGAAGTGAGAGCCAGAATGGCAAAGAGGAGCGTAATGATGGAAAGATGATCTGGCGCATCCTGATCGTATGCAGTTTCCTGGTCGCCCCAAATGACATCGGTGGCCGAGTTGAATGCTTCGCGAAACCACATCTCGTCAAAGGGGAACATGAGGGGATTGATATCGCGGAAAAAGACGCCAAGGAGCACAGCCGTCTCATCTTGCGACGGTAGCGCGGAAGCCAGGTTGTGAATCTCGTCTTGCTGAAGGATGCCTTGGCGGACGAGCCTTTGGTAATGAGCAGAGGGTGGATAGCTTTGAGCGGAGGACGAGAATTCGAGCACTTCGGATCCAATCTGAGCTCTGAAGGGGAGGGAAGCGGCCGTGGTGACGGCAGGATTGCTCTTGCATCGTGGTGTCGAGGATCTGCTGCGTCTGGCATTGGAGGTGGGATAGGATGACAATGCTGAGTTGGTGCTGGATACGAAGCTGGTGAAAGTGGTCGGATCATTGACGAGATAGGAGGATGGACCCGACTCGGACTGACTAGGTCGAGAGGCGGTATCCTCGATCGCTGGGCGGCTGGCCTGAAGAAGGCGAGACAGAATGGTCTCTAGCTGTTTGGTACGCTCGTGTGCATCCGGACCGTTTTCGCCGAATGGAACGCAGGAGGAAGCGACGCCACGCTCGACACATTTGCCGCAGGGAGTCTCGCGATCGCACTTGTGCTTGCGACGATGGCATTCTGTGCAGCTATATCTCAGACGTTGACGCCTCTTTCGTTTCCCAAGAAGCTCGAGGGCTTCCGAGTGAATAGAATCAAGGTCGTTGGGCTGCCAAGACTGCATTTGTGGCGAACGATCGTTGTTAGAGTCACGCTCCGGATGGGCAGGTGATGTGTGAGCCGCCATCTTTGTCGCGAGGGTCGAGCATCTCGACAGTGCAGCTGTTTGATGGTGAAAGAGAGCGATGGCGTCAAGAGTGCGAGCCAAGTGGAATGTTTGAAAGGCAAGAGGTTGGACCCTTGCGGCGACTACCTCCGTATCGGGGAAATCTCAAAACTCAGATGCAAGGAAGCTGGGCTCAAAATTGGATGCCTGCTGCTCAGCTTTGGTTTCGTGATAGCTCCTCGTCTTCTCTTGGAGGGTCTCATCACAAGCAATGAAAGGGCACGCCATGTCGCTGTTCCAGATGTGTTATGTCGGAGCACTCTATACTGTACATCAAGCACCGCTGCTTTCCGTAGTGTTCTGAGCAATCATAGGTGGCGCTCCAAGATCCAGTCGGTCTGAACGCAGCTTCCTATGGTGAAATCGTGCTCTCCCACCTTGTCGAAATGATGCCTTTCCAGGTAGAACTTTTGAGCTTTGAGATTCTCCTCCCATACACCCAACCATATTGCCTTGTATCCTTGATCGATGGAGTATTCAAGCGCTTTGGCCATGAGTTTGGATCCAACGCCGCGACTGTGCGCTTTCGAGTCGGTATATATACGCTGCAGCTCGATCGTGTGTGGTGGTTTGATCTGCAGACATGGTTCTTCCGACGCTCGATTGAGCTGCACGAATCCGAGCAGCTTATGGGTCTGGTTGTCACGCGCTGTGTAGAAAAGGAAGGTCTGGGTATCTGTAATCTCGCTCTCGATGCGGTCTGTGCTGTAGGATGTCTTCAGGTAGTCTTGCATGTCTTCGGCTGGCATGGAGTGCGAGAACGATTCAAAGAATACGCTGCCGCCAAGCGCTGCGATCTCGGCGGCGTCCGATGGGCGTGCTGTGCTGATGGTGAAGCTGAGGGGCTCGACTGTTGCAAGTCAAATGCAGAACGAATCACGATCGGTTTTCGCTGTAAGGATCATGCATCACCGTACTGAGGAACGAGACATACGCACCTGTCATGATTCCGATCCGCAGGCTGCCCTGCGAGGAAACTGGTGGTGACGATGCTAAAGAAGGATTTGAAGCTGGCTGTGACGTCGTACTGTTATACGATCGCGCTGTTAGCGTCCGCCACCACCAAGCCGAGAGGGATGCCGCTCTGAAGCTATCGGAGTTATCGGAAAATGCATCGGCGAAATCTCTCGCTTCCAAAGCCACGTGGTATCAAGTCCGCATGACATATCTTCTCGAACAATAAGTGCACAGCAAGTCGACTTCTCCGACTCAGTGTCATATGTCTCATAGCTGATTGCGTTGGAAAGGCTAGGGATGCTCGAACTTGCCCGACCCTCACGATGGAACCACATCTGAGCCATTCGTATCACTTCCCTGGACCGATTTCCAGGTTACCAAGCAGAAGATCGACTTCGTCTCTTATACGGACGAGGCCAGCACACATTTCAGGCAGCACCATCCAAAGTTAGATACGTTAACCATTACATCGTTGCTGTATTTGCCGCGAGCGAAGATCATAGCTCGGTAGTGGGTGACTCGAAGCGCATAGCAAAGGGGAACCTGGTGCCAAGCCAAGCGCGTACGTATCTCGTCCAGATCCAGGGATCCTCGTCATGGTGTGGGTCCGAGGGCGGACCGTGCTGCTTGAACGAGACCGCGGATGACGAGGATAACTCCAGATACGTGAGGTCGAGTGCGGTGGCTGAGCGATTCGCCATGGTAGGCGTGATGTGAGGCTCTATCAAAATCACCGAGTGTGCATAGCGAGCCAACAGAGCCGTCACGACGTCCAGGCGCTTGGCTTCTTTCCCAGCCGAGAAAGGCTTGATGGAGAAGTCAGAGTCCTTGAACGTCGACGTCAGCGGCAAAGTGGTAAGAGACGGCATGACTAGATCCGGTGGTGGCAAGAAGGCGGATAGACCTTGCTTCCCAGACTGCCCTACAAGATGCAGCAGCATGCAGTCTCCACACGCCGTTTTCTGTTGGACTATGTGCCCGAAGAGTTCCGATACGCTCGGCCTGACTTTGCTGGAAGTCGACTGAAGCAGCGGCGCAACGCAATCCGAATGAACCTGACATAGTGCTGAACCCTGTTCCTCGTCTGATACGCGGGGTCTGTACATTGCGCTACCGTCCATGGAGCTCTGCATAGATTGGTGCGAACGACGGACGTAGAGACCGGCGCGTTCCAAGTTCTTGGCCACGGTCGATTCGTCGTTGGTAGTTCGCACTGGGGTGTATACGGGTGGAAAAGTGGGTTTGCTGAGATCCTTGAGCCCTAGATCGTGGAGCAAGGCCGAGGCTTCCTGAGCCGAGTAGACGCCATCGCCGTCGATGTCATGTTTCGCCACGAGGAACGACCAGAGGAGAGCCTCGCGGAACCTTTCGATCGTGTAGTGGGCGTGCAACGAGGCCAGATCGACGGTTGGCTGGATCGAGCTGAGCTCTTTGGGCCAGATTTGCTGAAGCTCCAAGAGCACAGGCTTCGAAATGGACAGAGGAAGATCGACAAGCTTCCTACGACTGCGTGCGCCGAATCTGTGATCGAGAAGGGTGTTGGCACGAAAGATTGGAACGTCGTCGGTCCCAGCGACGGGAGCGGACGCCATGTCGCCTACCTGTGACGCATCGGCGCTGATGCGAAAGGTGAGACCGTACAAAGGGTTCCAAAAGTCGGCAGAAGAGACAGGCTCGGCAAAGATGTGATGCGATGCTGTGACGAGGCGGACGTCGGAGAGCTGCGGTGCCTGCGCAGCAAGCAGCATGGAGGTGGACGCCGCTGCCGATGCACCGACGATGGAGGCGCTCGAGCAAGCGTCGCTGGACAGATCGCTGCCCTCGGAGCATGCGACTTGACGGTGATGAAGTAGTGAGGGAGGTCGATAGACTGGATCTGATGGTGCAAGCCAGCAGGGACGTTGGCCAGAGTACATGGCTCTTCGATCGTCTTGGTAGGCGTTGGTGCATGCGCCACTTTCGGCAGCAGCAGCTGCTGCTGCGGCGCCAACGTCAGCATCGGGTGTGAGCAGTGTGACGGTACCAAAGCCAGACTGCATGTGCTGCTGAGCTGATCTCCAAGAATATCTGAGCAGGTCCGATGATGCATCGTCGCCGTGCGGGCGCAAGCTGGAGTTGCTCCAGACCCATATCAGATCGAGCTTGTCCTGCCGTGACCATGCTCGAGGCGGGTGCTTGCAAATGGTGCCTGCTCTGAACCACTGCGCCCAGCACTCGTCACGACGTAGGTCCTCCTGAGCCGCATCTGACGCTAATGCCGCGCTGTCATTGATGGGCTGCGACGAGACGTCGCGTCTGTAGAATGCATTTGTGAGCAAGACCAGAGCGATGAAGCCAGGAAGGCCCAACAGCACCAATCTCGTCCGGAGAATGCGTGCGCCCCTAGAGGGGGCTGGGAGGGAGCTGGCAGAAGACATGGCTCCACCTCGATCCGCAATGCTGGCTTTTGCTGGTCTGCCAAGAGGATGGTGGTCGTAATGGGACGTGAGGATGTGGTGGTGAACTGCGCCAACACGATCAGGAGAGACCCAGCTGCACATCTTGGCTCCCGAGACCTAGGGTCCGGCAAAAACTCGGAAGCATGCCAGAGTCGGGTCCGCGGAAGTTGTGAGTCGAGGAGGAAATGCCAAGAATCGTTAGCCGCCACACCGGCCGGTCTTGCTGTACGATACCGTGCCAGCCTGCTTGGCGAGTTGCACCCGGCGCGGGTGGCACAGAGCGGCGAGTGAGCCCAAACACCGAGCTTGCATATGGTCGAGGTCGATTCATTACCGCAAATTTGAGAATTTCACCGTGCTCTCCGGAATAGAGTCCGCGTGGCTTGCCCGACCGGCATCGAGGCGGAAAAGATTCCAGGCAAGAAGGCGAGGCATCGTGCCTTGTGGAGGCTATCCAGAGATTCGAGCGGAAAGACAAGAAAAGATAATGATAATATTTACAGTATTAAATTGAGAATAAAAATTATCGCGTCCAGTCGACGCTGAGCGTGTCTGCTCTCACTTCTCTCACGTGCAGCAACACGGTTCAGCACAGCAACGCCTTCACTCATCCTCGGTCTCATGACTGCATCGCGCTCAGTCACGGTCGATACAGTCCATGGCTGGTGGCAGAAAGTGTAGAAATTCTTTAGAGCTATGCAAAAATGAAGATTGGAACGGTATGCGGATGATAGACAGGACACGATTCTATGCAAGAGGTTCAACGCCGAGACGCTTTCAGTGCGAGACGAGCGGCACGTCGGACAAGATTTACGGGTTGTTCGCCGCACCCAGACGAACGTAGGTGTAGGTGCTGATAATCACTAGAGAGCTGCCCAAGACCTGCATCATCGATGGCGGGTGCAACGTCAGCATGCTCTCGACGGCGATGGTGGTGATGATGGCCACACTCGTAGCGAATCCTTTTGCGATGGCGTCTGCGTATCGAAGGGTTGCAGACACCACGTAGCCGGATGCGCCTCGTAGCAGCACAGTCATCCAGGCTGTCGTCGAAAAGTGATCCAATGGCGCCCACTCGCCGTTCTTGATGGCTTCCATCGTCACAGCCAGGCCAGAAGTGACCAGCGCAAAAGAGGCGAGCTGAGCGTTGCGTACTGAGAGCGCCACCGACATGCTCGATTTCAGCTTCGTCTCGATGTACACACCGGCGAAGCTACCGCAGATACAAGCCATCACCACCAGTAGAGCTCCGATGAAAAGCTGGGCATCCGCGTATTCGCCAGCAAGCATCACGGCATCCGCCATCAGCCACGAGCTCGAAGATGCCGGTGCGTCGGAATGACGGTGAGAGAAGGGCGAGTCCGCAGCTGGCTCGCTGCTTCCCAGCAGCGCCGCTGCCTCGGCAACATCTTGCATCGTCATCGGCTTCTGGGTCAAGAAGACGACGCCTCCCAGCAAAATAGGAAGGCACATCCACTGACGAATCGAGAGCGTTTTGCCAAACACGCACACGCTGATGATGGCCGCTGTCACCAGCTTGAGCTGCGAAAGGCCCTGGTATGCCACCGAGCTGAGATGCGAGTTTGCGCCGAGCTGAAGCATGTTCTGAGCCACGTAGACGAGAGCAGGTACGCTCATCGTCCATGCCGATGGGCAGAAGATGTCGTCCCAAGCTTGGCGTACCTTGTTCATCATCGGCATTGATACCTGCGATCGTGAGGCCGGGTAGGGCGAGTCTGATTGATCATCGCCAGTGTCGCTGTGGTCTTGCTCGTCCGACTTTTCTGAAAACAGTGGCAGCGAAGCACCGTCTCTGCTGGGACTGCTGACATGCTCCTTGTGCGACACGACCGCCGTCACGAAGCCGACGATGAGCTTGAACAGTTCCGATAGGAAGACCGAGGTGGCGATCGAATACCTTTCCCCTGCGGCGACGCTCCGTGATCGCTGCGAGACGATGCTGGTGGCTGTGGTGAACAAGACGAGCACTGTCAAGCTCGTCCATTTTCGAATCGCGTGATCCGTCGGTATGATCGGCATGCTGATAGAGGGCGATGTGCGTCTTTGCGCCTTCGAGTGACGTGTGTTGCAATTCGATCGACTGTGACGTGAAAAGGTGGTGTCAAGTGTGTCTTTGAGAACTGACGTCGCTGTCTGATCACGATGAGGTCGGTACGGTTTTGTCTGTTGGTGTCTAGACAGCAACCGACGAGGCCGACCTGTCGTTGAGGATTTGTTGTTGTCTTGACATCCGTACCCCTGACCACGCGGTAGAACTACCAAGCCAAGCGAAGAAGGCCTTGAAGACAAGCGGAATCTTTGGTGCAGCGATTGTGACGGTTGCTGTTCCGTTCCGGCGAGCAGGTCCCGTGCCGGGCGCCTCGACATTGCTGAAACAACAAGATGCAGAGTTGTCACAAACGCAGACGCAGTCGTGCGTGCCTGAGCAGGAAAGTGCCTCGAAGATGCTGAGGAAGAAGGCTCCGAGTTGGCGATGCACACCAGATGCGGGGAGTCAGTAGCAGGAAAGTCGGAGGGAATGTGAGACAAGAGCGCCACGTTGTAAAAGTCGGAGAGGTGGTCGGAGGCGAGAATACGGAGCTGTATTCCTCGGTGGGCTTGGCAACGAAGTTGCTCCTCCGAGGCTTGGCACGGGTTCACAAGAGCACGTTACACACGGAAGAGGAGATGAGGCAGAGATGCACGTCGCCAGCTCTGACGGCTTATCCTTTTTACCCATTCGTACTGGTACACTCCATAGCCGAGGATCACAACAATGACCCCGCCAATGTCGACACCTGTTGAGCTGTCGTTCGATGCTGCGCCATTGTGTGCTGCATGACCATCTCAGACCAAAGAAAGAATCAGCGCGGAGCCAAGAATGGAGCTGCGTACGTCGAAAGGTGTGGCACAGCGCGGAGCGGAGGTTGAATTCTCCTTGGCGATCGACGATAGGCGTGCGGAAGCCGTCCCGCGGCCGACGCCACGCGATCGCTCCTTCGGTGTCTCAGCGTGAACCCTCGGTGATGAAAGTGGAAAGCAGCAGCAAACTGCATCCGAGCACTGCAGGGCGTACGCGAGCTGTCAAAAGCCGCACCGGTGTTTATCCCATTTTATTTTTGATGCGAAATCCGACGATCGACAAATTCCGCGATCCTACGAGCTTGTGGACGACGTGAATTTTGCAACTTCTTTTTGGGGTTTGAGTTTTCCCGTGAATTTTTTTGAATTTCGATTCCGCCAGTCCACCGATTCTGAAGATGCTGTCGAAGCTCGAGATGGGAAACGCCTCCGCTCAACGAACGCTGCCTCAAAGTGTTCCTGGCCCAACTGGGTTTTGACGTCACAAGGCGATGCGTTCAATCGTGCTCGTTGCGTTCCGAATCTGGCCACCAGCAGAACAGGAGAGGGCTGGTGACAAGCTAGAAGCTGTTGATCGGCATGATGGAGGGCCCGCCTTACGATCTCCGTGCGAGGGCTCAAAAGCTTGGCGAGATGGAAGAGAAGCAGGAACACGTCCAAAGAAGCGGACCCTGAGCGACTTGCAGATCAATTTATGCTGTTTGCTGCAGACAAGCGGTCGACTTGATCTGCGTCTCTCATGACAACTTTACCAGACCAGTGTCACGCTCGCCGATTATTCGCCGGCGCGGCCACCTCGCTGCCGCTTCAATCAACCGATACAATCTGCAGCTTCAGAGAACCGCTGTGCCGACAAAATCGCGCGTGCTCAGTGCTGCGTGATAGTGAAACTCACATCCGGATCGCATTCTGCACAATTTTCGACCTTGATTCCCCGCCATTCACACGCAAAGCCGTACATATGACATGGATGAATGAGCTCGCATGGACGAGAAAGTGCGAGAGCATTGTACAAAAACGAGGAAATGACCGTGGAAAGAATGCTGCAGAGAGTGTATGTGCGTGCGTGTGTATATGCGTGTGCGAGAGCAAGGAACAAAGTGGCCTTTTAAGAAAGGCACAAGACGATACCGGACTTCTCAGTCTTCGCGGCGCGTGTGCTGCTGTCTCTCCTCGACGATTTTGGTGGAGGCCTTGCTGTTCTTCCAAGCGTGATACTTGTTCCTGATGGGCTCTTCGATCACGAACGTGGTGAAGGTGGACACCATGAATGCAAGCCCCGTTGGACCCCAGTTGCCCACGGGCCATCCGTGAAGCGCCTGCAGCGGGAACTGCCACAGATACCACGAGTAGGAGATTCTGCCTGGGAAGCGGAACACTTGGCTTTCGAGGATCGGGTTGCCGTTGATGCTGCCGAGGACGATTAGCAACACAACCACAGCTGTGAACAGCTCGAGCCAGGCACCCTCGGTTCGGAAATCGAACATAGTCAAGCCATAACCCCACATGTAAGCCAGGCAGAAGAAGCAGAGTGTGCTGACGGTGCCCATCCACTTCCTTGTGCAGATCTCGGGGACGGGAAGCAGACGGGCAGAGCATCCGATGAACATCTTCCATGCGTTGGCGCTGTACGCGTACCGGTAGTCGATGCCGTACATCCTCTCGCCGAGGAAGTTGTACCCGCTAAAGTAGCGAACGTAGAAGCCGACAAAGACCAAGGTACCCATAACCAGAGCCCTCTTCTTGAGCGAGAGAGGCACAACAAACGGAATGAGCAGCGACCAGAAGATGTAGAACTGCTCTTCGACCGCAAGCGACCAAGTGTTGAGGTACATGCCGGGGTACATGAGACGCGAGTCACCTGTATTGAGGGGATACATGTTGTGGGCGTAGAAGAAGGCGGCCAACGCGTCGGGTTTCAAGACAGCTGCTGGAATACCGCGATGGATGCCAATCTTGTACACAATGCCGACCATGAGAGCGAGGGCAGGTGTGAGTCGTACGAATCGATCCATGTAGAACCTTGGCAGGAACGAGAAGCGCTCGAATGATACTTTGTGCGATGCGGTGGGAGTCGAATCTTGCTGCACTTGATCTTGCTTGTCGATCTGTGACATGAGCACTCCAGTGATGAGGAAGCCCGAAAGTACGAAGAACACTCCAACACCCAGGGTGCCGAGCATTTCCTTCTTTTCAACCACATGCGATACCATCACCAAAGCCACCGCCAAGCCTCTCAAGCCCTCCCAGCCGGGAACAAATCCGATTTTGCCGAGAGGTTTGATTGTTTGGCGTTGTGCAGGCTCGGATGCAGGGAGAGGCAGCATGCTCGAAGTTTCGAAGCTAGACTTGGTCTCGAGCGTGGGGCTAGGTTCGCGTGAGGATCGATATGAAGGTGGCGAGGCCAGATTTGGCCTCCTGGCCTCCTCGTCCGAACTTCGCGCGGATCGAAGCTGTGAGCTACCGGTTGTCATCTTTAGAATGATGGTGCCACTAAGGCCAGACGGCTATGTTTTAGAAGAAGATGAGCAAGTGAGGAGATAGGAGGTGGTGGTAAGGGTGGAGGAAGTATGGCGGTAGGGCTTCTCGGATGAGGGACAAAGGCAGACAAGGTATGGTAGGAGAAGCAAGCAGCAGCAATGGCCAAATCGACAAGGAGACCGAGAGCGCTGAAAGGTCCTTCTGTCTAAAATTAAATCAGGTGCCAAGAAGCCGAATCTTAGTGGATTGAGTTCTGTTTTGAGCACGGAAGGGAGTGTTGATTGGCACCAATCTGCTCGTTCCGGCGGCTGTTTTCACCAGACAGAGGATTGCGTGCACATCTGTACATGGCGACAGACGTCCGACGCACGAACGGCATGCTTCGGTGAACACTTATCGTCCTTCGTCACTAGAAGCGAGAGCTGGCACGCTCCTTTTCAAGAGTGCTCCATAATTCACGGACAGCAGCGGCCCAATGCTGACTTTGAAAGCTCACGAGCCTCCAAAGAACCGTGGTACAGCGGCGGTCAAAACATCGAGCCGAGGGTGTAGAAACTGGGAGCTGATTTGGACGATGGCAAGCTACTGCTCCCCGAGTCTACAGGACAGATAGGGTAGCAGTTGGCGAGCCGGACTTGAAAGAGACTGCTCAGAGACAAAAGCTCCTGTCTTTACTCCCGCCCGGCACGGGAAGCTGAGACGAGACACCGTCACACTGGATCGACCTGGCTCGGTACGCAACTCACGATTGTTCATGCATAGCATCGAAAGCCACAGGCATCCAAGCTGCGAAACGCGCTCGATAGGACAATCAGAACGAGGTGAGGAAGGCACAGACAGCCAGCATGTCGCTCGGAGATGCAAAGGAGATCATTGTCAGAGAATGCATTGCCTGACAACTGTCCGAGTGGCACGGGAACAGAAATGCTCTAATGATTCTGTCGAACATCGGTGCAACTTCCAGTTCGAGGCGGAATAAGTGTTGTAGTTGTTGTGTTTTATATATATATATTATATATAATAACATTATTATTATTTTATTACTTTATAAAAACACGAAACGAAGCGAAAAATAAATAAATAGTTCGTCCTTTTTCCTATATCTAAATTGCATTTTCTGATCCGGACACTGCTGCCGGCCAGGCACAGCGCCACAAATTGGCCCAGTCGGAAGGGTTCTCGGTGTTCGCTGTCGACTGCGTCGCGGTACTGTCATTTGCGAATTCGGATCGCATTTGGACACGCTGGCTCGTTGTCAGGGTGTCGCTCTACCATCCATTGCCTTCAAGGACCGTCTAGACCACGCGTGATGCGGCACGCATGCTCGTTCTCGACACCTTGACGTTCTCTTGACCAGGAGACTGTCCAATCTAGACGAATTGAAACTGCTGTGCGCAGGGTCAATCTCACAAATTGGATCAACTCCACTTGCTTTGCACCGCACGATTTTGCCGTGAAAGCGTTGTTTGAGGTGAGACATTGCTCTTCGATCTTGCTTCTTACCAAACACCTTCGCAGACACAATGGCAACCGGCACCACATCCAACGATGTCAAGACCAATCGCGAAGCAAAGCAGCTGACTGCATCGTCTCGGCTCAGGGTTAATGCCTTCTCGCCCAGCATCAAGCAGGGGGACGATTCCTTCCAGGATACCGATCATCTTCATCGAAAGCAGCAGACGGAATCGTTTCGAGCTCAGGAGATGGGGAGAACAGCTCACACCATGCCTACTCGTTCTGAATCTGGCATGAGCAAGGTCGGATGGACGGTCGTAGGAGGTCTGGCGGTGTTGGGCCTCTTCTTGCTGCTTTCAAGTGGCGCAAACCGCTACGACTATACGTCATCGCCGTCCTACCTGTCTACGTCGGCCTCGGCGTACAAGACAGCAACAACGTCGATGGACGAGGTAATGGCAAGATGCGCTCGCTCTGGCACCCATCATATCGCATGCAAGGTCGAACATGCTGCCGAGCTTGCTTCGCAGCTCGTCTCGCGACAATCGCGCACACCTCAACAGGCGGTGCTGGCGTACAAGCGCCGGTATGCGCGTGCTCCTCCGCGCCGCTTCGAGGCGTGGGTGAAGCTTGCAATTCAACACAACGCCACCATCATCGACGACTACGACCAGATTGAGGTCGATCTCGGTGCTTTCCGTCAAGCTGGTTTGGTCGGCGACAAACTCAAGCGCAGAATGCTCGAGGCGAAATTGCGGCTGCCCGGATGGGAACTGGGCCAAGTCAGTGTGGTCGATGGGCAGGCCGTCGTGCTTGGTCCAGATGCCGGCCCTCTCTCAGCGTCAACGCTTATCGAGCTGCTCAAGCCCGTACAAAGCATCGTTCCAGATGTCTCAGTCCTTTTCAACTGGTATGCCGAGCCAAGAGTACCGCATCCCTCGGCACAGCCAGCGTCGCAGCCTTTTGACTCCCTGGATGTTTCGGGAAAAGACCCCACCTCGGTGCTCGGCAAGGCGTGTCCTTCGTATCACTTGACGCCAAAAAGATCCTGGGACTCTCTGCAGCCACCAATCGACTATTGCCAGGAGGATCGCGACGAGTTGGGGGATCTGCACGGCTTCTTGCAAGCTCCAGCCAACTTTCACCCGGTCAACAAGCTCGTGCCGATGCTGTCGAGATCCAAGCTGTCCAACTTTGCCGACATCTTGGCGCCCAATGTCTGCTATGGCCATCCGATGTATCTAGGTTACGTCGACAAGATCCCGTGGGAAGCCAAGGACGACAGCTTGTATTGGCGAGGTACCACGACTGGTGAAGCGCAGACTTCAGCCACCTGGGCGCGTGGCCATCGACATCGCATGCTGCGGTACGTAAAGCAGCTTCGCGAAGCAGCCAGCAAATTGGCCACAGGCGTCGAAGCAGACCCGTTCGACGACATCTACGCATCCAACAGGACCGTCGCGCCATCGCGTCAGTCGGTCCACGTCGCTGGAAACACACTGCCACTTTTCGACTATACGGATGGCTCGGTGGTGGGTGCGCTCAAGCGACTGGGCTCTGAAACGTTTAACGTGGCCTGGAACAGGTTTGTGCTGGCAGACGAACCCACAATGGCATCACTCATGGCCAACCAAGTCACCACGGACAACGAAGACCGCAACGAGCCGTACAAGCACAAGTTTGCGCTCGATCTGGATGGTCAGTCCATGTCGTGTCGCTTCTACCAGCTGCTTGCCTCGAGCTCGCTCGTCTTCAAGCAGACCATTTGGTCCGAATATCACGACGATCGTTTGATACCCTGGATCCACTACGTGCCCTTGGATCTGCGCGTCCAGAACAACGAGCTGCCCATGCTGCTCGACTTCTTCATCCATCATCCCCAAGGACAAAAGGCAGCTAGCAAGATTGCGTCAGCGTCCAGAGAATGGGCGGCGGCCACTCTTCGCCCGATCGATGTCTCGCTCTACTACGCCAGACTCTTGATCGAGTTTGCTGAGCTCTATAACCCTGTCTACTGAGTCCTCTGTCGCGGATATCCACATTGTAACTTTATTCCGTTCATTATCACAACAATCCTCTTCGTGTTTTGTATCTCGATAGTGAGCATGGAAAGTGCCCGTCTTTCCGAAATATGAATGCCCAGACCAAGAAAGGTAACACAGCAGTACGGTCGACTTCCCCCCCCCCTTTCTTCCAAAAAACAAAAACAAAAACAAAAAAAACCTACTAATTTCGGAATTCACGCATAAAATCTCCACAAATGGCGATCTCGCACGTGGGAACAACGCTACTGATTAAAATCAGTCCAATCCGGTGCTCTGAAGGGCACTTTCGCAGAAGCCTACTTTGGTGTTGACGAATTGATCGACAATTCGAAAATGGCCGAGGCAACTATGTCAAGGCCGAAGCGCATGCATAAAATGACCCTTTTTGCAAGGTACCTGCAGATCGCCGCTCTGTATCTTTCCACCTGCGAGTGGCTCGCTGCCCGGTTCTGGCTTCCGCTGTCGAATCCTTCTTGCCGCGTTGTCGCCTTCCCAAGCCACGAGACATGATAGACCATTACACTGTATATCCGTTGTACGCTGCAAACGACTGCTAGTCCTGTCTTTGGTTGTTTCTCACATCCGAAGCGGAAAGGTCTCATACAGCTCTCGAACTGTCTCTGACACGGGAGTTTCGCTTGGTCCCGGTTCCTCGTTGTCTCCTCTCCGTATACTGTGCATTGTATTCGCGATTGTGCTGGGTGCCGGTCGAAGCGCTCCGCAAGACATGCAGCTGCTAGCGTGACTAGGTTCGGGTCCGCTTTCCATTGACCAGTCTCGAAAGGCACAGCCATGCAGACAGTCGGGCGCTATTTTCCCGTGAACCTTTGTCTCCTATTCGTGCCTTCCTTGCGGTGTGTCCGACTGCACTGATTTGTGGCTCGGGAAGCATCTGCACGACGTCGATCCCACGACGCAGTTCGGAGAATCTCAATAACGAGTCCGTCCTTCTTCAGTACGAGCTACAACTAAGATCCACAAATGCCGTCTTCTCCCTTGTTTCCAGTTTTGGAGCATGTTCGGGACAAGCTAAACCTTGCCGCCGGCTTCTTCGCTTGCTGGCGTGCTTTCCGCGACGTCTTATCTCTGTCAATCCCATCAACATCATCTTTCTGACCTTCGCTTACCACCACTTCCTCCTGCCTGATCCTCGTCTCTATATCCTGTCCTTACAGCGCCCACCTCCACCAGGCTGCTCGTGATGTTCGGCTCACTCACTCCGCTGATCCTAGGCATCAGTGGCCTCAAGTCGAGTACGGGCATCGTCTTCCATCAAGCTTCAAAACATGCAGCATATTCACCGTCACTGACGGTGCTGCTCTGCGAAAGCATCAAGATTGTGGCTTCCTTCCTCCTCCTCACACGCGCACTTCACCGACAGAGGAATCAGCTGCATCCGTCGAAGCAGGCTAGTAACACCAGTTCCACCGGATACACTCGGTTGCAGGCCGAGGACTTTGAGGTGCAAGACACAGCATACGATGGTGGCTTCGTTAACGCCAACAAAGAGGCATCTGCATCGATGCTCGAGCGTGGAGACGACCGCGACATTGCTTTTCACCAGACACTCCTGCAGCTGGTACGCTCTCAAGTCTTTCAGATCCAAGGATTTAGGCTGATCGTACCAGCACTCATCTATGTGGTCCAGAACAACCTTTACCTGTACGCTGCCTCCGAACTTGATCCCGCCTTCTTCCAAGCACTCTGGCAGATGCGCATCCTGATGAGCGCGACGCTCAGCTGGGCGGTCCTCAAGAAGCGCATCCTGCCCGTCCAGTGGCTCTGCATTCTCGGCATCTTTGTAGGTGTCATGCTTGTTAAGACAGCTACGATGCCCTCATCGAGCGCAAGTCTCGCACCAGGTGGTTCAAGCAAGACTTTGACCGCATCGCTTGCCCTCTGTGCAGCGGCAGCACTGAGTTCGACAGCAGGCGTCATCCTCGAGTTTATCTTCCGCGATCGCAGCGTCAATCTTTGGGCTTCCAACGTTCAGCTCTCGTGCTTCTCCATCCTACCAGCTGCATGCATCGTGTTTTTCCGCGACGCCTCGCACCTGGGCCCTGTATTGCACGATCTGCACACCAGTCCTTGGCCGATGGGGGTCGTTTTCTGCCAGTCCTTCAACGGTATGATGATCGCCATCCTGCTCAAGAAGGCAGGTGTTATCATCAACGACTTCACTTCCGCCGTCTCGATCGTCTTGACGTTTGCACTCAACGAGATGCTGTTTCCTGCGTCGAGCAAGATCGACAGCGTCATGGACGTGGCGCTCGTGGTCGCTGGTAGCGCTGTCATCCTCGGTTGCAGCACGCTGTATCACAGACATCTGCCTAAAGAACCCAAAGCTGATCAGGTGTTCGCGCCGGTAGACACCCGGCAAAATGCGCTCCACCTCAATCTTGATGCGGAAAACACATCGTACAGCGCATCTGTTTCCTCGTCATCAACATCATCACCTACACCCTCTTCGATTGCAACACCATTGCCCCGATCTCCGATGGGCCACTACTTCAACCTGAGCACCGACGATCTTCGGAAAGGCACCAAGCCAGGCGATGTATCAGCGGATCTTCTCGAACTGCAACAGTTCAATCCGCACAAGTGTGCTCCCTGATGGTTCGCTCTCGATCACGACCGGCTATCTTTCACTGTTCACACATACACTGTCATTTCGTAACTTGCATCTTCTCTGTTCTCTCAGCTCCTTCGCAAAGCGTAATTTCACCGAGGTCTTAAAGGTATAGTCTGATTTCCTTTGCGGGATAAAGTTGGACGCTGCTTGTCGTAAGCCGTTTTGATATCGACAGGTGCTCGTATAGCGCGTGTGTTCTCACTTCACGTATCAGGCTGCCATGAAAATGATTCAACAGAAAAGCAGATCAAGAGCCTACCGGGCGCATCTCCATAACGATACGTGATATTGTGAAGAAGGACTAGGTACAGAAGCTACTATACGTGACGGAACGAGAGGAAAAAACAGCAACGTGACTTTCAAAACCCTTTTGCGACTTCAATCGTGACCAATGATGTTGGCCAACTCGAGCATTTGGCGGTACGTGTACACCGAGAGGTCGATCTTCCTGAGCGCCGATGCCGCCCAATCCCTCGATGCGTTGGCGATCATCTCACCCAGCTCTTGACCCTTGGGATGATTTGCGAAAAAGTCGAGCAAGATCGGCAGCTCCTCCATCCCCGTCGACACGGGAACGTAGTGCAGCCAGGGAACGATACGATCATCGTGCCATTCGACGTAGATGGTCTGCTTGAACACGAGACTGTTGCTGTCCAGTAGACGGTAGAATCGGCATGACATGGAGTTTCCATCGAGATCCATCAAGAACTTGTTCTGGAACGCCTCGGACGAAGGCTGGTGCGCAGCGAGCGGGATCTTGGCCTTCCACTCTTCGCAAAATTTGGGATCCGACTCGCAGCCGTGCAAACCGACAAAATTCATGTCGATCACGTCGCTGCCGAGCTTGGAAAGAGCCGTAAGCTGCGTCTTTGTGAACGTCTTGGGCATGTTTGTCAGCTCGACGCGTTGCTCGTCAGCATCGGTGAAGGTGAGCGCGTCGGAGGACTTCACTCGAGCAGCAAGTTGGGCAGCTTTGGTCTTCATCTGGTGAGCAGCCATCACGAGACGCTGACGGTGACCAAAATAGGCGTACTTTCCCTCGGGTCTGGAGCCGGTGCTGCTTCCTCGCCAGTAGATCTTTGTCTTCTTCTGCGAGTAAGGTACGGTGTCCTTGTTGTGGCCAAAGAGTCGATATTGGGTTTCACCGTAACACCACGAAGCAGTGGTGATGTCTTGGAAGCTGGAAACCTTTGTCAAGGATAGGACCGGCACGGAAGAGTTGAAGCAGCCGTTGTGGGTGTGGAACACACCGTGCTTGGTGATCCAGTCGTAAGAGTGAGAGCAGATATCGTTAGAGGGTCGATCGCTGGCCACGGACGAGGTTGTCTCGGTGTTGCGAGGGCAGCCTTGTGTGAGATACTCTCGCGTATCGGGAAGGCCAGTTGTACCGATCTGAACGACGCTCGTGTCGTTGACATCTTCAACACCGTGCTTTGGTCCACACACGCGATGCGCATCGTCCCAGCTGTGCAACACGGTGAAGTCGGGGAGCTTGTGCAGGAAAGGCGACATGATACTTCGGAAGACACCCACATTCTCCCAATCGTTGGGCGCCGAAGTAGTGACATTTCCATTGCGGAAGTCCCACTGGTGGAGGAGCCACATATTTGTCTTGCGAGCGTTTTCGATACGACGACGCAAGACGTGGCCTGGGATCTTGCGCAACGGTTCGAGATCCTTTTCGAGCTGCCCGTAATCGTCGATGATGACCGCGTGGTTGTCCTTGGCGAATTTGAACCAATCGTCGAAGCCAGGAGGCGGCTGTCGATTGTACTGCTGCACATAGCGCTTGACGGCCTGGTCGTAGGTCTGAGACTGTCTGGACACCATTGCGTCGAATTTGCGCTGCGCCAGCTGGACATGACACAAGACGGCATCGGCTCCGCCTTCAAGGATGCGAGGACACTGGCGATCCTGATGAGACAATTCTCCTGTCTCTGAAGCCACAGACTTGACTGCTACTGCCGAAGTGGACGCCGACGAGGGTGTCGATGCAAAGAGAGCGTAGGGAACACCGATGATGAGTATCAGGCAAATGATCCTAAAGAGTTTCTTGCGGGACGGATCGCGCATCATCTCTTGGAACCTGCTTCCACCAGCCGAGGCGTACAGGGGGTTGTTGTGGCCACCAAACTCGTCGGAAGGCGTGGTAGAAGCGCGAGTATACCCTTGCGAGCTCCCCGAACCGAAGAGGTCAGATACGCGTTGACGCATCGTCGACCTACCACCGCCGGACATTCGTGCCCACGCGGGCTCCTGCTCGATATGGCTTGGCGAAGGTGGGTAACTCGACATTGAAGCCGTGGCTGACAGACATTCCTTCTCTGAGTCGGCGAGACCGCCCGTGTTGTCTTGATACCTGTGCATGGTGAAGTCGAACAGATCCTATCTCGATGAACGATGTTGGAGCGTGGTGGTGGATCAGCAAGATAGAGGGCGGAGCTCAGTAGGTTGTACCAATCGCGCAGACCAGTCAGGAGAAGAAAGGGTCCAGAGCGGCCAGTGTTCACCACAATCTGCACGTGGCTGGCCTTTCCATGCTGCCGGCGATCCAGTGACCTTCCACTCTCACAGTCCCCGTGCGACAACGCAGTGAGTTACTTCAATGCGATGCGAGAAGGATACTTGCCCGTCTACGAGGCTTCTACAGTAAGTGTACAGTTGTTCGGCACCATGCACGATCTGCCACTCGGCGGTGCTAAATTCGTCTCCATTGTCCTTCACCGAGCTTTAAGACCTCGCGATCGTCCCTCCGACTGTGACCCATTGACCTGCAAGAGCAAACCGAGATTGTACGACAGTCGGACACACCAGCATACGCAGCGCTGCATCCCATGGATTCAATGCGATCAGAAGCGGCCTTGCAGCCGAGTTGCATCGCATTTCCGAAAATGGCCCAATATCAGAAAATTTCAAAAATAGAATAATTAAACACAAATTAAAAAAAGCGTTTTTAATGATTCGTTTCGCGGCCAGACCTGTTCAACACCAACGAAAGGACCCTGAAGAACGATTTTTCTGATTTTCTTTTTTCGTACCAGTTCTTATTCCTCAGATGTCAAGCTTTTCCCGAGTCGGACTGTCAATCCTGTGCCGTGGTACTTTCTTCTCTGTCCGATTTCGGCACTAATTTGTTGCCCTTTTCTCATTTTCAGCTCAATAAATATAAAAATTATTTCCTGCAGCTCGACATGCAAAACGCCGCTGTCATTGGCAAGATTTTCTCCAACTCCGAGCCACGGGACTAGCCCCTGCAGCCGTAGCACAGACGAGACTCTGGGATCTTGGAAGCCACAGTCTTAAAAAGCCACTGCGGGAATCGCCACATCGTTCCAGTCGGGCGGCCGGACCCACTCTGCGGTAGGTCTTGATCCACTTTCGATCCGCCTTGGTTCCATCTCCTCCTGGTAGAGGCTTGTACTTTGCATCCTTTCTGGATATCGACTTTGCCTTGGATCGGGGTTTTTTGAGAACGACTTCGGAGCGAATTGCCGGTGCATTGTCAATCAGGTCTGCTGCAGATGCGTCTCTGGCTTCAGCCGCCGCCGTTTGCGATTGTGTGCTTCTGAGCGCCGTGATGGACGACAACCGCGCTCTCAACTGTGCCATGTTCCAAGGAGCTGGATTGGATGCAGGAGGCCTCTCCACTGAAGGCGGCAGTGCTGGGATGCCTGTCTGAGTGGTCGAGAGCTTCTTGAGGAGACGCCGAATCTTCCATCTCCTGAACGCCGCGACCGGGTCAATATCCTTAAGCAATGCTCTGATACGAATCAAGAGGAAGCTTAGCCTTTCCATCAGGTCTGCATCTTGAGGAAGCCTCTTCTCGCTCGGAAGGTATTTCTCTGGCCGCAAAAGTTGATCAGTAAAGAAGTCGTCATTCGCCTCGACCACACCTTCTTTGAATCCGCGATGTAGCTTCCACTCTATCTCTCCCAACCTTTCCCTTTGGTCAAGCTGAGCCACAAGATGCGACTGCACTCGTTCCATTAACTCATCCTGCAGCTTCTTCGCACTCACCAAGGCCGATCCCGCCTGTGTTCCGGACTCAATCGCGTGTTTAGCGATGGCAATACGTGCCTTCTGAGCATCGACGATAAGGGATCTGGCCGCATCTTGAGCGAGAGCATCGTCTTTCAGCTCCGAGAGCTCGATATGCGCCGCCTTGAGGATCTCTTCGAGCGGATGACTGGTTTGTACACTGACTTGTGTTGGCAAATCGATGGCCAGTACACCCCACCAGAACAGCGTCGTGAGAAGGAGCTTGAGAAGGGTGGCGAGCACTCGCATGGCGACAAGCTCATGCGGTTGCTGTGTCCAGTGAAAATGTGATTGTTATCGTGATTCCGCGGACACCGATAAGGGCATCGCCTTCCTTTGTGACCGATCTTGGACCGAGACACGGTAAGGTGACGATGGAGTTCCTTGTTCGACGAGCAGACGAAACAAGCTTCAGACAGGTAGCTCTCGTGAGTTGAGCTTATGAGCTTGTACGGATGCGTTTCCCAAGACAATGGTGAGGCGAAGGTAACTCAAAAAGCCTTGTTCGCGGGTCGAAGTTTTGATCCGCCCCTGTCGATGATCTGGCATGCGTGTCTACCAGTGCGAGTATGCAGTCAGGTGGGTGACATATTGTGAGAACGGAAACACATGATCGAATAGGCATAAGAACCTCATTTCGGCTGATGTGGGTCGCATAGTCTCGCCTCATAACGAAACATCTGCACCGTATTGCTATCAAGCTTTGTACAAGCCATTCACTGCTAAGGGAAAGCTCCGAGGTCGGGCAGCCCGTGATTACCTGAACCGAAGACCGACCGGTGCAGTTGTCCCACCCTCTAGAGGTTCGCCTGTCGTTACGAGAGGGTTAGAAGATAAGCTTGGAGGGAAATCTTGTTTGCTAAACGCCGTGTGCTCGCATGCTTCACGAAAGGGAGGGCGAGCAGATCTGGTCATGCCGAGAGATGAAGCCAGAAGAACGATGTGCTTCCGATCTCGGACCTTTCGCTTCGACGGAGAGGAAAAGCTCCGAGTGGCGAATGCGGAAGAACAGGGCGAGTACCAAGCGGCGCAAGCAGCAACGACGATAATCCTTGTAAGAGAATCGTCGCTGATATCGTTGCCTATTTAGGCGATATCTCAGGGACGATGAAAGGGGAAACAACGGACTTTCTTACAGCGTCGTATCGAAGACTTGCCTAAGCTGGCCCTGAAGACCATTTCTCGAGCCCTCTGAGCTGGCGACCTAATTCTTTCGCAGCCTTGACCACACCATGAACAGAAAGTTGCTCGACAGAGCGGTCGCGCTCGCGGTGATCGTACTGTTCTCATTCAGCATCTGCATCCTCAGCTTACCCGTCCGAACCGGCTCTTCTCCACCTCGACCAGCTCGACTGACCGTCTCTTCACCTCTCTCTGTGGACCAGCTGTCGACGGAAGAGCTGTTCAAAGCACTCCTCGTCCACGACTCCCTCCTCCACACCTCCCAAGCCACCACACCTCCCACCACCCCCCACGTCACCGGTCTACTCAGTCCTGGCTCCTCCACCCCCCGGCCCGGATGGTCGTACTACAAGCTGCCCGCATTCCTCGACTACCCCATCCTCTCCCCACGCTCCCACCTCGTCACGTTCGACTCGTCGAAACCCGCGGTACTCCTACCGCTGGATCCGCACGAAACCTTTTCCTGGATCAAGTCCTTCACCTTCAACAGATTCTACTCTCGACTCGACTCGAACCACGCTCTGACGGTCAAGCAGACGGGATCGGAACCAAGCTGGTTGGATCGAGTGCAGAGTTCGACCAAAAGAGCGACGCTGCAGCAGGTGGCCAAGGAAGGGTTGAGGGCGAAGATCAAGGCGGCGGAGTGGGCAGAGTCGATCAAGAGGGAAGGGGGAAGAGGGGATGGATGGTGGGATGGGGAGATGGTGGGGAGGTCGTTGGAGAGGACGTGGTCGATGTGGTTGCGAGGTTTGAGCGAGGCTTCTGGGTACGATTACATTCCGGTGGAGCAGATCACGAGCAAGATTCAGCGTTAGACGAGTCGCCTCAAGTAGACGTTTCTCTGCCTATCAACCTTGCAACCCAAGTCATTTCTCGCTATGTGAGCTGCTGTTTATCTGTGCGCAGAATTGCAAACCACACATTTTCTTATGCTGACAATGTCGTGCGCTCACCAACCCCAACCAGGTCTCTGGAACCCGTTGACGATCTTACCCTCCGTCCTCACAACGCCACCGGTGCCGATAGCCCTGACCCTCTTCCTCGCCAGCTCCACCCTCTCGGTCTCCTTCTCCGCATACGTCTTTCCGTACCTCAGTACGACGCTCAACCTAGCCTGCGGATGATGTTTCCTCCCCATCCTCGCCCTACCCTTGATATCCGTCCTGGTCAGATACAACCCTTTCCCGACCCACGCTTCGCTGACCACCAACCTCGGCACCTCCATCCCTTTTGCCGCCGCATGATCCCTCGCCAACGCCAACGTGCTCAACACCCTCTTAGCCGCGCGTTTGGGCGAAAACTGCATCTGCAGAATGGCGTAATCGATGGGTTGTCCGCTGATCTGGTTCGCCAACAGCTGCAGTTTCCGCGGCGAGATTTTGAACGCTGCTGTCGAGTACTTGTGTTCCAAGGCAGCGCCGGTGGAGGGATCTTTGGCGTTGAAGCGTTTTCGCAGTTGACGAGCCTCGGTTTTGGCCGAGAGACGCTGTTGCCTTCGTTCGACCTGCTGGGATAGCGGTAGTGATTCTACGTCGTCGAAGAGAGGCATGCCGTCGGGGGAGACGGAGGCCATGGCGGAATCGCGTCGACGTTCGTATTCGAGTTTGGTCTGATCTTCGGGTAGGATGCCTCCTCGCTCTCTGGTTTTGGTGTAGTTGGAGCCGAGAGCCACTTTGGCGAGTCGACCAGAGATGTCGGACAGGAAGGAGGTGCGTGGGGCGGAGGAGGAGATGCTGTTGTAGCAGAGGAATATTGGGGGAAAGTCAGTGGCTGCAAGGATGTGGATGCGATACGAGACATGTGAGGTGGAATAACTTACGATCGCTGCGAAAGAGCAGGAGAAGCAAGAGTCGAGGTAGAAGGCCTGGCGGTTCGAGTCGATGCTGACGTGCGCAAGAGGTGTCTCGCCGCACGACCGGCGGTATTTGATGCGGACATGGTGTGCAATGCGTCGATGATGGTGGTGGCAGGATACTCTGATGATGACGACGAAGGTCGAAAGGCGAGAAAAAGCCATTCGGAAGAATCCGACACTTCTTCTCACAATCACAAAATTGGCAGCGTCACGTGCATGCCGAATCGGCGATCTCTTCTCTTGTGTGTCCTGACGAGGTGTAACATTTTCAAGTCCTCGGTGCGACAATGGCTGCAGGGTCCAACTTGCATTACCTCGCACAGCCCCGCTCCTTGTCGCTGCCAAGCATCAATCCACCGCCTTCCACATTTCCATCTTGCCATCTTGCCAGCTACGTTCATCCCATTCATCTGATTACGGCACTTGCTTGCTCAACAAGCACCACAACCATGGGCTCGTGTCTCTCCACATCCAAGTTCTCCGGCGAAGGACGAACGCTCGCCGAACCACCTTCTTCCACCATCGTCAATCAGGGCGGCGGAGGCGGCCAGCGTCTCGGATCCGCTACCTCTTCCTCCGCTGCTGCTGCACCACCATCACACAACTCCATCCCAGCATCATCAAGTGGTGGTGCAGCAGCGAGCACATCAGCAGCAGATCGAGAAGCTAGAGCGTTAGCTGCAGAGAGAAGGATCAACGCACAGGCCAACAAAGGCGCCCCATCGCAAGGCAAGTTGAGTCAACAGCTCAACAGTCAAAAGGCCTCAAATCCGTTGTCCTCAAAGGATGATGAGCCGCAGAGAGTCGTCGTAAGTTTCTCTCCCCCATGAAACGCCATCAAAGATCGCAGTGAAGTCCTGAACTGACATTCTTTCGTAATGCAAATCTCTCAACAGTGGGACTGATCCCTTCCGAGGCAACCAACCAACATACCCCCCCTCACGAACCACGATACCGATCTTCATCCCAACACCCAAAGATGATTGCAAAGAAGTCAAGCTGTATATTCAGATGCCGCGTCATAGAGGATTGGAAATGCTATAGGGGACAAAATGATGCAAATGTGTGCGGAGATCGGGTTGTTATGCAAGAGAAGATGGTCAAAGAAGAGATTCTATATGCTGGATGCGACCGGAAAATCGCCGACGTTATTCAAGTGAGGTCGTTGCCAAGAGCGTAAAGCAATGCAGGGGAATGTGTAACAGGAGGGAGAAAGAAGAAAGAGCAAAGGTCCGTGACCATGTATATGCTGTTGGAAGCTCGTTACGTCGTCATCAGAAGCTGAACAATCCACCACCGTTCCTCATCTTTCTACCACCCAGCAGGTAGGACAGCACCGTGGCTGCAAACAGTCCCACCGTCAAGCCCAACGCCACCTCCACCAAGCTCTGCGCCACCGTGAAGCCTGACGCAAACGCCGACGACGAATCCGACTGGTTCGCAAAATTCAACAATCCGCCTCCATTGCTCAACCCAGAAGGCAGCTGGTACAGGATGCCCGGAACCGAGACCACAAAGCTTCGACCGTCGAACATCCTTCCGTACAGGTTGGCCATCAAACCCACGGCCAGGGATCCCAACGCAGCCGTGACATCCTGTCGCCTCGACAGCGCCGTAGCTTTGGCCGCAAAGTGGTTGCACGCCCAGCCGCCGCAGGCGATGAGCACCATCACGGGGAACTCCTTGCGCGTTACCTTGGCTTGGTTGCGCAGAGACAGGCTCATCGAGTAGGCCGGAGCGGTGAGGACTGCAGTCACCTCCGGGACGTCTCTCTGCCACCATCTGTTCGAATCATGCGCCAAGTCGCAGTTTTTGTATCCCACCAAGTCCTGGTTGCCCGAAAAGAGCTGCCAGAACGAAACGCCGATCGAAATGCCGAAGCCCAAGAACAGCGAGTAGATGATGGCGTACACCAGCCGCACCGATCCTGCGATCAGGTTCTTGGACTGCAGCTCCAACGAACCGCTGAGCACAATAAATCCAGGCAGGATGAGCACGATCGACCCCGACGTCACGGCGGCGTAGCAAAAGTAGCCCGTGCTCTGCACCGCAGCCGCGACAAACGAGTTGAGCGTGGCAAACACAATCTCGAACACGTTGCTGTACAGCTCGGTGGTGATGATCGACTGGCAGTACACCAGGAACGCTCCCAGCGGGAATGCCATGACCGCATCGATAAAGCTGCCGTTGAAGCCCTGTGGACCGAGACAGATGAAAAATGAGGCGAACCCACCGATCAACACCATGGGCCAGCGTCCGATCAACGGCTTGCGCCTCATCAGCTCGTCCAACTGCGACGACGCCTCCTCGACGCCGATCTTGTCGTGGATGACGTTCCAGTAGATGGTGTGCATATCCGTCAGCTTGGTCAAGTCGAGCCCCGAAGTCTGCTTGATAAACTTGGTCTCGGAGGTGTGCGTAGTGTCGTCGCCGAACGCCAACAGCATCAAGTTGGGCAAGTAGATGCATCGGCAATTGATGTCCAACACCCGACCTGTCTGTTGGATTTGCGTCTCGATACGATGTGTAGGTGCGCCAAACATCATTAGGGCACGCGCGAGCTTCATGATGAACTGCTGTCGCTGCAAGATGGCGGCTACGTGCATGGTGATGAAGATCTCTTCCTTGCGTTTCTTATCCTTGGCACGCTTCTTGAGCTTGCGCTGCCACTCCTGCTTGTGGTAGTCGGAATGCAACTTTTCCGCTTCAGGGCCAAAGTAGTCGGGACCGAGGCCCGAGTTGATGTCCGGTGTATTGAGGTTGGAGTGTGTGAATGCGCGCGTCACCGCGCCGGGCAGCGTGAGATGCGGGTGACGCTTGCGAGGGCCGCTGCCGTCGACGGAGCTGCCGCCTGTCATGGTGCGCGAGGGGAAGTGCATGATGGAGCTCGGACGCTTCTTGTGCGGAGTGGCGTAGCCAGAGGCGGGAGGCGAGTTGGCCTGCGTCGAGCTGTCGCGACGCTCGCCGTCTGGACTGGTGGGCAACGAGTGCGATCGTGAAGCCAGCGGCGATCCAAAGTTGCTCGGTCGGTAAGGCGCAGGCGCGGCGTCGGCAACGATCTGCGCGGTACGCTTGAGCGTCTTGGCCGTCATCTCGGGCAAGAGGTAGCGATCGAGCGAGAAGCCGGGACGCTTGGGGTTGGGACCGAGCTGGGCGTGCTGCGGTGACACGGCGCCGATCAGATTGCCCGTAGTAGCGACGAGCGCACCAAAGACACCGGCGTCGCTCCTCGCTGCTTTGGGTCGTTCGTCGAGCGCGCTTTCGATACCAGTCTCGTTGGCGACGCCTCGAACGACTTTGGTGGAGGTGTTGAACGCAACGTTGCCGACTTTGGCGAAGGTCTGGGTCAACTTGGGACTGGGCAAGCTGATGGATTGGAACGACATGCCGCGGCGCTTTTCGTACCTGTCCAGCTTACTCTGGAACCCGGGCGACTCCATCTTGGCCTGAACGTGTTCGGGAGTCTCGCTGATCAAGGGCCGGCCGGATGTATCCAGGTTGTACTCGCTGGTGCTGGCGATCGAGCTGGTGGCTGCGCTCTTTGCTTCGCGCTGCTGCTGTTCGTAGAGGCGGAGCAGATTGCCGAGCACACCGCCAGACATTACAGGACGAGCGTCGAGGTTCATGGTGGTTTCCATTGCATCTGGAGTGGATGCACCAGTGTCGGGAAGGTGGGAGCGACCGATGCGATCGAGCGCTTCCTGTCGCTGCTGATTGAGCTTGTGCTGACGGACGAGCCGAACGGCTTCGCGTTCGAACTTGCTGGGTCTGCGTCGTGGACCGTCGCTCGTGTGTAGCCCGCTGGAAGTCTCGACGGGTACCGACTTCCAGTTGGTAGGTCCGCCTTGTTCGTGCGATGTTCCTTGTTTGCTCTCGGCCGTCTGTTCGATCTCTCCCTTTTCTTCTTTGTCTTCCTCGTCGGCAGGAGGCTTGCCAAAGATACCACGAAGCTTGGCCCAGCCTTTTGGTTGTTGCTCTGCCTCTGGTTCGTCTTTGCGCTTCTTGAGCCGAGTTGGCATTCCATCAGTTTCACCTGGTACAAAGTCAATGTGTTCTAGGTCCGAGTCATTGGCAGGATCGTAGCTGCTCTCGCTGGTGGCAGAGCCAGGAGTGGTGACACCGCTCAGGTCGCCAAAGCCGCCGGGAGTCTCTGGACCCGCGCCGGCCAGGACGCGCTGTCGTCGCCTCCTCTCCTCACGATCACGTTCACGATCGGCAAAGACTTGGGCGAGACGGTCCCTCCCCGCACGATCCTCGTAACCTTCAGCCTCTTGCAAGCTGAGGTGACTGGCGCCATCTTCGCTGCGGGCCTCGTGGCGTTGAAGTTCGCGCTGAAGCTCGAGGAAAGCGCGATTGTCGAGACCCTGCTCATCAAGACCCTTGGCGCCTGTCAAAGAAAGCGACGGAATTTGAGCAGCTGGACCCGCTGGAGCTTTGGTAGCGGCCGCTGCGGCGGCCGAGGTCTCTGCACGAGGGGGAGCGAAGAGAGAGCCATCTTCGTTCTGTGGCGTGAGACGTTCTGCGATGTTGAGCGGCCCCGGGTGGTGATTTCGGCGGACGGATCCAAGGCTCAGCGCGTTTCCCCTTTCGGATGGAGCGGGAGCGGCGCCGCCTCGCACGGTGACTGTGGGACCGGCCAAGGCACCTCCAGAGCGGATCTGAAGCTGACCGCCTCGACGAATGCTGGCGGCGTTGGAGGTGCCGTCCCAATGTACGCGACCAGCACGACGCGAGGCAGTCGTCGTGGGGGCAGGTGCACCGGCAGTGTTGCTAGGAATGGCGGTGGAGGTCGAGGCGTTGGATGGAGCAGGCTCTTCAGCGGCATCGGTCGAGCTGTTGAGCGTGTCGTCGCCGTCGGTGTCGTGAACGAGGATTTGTGGCTCTTGTGGATGTGATGATGTGGCGGTGTGATGTTCGTTTTCGTTGGAGCCGGTGGGCAGCGTAGAGGAGCCGGCTGTGGAAGAAGACGACATGGTTAGGTCTTGGTCGTTGCCCTGAGCGTGACCAGTATGTGTGTCTGACATGATTGCGATGATGTTGCCAGGGTCGAATCAGCTTGTTGCATAGGATGTAGCCATGCGATCGAGCCGACAGCGCGTGGTGTCACTGCGGGAGAGGCAGAGCAGCCGATATTGGCGGACGGAGCTGAGCCCGAGACTGACTGATCGAAGTGGTCGATGGTCGGAACAGCCGGTGTCGTTGACAAAATGGTCGGATGTTCCGAATGCGGCAGGAAGCGGTGTCTTGTGGTGTATCAGAGACCGAACAGGCGTGAGGCAGGAGTGTGTGTGGGGGCGGTGATGGGTGTCGATCGTGTTGCGAGGCGCCGCAGTGGATCTATCAGCAAAGGATGGAATGATGTGGGTGTGATGGTCAGGAAGATGCGGATGGCAGTAGAGGTACAAAACTCAATCCACCACCACTTTCACCAAATTCTCCGAGAGAGTGAGGATGGTTGTGCGCAAGCGAGGGCGAGTGAACAGGGAGCCACCTCTTGTCGCGACTTGCTGTGCCGTCCATCGGGTTGGTTCGAAATCTGCAACCTCTTGTGTCATTCACAATCACACACACACACGGACTTGAGCCGAAGTAAGGCGATCCCCCTTTTACGTCAAAAAGAAGAACGAGGACGCGCAGCTGCACCCCGCCAGTCTGTTATCACTGGTAACTTGGATTGAGTTTGAGCGAAAATCATAGTTCGACAGCGTTCATTTCTTGCCGAACCGCTCTCTTCTTTCTTCGGCTCAGCTGGGTAGCACCGATTCACGGTGGAGGCTCCGACGGGTGTGGTTCGGCGACGCCAAGATCCGGCAAGAAGCTCTAGGAGCAATCTGCTGGCAGTGGCCGCCCACAACATGTGCAAAGTGACCGCATCCTCGACACAGCACCGCTTTTGTGACAGCTCGGCATCCGCATGATGCTCCGTCATGTGCCTGAGGACGAATTTCACAATTTTTTGGCCCTTCACGCGGCTGCGAGCTGCACGAATGACAACGGCGACTTGAAAAGCGGCATGCACCTCTCAACCACACTGTGAAAAAGCCGCGCTGCACACTGTTCAATCCCACTTCTTCGCTGATGATCCGGCATGGCTTGCGATAAAGCTAGCCACCTCGATGTGGATAGACTGGCAAAGGCAGGGGGGAAGGGTGCTGCACCAGGCGTGAAAATGGCTTTGCGGCCAAGCATATGGACACGAAGCGGCGTGGTGACTTCATCGTGGCACGCGGAAGCAAAGTACCGGGCATCAAGGGATCGCCCACAGTGTGCCTGTGTGACACGCTTCTGCAGATCTCCCTGGAAAGCAAATAAAGCTCGGCGAATAAATTTCGAGGCGCATTCCCATCCGGACATCCTCCACCTCTCGTGTCATCGAGCCGATCCAACATATTTTCACGTCGATTCCCGATCTCACGTCCTGATAGCTCATGGTGGCATCTCGAAGCTCTAACGAGGGCGCTGACAGTGGAAGGTCACAATCGCAATCTGATGGACATTCACAGTAAAAATTCGAGTGTACATCCCATTGGTGATATCACCTCAAATCGACAGCTTGCGAAACCAACGCTGGCATGGAGAAAGAAAACCCTTAAGTACACGAAACACTACCAACTGCCGGACATTTATAATGCTCTGCTACTAACATTGACTAGGACTACGACACCAACGGATCAACCGGACCACTGGATGGAGGAGATATCGATGCCCTCTTGCACCATCTCCCAGAGCGGGCTCATGTCGCGCAGCTTGTTGACGACCTTGATGATCTTGTCAGCAACATAGTCGACCTCCTCTTCGGTTGTAAATCGGCCGATGCCGAATCGCAGCGACGAGTGCGCATTCTCGTCGTCCAGACCAAGCGCACGCAGCACGTACGAGGGCTCGAGCGACGCCGAAGTGCACGCGGAACCGGACGAGAGGCAGATGTCCTTGAGCGCCATGAGCAGCGATTCACCTTCGACGTACTGGAAGGTGAGGTTCAAGCAGCCCGGGTATCCGTTCTGGTCGCCGTTGAAAAGCACGTGGGTGATGTTGGCCTCGAGCGTGTTGCGCAGACGCTCCGAGAGCTTGGCGATGTGTGCATGGTCGTAGGCGATCTCTTGCTTGGCGAGGCGAGCGGCCTCGCCGAATCCGGCAATGAGCTGTGGGGCGAGCGTGCCCGAACGAAGACCACGTTCCTGGCCACCACCGTTGATGATTGGCTCGAGACGCACGCGCGGACGACGCCGGATGTAGCATGCACCGATACCCATGGGACCGTACAGCTTGTGGCTAGACAAGCTCATGAGGTCGATGCCGAGCTCGTTCACGTCGAGCGGAATCTTACCGGCAGCCTGTGCAGCGTCGGTGTGGAAGAAGGGCTTGGAAGCACCACGACCGCCTTGCTTGGAGAGCTCGGCGCCCTTGGTCTTGAGAAGGTGACCGATCTCCTTGATGGGCTGGATGACGCCGATCTCGTTGTTGACCGTCATGATGGAGACGAGCGCGGTGGTGGGTCGAAGTGCGTCCTCAAGCTGCTTGAGATCGATGAGACCGTTGGACTGGACGGGCAGGTAGGTGACCTCGAAGCCTTCCTCCTGCAGTCGACGGCACGAGTCGAGCACACACTTGTGCTCCGTCTGTGTGGTGATGATGTGGTTTTTCTTGGACTTGTAAAAGTGAGCGACTCCCTTGATGGCCATGTTGTTGGACTCGGTGGCGCCGGAGGTGAAGATGATTTCCTTGGGGTCTGCGCCGATGAGGCTGGCAATGTGTTCACGGCCCTCCTCGACACCCTTCTCGGACTCCCAACCGTAGGCGTGTGTTCTGGAATGTGGGTTTCCGTATTGGTTGGTCATGTAAGGCATCATCTTGTCGACAACACGGGGGTCGACGGGAGTGGTAGACTGTGCATCGAGGTAGATGGGACGGTTGGCGGTGGCGTGCTTGGGAGCAGACGAGATGATATCGTTGAGCAGGTCCTTGCCTGAGCCCTGCTTGCTTCCCACGCCGGCGCGGATGCCAGGTTGGGCTACCTCGATGGGTGTAGCCATGGCGGCGGGAGATGAGGGTGAAGCATAGCCTCGATACTGGACTCGCGGCGAAGACGAGCCAGATGCGGATGTGGATGAAGAGGCTACCGCCTTGATGTTGGTCGAGATGGTACGAGCCTGGACGGCATCCTGTCGTGTGAGGGCACGAAGCGCCAGCCTGGAAGGCGTCGAGGATCGAAGCGAGCTAGCCATGTTGAACAAGCGTGTGAAGGTCGTGGCAGAAACAGGGAGGTTGCGACCACGGGTGAGAATGGGCAATGGTGGTGGGGTTGAGGAGGATGCCAATCAAGTGCATCTGTGTACACATCAGTGCGCAGTGGCAGCAGCAGCGACCCTTTCTTCCCTCTCTCGGACAATGAATCAGAGCTGCGCTTTTTTTTCGCCACGCCGAAGCGGCTTTTGGCTATTGCCTTGCTTGATCCCGCTCAGCCACCGACTGACTGAGGCTCGTGTGCCAGAGACAATAGGCGCGCGCCAGCCGCTTTGCTGAGCAATTTCCCTCTGTAAAGGCGAAATCGCCCGAGAGACCGACAACCGCCGCGGAAAGAGACGCTTTATTGATGATCCTCGTTGTTACACCATGGTAGATGACATGATAGGATGGAAAAAAGTCGTACGAGTTTAGGGTTGGAAATTCGCAGAGAGCGGTTGGACCGCCGTGTCGCAGCGACGGAGCGGATCCGAAAAGGGTTGCGGAATGGCGCCTGGAAATCGGCAGTGTCGCATCGCTTTGATACTGAAATGTGTCAATCAACGCTCTTCGTATCTTGTGATCACCACCAAGACCCCTTCATCATCGCACGTCCCCGGTCGCATCGGCTTGCAACAACAATGATCGCTACACAACAGGCCGCCGTGGTCGTCGCACGCCGCGCACTCCACACCAGCACCGCTGCTCGATCATCTGCTGGCTTCTTTGTTCGTCCCGTCAACGCTCCCACCTCGTCCAACTCGTCCTCCGCACCGCAGCCCAGGCCGGTGCGTCCAGTAGCACAGGTGCACACTCCCGAACACGTCCCTGCCGAACAGGCGCCCAACTTCCCCACAACATGGTCCGAGAGCCAGAACCCAAGGCAAAACGCCATGAAGGGCCCACGCTTCGAACAGCTCGACATGCGATTCCAGCCCCAACCGCTCGCAGCGATCGAAATGATTCAGAGGGAACCTATCCGCCTGTCTAGCAAGCGCATTGCTGCATGCGATGGCGGTGGAGGTCCTCTCGGTCACCCCAAAGTGTTTATCAACCTCGACAAGCCTGGTCCCAAGGCATGCCCGTACTGGTAAGTGCCTCTTGTTTTTTCGCCTTTCGATTGATTTCGCTTGGCTTCCAGCTGACATCGAGCTACGCCTCCACCATTGCGCCTCCTCACGAACAGTGGCATCCGATTCGAGCTCGACCATGCCGCCCACCACTAGATGACTCAGGTAGAGAAAGCAATTTCAGTCGGTTCCTCGTAGTGATTGCTGTTCGAATTGGACATGCTCGTGGCAGAAGGGTGTGGACCAAAGCAAGTCAAGTCGGTCGCAGTGCAACATGGCCGACGACGAGGCCAGCGTCACTCGCCGGTTTTCGCTGCTGTGCAACAAGTGCTCGCGAGCGGCATCGCGAACCTGTCTGAGGCAGATCGGAAACGGGTCGGGACGGTAAGGTGATACTGAGGGATGGCATGCCGTATATTGAGAGATGTCGTCTCTGAGCCGCACCGCCATCCGGTCTTGGAATGACAACAAGATTGATGCACAGGCTGCGTTTCTGACTCTCCAGGCGCTCGCATTGTCTTTGCCGTTCGACACAAAAGCTTGTTGAAGATCTTGATCGAACAGACCATGTCTTTCAACCTTGAATACGTCGCCCATCCACACTCGCTGCTCTGACTCAGTCCGATCAGAGCCTGCTCTGGTCGACGATCGGCACTTCCGTGTGTCGTTGTATGACACTCTGATGACATGTCAAGGTCATGCTGAGACCAATCATGCATGGTTGCGTCCGTTGTCGCTCCACCCGATTGCGTTTTTGCAGGAATGTCAGATCGGCAGATGCTGTAGTTCGTCTTGACCGACTTTGGCCATGGCATGCCAAGCTCTGCCTTGGCCTCACAGCTTGTCACCGAAAAACTCATCGTGGCGCATACAAGCTCAGCTTGACCGATCGAATCGAGTCGAGATGCTTCGCTCGGAACGGACCACTAGTACTGAACGATATCCAGGGAAACTTTCTTTCGCATTCAAAAGAGCCGACGATCCTCATCTTGGAAATCAGACCAACGCTTTGCGAGTTTTTGGAACAAGTTGGGACCGCTTCTGAAGCCCGTTGCAACGCCATCTGTCCATCACTCGGACTCGATCGATCGGCAGTCGTTTCACAGCCATGGCGATCCTCTGATCAAACCATGTCGTGTTACCTTGGCGTGATCACCAGCGGAGTCGAGTGTTCTTCCGCGGGAAGGATTTAAAGTTCAAACGGCTGCACCTCTTCCGAGTGGCCACGACGATAGCAAGGCGACTACGGAAGGAAGCTATAGCAGTAGTCTGCAGTGTGATATGATATCTAAGCGAACATGGTGTATGCGAACGACGACAACTGCCAAAAGGACGCTAAAAGTCTTGGCTCTGTTCGCATTGCTGTCTTCCGCGCGCACCAAAATCGAGCGATCCGAAGCGCCAAGACTCGCTTGCCGCTCGAGTCCAACAGTGCAGCCTCGCATCGGTCGCATAAACCTTCCTTTCGCCTCAACGGCTCCATTCGTTGCATCCGACGGTGACTCTTTTGTTCTGACAGCGCTTTGCATAATCTCTGTCACCTTGTCGTCCAACGGCGGCTGTCCACCTTCTTTTTTGGGCCAATGGTGCGACCACCTGCCACATTCAGCCTTCAGCCTCCTCGAGTCCGAGACCCTTGATCTGCTTTACGTACTGGCACTTGTCTCGCCTGTCAAGGTGTCGAGCGACATCCGTTGCGCCGCTGCGTCCCCAGAACCCTATCTTTGCCCCCCTCCCTTCTCCTTTCCCCCGCTCTGATCCTCTGCAGCTTCTTTCTCACAACGTCGTTGTCGGCGTCGGCTGACCCGCGCTCATGGCATTGACGCCTCTGCAGCCTTTTTTGCCACGCTCGTTAGGCGAGATGATGCGGAACCTCGTCTTCCGTGAGGATATCGGTCGACCATGTACTCGCCTCGACCTGGATCCCCGCCTCGTTTGCCTTTGACCCTGATTCACCAAAGTCGTCCGTGCCCGTCAATTGCCCACCTTCGCTTGGCTTCTGGCTCAACTTCCGACCATCCGCCAGCTTCTCTCGGTCGTCTCCGAGGTCGTCCTCTATTGTAAGCCACTATGGCGACGTTGATCTCGTCGGATGTCGGGTTGAACGACTCGGCGAACACGGCGAGATGCATAATGTGCAGATGTACTCTTCCAGCCGAGGTTGCGATCTCTCGTCCTTCCAAGTCTTCGTCCCTATTCAAACCGGTGTCTGTTTGTATGCTCATCCGTGTGCAGACGGAACAGCCCTCTCCGACATCTGCATCTCCATTCAGCCTAGCCATATCGTGCAGTATATGACGCGAAGCAGTGACACAGATAAGCATGAAAAGCGCGCTAGTGATTGTCTTTCGTTGTGCAACCTGGTACCAGAATTCCGAGCGAGAGCAAGAGACAGCGCGCACGAAACGACGGTATTGCCGAGCTCTTCTTCCCTTTGTGGCTGGCGCAAGCGAGTGTCCAAGGCGGAAGGTGGACGCTCGTACGTTGCGGCGCCATGTGATCCGTCCTTGAACCCCCTAATCTGGCTTCTGACTCGCGTACAGGCGGCGCATACCGCCTCGTGTCTCAACTATTCAGAAGCAGAGACAACGTGTGTCGGCAGACATCAACCCTGCTCGACCGGTGAAACATTCCTGCATCCGTGTAGCCGCCACTCCGAGGATATAAGAGCTTCATGATCTCTCCTCCTCAATCGTGATCTTTTCATCCTCACAGCATCAATTATTCTCTCCATCTCCTAAACCCATCCGGAACTAGACATCCTAGGACCCCCCTACCCTACCCCCTATACAACCCACAAGATGCAGTTCAAGTCCTTGGCCCTCTTCATCGGTGCTTCGCTCGCCATTGCCGCACCTGCTGCGCTCGCAGCACCCTCGGCGCGAATCTGCGGTAACGATCAGGTCGCTTCCGCCGCGATCGAGCAGGCACTCGGTCTCAAGCTCGCCTCTGCTCGCAGCGACAACACCAAGAGCGCCGCCGGCACCAGTTCTGCCGCCTTCACCGCCACACGAATCCCCATCTACTTTCACGTCATCACCGACGGCACCAACGGCAAGCTCAGCTCCACCAACATCAACAACCAGATCTCGGTCATGAACTCGGCCTACTCCGGAACCGGCCTTTCGTTCTACCTCGCCGGAAGCGAGACCACGACCAACTCGAACTGGTTCAACAACGTCAACCAGGGCACCACCGCCGAGAGGCAGATGAAGAGCGCACTTCGCAAGGGTGGTGCCAACGCCCTCAACGTCTACACTGTCAACTTTTCCGGTGGCCTGCTTGGATACGCAACCTTCCCATGGAGCTACAACTCGAACCCAAGCAACGACGGCGTCGTCATGCAGTGGTCATCCTACCCCGGTGGTCCCATCACCAACTACAACGGTGGCAAGACGCTCGTCCACGAGGCAGGACACTGGGTCGGCCTCTACCACGTCTTCCAAGGCGGTTGCTCCGGTAGCGGCGACTACGTCGACGACACTCCTCCTCAGTCGACCGCTACGAGCGGCTGCCCCGCCAACCAGGACTCTTGCTCCGGTGGAGGCCCCGACAGCATCCACTCGTACATGGACTACTCGTACGACGACTGCTTGACCGAGTTCACCAGCGGTCAGATCGCCAGGTTGCAGGCGGCTATGGACTCGTACCGTTTGTAAAGCGATTCTCAAAAAGAAACTTAGGCAGCCCTAAGTACGGTCCCGTACTGGAATAGATCTGTCCGGCGAGCTGTTGTTGCTCGGGACAGAACAATCCTTTCCCCGTCTTTGATTTCATCGTGCACACTCGGCACCTTCTCTCTTCTTTTCGATTTCAGTGTTCCGCCGCAATGCAATGGATTTCTGCTCTGCTTACCGTCACAGACCGAGCCTGCCAGACTGTCGCCGAAACGGCTGGTCAAATTGTACAACACTGTGCGTGAATGAAGTTTAGCAGCTCACACTTTGCATTTCAATGAGGGCGAGCCTTTTTATCGATCTCTATCCCTATTTCCCTCCTACTATGATCCTCCTACCTCCAGTATCACCCTCTAAGGCTTCCAGTCGTACTTGGGCGTCCAACCCAACAGTTTCTTGGCCTTTTCGTTCGACAACAACGTCACGTTCGGGTTGTCGTTGAGTGGCGAATACTCGACACCGGGGAAAACCTCTTGCACCAGGTCCTTGGAGCTCTTCTTCATGACCGTGTTGTTGTTGGCGATCAAAAACGCGTGGTGTCCCTTCAACCTGCTCTCGACGGCCAACTTGATCGCCTCTGCACCGTCGCGCGCGTCGATGTAACCCCAGCAGTTCCAGTACCTCTTGCGGGCGTCGTCCTGCCATCCTGCGAAGGTGGCGTACTCCTCCTCGAGCATGACGTTGCTGAATCGCATGCTGATGATCTTGGCCTCGCCACCGGTGGGAGTTCGGTGCGTCTGTTGGGACCACCTCACGTACTGTTCCGCCAGCGTCTCCCCGACCAACTTGCTCAAAGAGTATGCGCTCTCCGGCAACAACGGCGACTCCTCCGTAATCGGCAACTTGGCAGGCTTGATATCCAGTGGGATTCCGATCAACGTTTCACTGCTAGCCATGACGATGTTGGTGATTCCCAGCTTCCTACACGCTTCGAGGACGTTGTAGGTGGAAGCGACGTTGGTGTTGAACTGCTTACTCGAACTGCTCTGACCCGGGCTAGGCATGGCAGCCAGATGAACGACCGCTTGGATGGACTTGTACGCCATATCGATCTCCATCATCGCCTCCAGCACCTGACCCATATCGGTCAGATCCACCTCGACCAAGCGGTAGGCTCCCTGCAACCCGGTCTTGCCATCTTCCGAGGCGGTCTTGGGTCGAACTCGATCGAAGTTGATGACCTCGTAGCCAGAGGAGGAGAGGTGGGCGACGGTGGCGCGACCGAGTTTGCCGGAACCGCCGGTGACGACGACGCGCGGTTTGACGGGTCGGGCGGTCTCGCCGAGCGTGAGGGGGGTATTTGTGCTTGTCATTGTAAATCTGGGTTGTGGTTTGGTGTTGAGGGTTCAGACGAAGTGTTGGTGGTGTTGCTTCTTATACAATTTCTCATTCGACCGCGTCCTACCGACAAAGTCATTCTCCCGCCACTCACTGTCTGTGACGCATGCACGGCCCCGCACATCCTCTCTCCTCTTCCGCCGCCAAACCCCGCTCCCATCACCACCCCCCGGCATTCACGGCAAATCCTTTTTCCATAACATCCCCGCTCCACACAGTTCCAAAGTCGCCGGTCTCTCCACTTCTGCGATTTCACGCGTGTTCACGTCAGACACCGCCAACCCATTGCATTACCGTATGTCTTCAAACACCGAATTTCAATTTCTTCTCTCTGTCTGTTTCGAGCATGAAATTGCGGTCAAGAAATTCTCCTCCCAATCCCTGATCAATCAACGCATTCGTCCCGATCGATCTAACTTCGACACCTACCCTCTGGCCCGCATCGTGTGGACAAGCCTCCAAGCTCACCTTCGCAACACCTCAACATCCCACCCAATCACAACCACCCTTATCCGCTCAAACACATTACGATCACAGGTTTGCAAAAAGTGAACAGCATTAGAGAAGGCGACCCGAGGGAAGGGGAATCGTACAACGAGTGAGGTGAAAGAACGACATATCAGAACAAATTGGTAAGCGAAACGTCTATTGGTCCGTGTCCATGGGTCGGTCCTGGTTCACGGCCACCGCATCACCCGACAGCTCTGGGGCGATCACCGGTTCCGGAGCCGCAGCAGCGGGTGCCTCTGCGGGCGTGGGTGCAGGCTCGACGATGCCTCCAGTCTGAGGCGCGGAGGACTCAGCAGAAACAGGCGCAGGAGGAGGCGGTTGCACACCACCTTCGGCGCTGCCCTCGGCAGCATCATCGCCACCAGCAATCACGCTGCTGCTCAGCGACGATGGCACACGGGGCGGCTTGGAGGGCGTGTTCCACGCCTCGTCCCTGTTCACCTTCAAAGGCGTACCGTTGAGCGACTTGGACGATGCCGAAGGCGTCAGCCCTGCAGCCGCCGCTGCCTCGGCGCTCTTGGTGGAAGCACGCAGCTCCTCGAGGCTCACCAAGCTCACCGGAGGAGGCACCTGGCTGGGCGACGGCTCCTCACCACCTTCCTGCTGCATGCGTTTGCGCACCAGCTTGGCAAAGTGCAGACCGCACGCGTTGCACAGCGTGCGTGCGCCGTCGGGACCACGTCGCCATTCGGGCGTCTCGGTGGTACCGCACGCTTGGCACGAGCCAGGCGCAGGTGCACGGCTGCGCTTCTTGTACTGCGGGCCCTTCTGGTCGCTGTCAAAGCCGGGCGAGGGGAACGACGTGGGCATCGATCCGTCCGGGTACACTCGCAACCCCGAGTTGGGCGTGTAGGGTGTCATCGGCAGACCGATACCGCCGGGCGTCTCGGATTTGCTGCCATCCCAATCCGAAGAGCGTGGACGCTTGCGTGCAGAGTCGAGCTTAGATTCGGCGGGACGCTTGCCCGGCTCGTCGGCATCGAGCTGTCGAAGAGCCACCTCGGGCTGGGCCAGAAGCATGCTGAGGGACGAGGTGAGCTTCAGAGCCTTTTGGATGATGTTGCGAACCTTTTGCGGGGTGGGTACGCTGACCTGGTTGACGTGAGCCACCGAGAAGTTGGCAATGGCGCTCGAGACCGAGTAGATTTCGCGAAGCTCGGACTCGACGTTGCGGGGGAGACCGGCGACGGTGGATTCAGGCTCGGTGGTGACGGCACCGGTACCGTCCTGTTGACTTTCGGAAGCGTCACCGTCCGCAGCAGTAGCAGTCGAAGCCTCGCCGGGCTGTTCCGACGATGGGGCAGCGCTGTTGGCAGCGTTGGTAGCGGCGGTGGCCAGTTCGGTGATGGTCTGCGCAGCGCTCGAAGCGTCAGCAGCAGCAGCCGCGGCGGCAGCGGCGGCTACAGCAGCGGCATCGTGTTCCGGAGTCTCGGCGACGGCAGGAGCAGCCGAAGCTTCGGCCTCGGCAGCAGGCTGCTGGTCTACCACGGCTGATTCGGTGGTGGGCACGTCCTTCCTGGGCAACACAGAGGCGCCGAAGAGCTCGGGATCGGTGACCGAAGAAGCAGCCGTATTGCTCGAATCAAACGAGACGGGAGCAGCTACGGAAGCAGCCGCGGGTGCGGATGCGTCGCTCGACATGGTGTGGATGTGATTGGAGATGAGGGCAGGGAAACGGCCAAGTTTGGATCAAACTGCTTGACCTCGTCGGAAAGCCGAGCGAGTACGGTTCGGATCGATCCGATGCTTGCGAAGCGAGATGGACGGCAAGTAGTGCTGGTGATGAATCAGCTACGAGGATGCCTTTTGAGACGCGGCGAGGTGACGCGACGGTTGCAAAGGATTGGCGCGACGAGAGGATGCGGAGATGCCGATTGAGAATGAGGATGAGATGGAGATGGAAGAAGGAAGGAAAGCCGCACGGTGCTTGCACGCAGGTAGGGCCGAAGCGGATGGAACGGAGACAAGAAGGGAAGGTTCGGAGGGCAACGAGGAGCGCAAGGAAGGATGGCCAAAACCGTCCAGAAGGATGTCAATTGACAGTCGCGATCCGAAGGCGATACTCTCAACGCCAAAATATACCCTGGCGTCACAGGCGGCGGATTTAGAGAGAGGAAAGTCACCCGATCGCGGGGTGACCAAGGCAGCAGAGCGCAGCCCACCGGAATGAACAAAAGAGGGAGAAAACGAGATCCAAATGCAGATTTCGTCGCATCGCAACTCTTGGAGCGACGAGTTGTCCGATTACGATTTCAAGTCTCGCATCTGAAATGGTTGTCCGTAATTTCATATCCGAATCGACCGATCCAGCAGCCCACTTCGATTGAAATCGATAAAAATAATCCTTGCCGCACAGACTCTGTCTCTCTCTCTGCACGGGTTGTAGTGAGCCGATTCAACAATTTTTGAAATAGGAATTCAAAATCGCCTCCTATGGCACGATCGGGTGGCTCGAAGAACAAGAAAAGCCACACAGTCCGGACACTAGCGCCGTGGAAGCGTGGCTGTAACTCTGCTGTTCTTCGCACTCTCATCCTCTTGGACTCGCTCGCGAACACCGCCTCGGTTGCTCCGATGACTTGACAGGTGAATCGGACGGCAAAAGGAAGACAGAAGGAAAGAAGGATCCATGTGTGGCTTGCTGAAGTCTTGTCTCTCGGCACCATTGACGTCGCTCCGGGCTGACGCCAAAGCAGGAGTCTGTAGATTGGTTGCAGCTCCCGAGACGAGAAGGCAGGAGGTGGTCGCCTCTCCTCCTTGCTGTGTAACCCTCTGCCTGGCAAGGTGTGTGGGCGTGTGAAATTGGTCGGGCCAAACCTGAAGGCGGCACTAATTTCTGCGCTTCGGTAAGGGCTGTCTGTCACAACGGCGTGCAAGCTTTTTTTTCGGGCCAGTCTCTCGCAAATCGCAAAGAGGGTCGAGGGACCCTGCAGCTTGTCGAAGCGAAGTCCACAGCGTCGCCCCTAAGAGCTGTCACATTCTGACGCCCTGACGCCCTAGAGCGCCCCCTTCGTGTAGGTACACTGAAGCTGCGTTTTGGCGTCGCTCGTGTCACACAGCTCGCATCGCACGCTAGCGTCGGCCAACACGGCATTGATTCATCAGCAACTTCCGGCTGCACGATCACAGCGACAGTACGAGCTTCGTCGTCATGGAAAGCGGTCCCTCTTCGGATCATCGGCAGCAGCAATGTGTCGGACTTTGATTTAGTGGCGCCACAGTATCAGGAGTGAGCGCTCCATCATGCGTTGTAGAGCTTCGCCATAAGCGCGGGACCCTCACTCTTGTTAGATGTACGGTACCCAGTCAGTGTTCGCTTCAAGTTACTCTGTGTGAGTACAGGACGTAAGAAGACGGCAACAGCGTCTGCAGGCGAGGAGCAGTGCCGGTTCATGGAAGGACGAATGCCAAGCTGTCAACGCCTCGATTAGCAGGCTCCAGCTTGACGCAACACTCGCCGTGACCACGTATTCTTTGGAGGTGAGTGCTTCTTGGGCGCTGCGAAGGCAGCTTACTCCGTTGCTGGCAGCTTGTGTGAGCGTTGCGTCGAGACGCAGAAAAAGTAAGCTCGCGTCGGACCCCTGAAATCCAGTCCAAGGCGCAGTCGGGAGCGTAAATCGACTCGGCTCGCCAGCCGACGATCGCTGTCCCAACGGCCAGGGTAATGGCGGAACCCCATCAGGCTTGTCGAGCTGCTGTGCTGTACATGCTGATGGCGTAGTGTACGAGCCAAGGCAGTGCTCCCCATTGCTGGTTGCGTTCCATCTGCTTTGCGTAGACGGGCCACAGACGCAAAGGCTACGCGCGTCAGAACGTGATTGCTGCTGCTGCGCCGCCATCGTAGATCCCGCCTCGCCTGCATTTCAGCCTTCGTCCCGACTCCTTCTTGACTGCAATCCCGATCGGTGGGCATGGGCATGCATTTCGCAAAGGTACGAGATCCCGCAAAGAGCTCAGTGCACAGTGCACGAGCTTCGAGTAGGACAAAGAAAGTCCAGATCGTTTCCCAAGGTGCACGCACCCACAGACCATGTCACCGTTCCTGCCAGGCTGCCGACGAAAGCACACATGTCCCCACATGACGCTCGAATATATTATGGGAGAAAAGAAAAAGAAAAGAAAAGAAAGAGAGACCAAGAGGCCTGCATGCAACATCGTGGCCTGCTGCCGCTTCCTGAATTGTCACACATTCTCTGCCTAGCTCCGCTAAGCGCGTCGGTGGTGCGTGTGTCTCTGGTTGTTGTGTATGTTTCTCCGGCTGTGACGGTGAGTGACACGCCCCCTTTGTCTGGCTTGCCTTTGCGATGGTCATCGCTACTTGTACCACCTTCTCGCCTGCTCCTCATCATCCACCTCGTTCCGCTCCCCTCTATCCATGTCGATTCTCCCGTGACATCCATCGCGCGGACTGCATACAGCGATCCCGCCGTTTCCCCTGCCCTTTGCACGCGCACGCTTCGACTTTTCGCAGAACCGCCTCTCCTTCTGTTTATGCACATTAACGAACCCTCCGATCCCGGACCTGCATATCAGCCTTTTCGACACCCACGGTCCTACTGACGATCCACTAGGTCATCGTTCAGAACGCGCCTCTGCAATACCGTCGAGCCCATATCCACCACACAGTCCGACTGTAACCGGATCAGATCGCGTAACTTGAGCTTCCCAGAACGACGGCCGCTGTTATCGGATCCGCACGGCCTTTGAGAGCACGACTTCGACGGACTGCTAATCACCATCGCGGTTCGACATCACACACCCCGCCGCGACAGATCCGGTCACCACCGTGTTGCGGTCACAGCAGCTCACGATACCCAGCTGCCGCCCACGCCTCTGCGACTTGGCATCGAGCTATTGGACTGTCCTTGTCTCGCGTTCAACCTGCGAGCAAGCCGCATGCTCCCATGTCCATCTCGCGCTATCTCGACCACGACATCTATAGTTCATCCACGCACCACAAGCGCACCAACTAGACGCGCGTGCTCGAACACCGCACGTCGGTCGTCCTGCGATTCGCAGCCCTCTGACAGCGACCTGGTCCCTTCCAAGTGCTGAGCTGCCAGCTGCTCGCCGCCATGGAAGATCCGCTCAACCAGGCGAGTAAGAAAAAGCCCGCCTTTGCGTTCTGGGACAGACAACGCAAGGACAGCACTGCATCGCTTTCCAACTCGGCAGTCGCTTCCACTTCGGCATCTTCGTCCACCTCCCCCTCCACAGCGCGCCGCCTTGATGCTATTGACCGAGCTTCCTCGTCGTCACCGTCACCACATCGCCAGCAGCAGCAGCAGCAGGCTGGCTCGAGCCCTCACCATGGCCTCAGTGGTGTCCAGCGTCTAATCCAGCAATACTCGCAATCTGGTGCATCCGCTGGTCCGAGCTCTCTGCATTCCTCCTCTCCCACACGTTCGCTTTCCGGACGACGCAGGGACGCGCCATCCCCAACACCTAGCCGAATCGCTCCAATCCCGGACAGCGCAGCTCCTCCACGCATCGATGAGCCGCATCTCAACGTCGGACATGCCGACAGCTCAATTCCGCGCTATCCCTCTCCGGGCCCACAAGCACAGCTGGTATCGCACTCAGCACCATCGGATCAGCCGATGCTCGCATCCGAGCTGGCACGGCAACCGTCGACGAGCGCTAGCAGCGCGTCTCGATCAACCGCGTCTCGATCAACCCATTCGTTCGCGACGCCGACGTCTCGTCTCTCCTTGGACGCCGTCGCACCATCAACCTCTGCAACCGCGTCGACGTCCCTCGTCCAAGAGCCTCCGCATGATGAATCCACCAAGCAGAGCGAAACTGAAAAGACGCGCAGACGTCGACGCTTGCTGCAAGAGCAAGTGCGCAAACGCCACCTCAAGAGGCGCAGCGCTACCGGCATTGACCCGAGCCACTCGCCGAACCCGTCAGACCATGACAGCGATGCTTTTGTAGACCAAGACTCCTCCTCCTCCTCAGAGCTTGGCGCAGAAGATGGTACAGCACCGACAGCTACCACCTCAGCAACACTTTCGGTTCTTCCGGACCTGGCAGATGGCCATCCGACAGATATGAGAGCAGCATCGGGGCTACCGCCGCCTACCGAATTGAACCTCGCTTCCGACTCGACTAGGCCCAAGAGCAGCGAGACTGTTCCGGATGCACAACACGCCCCACACACGCACCTCGTGATACCATCCAAGTCAACGGCTGACAATCTCGACGTGAGCTCGAGCGCGCGAAACGACACGGTTCGTGCTCCATCGCTCGAGGATACACGCCCTTGGCTCGAGTTCAGCCCGCTCATGCCCGATGACGAGCTGCTCGACAGTCCTGGAAAGCCACCTGCACCCACCTTTGCACTTCCCCATCAATCCGCTTCGTCTGATCTCACCCCTTCGGCAAGCCAGAGCAGCATCGCCACCGATCCCAACGCTTCCGGCAGTGCGCGCCCCTCGCCCTCCCGTTCCAACTCTGCCTCCGTCCTCTCCAGCGATTCGCCAAGGTCGCCTACCGGTCTTGGCTTCTCAACGCCCCCGGGATACGCTTCCGCAGCCTCGTACCTCGCCATGAATTCGCCTACTTCCAATTCGCGCGGCCATCGCACCACGAAGCTCCCTCCTCCGCGTCCGTCGCCCCAAGCGCCGCTTCCGCCTCCACCTTCGCTCGCCTCCTCGTCAGCTTCGTCTTCCTCGCGCCATGTGACTGCTACCGCTCCTCCACGATCAGCACGTAGCAGTTCCATTCGCCGCGTTGCGCCGGTGGCATCGGTGCAGGACGAGCTCGATGCAGACATGTTTGGCGCCCAAAGCTCGCGGTCGAGGAGCTACAGCCTCGAACAAGAGGTGGCTGCTGCCGGCGAACAAGACCATCGCCTCGCCCAACAGTCTGCAGCCCACAGTCAGCATGCACTCTCGACGAAACCTCGAGCGGACGAGGCCAAGCCTTCCGCGGCATCCACCTTGGCAGTTCCCATGATCCGACAACGTAGCAACTCTTTGCAACGCGCGGAAAGGAACAGCCTCGAGCTTGCCGCAGCTGAGCCGTCCAGATCTTCGCGAACATCACCACCAAGAAGCACGCCGCCCATCGCCATCGCCAACTCGTCTCGTACCGGTTCGAGCAGGTCCGTAACAGTAGGCAGACCCCGAGGTTTTACCGTGGGCGCAGTGCCAGGACACTCCAACGTCGTGCGCGGAAGCGGTCCGGTTCCGACGCCCGCCAAGTCGCGGCCGAGGTCCCTTCTGTCCAACGAGGTCTTTCCGCTTGATCTCGCCGAGCCGCGATACAGATCCAAAGCTGCCAGAGACGACGACGACGAGAAAGCGCGCAAAACCTACAGCATGGACATTGACCGTCGAGTCTCATCTCTGAGTATCAACAGCGCTGCTGCGGCCAGATCCTCGGGTGGACTTGGCACCGGTCGAGGTGGTTTATCATCGACCTCTATAGAGGAACAAGGCGGTGCAAGCAGCACCAGCGCCGATAGGCTCGTGACTGAGAGCACAGATCGACGTCCCAGCGTGGGAGGTCGGAGCCGAAGCGGCAGCAGTGCAAGTCTCTTGCAGCAGGTCAACTCGCAGCCCAAGTCGCACGCCAGCTTCGTCATCGCTGTAGTTGGACATACGCACTCGGGCAAATCCACAGTCATCAAGAAAGGCCTGCGCCAGTTTGGTCTCTCCAAGCCGCACGTCCTGTCCGAGAAGGTAACCTCGCACTCCACCGTGTGTGTTGTCGATCAAGAGCAAAGGACCATCGAGGTGCTCGAGATCGATGCCTCCGTCTTACTCAACGGCCCCAGCAAGCGCTTCACCTGGCCCAAGTTCCTGCCTCACATCGACGCTGTCATTCTCTGCTACGACGCATCCGAGATCGCTTCGTTCCGCGGCATGTCGGAGCTGCTCGAAAATTTCAGCGTAGCGAACCTGAGCACCGTGATGCTGGCTTGCAAATCCGAGGTGCATCCGAAAGCGGTCGATCCGTACTATGCGAGCGACATGGCCTGCATCTACAACGTCGGGCTCGCCGAGTGCACCGTCCAGAGCGAAGAGGGCAAGAAGCGCATGCGCGACTGCTTCTCCTATTTGGTCAAAGAAGTGGCCAAGGCCCGATCGGGCCGTGCTCGCCGTGGTCCCGCCAGCACAGTGCCTCCCGCCTCGGCAAGCATGGCGCCGCAGAGATCCCTGTCTCCCGGCGCTCCCAACCCCTCATCTACGCTTCAAAGTCGAACTGCTTCCAACACGTCGCAGACCAGTTCGCAAAATAGCCTTCCTCGCGCCTTGGACGAGTCCTCCCTGCTCACCAGCGATGCCATCGTCCCTGGTCAGTCTCTGTCAACGGCCTCACATCACGATCTGCTGCATTCGCGCGGCTTCAGCGATGCTAGCTCGAACCCTAGCGTTGCTGCAGGAGGGCGAGACGATGGATCCACCAGTGCCACCGGCACAGCTCCAGGTATCGATTCTGCGGCCTTGGCGATGAATAAGCTCGACTTGAACGCGGATCCCTCGACAGAGACTCCATTCAATGGCGCCGTAGCAGCTGCCGATCCAGGCACGCTTTCAAACGCTCGCAAGATGAGCGCTGCCACTGTTGCTTCTGCCGTGTCGGACGCACCCAGCTTCCATTCTGACGAAAATGGCGGGGCTAATGACAGCCTTCAACGAGCGCAGCTGGGTCTGCAAAACGCCCGGTCAAGCGGCGGCTACGTCTCGATTGAGCAGCTGTGGGATAAGCTCTTCCACGCCGCCATTTCGAGGACCGACGAACGCTTCGTCTCGATGTTTATGGTCTTCTTCCGTGGCTTTGCCACCCCCATGGACTTGCTCCGGCAGATGGTGGCACGGTACGAGACGCTCTCGGCCGAGGATGTAGCCAGCGGTGTGGTGCACCGCTTCGCTCTGATCAGGCTCGCCAACATGCTTGGCGATTGGGTGCTCGACTATCCAGGCGACCTGAGCGACCCGGACACGCACGCGCTGCTGGTCCACTTCCATCGTCAGCTGCTCCAAAATCCCGACACGGTGCATACTGCCTCGCAGATCCGTGCCGCAGTCGATGCGACCGCCTATGCTGCCGATCCGGATGCGCTCTGGAGCAAAGCGGTCAACAGCTATCAGACACGGCACAGGGGTATCGCAGCGGTCATCGCAGAAGCACATGCAGCGGCTGCAGGCGTCGACGTGGATGTGGGTGGAGCACTGCCGACCAGCCATTCGAGCGGCAGCGCTGGAGGTTTCATGCCTTCTTCGGGCAATACGAGCCACGACTTTGACGGCGAGACAGCTTCCGGCGCCGACGTCCTTGAAGAGCATGAGCGCACCGGGTCAGAGAGCAGTCTGCCGCTGCAAGCGCACGACATGGCTGCTGGTGGACGCTCTCGAAGCGCTTCGGATCTCACGACGTCGTCGTCGGACGGCGTCGATGCGTTCTACAAGGACGCCAAGCAGAGCATGGCTTCTTCGTCACTCGTGGGCAGCGCCATCAGTAGCGTCAGTGGTCATACGCAGGCTTCGAGCAACGGTGCAAGATCAGGGTCATCACCAGGCGGTGGTGCAGCCACCCACACTTCTGCAACGTTGTCGACAGTCCCGACAGCAGGCAGTGGAGGCGGCAACGAGGCGAACGCAAGCGGGCCCGGACGTGCTCTGGATCAGAAGTCGGCGCTGCGCAGCATCTCCAACGTCCTCATGGAAGTCGACGACGAGATCATCGCCACGGAGCTGACACGGCTCGAGTGGGCATTCTTCACCGCCATCCGGCCACGAGATCTGCTCCGACACATTCTCGTTCCCCACGATAGACGCGATGGACCCGTCTCACGCTCCATTTCGCACTTCAACTACATCTCCAACTGGGTCTGCTCGATGATACTGGCGCAGAGCAAGACCAAGCATCGCGCGCGCATGCTCGAAAAGTTCTTCAACATCGCCTCGATCTTGCGCCACGACAACAATTACGGCTCCCTCAATTCCGTGCTGGGCGGATTGAGCAAGACGGCTGTTCATCGATTGAGACAGACGCGCGAGTTGCTGAAAGGCAAAGCCGTGAACAAGGCGTACCAGAGTCTCGTGCGTCTCATGTCGAACGAACGCAGCAGTGCAGCCTATCGGTTGGCGCTGGAGAACTCGGATGGACCCACCATCCCGTACGTCGGCGTGCACCTGCAGGACATTATCAGCATATCCGATGGAAATCCGAGCAAGCGTGCCAGCGATGGAATGATCCATTGGAGGAAGTTCAGTCTTATGGATGAGGCCGTCATGGCGGTGGCAAAATGTCAGCAGTACGACAGGTACATCAAGCCGAATCCACCGGTGGAAAGGTTGATCGTGGACGTACCGGTGATGGATGACGAAGGGATGTACGAGAGGAGTCTTGCTGTGGAGCCGAGGAGTGGTGGAGGCGGTGGTGGTGCGAGTGGCGCTGCAGGCAAGATCAAGGATCTGAAGACTTTCTTGCAGGGTTAGTAGATCAACATGGACAGTCACCAGACAGCTTCGAGATTACATCGCGTGTGCGTGTGGTTGTGTGAACAGGAAAAGCGAAGAGGAATTGACGAGGATATGACATCTGCATCTCGCAGCCTTCTCACATTGACAAAGTGTTGCCTTCAATGTCTCATTCGTAGCGGCGAAGACTCGTTGATGCAGAGCTCACTCCAACTCTGATTTGCCAAGCTAACGTCGTTGTGGACGACGAGGCTTTCAACACTTCATGTGCTCAGTCGTCTCGATCGCTCCACACTGTCGACAAACTGATTCTGTTCGCATGGCATGGTTTCTGCATCGCATTGCACGATCGCACTCCTCGCGTCGCATCTACTTGATCTTGAGATGAACCTTCTCTACAAACCCAGCAAGATCCGACTTCCTCACCTGAATGCTGAAAGTCTGGAAACGATCGTGTCTAACCCTGGCTCCGCTCATCTTCGCCGCATGCTGGAAGGCACTCGTAAAATGGTTGTTCTCCACCATCCCCTCCACTGCACTTCCAGTCGAACCCAATACCAAGAAACTATCTTTCGCCGGATGCAATGCCGCCAGTATAAACGGAAGCGGCGCATACGCTGATCCCGCCGCAGACTTTTTCCTGGCAGCAGCAGCAGCAGCTGTCTGCTGTTCAACGATGATATCGCGCAGACTTGTGGTGAGCCACTCTGCCAGTCGAGAGAGAACCTCGACGTGGGTGAAGAGCTCCAGATCCGCCCCGTCTTTGAGAATGGCAAGGCGGAAGTTCTTGAGTGTTCGAATGCTCTGATTGGTGATCAAACCGATCCCTCGTGCGACGATCTTGCGATGCAAGGCCTGCGAGAGCAGCAACGAAGATCGCAGCAGATCCACCGACGTAGACCGCGTAAAGTCGAGCGCACGGTAGGCCTCGTAAAAGTTGGTCGTTGCTACCCGTCTCTCGGCCTGCTCCAGCAGCGCCAGATCCTCCGCACTGGCAGGAGCGTTTGTCGATTGCGTGGAAACCTCGATATCCAACCCACCATTTGCGCCCGCCTGATCCTTGTTGGTAGCATTCGACGTGGCCGCAGCGATGGCGGAAGTGATGGAATCCGTCAGAGCCGTTCCGAGGTTCCAGACGCGCTTGGTGGCAAACAGCTCTGACGTCTGAGCGTGCGGATTAGCTGGGTTGAGGTTCGCCGCAAAACTGTTGCCCAACGGAGCACCCGCCGAAGCCGAGGCGAACACCATCCCTGGCGTCTCCACCTCGATCTTGACCCCATGCGCCGCCACCAACAAAGCGCTCACCCCTTCCACCACATCCGCCGCCCCCAACGGTGCGGTCCGAAACCCTAGACTCCTCTCGAACCCGCGGTAGGTCAACTGCGTCAACCCGTACTCGGGTGCGATGGCCTGCAATTTTCGCACCAGACTGCGCCTCAGATCCAACGGCATGTGCGTGTAGTTTTGGCGCACGGCGGTGAGCGAGAAGCCCATCTTGGCCATCAACCCGCGGAGCTTGGAGAGTCCACGTTCCCTCCATATGCCCAACTTGGCGGCTACGTAGGCGGTGTGGTACATGGCAGTCTCCAAGCTCCAGTGTCGATAGAGCGCGAATCTGAGCTCGTTGGGGATGATGCGGATGGATCGATCGTCCGCATCTTCGGATTTCGTGTTGGAGGAGATGCCGCTCCGCAGCGCTCGATCGTTAGCCCTCGAGGCTGCGCTCGTCTTCCTCACACCGCCTTCGTCGTCTTCCGTTGTGGGCTTGTTGAGCAGGTCGATCGACCAGGCTTCCGTGGGCGCGTGGGAAGAGGTGGGCTCGATGGCGATGACCTCGGATGCGTAGGCTGCCGAGTAGGTCTCGTAGGTCTCCGAGTCGATGCTGTTGGAGAGGTAGAGCGAGGTGAGACCGACGATGGCCAGCCAGAGCGACTCGCGGTCGGCGCGACCGAGCGATTCGCAGAGCAGGTAGAGCATCGACGAGACGGACATGCCGAAGCTCTCGCCGCGACTGTAGTAGCGCGTCAGGACGGTTCGGTATCGATGACGTTCGGCGTTGGTGAGTCGTGTTGCTGGAGAGTTGGAACGATGCCGACGGTCGCGTCGTTTCGGTGAACGGGAAGAACGTTTGCGCTTATCCCCCGTCGAAACAGCATCGTCGGACTCGCTCCCACCGTCGTCGTTGTCGTCGTCCGATGCAGAGTCATCCTCGGAATCCGAATCGACGTCAAACTCGAGCTTCTCAAACGCATCCCTCTCGCCACCCTGCCTGCACAACTTGGCGGCCACCTCCCCATCGTCCCAACACCATACCCTGTCGTTGGCGTGACTCGTCGCGAAGAGGTTCTCCAGGTTCCACGGTCGATGCGAATCGATGACATGGACTGTACAGCTGGCGGGGATGTTGAACGTCGTAGGCACGCTCAACACGGCGCCGAGGTTGAGAAAGATGACCGACCTCACGTCGGTACTTGGCGCAGCTTGCCCGACGTCCTCGGAGTCGTCGAGTGGGGGAAATACGCTCGACAGCGTATGAAGTAGAGATCTGTACCCTTCGACGGGAACGATGCGATGCGGGATGTCGTCTTGCAGCAGCAGGGATGTGAGGATGCGTGTGGCGCACACCGAGTCTACGTCGGGAGAGGAGAGGATGAGCACGCTGGATACGCCGGGGCCTGCAGAACGTGCCGATGAGCGGATGCGGGAGTAGGCGGAGGCATAGTCGTGTTTTGAGGACGAGGTGGAGGAGGAGGGAGCTCGGTCGGGATGGATGTGCACGTCGACGAGGGAGGAGTTGGGACAGGCGACGATGACCATGTCGGTGTGCTGGCGTGTGCAGACCGTAGTCAGCAAGTAAGGGATCGATGGTGATGATGATGATGATAGTCGGGGTGATGACAGAGCAGAGGAGATTCACATCGGAGAGCAGCCGAAACAAACACAGACTGATGAGACTGCGCTGCTTGCTGATATTGCTGCGTCTGCAGAAGTGGTGTGTTTCGAGTGAGAGAGCAACACGAAGCCGAATCGAAAAAGCGCGTCGTTCTACTTCTTCGCGTTGAGTGGAATCGCTCATTTGCTGAAAATGTGAGATTCTGAATGTGCACAATTAGGCCATGAAAGCACGACTGTCGTGCGAATCAAGAAGCAAGTCTGAGCTGGAAGAAACAACGTTTGAGTGTCGCGCACAGTCCATCTTGCGACCTTCAACCACACCACCATACACTTGCATCACAATGGCGCCGAGTGTACCGCTCATGAGCAGCAGCACAACGCTGCTCGTGCTGATCGCCACCCTGATCGCGGCATGCTTGCCTTCAGTACACGCGGTAGCAATCCCAAGTTCAAAGGACTGGACCAACACCAACTACATCAAGCAGATCGACCTCACCGGTTCCACATCGCATACGCTTACCACCGTCTTCATCAAGCCCAACTCAAATCCTAGCAACGCTGCTGCAACAACGCTCCCATACTACTTTCTCCTCAGCGCACACGAAGCACATCAATTGTCATGGACTCGATTGACAGTCAAACCTGCGCTCGACTCGCAACTCGCTGCCACCTCCGAGTTCAAAGGTGGTGCACGACCGGTGATCACGCTCGAGAACCTCGGTGAGGTGGATGGAGATGCTGAAAAGACCTACCTTTTCGAGGCAAACATTCCCTCCGACGTTCTGGGCGCCGACGGTGCTTCTCTCACGCTCGAAACCACTCTCAACCACGTCTCGCTTCCATTGCCGAGCACCGTAAAACAGACTGACCCGCAACTCTTCCTCTGGCAAGGAGACGCTGCCATTCGCTCACCCTACACCACTCTCACCGGTCGCATCAAGGTCAAAGCACCCTCGCCCAAGATTCTCTCCTTCACCCCGTCAGACGCCACTAAATCCGGCTCCATCGTCACCTACGGTCCCTTCTCCGACGTTGCTCCCTTCCAGCCCTCATCTCCACTCACCCCGGCCTCGGTCCACTACCAATCCGACACCCCGCACGCGACCATTGTCGACCTTCAACGCACCGCCGAAATCAGCCACTGGGGCGACGCACTCTCCATCACCGACCGCATCCTCCTCCGCAACTCTGGCCCTACCCTCAAAGGCCATTTCTCGCGCATCGAACACCAGATGGCTTCGTTCTACAATCGCGGTTCCGGCACCGCCCTCTCCTCGCTCTCCTTCACCCTACCTGCTGGTGTGCGAGACCCGTGGTTCATCGACCAGATCGGAAACGTCTCCACCTCTCGTTTCCGTTCGTCTCCACCCAATCCGGCGCTTGTCACCTCTTCCGTCGGCGTCCCCGCCTCCAACAGCGTCGCGAGCAAGATGTCGCTGCTCGAACTCCAACCCCGCTTCCCGCTCCTCGGCGGGTGGAACTACACCTTCAGCATCGGCTACACCCTCCCGCTCTCCGCCGGCTGGACCAAACGCCTCCTCGGTTCGGACGACTACGTCACCGCCGTACCGCTCTTCACCCCGCTCAAGGACGTTGCTACCGACAGCGTTTCCACCACCATCGTCCTGCCGGAAGGCGCTACCCGAATCTCGATTGAATTGCCTTTCGAAATGGACAGCGTCGACAACGGAATTACGAAGACTTACCTGGATACTGTGGGTAGACCCTCGATCAGGGTGGAGAAGAGCCGGTGCTCGCCGGAGCATGCGCAGCTGGTGTATGTCAAGTATACGTTGACTCACAGAGCGAACATGATCAAGGTGGCCGCGGTTGCGGCCGTGGCAGGGTTGTTGTTGGTGGGTACGGCGGTGGTGCAGAGGGTCGAGACCAAGATCCGCTGAGCAGCAACCAAATCCGGATACAAAAGCGCTCAAATTAGCATCATGACCATTCTTCACATCGAGCAATCGAAAGACCTTTTTCTTCTGCTGGGAAACAACAATTCGTCGTTCCGTAAGTGTGTGTGTATGACGATTGCTGCAAAAAAATTGTGAGGTGGATGAGAGAGTGTCTTCAACCGAACAGCCTTCCCATCTGATCCAGAATCGGCTCTCCACCCCCACCGCCACCGTCGACACTGAAGAAATCCAAATCCGCCATCATCCACTCCCACGACGGATCCAACTCCTCCACCACACCCGTCCCTCTCGTCGTCGTTGTCGCGCCGTTCTGCGCAGTGTCGAGAGCAGGTGCGGACGAGTTGATCTGGTTGAACCACGTGGCGGGCGAGAGCGCACCGCCGTTTTGCACAGCTGCGTGGGTGTGGTTCCAATCCGCATTTGGGATGTGATGGTGCGGAGGAGGCACGAACCGCGGTGTGATAAAGAGCGAAGGGTGGGATGGCGAAGCGGCTGTCCAGCTGGAAGCGGGTGCAGCTGGTGCGTGTTGCGGCGCATGTGATGAGGGGGACAGGGTTTGGTGTGGTTGCGGGGAGAAGAGCAGGTTGGAAGAGTAGGCGTGCGACGCTTTGGTGCCTTGCTTGCCCGTGCTGCGGGATGCGCGAGGAGTAGGAGACTGTGGCGTGTAGCTGTGTGGCAGAGGGTGGTTGTGATCCCTTCGAAGGTGTCGGGATGACTCGCCGACAGTGGGTTGGCTTCCGCTCGATCCGATCGAGTGCTCGCCGTGCGCTGGCAGCGACGAAGACGACGTGCCATCTGGAACATGCTCCGCTGCACCACTGGTTCCATTGTTGTTCTCGAACCTGCTCCCATGTGCAGGCATCTCTCTTTCCTGCACACCGCCTGCCTCACCTGCTGCCTCTGCCGTCTCCTCGCCCATCTCCACCTTCACCTCGAACCTCTCCAGCAACCCCTTCAGGAACCCACTATACCTGCTAGCCACACTCCTTCCACCCCTGCCACCCTTAGCGTTCCCGATCTTTTCCAACTCTCCCGCCGTCCTCCTCGCCAGACTCACCACCCTGCTCCCCTCGACAAACCCAAAGTCCACGCCTCCCTTCTGCTGCCGGCTCCTGCCCGCCTTTCTCGCGAGGTCCAGCCCGAACACCACAGCATACACGGTCGAGATGACCGTGCTGTTGGTGACGTGATCCATCCAGCCCTTCTTGCAACGGTCGATGAAGGTGGCCATGTAGTTGGTGCAGCTGATGTAGCAGTGACGGTAGAGCTGCGACAGCTCGGCGCTCACGTCCACCGTGTAGGTGATGGGGAGCGGCAGGGCGTATGTTACGAGTGCGGCGTAGTCGAGCGATAGCGGACCTGTGATCTGCAGCGGGGTGGGCGGGGTGGACGGGTTGATGGGCGAGGAGGAGAGCCAACGTTCTTGCCAACGTTTGAGATCCATGTCGACGGAATTGCGGAAGTAGCTCAGCTGGAGTGAGAGCTGGTCTCCCTCTGCCGAGTCTTCCAGGTCCTCCTCGTTGTCGCGAGTGGTGGTGGTGGCGGCGTTGGCGATCCTCGCCCTGGACCCCAAACTCTTCATCACGTGCGTATGAAACACATCGACCATCCGCATCATGACCCTCCTCAACTCGACCTGCGCCACCAACACCTCGTCCTGCCGCAACGCATAATCCATCCCGTGCCACCTACTGCACGTCGCCACCACCCCCTCATCCGCCAAATGCATCCGCTGACCCGTCTGACTCGCCAACGTCTTTTCCAAATTCCACAGATTGATCCACAGCCTCTCCGTATTCCGCAGCTGCCTCGTATAGTGTTCCCTCTCCTGCTCACCCTGGACACGCGATGTGTTGGTGTACGAGTAACACACCAAATTGCACCCCAACTCGGTCGCGATGCGGATCGCCGTTCCGAGGTACAACCACGTCTGATCCGCCGTCGCACTATCCGCCATCGGTCGATACGACGCCAGCAGGAAAAACGCCTGCGCCATCTCCACGTTCTTGTAATCTCCACTGCAGATCCACGTCAGGATCCCCTCGTAGTGCTTGCGCAACACCACCGCCAACCCCGCCGATTCCCTCTGCACCACAGGGTCTGGAGACGATTCGAACTCGGCAGAGATCGCACAGATCACCGTCAGAAGGAAGGCGGAGTGCTTGCGGATGTACGCAAAGGTCGAGAGAGCCGGGTCGAAGATGTGCATGAACGTTCCGAAGGAAGAGTAGAAGGACGAGATGAGGCGGGTGGCTTGGGAGGTGGTGAGTAGACGACGGTCGATGGGGTCGAATTCGGGTCGGTTGTCGTAGACCGGGTGGAATGCTCCGCGGGAAAAGTAGGTTGTGGACCAGCTGTTGGTGGTGGTGATCGGAGCAGAACGGGATGGGGTGAGCGAGGTGGGAGCGAGAGAGGTGGAGACGGCGGTGGTGTCGGCAGACGTAGTTTGCGACTCGTTCGTGTTTGATTGCGTCGTCGATACGGCGGGGAGCGGAGACCTCGATCTTGTTCTCTTTCTGCTTGCCGTCTGGACCTCGACACCCGACCCTTGTTCCCGATCCATCCCTTGCTCACCACCGCCCCTCCTCCGTTCACTCTCCTCACTTCCCACCTGCGCCAACAGCTTCAACGGATTGCTCAACGTCGGAAACTCATCCGGAACCCTAGCGACACTCGCGTGATCCTCCATATCCACCAACACGTTGAAATCGCTCCTCCCCGCCGCCTTCCCCTTGTTCCCCCCCTTTTCCCCCTCCTCCACCACCTCCTCTTCTTCCGCTCCCACCATCCCTTCCCCCTCTTCCTCTTCTTTTACATCTCGATCCCCTCCCCGTCGGGCGAAAGAGCTCCTACTCAACTGCCACCGTAACGCCTCCACCAAACTCTCCGCATCCTTATCCCTCACCTCCCTGTTCAACTCCTTGATCTCCGCCAACGTCCTATCCAGCACCTCTATCCTCCTTACGATCTGCTGAAACTTGATCTTGCCCGGTTTCCTCCCTCGCTTGTGCTCCTGGTAAAAACATTCCCTCCCGAGCTTCCCACAACGTTGACACGTCGAACCGCTCGAAGAAGGGATGCATTTCACTTTGGCCGAACGACACGGTTGACACGATACTTTTTTCGCCGGTGCCGGCGTCGATGAGCTGGGCGTGGATGAGCACGAGTCCGGTGAGCCAGCTCGAGACATGATGCGTGCAAGGTCGAGGATGATGTGGTGGTAGGAGGAAGGATCGGCGATGTGACGGCGTCCAAAAACGTGAGCCAGCTGGTTTTACCGCGAACCGTATCGGCGAATTTTGCATTTTGATGGAGGCCGAAGTTACGCCGTTGCACCACCACTCCTCACAACTTTCCCGACGCACACCCGACCTCACAACACACCACACACGGACAGCCAGACTGACAAGATATCGCATACAACTGACACGGTGATAGTGAATGCGAGCAAGTTTCGTTGTGGCGACAGAGTGGCAAGGAAAGCGGCGCTCAGCTAGTTCGAGGCGCCCGGAGCGGTCTTTGCCGCGGAAGAACCACGTCCATTCCTGCCACCTCCTCCGCGTCCTCCACCACGTCCTCCCCCTCTGCCCCTCCAACTGCCTCTCGAAGCATCCCCCTTCCCACCCTTGCCATTCTTTCCCGCGCCATCCTCCGACGTCGCCACAGTCGTAGCGTTCGTCGTGCTGCTCGCAGCCACGCTCGGAGCAGCGCTCGAGCTCTGCAGCTGCTGTTGCTGCACATCCGGCGTGTGCGATCGACTCGTCCATCGACTACCCCCGTTGCTACCAGGCGCGCTCGTCAGGTTGATCGACGAGCCGCCTCTGCTACCTCCCGCTCCGTACACGCCTGCGCTCGATGCCACCGCCGACGACCTCGCCGAAGCCGGTTCTTGCAAGCTGAGCCCACCCATACCGAACGACGATGGACTGGCCGGTCGCGTCGATCCCCTGCTGCTCGATCCCCATCCCCTCTCCTGCGCATACCCATCCAGAATGTGCACGATCCCTTGACTCATGTACTCGAACTCTCCGATCTCCTGCGCCGACAACGACAGATCCGTCCTGTCCCCCCACTCCGCATCATCCTCCTCATCATCCCCCACCTCATCCTCATCCTCATCCCCCTCCCTCCTCGCTCCTCCCTTCCTCGCTCCATCCTTCTTCACCTTCCCAATCCCCTCAAACACCCTCAACATGATCACATCCATGATCGACCTCAGCTTCTCCAAATTATCCAGCGAATCCGTATTGCCCGTAATCGGCAGCCAGAAATCGCACTCCACGCCTTCGCCCAACACCCGCACCTCGGTCGCACCGAACAGCATGAACGTCAGCGGATCCAGCCGCGTGCACCCGCGCAGCATCGTCGAGGCGTTGTTGCCGGCGCTGCCCGAGGCGTTGCGGATCTTCTCGCTGAAGGCAAAGATCTCCTTCTCGCCCATGTTGGCCGCATCCCACGGCTTGTGCTTGGTGAACTTGGTGTGGCAGATCGACGACGGGTGCATCAGGCACGACTTGTCCTGCGAGGTTCGGTAGCTCGCTTTGCCGCTTCGGATGGCAAAGTTGGGCGGGGAGGAGACAGCTACGAGCGCAGCGAGGAGCGATGTGACGTCGGCGTTGGTGTTGAACTCGGCGTCCGTCTCCCGCGGTCTGCGGTAGCGCGAATACGTGTTCCCTCCGCTTCCGTTCCCCTGAGCACCCAGCGAAGAGCTCTGGATCACCGAAATGATGTCCGCCTTCTCCATGCTTTGAAACAGATGCTCCTTCACCTGTTGAATCTGCAGCAGCGTCAGCTTGCTCAGGAAATTGTCCTGGCAGAACCGGTTCGCAGCCGCAAAATCTCCGCGCGACTGCATCTCCCACCACCGCATGTACGCGCGCAGGATGCACAGCGCATCCGACCGAAAGTCGGGCGGACACCACCGATCTTTGACCAGCTCCGCCTCCTCCCTCAGATGCATCGGCGCCATGAACGGATCCCTGCTCGTCAAGATCGCCGCCAGCGAAAGCACCGGATCAAGACATCGGAAGAAGGCGCCGTACAGACACATCTTGCCCATCGGCGCATCCACCGGCAGCTGCAGCAGCACCCTCCCCAACGACGTCAGGTTCTTGTACATGTCCAACGCGCCCACCATCTTGAGCTTCTCCATCGCTGCCAACACGCGCTCCGGCGCCGGGGGCTCGATCGCCGAAGCCAGCACGTCTTCCACCTCCATCCCCGGGATATCGAGCGCCTTGATATGCATCACCACGTTGCTCAGATCGGTTCGCTTCATCTCCACTGTCTGGTTCACCTTGAGACGATCGTAGCGAGACTTGCTGAGAACACCGAAGTACTCTCCCGGACGATGACGGCCCGCACGACCTGCACGCTGGTTGAGGTTCGACGTACCCACCCACGCCGAGACCAGGCTGGAAAGGTGACGTTCCGGATCGAAGCGTTTCTCCTTGACACGACCGGTGTCGACGACGTAGACGACGTCGGGGATGGTGATGGATGTTTCGGCAATGTTAGTGGCCAGGATGATGCGACGGATGCCCTTGCGACGCACGGGCTCGAAGACGGCCTGCTGGTCTTGGACGGGGACCGTCGAGTGCAGGATGTGGATCTCGTACTGATCGCGATCGTTGAAGTCGGTGCGCAGGAGCGGATGATACTGTGTGTCTGTGAGCAGCAAGTTGACCGCCTTGATCTCGTCCCAACCGGGCAAGAAGACGAGCACGTGTCCGTCGTCGCTGATCGATAGCACGTAGGCGATGATGAGCGCAACGAGCGGATACGGGATTTCGAGATCGTCGACTTGGTCCGCCATGGGATCGACAGGCTCGTTAGCAGTGGCGTTCGCAATCGCATTGTTCCCGTATCCGCCGCCCGCACCGCCCCTGGCACCGCCGTAGGCATTGCCGCGCGAAGCAGAACCGCCTCGTTGGTATATCTCGCGCTCGATGTAGTCGCGGACGTTCTTCTCCCCCCACACCCAGCCACCCATCTGAGGGGTGAGGCGGAGCGACTCGAGGTTGCGCACCGTCTCCTCCAAGTAATGCTTTTCGACGGGGTAGCTGCGACCGGGGATCTCGACGACGGGCGCAGGGTTGCCGGACGGATCGGCAAAGTAGGATTGGAAGAGGGTAGGATTGATGGTGGCGCTCATGAGCACCACTTTGATCTCCCTCTTGCCGAGCCTGCGACGTTCTGCCAAAAGACGCTTGATGACGACAAGAAGCAGATCGGTCTCGACGTCTCGTTCGTGCACCTCGTCGATGACGACATGCGTGACCGAATCGAGGAAGGTATTGGAGGACTCGGTGTCGCCGAGCGCCGACTGCAAGCGACGCAGGAATACACCGGTGGTGCAGAAAGTGATGGAACCATTGGGTTGGGGCGGCTTGGCATCGAAACGAACCTGGTAACCGACGGTTTGACCGAGCTTCTCGCCCCTTTCCTTTGCAACACGCTCCGCAACGCTGATAGCTGCGATACGTCTGGGTTGTGTGCAGACAATATTGCATTTGGCACCTTTGCCTTGGAGGATGTAGTCGTCGAATAGAATCTGCGGGATCTGAGTGGTCTTGCCGGAACCGGTAGCGGCCATGCAGATGGTGACCTGGTTGAGCTCGACCTTGACGAGGACGTCGGACTGCTTCTGCGAGACGGGCAAGCTGAGACGCTGGGAGCGCATGTTGGCCATGGCCTCGTCCGAGTAGTAGTTGGCGAGCGAGAGTTCGAGCTGCTCGCTCTTGCGCTGCAGCGAGTCTTCCGTGGCACCAAACTGCTGGTTGAAGCGGCGTGCACGCTGCTGGCGCATCTGACGTTGCTTTGCGAGCTGGTCGTTGGCGTCGTTGGAGACGGCGTTGGGGTCTTCACCTGCGGGGGCGACGCCGATCGTACGCGGGCGTTTTGCGTAGATCTTGCTGCGAACCATCGTGTCGTAGATGTTCTGGACCGAGTCGTCGAGCTCTTCGCTCATGCTGAACGTGACGTGGGGCGCCTTGTTGATCGACATGCCGGGCTTATGAAGCAAAGAAAAGGTCTTCCAGAGCGAGGGATCGGTCGACTCGATGTACGAGACGGATTCGAGGTAGCAGTTGGCGACGGCCTGCTTCTTGTTCTTTCCGACGGCGGCGCCGATCTCGTTGCCGGCGATGTACATGGATGCGTGCGGTTGGGACGCTGCAGAAGAGCATTTAGCAGCGCCACGCTTTGGTTTGCCCTGCTTGCCTGCAGACTGACGAACGTCGGGTTTGCCCAGATTGAAACGCTTGCAGTAGAAGTCGATGAACTCGCGCGCACGCTGGACGGTCAGCTCAGAGCCATCGCTGAGCTTGGCGACAGGACCCTGTTGCTGGGGTACCAACGGCGCTGGAGCAGAGGCGGTGGGTGTCTTTGTGAGGATATCGCCGCTGTTCTGAAGAAACAGGACGGCATGAAGAGCAGCCACACGCTCAGCATCCTTTGCGGTCTTGGCATCACCATATACGGTCCAGTCGTACTCGGGATCGAAGCAGAGAGTGCAGCGGAAGTTGGTATCCCTTCGACCTTCAACCTGACCCTCCTCGACGGTAAAGACCGGGTAGGTGCCGGTGCGGTGAAGGACGTAGTTTTGGATTGGATTCTTTGGATTGTCGAGCCATGCCTTTTTGACCAGACCGCTGTCGAGGAGGCCATGGTAGTAATCCTTGATGTTCTGAAGAGAGTGGTAAGGGAGAGGCTGTGTTGGCAGGAACTTGGTGGATTTGGCGGGTGCTCCAGATTTGAAATTGGAGGATGGCACTGCTGAAGAGGGTAACGACGACGACGAGGTCGCGGTCGCAGTCGCGGCGATGGCTGAGTTTACATCCTTTGCTGGTTTCGAAGCGCCTCCAGCACCTCTAGAGCGAGAAGCGGCGCCGCCTTTCTTCTTGGTATTCTGCTGAGTGGCAGAAGAGGAAGTGCTGCCGCCACGACCCCAGTTGCTGCTGCCGCCACTAGCAGCGTTGTTCGGAGCTACCGATGAAGCTGCAGAAGATGCGCCGCTTCGCCATGTCGAGGAAGCGTCGGCCATGATCGGTTGCTGACGATGCTCGTGCCGCTGCTACGGTGCACTGAAACGTCGGAAGGATACCGAAGCGACGATCGGCTCTTTCTTGCCTAACTTGACGGAAACCGCGCTTGGAGACTGTGCAAAGCGTAAGACTGAGCCGACGACTTGGCAGTGGACGCTTGTGATGGTGAAGAAGGAGTATCAAGAAGCTGGCGACCGTCAGTCACAAGACACTCATCATCCGTCAACCCGCACGAACTGAGCCGCCTCGTGTCTCGTGTGTGTCTGAGCGCAGAAAGAACCCTTCTTTGAGATGCAAGAAGATTTCGGAAAAATTGTTTTTGGTGCTGTTAGGAGTGTGACAGATCGGGCGACACGACTGTCAGTCAGCCTTGGTTCAGACGGAGCCTGCTCTGCGCAATTTAGCGGTCTTTGCTTGGCTTTTCCTCTTTGGACCCTGAAGTTCGAGGGGAAGGAACGACACGCGTCTCACGTTGCCTCGCCATCTGGAGTGCGGTGTGACAAATGGCTCTTCCTCTGTCGCCTGGCCAGCATCTTCAAGGGTTCATAAGCTCAATTTGGGTCCGGCCTTGTCAGCAGCAGAGAAGGTGCCACTTGACCGGTTGCTGCAGACGAGTGCAGCCGCGACCTGCGAGAAAAGCACTTTTTTCCCGCATGAGACGAGAGAAGCAATTTCGGTCGGCCCGAACAGACATTTTTGGTTGAAGATACTTCTTTTCATGACCTTGCCTCTCGAGTTCTCGGCGAAGCCGGTCTGCAGAGCAAATGCACACGCTGATGTGCAAGGTGTCTGAAAAATAGGTCGGATGACACAACGGAGGAAGGGGAGAGATAGACAGGAAATAAGAACTTGAGACAGACCTAAGGAGACGATGAGCTTGAAGGTTTTCGGAGCGTGAGTTGACGGAGGTGACCTTGTCGAATTGGTGACCGCCGCTTCGGCTTTTGGCTACTGTCCTCGTCGACATCGGTAGATCCGCAGCTTGCTCGTTCCTCCTCCTCGCTCCATCATCATCATAGATCACTCCGCTCTTACGGCCATCCCTCCTTTTTACGCGGACGACGGCAAACCATGCGGTCTAGTGTCATCGCCGCCGTCGACGTTTAGCTCCCGGAACCACTCCCTCTTCCAGCGACACCACAATGTCGACGCTGCCCGGTCCGCCGAGGGAGGTGCGTGTCGCGATCGTGGGCTCCGGCCTCACAGGCCTCGTCGCTACCTACCTTCTCACGGCTCCACATGCGTCGCTCCAGCACGTCAAAGTCAATGTCGAGATCTTTGAGCGTGCTTCGACGCTAGGAATGGACAGCGCCAGCATATCGGTCCCTCTGCCTCTCTCACCACCTCCCCAGCCCGAGGCACCGCAAATAGAACCTGTGGACCCCACTGGACCACATGGCGACGACGATAGACGGGATGAATCGCTGCTGCGCTCTCGAAAGCGTCTCAAGCTGCAGACGCGACCAAACAATGTTGCCGACTCGACGCCGCGACGTTCCTTGCGCATCGATGTCCCCATGCGTGCCTTCACCGGCGGGTACTATCCTCAGCTGCTTGCTCTCTATCGCCACCTCGGAATCAGGACCAAACCGACAAACTTCACCTATTCTTTTGCTACACTTCCAGCCACCCTTTCCTTACCTGCATCTGCATCTGCATCGCTTTCGCCGCCTTTGACCGCATCCTCTTCGGCAACACGGTCGTCTACACCCGACTGGCAATACACGACCCAACACAAGTTCACCAATCAACGGTCATCTTCGACCTGCCCTCTGGATGCAGCAGAACGAAGCACGGGCTCAGCACCGTCACCGAGTGTCCTTTACAACGGCGCCAACGGCTTCCGCGGTGCCAGTCTCCCAGCCGACCTCGGCCGTCCACGTCTGTCCAGCCCAGTCAAGGTATCCAGCATCCTTGCCCACATTGACGACCTCCGCAAATATTTTTCAACGCTTCTCTTGCTCGTATTTGGATATCTGCAGTTGCTCGTCGTCGCACTGTGGCATCACTATCTTGGGCATACTTGCGATCCGGCGCATCCACTTCGCTCCTATACCCTCCGCGATCTCGTCGCGGATCCGTTTCCCGCGCGACCATCGCCACCGCAAAAGACCTCGTCCCTTTCGCTGAAAGCTCGGTCTTTGCTTTTCCTCGAGCGCTCAGCGGAGCACGTGTTGCGCAGATTCGTGTGCCTCGATGAGCGCTTCGCGCAGCAGACTCTGACGCCATTGTTCAGTGCCGTCATGACATCGTCGCTCGAGTCTGTATGGGGCTCTCCGGCCTCGGAAGTGCTCGACTATGTCGCCTTGACTCTGGGCAAAGATCACTTTGTCGTCAGGGACGGCGTGCGGACCGTCGTCGCTTCGCTCTTACAGCACGTCGATCAATCCCAACCCGAAGTGCAGTCGGAGCCATCCAAGGACGGCGGTAGTAGAGTATGGACGAATGCAGAAGTACGTCATGTCGGCTCGCAAGACGGCAAGGTATGGATCGATGCCATCCATCATCCTTGCGCCACCAGTCCACGCCAGGAAATGACGCCTGACATGTCGCGACAACCCTCCTCCACTTCGACGGATCGAACGCTGTGCGGCGATCAAGACCATCTGCAGCGTCACGGACCTTTCGATCATGTCATCTTTGCCACGCAGGCCAACCAGACGGCGCAGTTCTTGCAGCAGTACGTCGAGAGTCTTTCGGCGACGGTCGAGGGCGTCGACAAGCAGGAACGCGACAAGGTGGTGAGGTTGAGAGACGTGATCGATGTGCTGTCTACGTTCAAGTACGAGAGGAGCGTGGTGGTGAACCACACGGATCGAGCGCTGCTGCCGAGACACAAGGCTGATTGGAGGGATTTGAACCTCGTCTCGCCAACTCAGCCGACGGAAAGGAGGAAGGATGGAGACTCGGAGTGGATCGATGAAGAGCAAACGCTGGATGGGAATTCATCCCAAGACACGCTACTGTCCAACTCGTGTCCCACCAAACCGCGCTCAAAGACAGGCTCGACCATGGCAACGCACGTGCTGACACTGCCACCTGATGCAGCTGCCCAGCAGGACTTGCTGGTCATGCAGACCACCAACCCACTCCCATCTCTCCACCCACATCCATCGACCATCCTCTCCTCCTCCACATTCGAACGAGCGGTCATCGATGTCGAAGCGCATCTCGCACGGCAGAGCCTGTTCCACCTTTCGCAAGCCACTCGCACCAAGCAGGGGGTTTCGGTTGAAACTGCCGGGGGAAGAAAGCTCAGTTTGGGCACGCTGCAGCAGCACAAGCGCGGGGAAAGGAAGCGCGACGAGGCAAGGGTGTGGGTGTGTGGAAGTTGGGCGGTGGGCATTCCGTTGCTGGAAGGATGTGTGGTGTCGGCGAGGCTGGTTGCGGAGGAGATCATGAGGGGGGAGGGCGTGCAGGTGGATGTGAGGTGGTGATGTAGCTGTAGCATGGAAGGAAATTGCATTGGATGGAAAGCGAGCAATGAGAACATGTATTCTGGATTTTGATCGTACGACTGGTGACCCTTTCTTCCGTTCTGCAACCTCTTGTCTGTGAAAGCAAAAAGTTTGACCTTGGCTGTGTATGGAAAATATCTACACCCTTGTTGTCGTCTACTTGGAACCGATGAACTCCCTAACGTAATCCGCAAAGCTGACCATGCAGATGGTCTGCCAAACACCCAAAAACACTCTCGGGGTGACGCCTCTGTAGAGGCCCTTGAGGCCGTTTTCCTTGTAGATGTAGGCGAAGGTGTTACCGATGGTGAGTTTTTCTGGTCTGTTGCTTCCCGGGGTAGCCTTTGCCATGCTTTGCATTTCGACTCGGATGACTTCGATGGGTTGGTTCCACGTAGCTAGGGCGCCACCGATGCTGCTGCAGGCGATGCGTTCGACGGCGTTGAGTTTGTCCTTTTCAGTCTTACCGGAGAGGGAGCGGATGGGGGTTTCGGCGAGACGGGCGAAACCCATACGCGAACCCCAGTTGGTGCATTGACGAACGGCGACGGCATTGACTCCCTTGTTGATGCCTTTGATGCCTTCGCGGCGGTAGATGTCGGCGAAAACGGCCCAGGTGGAGGGAGGTTTGATGCCGGCTTCGGCTTGCTTGTGACGCGTGATCTCGGCGGTCTTCATGCAGGTGCAGAAACCCATGGTGGCGTAGGCTTGAGCGATACCTCCCGTCATTCCACCCAGCAATCCAGCAGATCCAGAGGAGAACCCTGCGTTTTTAGCAACCTTTTCCACTTCAGCAGCAGTGAAGAGCAACACGGCTCCCTTGGTTGAGGCTTCGATCCACGCCCATGGAATCAGTCCCTGGTAGAAGCCGAGGATACCACCTCGAGAGGAGACGGTCTTGAGCGCCTGCATCATGGTCTGCTGTCGGTTGGACGCCATCTGCGTCTTGACCACTTCCAGCGGCTGACCGAGCGTCGTCACCTGCGCAAAACGAAAAAAGAGAGGGTACAACGCATATGTCAGCATATACAACGATTAAAGGAAAGACAATGTTGAACATAAGCATATACGCACCTCGACAATGTTCATGATGGAACCAACGGCAATGTTGGACCATGAGAAACCTTTTTGTTGCGGCGCCATGTTTGTAAGCGGGTATCACTGGGGATCGAGGGGTGTGCTTGGGAAGAAAAAGGGTGACCGTATGAGTTTCGACGTCGTACTCGGTTTCGATGGTGGAGAGGTGAAGCAAGGAGAGTGGTGATGGTAGCGACGAAGATCCAAATGAAGGGTCCTTTCGGCGAGAATATGTGCGTGGAAATCTCCCCGTTCTCGTTCGGCTGCTTGTGTGTGTTGAGCAAGCCAACCAACGCACGGTTGACAATTGCCCATCTGAGAAGAAATGCGCTGATTTTCCGGCAGCAGTTTGGGGAAAGGGCAGCCCAAAACTAAGCGCGTGGGTGCGCGTCTCGAGTTGAGTGTAGTACCTTAGTGTGGATCTTTCCGCTTGAGTGCTGCTGCCCTGCTGCTGTAACCCGGTCTGTGCCTCGCTTGCCAGAAATGGGACTTTACCCCACTCGGTTTCAACCTCGCTGTGCATATCAAAAGATGGCAGGTCAGATTTTGGGCTTCGTTTCAGCGAACCCGATTTATCACCCGATGGCGATATACGCGCGTGTGCAGCGTATCGCTCGCCGTCGGTTGGTCGAGATGAGATCAACACTTTGTGAGTCGTTGCTATGCAACACTCAGATTTGGGAAGGTCAATGGCTCCTCATCGCGGTTCTATAGCAAAACACTTTTTCCACTTTTGCCCCTTACCTCATGGAGAATGGCGAGTCGTAGCAGATCAGCAATCGTATCGTTGGAGGATCGTGAAGCAGAGGCGATGGTTTGAACAGCGTGACGTGTGTGTCGAGTGCGATACAGACGACAGCACGAGAGAGCCTTGATGCTCGATCTTTTTGGGCTTGATGGTGGGGCAATCAACTTGCGATGCAGCCTTTTATCGATTTCTTCTCGACGAGAAATAATTTTCCAGACGTGTTAGACTGCTTCATTAGGGGCGTTACAGGTATGTTAGACCTCAACAAACCGAACAGTGAATTTCTGCCTCAAACATCCTCCGTCTAGAGCCCTGCTCGCTATCCAGCCTGCCTGCCAAGCGCACACTAACGCTGAAACCCAGACCAACCCTCACGGTAGCGTCCAGAGTTGAAAGCGATGCGCTAGTCTATCGATCCGATGACACCATCCCCGTCTTCTGTCCCACCTTGTTATCTTACCAACGATAGCCCACCTGCCCCACGCCAACATCGTCTTTCTCGCAAAGTTATCTTGCCATATCGTCCCATAAATCTTGTACGGAGAATTACCTAAGCGAGCCAACGGCGGCCAACTGTCAAGAAGAAAAAACCCCCTCTAAAAAATCGCCGAGTCTTTTTAACTTTTGGCTGTTTCGTAACGCCGAGATGCTTATCGGTAGTTTAGTGCGACTTTTTAGTGCGCTTCTTGGCATTCCACCTCTGAACAGCGTACAGTAGCAGCCAATGCCAAGAACGAACATCATCAGCCCTGGTCGGAGACTTTTTCCTCTCGCTTCAGACGCCGGAGAAGCACATCATTCTACTGCAATGATCATGCCGTCGGCAAACTTGGGCTTCCATTTTGGTGACGCAACACCCACCATCTTCTGTTCGAATACAAGACACCGAGGTTTCGCACTCCGTTGCTTGCTTCCCGAGTTCTGAGAGTGTATTGTTATCTGTACGGTGAAATGAGCGTCATTGATATCAGCAGCCATTCAGGTGCAGTCGAGAAGAGCGCAGTTGTGGCAGGTTCGGTTGTGTGTCAACTGCGATAGTGTGGCACTGCGGACAAAAACGTTTCCATGCTAGTGTGACTGACACCGTGCTTGCTCAGACTACTGCAAGGAAGTCTGACTTGGCAGCGTGCTATCAACTTGACCAGCCGTACTATCAAAGCCCACTTCTCTGGCTCTTGCCACAGTGGAATCTCAAACCCCTTGTCTTACAATGAGAGTACGGCTGGGTTGCCTCAAGCTTGTTTTCATGCGAATCAAACAGCAGGCTGCCAAGAACTGCAAGTTCAACCTGTCATACATTCCGCTCCCTCGGAAACGCAATCCCTTTCCGAAAAAGGCTGTTCTTTAACGCTGCTTGGCATACCCAGTACGTACACACCAGCTGTCAGGGTTTTCCGGTGATAGCCCAAGATAGTGTGGGTGACAGGTGTGATTTGGGCTGCAGCGGGCTGTGATGCCGGCGCTTAGGGTGTCGGGGCTGTGTTCTGGCAGGGGCCTGTGCGAAAGGATTGAACGAGAGGCTGAGGGGCGTGCGCTCCTCCCCTTCATGAGGGTGACGCTGGAGAAGTGTATATACGTGATGCTGGATCGGACGAGCACCCACATCTTACGCATCCCCCCCTCATCTCATCCGAATCATTCCTTATACACATATCGGACCATCGACAATTCCTTTCCAGCTGTCTTGTTGACCCTCACTTCTATCATCTACCAACTTCCATCATCCTTCACCTCTGCGCACCACACTCGCAACCATGCCATCATCATCACCGCCATCATCGGTCAAAACCCGCCTGATCTCGCGCCTAGAACACATGACGTTCGCATGGTTCACCTCGTCCATGTCTCTCGGCGGGATCGCCAACCTCCTCATGTCGCGCATCGTCGACTCGACTCCCTTGTACTACCTCGGAAGCTCGCTCTTCCTGCTCAACATCGTCTACCTCCTCCTCCTCATTTCGCTCCAATTCGTCCGATACAGCTTCACCGGCGCCTCGCTCAGCTACACACTCTCGCACCCGATCGAGTGCTGTTTCGTCCCCACCTCGCTTCTCGCCTGCGCCACGGTCATTATCGGAATCTTCAACGTCGTTGGTCAGGAAGCGAGAGCGGGGTGGGGGGTGTTGTTGTTGGTGTTCTTTTGGGTGTACTTCGTGTTGAGTCTGGTGGTGAGTTTAGTATGCTACACGGCTCTGTTTAGGAGGAAGGAGCAGAGTCTGCATCACATGAACCCGGCATGGGTGTTGCCGATCTTTCCGCTCATGCTGTGTGGAACGATCGCGTCGGTCATCCTGCCGTTGCAACGCGAGTCTGCCGGGATGAGGGTGATGGCGTTTGTAGGCATGACCTGTCAAGGACTGGGATTTACGGTGTCGGTGATGATGTACTCGGTGTTGCTGTTGAGGTTGATGGTCAGCGGGTTTCCACCGGCGAAGGCGAGGATCGGGTTGTTCATGAACACTGGTCCGCCGGCTTTCACCATCATCTGCCTGCTCGGGTTGTCGGACGAATCACCGCACTTCCTTCCCGAAACCCTCCCCGCCTACGCTCCGCAGGTCCTGCGGACAATCGCCATCGCTTCCAGCGTCTTTCTGTGGAGTCTATCGGCTTGGTTTTACTTATTCACCCTCGCCTCGCTGGTCGACGTACTGCTCGACAAGCAGTTGAGAAACGAGTTCGAATTCATCCTCGCTTGGTGGGCCAGCGTTTTCCCCGTCACCGGCTTCGCCCTTGCCACGGATGCGCTGGCGGATGAACTGGGAAGCAAAGCCTTGGATGTTCTGTCGCAGGTTATAGTGGGATGGTTGTTGGCGACGTTCGTCGGTGTAGCAGGCATGCACATCCGAGCGGTGGTGAGGGGGGATATCATGACCGAGGGTAAGGACGAGGATAGGGTGATCGATACCATGTACCACCGATTCAGAGACGAGGAAGTCCCCGAACAGACTCCCGAGAAGAGTCCCGAGTCGAACCCTCCCACCTACCCTTCCACCCCAGCAATGTCCGTGACGAGACTCGATACCAAGGGCAAGGAACGGAGTCAGGACGCCGACGTTGATGCCATCGATTCTCTCACGGAGATCAGGGTCGGCGGAGGTTTGAGGATGACACGAATGGTGTCGAACGAGTAGTACAAAGCATCGCTGGTTTACGATGTATACATCCCTTTTGCATCCACTTTAGCATTTCTCGAAATATTCTTGTCAAATACAGCATCGTTCCCTTGTCCATAGCAATTTGCAGTTTAGATTCGCATTCACATTGTTCTTCCTAGCATCGGCTTGTGAATCCTGTTCGATGAGATGCTCCATCCGATCCAATATCCGGGAGTATTCGATACGCCAATGGTATCGATGGCGCAGACGTGGCCGGCGGGCCGATTCTTGCCGTCATCGACAACTTGCACGTCGGGAATGAGCGTGTGCCGGATCTTCGGGTTGGAATCCTTCTCGTTTATGAAATTTCATGCATATGCAACATGTCCCTTTGTGCAAACAAAAGAAAAGGCTCCCGTCCAATCATCGTCTCTCATCCTTCTCGACTCGCAAGTCGTCCTCCGCATCGGGATTCGAGCCGGGAAGCGTATCGCTCGATCAGCATGTCTTTTTCGCATCCGTTTCGCAGCTTTATTGTTCTCTGGTGGGTGGATGTGTAGCTCGGATGCAGCATGTCATGCATGCCGTTGCAGAAACAACGTAGCTCGAGCCCCCCCTTTGTGTGTGTTCGCTTCTTTCACGTGGAAGCCGGTTTTCTTTGCAGCATGCAATGTACAACGGCATGGTGGGTTGGGGTTGCAGCTTGTCGGATAAGCACCTCCCCCTTTTTCTTGCGTGTATGCGACGACCGGTTTTGCATCCTTCCAAAGCTTTGCACACCTCACACAAAGGGGTAACATACACCACCGTTGCATTGCCTCACTGTAACCGAGATTTGAGCAGCTGAATATCACACGACCGTCACTGCTGGATACTTGAGGCAATGCGTATCGAGCGGTTGGCGGGTAACTCATGCATAGCTGCATGCATACGAGCGTGTTCCTTTCATTATGGCGTTTGCCTTTTTGTCTTTTTGCCAGTTGCCGAATGACAACGAGACCAAGACTTTGCGAGATGACAATGCCGATCTCAGAACACCAATCACATGCGTATTTGCCGAGCCGCAAACTGATCGGTTCGCTGCTAGACCGGCGACTCCTTATGCCCTCTAGTCCCACTAGAACGGCACTGGTGTCATCGATGCCTTCAGCATGACCGTGCACCTGTGTATGTGGGGACGCTCGGTCCTGAGCAGTGAACCGTCGGTTCATCCACCCAGCTCTGTTGCCGTGCGAGCTATACTGGTGTTCGAATACGAGAGGAGGAGCCGCGGTAGAATGTTCAAGGTCAGTACGCAAGCGGAGTTCAATCGAAACGAGGTCAAAGCGTGGTATTTCGAAGCCGCATCAATGTATGCGCATCCGAGAACATGTCAAATACCCACTCGCGCCACCAACACGATTGCAGAAGCGTCGGGAATCTTCCATCAGGGCCCGTGTGACCGATCTGTCAGTCCCGCGCCTATTGTTCGAGCACGATCAGACCGGTGTTGTCGTGACCTCTTGGATTGCATTCGCCGCACGCCTTGAAAAAAGGGCTTGTCGGCAACGAGGAAAAAGGACCTTTACATTTGAAAAAACCACGACGGATTCGGGATGGTGATCACCGATGGGAAGCAAAGAACAATGGGAAGCCGATAAAGATCTGAGTTTTTCCATATGCTTTGCATGGTGATTCATGCACGGCAACAACGAGAGAACAATGGGCGCGTACTTGCCATGAGTGCAGGACGATCTTGGAGGTATGTGCAACGATGATCGCGCTCATGACACGCTCCCTTTCGTCGTGCAATTTGTGCGCAACTCGACATTGATGAGCGTATCGCCTTCCAATCGGCTAGCCGGCCCGCTTTGATGCCTTCTCTTTTCCATGCACACAGACACACACAGACCATCAAAGACCGAACCACCGAAGCAATGGGTACCCTCTGCATTGAAGCGCTGACCTGATGCCCGCTTTCCAGCTAACCGCTAGTCGTATGACAGACGGGTGTGAGTCACACGCGCTGGTGTCCATCACATCAACTTTTGCACCGCCTTCCGCTCGAGCAAGTGAGCGATCCATGGTGTCGGCCGTTCAAAGTCACGCAGCATGTCAGCGTTGACCGATGGAAAACAAAAGACTTCATCTGCATGCATGTTGCCTCCCCTATCTGCCCCCCTTCCTCGGGCTGTGCGCCACTTGTGAGTTTTAAGCTCAAGCATACGGCAACGTCAAGCTTTGTTTCACTTCATCTCGTTTGCTGACAATCTCTCGAATGAAGCAAGAAGGGTGCTGGATTGTGGTAGAGGTGATTGAATGGGGAATTCATCATGGACATGCGCCCTTGTTGAGTTTGAGCTTCATTGCCCCCTCGCCTGGCTTTTCATTTGTCACGTTCAGCAACGAGACGCTGTCTTCTTTCTCTACGGCATCACCATCAACCACCATCTTGACCGTCATCCTTTGTCCCTCTCGACTTGCCCCGTCTCGCTGAATCCGGGTGCTCCTTCCACCTCGGTTATTTGAGGTTCCCGGCGACTCACTCTCGGATCGCTCTGGTTGAATTCCCAATCAGCGCTTGGATCGCTTCACGTCGCCATCGAGGGCCGCCGTTGCTGCTGCTGCTGCCACTCGGATTCATCAATTTCCCACGCCCCTGTCAAGACGAGCATCTCTCTATCTTCATTCTTCCATTGGCGCCTCCTTTGTTGGGTCCATCACCGGTTTGATCTGCAAGCACGCTAGCTCCCGCTGCACCGTTGGTTTGACTTTTTCATTCCTTTTCCCCACGCTCTGGCCTCGGTTGACATGGTTGCCTTCGTTCCATCACACGATTGAGCCGAGCATTGATCGTTTACCCGCTGCCTCGAACCGCTCCCTTGGGCTTCATCTTTCTCCTCTACCGCTGCAGCTTGACATCCATTCACTTACTTATCTGACCGGCTCATTCCCGTCAGCTCGAGCTCAATAATATCGACTCGATCTTGCCCAAACACACGATATTTGGTGGTCCTCATTTTGCGCCAAGCTTGGGCCCGAGCGTACTCTGGATTCCTGCACATCAGTTGGTGTACGCCTTGTCATTCAACACGAGGTCCGCACGTCGACGCATTTCCCACGCTACCTCGTGTATATACCGCCGATACCTTCTCTGACGGCCACACTCTGTCTTGCAGAAAGCAACTTGCTGTGTTGCAATTCGCAACCAAACCTAGCCATATATACCGCAGGATTTGCGCTCTTACCATCGCACGTTCTGCTCTGCTGCTCTCCATATCCAAGGTCGATGAGAGCCAGACTCGTAGGAACCTCATGCTCGTTGCACACCTACAGCCTCTGGTCTGCCGCAGCCAATCGAGAATGACCAACGTTCCGCCCACCTCCACCGCAGCGGCTGCTTCGGTTCGTCTGCCTCCTATACATCTTCGGTCTGACGACGATACTCCGACACTTGCTCTTCCAAACAATCCTCCCTCCTCTTTGTTCCACTACCACCTACATACTCACCACCAACACGATCGTTACCAACGTCAAGCCCAGCATCCTCTACCTCGACAGTCGATGTCGGCATCGCCATTGCCACCGAGCTTCAACAGCCGTGTGACATCATCGACCCAAACGGCGTCGTCGTCTTCTTCTACCACCGGAATCCATGCTCTGACGCTGGCAGCTAAGCAAGAAGACGAAATCAGCCTGTCCTTCAGCGACGAAGACATGCTACTGTGTGACGAAGCCGACGACGACGAAAATTGGTCCGATGCAGCTCCTTCTTCCGTCGAGGGTGCAGCGAGCAACGCCGAGAAGCGCGACAAACGTGGTTCGGCCGCGAGCTCCGTCGCTGGCAAAGGTGGTGCTGCAGAGGGAAATATGAATGGCAAGCGCAATTCGAACAATCGGAGTCGAAGGTTGCTCTCGTTGGAACAGTCCAAGGTGCTGTACAAGATTCTTGACAAGGTGAGTTTGACAAGGGTTCTGAGGAGAATCTGCTCTTGTTGGCGAGCCTAACTTGTGCCGAAGTGGCCCCACTTCATCGCCAGGATTTCATAGGTCAAATGAAAGACTTCATCAGCGCACGCTCTTTCCGCGAAATCCCACCGATTCATGGAGCTAACAATTGCATCTGCTCTTCATCTCGGCATGCGAACAGACCCACTTCCCATCCACCCAATTGCGCGAGGCAGCCGCCTTCCAACTCGGTGTATCCCCGCGAAAAGTCCAAGTGCGTTTTGTTCTTGTCTCTCGCCCTTCCGCGATCTTGCCTCTGACTGACCTCTTCATTCCTCCTTGCGTCGCTAGGTCTGGTTTCAAAACAGACGTCAAGTGGGGAAAAAACGAATGATGGAGTCCGTCCAATCGCTGCTCTCCACCTACCCGCCATGCTCCTCCGCACAGCTGTCGCTCGACCACATTCAGGATCAGCTTCGCTCCACGGGCAAGACGCGATTTTCCGCCAACGAGGACGAACGTACTCGCGCCTGGAGACGCCATACGATACGGTTGGCGCTCAACCCATCTGCTGCGGAGGAGGAGGAGAGCAAAGCTGCCATCCGCGAGCTCGAACGTGGGTCGTCGGCGAGGGAGTACTACGAGATGCATCCGGGAGCGGAACGGGATCGTGAGTGGGGTAGGGATGCTGCTGCTGCCGCGGCGTCGCGTGGGCTTGGATGGATGGAGATGGGAGAGAGAGATTCGCGTATTCGAGCATCTCGTTCGGCAGCATCGTTGCGGATCAACGTGCCGAGGTTGAGATCGCACTCTTCCACCTCGGACTCGCATACACCCGCGACTGCGTCGACTCCGACCTATACAGGTCCAGGTAGCGCTACTCATCTGGAAAGCATCTCCTCCGCCCGAACGTTTTTCCCTTCACCTCTCACAGCTCCTAGCACAAGAACCATCCTCACCACTCCCACCATCAACAGCCAAAAGGAAAGCTTCAGTATTCCACCCCACAACACCCATGTTTACCGTCCTTACCCACGACCATCCCTACCACCACCACCGATGCACCAGACTTTCGCTCTTCAGAGTGGAGTTCGACGCGATCGCAGCGCTACGCTGTCAGGAGGTACAGTTCAATGGAAAGACTCGGATCTTCGACACGTCCGGAACGATTTGACGGCGGAATGGAGGTATGCACAGCAACGACTGCTGCGCCATCAGCCGGTGGATTTGAGACGCGTTTCCCCACCGAGCGGGAGGTACTCGCCGTACCACGTGGAGGGTAGTAGGCGCGGGAGGAGTGAGTCGACACCGGTTGATCCGGGAGAGAGGTGGCAAGAGGTTGCGATCGAGCATGTGGCGGTACGTGTGGGGTCCCCGCTGAACAGCCGACGCTTCGAGTCGGTACAACAGACCGAGCCCAACCGCCCCACCTCACCGAATGACCCCACGAAACAAGACCTCCAGGACAGCGTCGGAGAACACACCCGCAGGAACAGCAGGATGGACGTCAGATCCCTCACCACCAGCAACATCACCAACACCAGAGGTAGTCGATGACCTTGCCGTTTCATTTTTGGGCTAATCAATGCAGCAGCTTTTTCCAAATTCTTGTTTCTTTCGTGCCCTGATAGTGTGGTCTCGATTGGTGAACAGGCGGGGTTTTTCGACCCGTATGGGCGCGGAAAGTCTTGCTGATGGGTATGCACGCTAGGTCTCATGCTAAAGACTCTGGCCTTGTTGGAACTGCGGGTTTTGCAATGCAGGAAGAAATTTGTGCTGGGTTCTCTCGATGTGTAGCGCGCGTTGTCAGATGTGCTTTCGGTGGTGACGTTGCGACTACCTGTAGACGATACGGGGGGCGGGAAAATCACCGTCTCCGAATCTGTGTTTGGGTTTTGAACGACAGTGTAGCTCGCGGGATGCAATCGAAGATCGTTGGATACACGATCGCCCTTGTCAGCGATGTCCAATTTGTGTGGGCTGACACTCGTGTTCAGCCTTGCACGCCTTGACACTCTTTGTCGCCCTGCGCAGAGAGCCAGCCGACCCGCAGATCCGGTACCTCGAAAAGCACGCCAACGACACTCCGAGAAAAGCTTCATCTTGGCATTGCTGTACAATAAATTTGACCCGACCGCGGTTCTTCAAAACATCTCGTCCTCCTCTCCGCCGACCAACGCCTCCTCGCCTTCCAACGCCTCACCCTCGGGAACCTCGAAGCCTTCCTCGGTAGAATACAAGATGGCCTGGATCTGCTTGAGACTCTCCTGCTCCTCGGTGCCCACGTGCAAGCCTTCCGGGTCTTCCTCCTCGCTGGGCACGGGGAACTGTTCGGCCAACAAACCCAATCTCTCCTGGACGAGAATCTCGATGTCTCTCAACTTGGCAAAGTAGAAGTCGCGTTCCTTTTCCAACGAGTCGACGGAAACCTTCATGTCGTCCATCTGAGCTGTGAGGGCCTGGATGGTTTCGTTGGGTACCGCGGCTGCTTGCGCTTGTTGTGGTGCACTCCTCGCAGCGCCGGGTGCTGGACGTCTTGCTGCTTGAACGGGAGCGTTTCTCGCCGCGGGTGCTCTGCTCGCCGCCGCCGCTGCCGCTGCTGGTGGAGCAGCCCTGGTCGTCCTCGCAGCTCCCACGCTGACACTCCCCACCAACGGCGGCGGCTGTGCACCCACCCCAACCCTCCTCCCCTCCGCATCGTACAGCTCCCCGCTGAAATTCTGATCCCAGTACCGCTTCAACCACTGCGCAAACTCCAAGTTGTCCTGCATCTTGCATCGAATCAACCTGTCCACCGGAATCGGCTTATCGATCCGATTCCGCTTGAACGTCTCTTGGAGCACCTTGAAGTTGTTGATGTACTCGTAGTCGTGTTTGGCATCGAACTTGATTTTGGCGAGGGGAACGTTGTAGAAGATGGAATCGATGATCTGGGCGTACGCGGCGCCGGAGCCGAGTTGTTCGATTTTGGTGTAGGAGAGGGAGAGGAGGGTGTTGATCCATTGGATCAGTTCTGTGCGTGATTCACCCATGATGTGCAACGATACGAGAAGATGGTCGCCGCGGGTTGGATGAAGGTGATGGTGATGTGGAAGAAACGAGGGATGGGAGGAGGATCGAGTTGGAATGTGAAAAAACACACTCACACACTCACCGCGGTGCAGAGAACGGTGGAAAAAGAAAGGGCTTGTGCGCAGCGGAAGCAGAAGCACGACGGCGGGCGCGTGTTTGCGTTGCGTGGGAGTGTTGGTGTGTTGTTCTGCCGATCCTGTCGGCCGGCACGCTGCGCACTCAAAACACGCGTCTCGCAAGCTTTTCTTGACACACACGGAAAATGCACACGAAAGGCTTTTCTCTCTTCCTTCTCTGCGTCTCGCAGTGCGCTGCTGTGTTGCGACGGCTTCTCCTTGGCAGCTGCTGCCGCTCTCGGCGGGCCCTTCTGTCCAGTATCGCGTCGATATACGTTCGTCCCTCGTTTATCACTGCCACTACAGGGAAGGATTCTGCTCGACGTTCAACTGGCAACCCTGCTCCGTAGGCACAATAGCCACAAGGCTTGACAAGCAACCTCGAGAGCAATGCTGTCCTTGTGACTTTGGAGAATGTGATGCCGCGAGTGGAATGCGCACATGAAATGAAGTCTTCCTCTCCGAGCTTGTTGATCTTCGTCGTCAATGTGGGTGAATCTCTTGCGCGCTGCTCAGCGCAGCAAGACATCGGGTCTGGTTCTAACGAGTACACCGCCATCACCTCTTCTCACCCCTCCCTTCCTCTCGTGCTACGATCATGTCGGCTCTTGTCATCGCCCTTATCCTGCTGTGCCTCGCCTCTAGTCTGGTCGTGCTGATTGCTGTCATCCTCGACCTCTTCTGCAAGACTCGTGGTGGAAGTAGAAAAAAGCAAACTGCGCGGGCGAGGTTGGTCGGCTTGAGCCAGTGGCAGCGGCTTCGCTTAGCGCTTTGCGTGCTGGATGCGTTTCTGCTGTTGGCCATCACGCCTCTTTTCGTCGTTCATTGGATCAAAGAAGGTCATGGCTCGATCTGGGATACAGCGTTCAATAGCGCAAGCACAGCCTTCGCCACGACAGCAATCGTCGTTCTCAGGCCGGCCAGCTTTGCCGTTCTTGCGGGTAGCATTCACCTCAAGCGCGATCCGTCTCGGCATCGACGGTTTCGAAGAGTCCTTCCACTGATAGCTCTGCCGATGGTCTCTGCCATCTCGACGATCAGCATCGTGATCGGTTGTCCTTCTTTGAATCCTCAAACATCGACGTGTAAAAACGCAGAGTGGATCAAGGTCATCGTCGTCTCGAGTCAGGTCATTTTCGCCGTTCTGGCATCGTGGATGGCGATAGTCGTCTTCAGACGCCATGGCAAGAACGCTATGCACTGTGACCAGGAGCCTGCTCGTCATCGTCAGTCGATCGTCGCCACAAGAGCACCTTCTCTGTCGCTCCTCATCCACACCCAGCCTGACCCGTGGACAAGGCACATCGATCTCGACCTTCCCACCACCACCCATCCCACCGACTTTGGCCCAACCCTTCCGGCCAACCAGGCGGAAAGCATCGACTATGGTACTAAGCTAGCACACACAATTCTCGGTCACACCGTGACTTCACGCCAAACTACCACCGCAACCTCGATGGGCTACGGCTCAGCAGTTGCGTCTTCGACAAACCCGTATCACGTCCAGTCTAGTGATGAGGCTGCTTCAAGAGGCGCGATCACTGTTGAGCGATCCACAGAGTCGGCAGTGGATGCTGCAGGATCGATGGGAGACGCGTGGGTGGGAAAGGGGTATGTGAGAGTAGACTCGCCCATGGGTGACGATGTCAGTCGTTCGGCCACGCATGATTTGTTGTTGGAGAGGAAGGCGTATGACAGCGACCGCCGTGTCGAGAAACGTTCTTTCGAAGGTATGTGGTGCGCGGGCGGTTTGGCACTGTTGTGGATCCCCATCGCTCTTTCTACTGTAGCGGTGGTGTCATCAAAGGCTCAGACATACATCCTGCTAGCATCATTTTGCGTTCCCGCTTGGATGCAGCTCGTTCACCTTTTCCTTGCACGTCGCGTCAACCGCCTTCGACGTCAACAACCAAGCGAAGCTCGACCACCTCACCAGCCTACCGATACGTCCACCTCTCCCAGCGCCTTCTCCGCCGCATCTTCAGCAGTCATCGTCAACCCCACACTGCGCCCGCGTCGGCCACACTACCGCTCATACTCCTTCCCACTCGTATCCCAACTCAACGGCTACCGAACCTCATACCTTTCCGACAACTCCAGGGCTCGAAGCGTTCCGTACCTCTCCCAACACTGGACGGCAGGCAAGGTCAGCGGCGATCGAGTCGTAGCTCCCCGGAGTAGCTTCGTGAGGGGTTTGAGCCTCATGTTCCATCCACGTCCCAAGCTGGAGGTTCTGCCCGTACGCGGTAGGTCTGCCGGAGATGGTGGCATGAGGAGACAAGGTGTGATGTCGAGGTTGGATGTGTCTGGCGTTGAAAGGTGCGCGGGTACGATGGATAGCGAGAGGGCATGTTTCGTCGAAGCGTCGGCACCCTCTCTCGAGCTTCAGCAGAGAGAAAGTGAAGGACAACTGCTGGAATCATCTGCAGGGATGACGGACGTGGTTCTCGACTTGGACGAGACACCGGGCAGCCCACGTCTTCCACCACAACCGCTACGAGACCATGTCGAGCTCGAATCACCTACAAAGCGTCCGCCCGTTCAGGATCTTTCGAATCGATCCGAGTCACACTCAGCTCGATCACCAGGGTTCTCGGACGACCCTTCGATCATGGGCAACAGCAGCACCTCGAGGCTGTTCTCCGAGATCCTGCACATGGTGCGCGCTCCCGTCCACAGCAATTCTTCTCCTCAAAATCTGAACCGAACGCCCTCCGAACACCGCTACAACTTGATCAATTCTAGTCAGCTCAGCCTGTACGCCACCGCCAATGAAAGCACCTCCATTCCCCAACAACCGGACGTCTCCCCCCCAACATCTCTCTCTCGCAATCCCTCCAGCTCCTCCACTGTCTCCCTCTCCAGCATCTCCAGTCGTATTCGAACCTCACTCCGTCGTCAGCCCTCAACATCATCATCATCATCGTCACCTCGGATCAAAAAGATCCGGAGCAGGACGTTCGCTTCGGCCTTTGGGATCGAGCTCAACCTGTTGAATCGAGGGAGTGTAGAGGGATCTCCTTCGACGATTTCCGAGGGAGGGACGGTGGGTAGTTTGATGGACAGTCCGAGTCGGGCACCTCTCGGGTATAAGGCGCCGGGTGAGATGGAGTGGATAATGCATAGGAGGCAGACGTCGAGAGCGGATTCGATTGTTGATTTGCGAGAAGAGGTGGAGGAGGTTATCAGCTGTGCAGAAGAATCCTGTGATTCGCAGCACCACGATGATGAAGAATTAAGAGAGGAGGGAGGGGTGGATCTGGCAGATATGACGTTCAACGATGACGTGTGGGATCGCCATGCGCTCGATACAGACGATGAGATCGACAGCTCGATGGCGGTGGGAGAAGACGATCTGATGGGATTCGAGCCGAGACGTGTGGTCGCGCGACCGCCGTTTTTGGATACGGTTACGGAAGAACCTGAAGACGTCGAAGTGGAAGAGGTTGGAGAATGTATTGGGGAAGGCGGAGGAGGGGTAGCGAAGCTGCTAAGGGAACACGAGATGATGTTCCCGCACAAGACCTTGTCGCGGATCGAAGAGGTGACGGAGTTGACGACGAGATCGTCGAGGATGATGTTGGACAGTAGTGGTAGTGCCGGGAGCAGAAGAGCGGGGAACATTGATGGGGACGGAGAGAGGGAGATTCGATTAGGGTTGCCACTGAGTCTCGGGTGTGAGATGGACGAGAACGATGCGAGGAACGGATTTGGGTCTGTAGAAGAGATCGAAGACGACGACGTGGACGCGGACGCGGACGAACCTGGAAAAGGTGGCTCGGAAAGGATCCTTCCCTTCGTCACCCCTCGAAGTACCATCCGACGACGAGCAGCAGCAGCACGACTCGCGCCTCCCACTCCCACTCGAAAGTTCTTCGCCACCTCCCCAACATCGTCGAAAGTGACTCCTCTGATCTCTCCTTCACCTCGATCCAAGACCACGCGACTCTCGCAACTCGGCCTGGATCAAGGCATCTGGTCTTCCTCCCCACCCCGCCTACCGCTCAACAACGCTCTCGATCACAGCTTCGAACTCGTCTCTCCACCCGCACGAGCCGACTTCTACCCGAACAGTCATTCACCTCGACGCCATCTCCGCAAACACTCGACCACTTCCCCTCCGGCGAAAAAGGTTCTTCACAAAGCCTCATCCTCCCAAAAACGGCGCAAGAGCAGACTCAAAGGTGTAGCCGTGATGATCGCACGACATCGATTCACGGTGGTCGACGAAGATGATTCGCTGGTTCGGCAGTGATACTGTACAGTACGTTGCCACAAAATTTGACGCGCATTGGGTGTTGGTTTGAAACCGATGAATGGAGACAGCTTCAAGCTCATGAATCGCGCCAACGTTGTTTTTTCACACAACCTCAGTCAGCTGTGCGAAATGAGTGAGAAAAGCCGGAAAGATACCGGAAAAATGGCGCGTTGTTGCGATTCCTGACAGCGCGCGATTCGCGCCCATCTGCACGAGCCAAGTGTTCCAGCGCCGAGGCGGACGGGACCCTTTTCGGATCTTCCGGCTTGCTTTCTGCGGCGTGGAAGCGTGTGATATGCAAGGCCATGCAGGCTCTCGCATTGCTCTTGAAAGTCAAACACTCTTGGAACACGACACACTCCCTTCTCGCATTCACCACCATCATCATCACCAACTGTCCATCGTCGCTCATCGCAGTTGGACTTCTTGACAAGGATGGTAGTCGCCTCCACACTTCGCGGCGTTCGCGGTGGCAGCGGTCGGCAGCTCGTCATCCGCGATCAGCTCGAATCGCTCCTCCTCCCCGCATCCAAAGCCTACCTGCTGGGCTACATCATGGACGTGCTCCCTGCCATCCTCAAAGCGCTCATCAAGTTCGTCACGGCTGAACTCGCACGCATTCGGAAATCCGAGAAACGACTTCGCGAAGAACGCTCGCTCGCCTCGTCGAAACCGCGCAAACGAAACCAGCTCGTGGAATCCATCAAACCCATCCTCTCCTCCCTCCACCGTCTACCACTCTTACTGAAAGCGATCGCAAAGGCACTGCTGGTGGCGCTGGGGATGAGGGGTATGGCGATCAGCTGTTTCCTCGCCATGGCGGGGTGGAGGATTTCCGAGGTGCTCGTCTGGTGGCCTCTCGCCAAATACTATGCGCTCAAGCTCACTTCCAGCGCTGCTGATGAGAAGGCGGTGAAGAGTGCGTTGACGTATGCGAGGGTGACATCGACGTTTGTTGCGTCGGCGTTGAGCTCGGCGGGCGCGATGATGATGCTGCAGCACCAGAGCGCCAGCGCACTGCGCAAGAAACAGATCCAGTCCACCAGTGGTAGTGGAAAGGACTTGTTGACAATCGATACGACGCCGGGGTGGATTCCGAGGAGTTTGAGGCCGAGCAACTTGGGATTTTTGGGGAGGAGGATGGCGGTGGGGGAGAGGCAGCAGCCGAGGTTTGCTAGTCTGGCGCCCGCGGGTCACTTTTTGAGCAGACTGACGAGCTTGACTGTGCCGGGGACGCCCGGGTTGGTAGCACCAGGTGGAGGAGGGGGAAGTCCTGGGTTGGTGCCGGCTAGTCCGGAGTCGAGGAGCAGTGCGCTACCGGTCAGTCCGACAGCGGGGACGATGTTGCAGCCTCCGGAGGCGACGGGGGATGCTCCACCGGCGTCGCCGGTCCTCCCGGCTGCACCGCAGTTGAAGGTCTCGGAGGTGGACGCGAAACCCACATCGACGGCGCTCGGCAGACCCAGCCCCACCATCGACCTCACGCTGTTCGCCCTCGTCCGCGGTCTCGACACGCTCGTCCGTGCGCTCGCCTCCACCCCTACCACCACCACCCTCAAACAGACCGCTACCGCCACCAGATCTTCCCCCACGCTCCTCTCCCGCCTCGCATCCGGCATCGCCACGCAAGCGGACGGCTTCATCTTCGTCATCTGCTGCGCCCAGATCATGTGGGCCTGGTTCTACCACCCGGAACGCCTCCCCCCTACCTACGTCAAGTGGATCACCAACCTCGCCACCATGGACGAGCGGCTTCTGCTGGCGCTCCGCTGCATCCGACACGGCAAACCGCTGGTGTGGAACTACCAGAGCAAAGCGATGACTGCGGAGGGGGTGCATCTGTTGGGAAGTCTGGCGGAGGAGCTGGGACATCCGTATCAGTGGGGTGATCCGACGAGGTTGCCGAATACGAGCGCGGAAGCGAAGAAGATGATCCAGGAAGCGAGGAGGAAGGAAGGGAAGGAGGGGGAGTTTGTGCTGGACGGAGCGGCGGGGGCGAGGGGTAGGGGAGAGATGGGTGGTATGCCGTGCGAACTGGTTCATTGCGGTACGGGTGGTGCGAACTGCTACAAAAACGCGCTCTACAGGTGGATCAGGGGTTTCCGGATGAGCATGGCCATCTACTTCCCCGTGCACCTCCTCCCGCGGCTTCTGTTCAACCCACGCGCGTTCTTCCGCCAACCCCTCCCTGCACTGCTCAAGGTGCTCACCGGTGCAGCGCGTTCCGCCGCCTTCCTCGCAACGTATATTGTCGGAAACTGGTTCCCCATCTGCCTCGCTCGTTCCGCCCTCCTCCCGCGCTTGTTCCCCAACGTACCGTTCAACTTTTGGGACGCAGGAATCGGTCCTGCGCTGGGCAGTGTTGCGTGCGGGTTCAGCATTTTCATCGAGGAGAGGAGGAAGAGAGCCGAGATGGCGCTGTACGTGGCACCGAGGGCGCTGTTCGCCATGGTGGAGGGGGCGAAGAAGGGATGGTTGAGCGAAGGGGAGAGGACGGCGTTGTGGGCGGAGAGGGCGGCGTTCGGTGCGAGTGTGGGCGTCGTGGTTTGCGCAGCGAGGTACAGGCCGGATCTGCTGAGAGGAATCACTGGGGCTATGGGCTGGGTGGCGAGGAGTAAAGGTGAGGGTAGGGTCAGGAGGAGTTATGCTAGGGACGCAGTGTAGTTTTCACTTTTTGTCGCTGTGTCCTAACCCGAATGAAGGATTGATCAGATCCCTAACTCTCTGCTTCAACACCTTCATCTCCGGGAAACCTGATTGTACTTTTCGATCCCACACCAACTTCAACCCTTGCTCCTCCTGGGGAGCCAAAAAGTACACTCGAAACCTTCCCGCACTGGCATCGTCCACTTTGGGGATCATGAGAACTGCAGCGATGCTGGCACCTGCTTCTGCTTCCGAGGTGGTGGTGGTGGCGAAGGTGGAAAGCAGTTCTTGTTGAAACCAATTTGCACGAAGACCGAACTTGCATCTCTGACAGTACTGCTCGCGAGGTGGAAAGAGAAAGACGAATCAGTGAACTTTTCCACGCACCATGTCAAGTGCGGTACTTACTTCGATAACGATCAACGGTGTCGGCAAACCTTCCACAGCAGATAGCGGTGGGATGAACGTGCTAGGATCCATGAGGTTCTCCGCCGCAGGCTGCGAAGTATCCATCGCCGCCGCTGCAGAGTGCGATGCCTCCAAGCCGTCCGATACAGCTGTCGCGGGCGAACAGTCGGTGCATTCCGGCTCATCGGCGGCGGTCGACATGGCAGATGCTGCTGCTTGCGAAGCTTCCACCGCAGCGGATGTCGTGCTCGTCGATGGATCCGTCATCGCTTTTTTTTTCGGTCGAGGCTGACGAAAGATGATGGTGTTCAGGACACAAGACAGAAATGAAATTGGCTCGATCGCTCAGATAAGAATCACTCAGTTCTCGGCAATCTTTTTGTATTTTTTGGCGAACTCCACTTTTTACGACGACAGCGATCCTTCCGACCACATCACCACACCTCACGTCACGGCTCAGCACGCTCTCACTCGCATTCGCATTCGCGCTCACAGACACCAATGAGGATTGAGACTCGTCCATGCATTGCTCTGTCATGTGTGGCAACCGGATCAAAGACATGCAGCAGTCTCGCTCTGTGTTCGAGCCCAGTTGGTCTTTCGCCCTCCTGCCACCGCTGCTGCTGTTGCTGAAGAAATCGAAAGACTTCTCTTCGCCCTGCCTTTCACCGAAGCGGCTGTGGCTGCAGCACCATAGACAGTCGAGGGCTTGACACCGGCGCCCACATTCCTGACGCTGGATTTCGGTGCACCGTTATTGAGGCTCTGATTCTCGATCAGCACCATCAGCTGCGGAGAGGATTGCGTCTCAGGCATGGTCGCGCTGCGCGACCAGCTGCGCTTCTTTGGGGGAGGAGCCATCTCTGAATTCTGACGTGACGGTGGCAGCTGCTCCTTCCTCTTCTTGATCTGTGATGTGCCACCGTCACGCGCTTTTCCCTGGGAGCGTCCGGGTCGTTGTTGTCCTCCCTCCTCTTCCTGCTCGCCCTCCTCTGAAATGGTCGGAATCTCGACGGTGACCGTCGACTCTGAATCGGCGGCAAGGAAGGGGTTGCCCTTTTTGCTGTTGCTACGCTTGAGTCCGACACCCTTTGCTCCGCCCAAGGTGCGTTTAGGGGCAGCAGCACTGCCGTTTCCATTGACGCCGGTGGCAGGACGCTTTTTTACTGGCGACTCTGACCGACTCCTGGCTTTGGCTGCCTTGACCTTGGCAGCTGCCTTGCCCGATTCTGTCTGCGAGCTTGCCATGGGCGCCGGCGTCGATTCTGTCGAGGAGGGAACGCCAACGCCCTCCATCTTTGCTGCAGCCGACATGATTCTGCCCAGCTTGCCCTTGCGTGAGCCGATGGTATTCGCAGATGAGGATGCCACAGCTGCTTTCTTTTTCTCCTTCTTGGCGAGCTTACGCTGCTCCTCAAGATAGTCTTTGAACTTGCCCCAAGTGTGGCTGCCGACGATCTGCTCGATGGCCTTTGCTTCGACAGGAGCGTCGTCGTCCACCTTTCTGGCAGGGAAGAGCGACAGAGCTGCCCGTTGAAGATCACCCTGAATCCATACGTCAAAGACATCTTCCCATTCACGAGCCGGGTTGGGGAAGTCGTAGTTGAACAAGATGGTGCGGATGGGACACGCGGGGTCGTGGATCTCGGGCTCGTCGTCCTCATCATCTTGCTCATCTTCAGGGCGAGCGCCATTGGTGTAGCGGGCCTTGTCCGACTTGTCGCCAGACGCTTTCGCATCCTTGGCTCGCTTCTTGCCCGAGCCTTCCTCGGCGGCGCTGCTCTCGTCCTCGTCCTCAGAAGAGTAGATGAGCCATTCGTCTTGGGCGTGACAAGCCTTGGCAAATTCGCGAACGATCCTCTTGGTTCCTGGAACTTTGAGACTGGTGCCTGCCACAATGAGAAGGTCGGGAGGAAGCGGCTTGAGCCTGGGAGGCCGAGCGGCTTTCTTCTTGGCGGGCACGACGGGTTCGGTGATGGTGATACTCCTGCCCGCGGCTGTGACGGGCTGCGATGACTGCGTGGACGGGCCGGCGCTGCTGCGTGCACCGTTGTTGTCGTCGGCTTCGTCGGCGAACGCTCTGGCTAGGATATCATCCTTTGAATCTGAGGCGGGCAGAAATGTGCCGAGCTCGGAGTCGACGATGCCTTCTGAGTCGATGCTCACATCAGCTTTTGCCTTGTCGCGTTCTTCTTTGAGCACAGTGCGCTGCTGCTGCGATTCGTGCTCAAGCTTGGCTGTCTCTTTGGCCTCTTTGCGTTCGCGAGCTCGTGTCTCTGCGGCCGATTCGGGTACGGGAGGTTCGTTCGGATCTCGAAGGCCGAGAATGTCACGCTGGAGGCACTGACCAACACGTTCTGCGCCCTCGTTCTGACCGCCGTAGAGGACGATGTCGACCTTCATCCTGCCTACACCTCTTGAACGCATGCCGTTGGAAGTGCGAACCTCGTCGGCAGTCTGGCACCGTGGGCAAGGGACAGCTTCGCCGTTCTGAAGGAGCTCCATGGCGTGCTTGCTATCCTCGTGGCCCAACGATGCCGATCCTTCACGCGAGGAAGGTGACGCGTCTCGATGATCGGGTCTGTGATGGACTGTGTTGCCGAGCATGAGCTTGTGGTTACACAAGGCACATGTGAGCGTTTGCAAGGTGCCGTGAAGCGGAATGGTGCGGGGAAACATGGGTTTCTTTTGATCTTCTTGCCCTTGCTGCTTTGAAGCAAAGAGGAGGTGCGAGTCTGATTTGGAGCGCGAGAATGCGGCCGAGCCGAGACGTTTGCGCTTTCCGAGGGCTCGGACGGTGGTTGTGGAGTCACCCACCTCGCCGAGGCCGAAGGTGAGACCGGCCTTCTCTTCGAGGCCGTCGATGTTTTGGGTGTAGACGCGCTGAAGCCTTCCCTCATCGTCGAGACGTTTGAGGAAGCGATGAAAGATGGTGGGTTCTGCCTCGTCGGCGAGCCTCTTGAGCTCTGCGACCATCGAGTAGAAGAGGGCAGAAGTGGATTCGGAGCTAAAGAGGCGAGCATCGAAGAGGTCCTTGCCAGAGGAGAGGCCGGCAGTAGGGTGCTTCTCCTTGAGCTTTTTGAAAAGACCATGGGCGGAGCGGAAATCAGGGATGTTTGCAGGAGAGGAGACCGAGATACCGGCACCGCAGATGACAGCAATACGGCGTGCGCCAGAAACGGCTTCGTAGAGTCGAGCGAGGTCTCGATCTACATCCCTGGAAGGCTGAGCAAAGGGCGGGACGGCGATGTCAGCAGGGAGGTCGTACTTGAGCGCTTTGAGATCGGAAGTGGAGCTAGAGCTGCTGCTGCTGCTGCTGACAGCAGATGATGGAAGTGCAGATTTGTCTGGCTTGGGAGACTCGTCGCGCAACAGATTTGCGATGGCCATGCTCTGTACGCGACGAGAGAGGCGACGGGATGATGGAGCCGAGCCAGGTGGCGGCGTGCTGGAGCCGGAAGAGACAGAGGAGGTATCATCGGAGGCGGCGGAAGCATTGTGTAGGGTAAGTCGAGGACGCGGCTCTGGTGGAAGCGAGACGGTTGCGTCGACAGGAATGTTGATGACGATCATGGCTGCGACTTAGGATCAGGGATCGAGCGTGTGTGACGAGCTGCTGAATCTAGCTCGAAATGGTGACCGTCAGCATGAGCGGAGCGGAGCCGATGGTGGTGGCAAAGCCCGTGATAGCGCCGAGGTGAATGCGAGGGGAGCAGCGATGATGAAAAGGGAAGCGAGGGCTGAGCTGGTGGTAAGCGATGAAGGGTGATGGCGAAAGAGCAAAGCGAGGTTCTAGCCACTCCAGCTGACCTGTGATTTCTGAGAAGCACAAAGCACGGAGAAGCAACCGACAAAAACCACAATCGGCCTTGCCGATGCTTCGCACGCTCTGTTGTTCCTGCACACACGCGCGCGCTCTTTGCCATAAGAGGTTGCTTGGTCGGTACGCATACACTTCTATCGACACGTCTTGTCACGACCGAAGCGGAGAGTCTCCAAAATCTATTTACTGTTAGCGGACAACGACAGGATAGACACTCGCGCGAGACCGTGTGAGGCTGCGTCCCGCACACTCGACTGATTCCGCCTTTGCTGTGGCCGAACTCGTGGGAGTTGCGGTGCATCGTCCATCGGCTCTTTTGCAATCACGAGCTGCGACTGCCGTCTTTGCTAGAACAGTGCGGCAAAGCCGATGAACATTGCAACGAGACTAGACTCCCGTCACTGTGACTTCCCGTTGAATGGGCAAGCTGTGCCTGTGACTGCCCGCAAGCACCGGCTCGCATCAACACCTCACCGCCACCGTCGAATTGATTCGATGATCAACCAGGTCGCTGCCTGGTGCCTTGTTCCACTACTGTCGAAGCTGACAAAACGCGCTCTTTAGAAGACCTGTGTGGCACAGCGTGACGCGACTCGATCGTCTTGTGTGTGGTCCTGCCTGTGTCGGTGCTGCTCGCTTGCTCGCTTGCTCGCTCGGCGTCTTGATCTCGCGGCCGTGTTTTGTTTGCTGCAGGGATCCGCAAATTTTGACAAATTGGACCCTGTGTCAGTCGTGTGCTTCGCGTGGTTGAACAATTCGACTTGCCTTTATCAGTCCTTGCTTGTCAGACCGCTGTTCTCGACATGCTTATACTCAATCGGCGTTGTTCGGCCTGTCTGCTGTCTGTCTGCTGATCCTCCACTCGCGCACAGAGCTCTTTCCCCGCATTTTGCCGCATGGACGGCTGTCGAGTGGTCTCAACGGCTGCGCTGCATTTCCGGAGCGGAGAGAGCTTCTTTCTTCGCTAACACACCACACGACCGCCGATCCCAAATCGCATCGAGCAAATCATAATGGCGGCTGCAGCTTTCCGAACAGCTCGTATCGAGCTTCCAAAGACGGCGTTCTTCTTGTGCGACATGCAGGAGAGATTCAAGACCGCCATCGCCAACTTTGACCTGATCACAACTACTTCGGCTCGCATGCTCAAGGCTGCAAAGATCCTCGACGTGCCTGTCTTCACCACCGAACAGAACCCAAAAGGTATGTGAAGCATTTCCATGGTATGCAGGCTGGTTGATGCGGCTCGGCTAGGCTACTTACCCCTACTATCCCTCGTGCCGACGTGTAGCACTCGGGGCCACGGTCGCTCCTCTGAGCGAACTGCTCAAGGATCTTCCAGAAATCTCGGCTAGTGCAGTGCATCCAAAGACCAAATTCAGCATGGACCTTCCCAACATCACCGACAAGTGGCTCCAGAGTGCAGGCGACATCAAGCACGTCGTCATCTTTGGTATCGAATCTCACGTGTGCGTGCTACAGACGACGCTTGACCTGCTGGATAGAGGCATTCAGGTGCACGTCATCAAGGACGGCGTATCCAGCTGCAATGTCGGGGAGATCGACGTGGCTCTCGAGGTGAGTGGCAATACTTTGTCTACGTTGCCCCGATCTAGCTGCTGACGCTATTACCGCTTTACCGTTGTGACAGAGAATGCGAAGCTCGGGGGCCCAGATCACGACCTCGGAATCGGTCCTTTTTCAGATGCTCGGTGAGTGTTCGACAGAGCACACGAATCATACTTTCAAGGGCAATGCTGACCTATCCGTACCTTCTTCCATCTTGTGTTTGTTGCAGTCGACGCCTCGCATCCCAAGTTCAAGGCTATCTCGGGTCTCATCGTGAGTGACCGCATGCTGTCCCTGACTGCTGATCTTGTTGTCGTGAGGAGAGCGACTGACACCCATCTGCGCTTCATCTTCACAGAAAGAGGAGAAGCAAAACATCAAGGAGGCCGTCAACACTCTGGGTCTCGCCAAGTACTAAACGTCAATCATCAACAGTGCCTTCTTTGCAATCATCTTACAGTCTTTTGATGGCGATGAAAGCCAGGCATGTGTGTCTCTTTGGAAAAGTGCACTTCGGGCGGCGCGCTTCTGCGCAGCTGTTACGCACAAAAAAAGTGTTGGACTGGACTGTGGAAATTGAGAATTGCGCATTTGATTCCGATGAAACAGACTCAGCTTCGGAAGCAAAGCCGAGTTGAGCTATAGTACTCAGCCTCACACCCTCTTGCTTTCCTTCGCCGGCTACCACCATCACCTCGGCCGCCTCTTTCGCTCTCGTCATGAGCGCATCTCCACCATGAGCGTCGAATCAAATACGGTCACCCTCTTCGTCCTCGACATCTCGTCGCGCATGGGAGAAACGCGTCAGGTCCAAGATCGCATCGTCACCGAAACACAGTCAGTACAACGACGCTCTCGTTCCACCACGCATCTGCAATGGGTCTGCGAATTCGTCTCCGCTCGCATAGCAGAGATCATCCTTCGCGGCCTCAAAACAACCCGCGTCGGCATCATCACCTATGGCTCGCCCCGCACAAACAACTCCATCCCTGACTCGCCCGACGACTACCAGGGCATCGACGAGATCTTCTGGCCTGCACTACCCACCCTCGATACCTTGGATCTAGTTCAGAGCCTTCGCGCAGTGCATCCAGATCAGAAGGCGCCACTAGCTGATCCGCTGGCTGCGCTCGTAGACGCCATCCAGCTCTCTTCTGATCCGGAGAAGGGCGGTATCAAAGGCTCTCAAAAGAACACGTGGAAGCGCACAGTCTACCTCGTCACAGATGGACAATCCCAGTTCGGCTTCGATGGTGCAGAGGCCATCAGCAATAAGCTCCAAGATGAAAACATCGCTTTGCGTCTCCTCGGCGTCGACTTTGACGATCCAGAATCTGGTCTCAAGCTCGAGGGCAAAGACAAGGTCAAGCAAAGGAACGAACGGTTTTGGCGCGACTTTCTGGCCCAGATACCCACCGCTGGTTTCGCGACCGCCACCTCAGCCATCGCCCAGTCCGCCATGCCAAATGTTCAAGTCACAAGACCAGCACCATCAAAGACCATCCTCGCCTTTGGCGATCCGCAAGATCTCTCCTCTCATGGGTCCTTTCAGATCCCCATCGCTCTCTACAAGATGACCGACCCAGCTCGACCAATGACCCAGTCCAAGATTTCCAAACTCGCAAGAGAAAGCGCCGAGGCAACTCAAGAGCGCCAGCGCGAGCAGTCACGGCGCGATCATCTCAATCCTACATCGACCCCTGTAGCTCTCGTCAAAGACGAGCCTCCAGAATCATCCGTCGTATACCGCGCAGATCTAAAGCGAGAGTACTTCCTTCTCGACCAACTCGCCGCTCTTTCAAACCCCAACACGCAGCCTGAGCCGCTTCCGCCAGATTTGGATGCAAGCTTCACAAGAGCATGGAAGCTCGGTGCCAGTCTTATCCCCGTCCCGGAAGATGCCTTTGGTCAGATGGACACGCACAAGAGCATGGAAATCCTCCACTTTTTCAACGCGTCCGCCTACCGAAGGGAGTACAACATGGACCACATCTGGTACGTCTTTGCCGACCATGCGCAGATCAAAGCACAACTTCAAGTATCGACGCTGGTCCGAGCCATGGTAGAGTTGGATGTGCTCGCCGTCGTCAGGCTCGTCAGGAAGGATGGTGCGGAGCCCGAACTCGGCGTTCTCAAACCCAAGGTGGAGGAGCACAACGAGTACTTTTTCTACTCCAAGGCGCCGTTCCGTGAAGACTTGAGGAGGTTCCCCTTCCCACCGTTGGATAGGATCATCACTACCGACGGTCAGGAGCTTCGTCAAGGTCCCACCATCCCAGATGACGCGGATCAGCAGGCGATGGATGCGTTTGTCGACAGCCTCGATCTGCCAGGGGATTGGTACGACGTGCTCGAGTCCTACAATCCGGCCATACACGGTTTGAAGACGGCGGTTCGTCAGCGCTTCATCCATCCAGAAGGCAAAGAGATTCCGGGGCCCCATCCTGAGTTGGTCAAATATCTCGAAGCGCCCCCCGAGGTGAAGTCTGCTGCGCTCGAGGCAGCAAAAGCATGTCGCGAGAGGTTCAAGATCGCCTACGTTCCACCAAAGGGAAACGCAGATAGGAAGAAACGCACGCTTAACGCGATGCAGGACGACGAAAGGCATCGGAACAGATCTGCGGCGGTTGAGGACGGAGGAGAAGCGAGGAAAGCGGCTCGATTCGAAGGCGCTCCAGCAGCCAGCGGTGAAAGGAAGAAGATCGTGTTGGATCAAGATTCGGATGCCACCGAGGATGAGGACGATTCGGTCGACGCTGCGGCGACTACGAAATCTGAGCAAGCCTCTCAGTCTGCACCGCGCACCGCCAAGCAGTCGCTGTTGCGCCTTTCCGACCCAGTCAAGCACCTCCATGAATTGGTAGAGAAGGACGACGTCACATCGGCGATCAACTCGCTCGAAGCTACGCTCTACCATCTCGTTGCGGAGAAAAAGTACGATCTGGCAGCCGAAAGCATGGGAGCGGGTAAGAAAGTGGCGCAGGAGTACGAAGAAGCTATCAACTGGAACCTCTTTGTCCGCTCCTTTAAGAAGATGTTGCTCAAGGAGCATAGGGACTTTTGGGATGAGAAGATCAAGGGGAAGTTGGAGTATGGATTGGTGACCGAGGACGAAGATGAGGCGAGACAGTCGGATGTCACTGTGGAAGATGCGAGGGAGTTTGCAGACACGGATGAGGTTTGAGTCGCAACTCACACACGTTGAAATGGCAGCGCATTTCTGATTTGTGCAGTTTCGCGGCGATCTGGTTCCAAAACGTGGAGAGAAGAGTGACAGGCTGCTGATGAGAAGGTCAGGACGAAGCTGTTTCTTGTGGCTGCTTCGTTTTGGGCGAAGTGGAGAAACCCATGGCCAAGAGGTTGTTCTTCTGAGCTGGCATCTTGTTCTTAGCACCCTTTGCACCACCCTCGCCGGCTCGATTTGATCCATCTGGAGGAACACCGATCTGCATGAGTTCGTAGAATTTGTCGAAATGTTCCTTGGGAAAGATGCCACCACTCGCCTGGGGATGACCGTTGAAAGCGTTGCCACCCACGGCCTCCATGACCTGTTTTTTCCACTCAGGATCTTGGTCGGCAAAACTGTTGAGCACCTCGATGATGTTGACCTCTTCTCCGCGCTTCTTTGCTACCTGAGCAATTCGACAGCTGAAATTCACCAAACCTGGATTGTACCCATCGTTGGCACACATGACCACCTGCAAATTTTTACTCTTTAGAGCACCGGTCCAACGTATTGCGATTGATGGATGGACTTGGTAGGCGGAAGTGATGCGGAGGAGAGCCACTCGACCGTCCTTGGAGAATTTGGGTGGGGTGTGCGTGCAACGTTCTGTTTCGAGTGATACTGCGTCTCGGGCAGAGTAGAGTCGAGCAGCGTGCTGGTTGGTGGCAGGATCGAGGATGGTGAGAGGAGAAGTTGAGGTGGAGAGGGCAGACCAGGCGGTGATGACGTCGAAATCGGGAGTTCTTCGTGGTGCGTTGAGTAGGGCTATGGCTGATCCGAGGCGCTTTTTGGTCCACTTCTTGACCTCAGGGACGAGATCGGGGAAGGGCGGGTCCCAGTCGACGTTGACACTGAGATCACCCATTGTCCCAAGCACGGCGACATAGTCGATCGAGGTCTGGGCTTCTTCTTGCTGCGAGGGGGACCACAGGGGTCGACAAAGCACCAAGGTGAGTAAGGATGCTGTAGCTACAGGCTTGTGGTGGCATGCGTTGAGCATCAAACATCCTTGAGGGCCCGGGTCTCCTTGTGCTAGCCAGTGGTGATCTACGACCATTGTTCGAATCGCTTCGGGATGATCTGACCTCCAGCCGTGCTCAGCACCAGGAACGAGAGGAGGACTGTTGCGAGAACCTTGGTCCAGCACGATGATCCACTTGGCGCCGTATTCGGCCATGGAATCGCGCTGCGCTTCTGCTGCAGGATTGCTGCCCTTTGTCATGAGATGGATGTGGATTCGAGAAGGATCAATTGCGAGAGCTTGAGTCAAGGTGCGGTACATGATGACTCCAGAGCAGAGGCCATCTGCGTCCTTATCTGGTACGAGGAGGATGCGATCCTCGGGAGGTGAGGCTGCGCATGCCCGGAGGAATTCGGATGCTTCTTGCATCTTGGAAGCAGGCGCAGGCCATTCCGGATGTTCTTGAGAGAGGCGAGCGACCTGTATGTGCGGTGGTGAAGGTGCAGGAGAAGGAGATTTGATCCGATTGACCTTCGGAGTAGCTCTTGAGCGTTTTGTTGGAGCTGCACTGGTAGAGGCAGACGGTGAGGAAGCTTCCCGTTTCGACATGATGCTGAGTGTGAGGGCGTGCGGGAATGGTGTTGTAGATCGTGTAGGTGCTAGCGAAAGAAGAGGACGCCAAATTGTGCGAGGTATCATGCCTCGCAGGCTGTCAAACGCGAACGATGCTGCTGCTGCTGGGTTGACCTGGTGCTATGCTCGAAGATCCGAGAGCGAGATGGTGGATCTTATTCATGGTCAATCGCTGTTACGAGCACACCAAAGGGTCCATCCAACCACGCAGGCACTTTGGCCTCACGTCATGCAATCACAACGACGTCAGCGGGCAGAGCCTCTGACAAGCTCGCAAAATGTTACATCGAAGCACTACGCCTACCAGCACAACCAAATTAAGTAATACTGACTTATGCGCGCCTTGTGCTGTTACTCGTCGGCGTGCGGGCATCGGGTGAGCCGGTCAGAATGAGCTGTGACTTGGACTGTGACTGTGGGAAATTGAAGTTGAAAGCGGAGAGTGTCCGACGTCGTCCGGCAAAGCAGCTCTGTGCAACGCTGGTTGCAGTTGCCTCTCTCTCTCTCTCTGCATCATCATCACCATCTCATCCATCGACGATCCTACACCATCACACACAATGATTGCGACCGCCATGCTTCCCCGTGTCGCTCTGCGTAGCGCTTCCACTGCCTCCCGCGCACTGCCTCTCCGCCGAGGCTTTGCTACCTCGCGTGTCGACCTCGCAAACACCCTCATCTTTCTCGAGCACAAGAAGGGCAACTTTGCCGCCGCCACACTCTCCGCCCTCACCGCAGCACAGAAGCTCGGCGGTGACATTGATGCGCTCGTCGTAGGTGGTGAGGCTGACGCCAGCCAGGTCGCCGAAAAGGCCGCAAAGTGAGTATCTTCTACCACCGCTTCTCCGCCTTTTTCTTCCGCTGACCCCTTGGATCTGTCGCACGCCTCTGCTGCTCTCGTATCTTGTTCCATTTAGGCTCCCTGGTCTCAAAAAGGTGCTCTTTGCCAAACATGCCGACTTTGCCAACAACCTCTCCGAACCCCTCGCACCGCTCATCAAGAAGATCGTCGAGTCCAACTCGTACAGCCACGTTTGCACAGGTCACACCGCTGTCGGCCGTGACATCTTCCCGCGTGCCGCTGCTTTGCTCGACTCGTCCCAAATCTCGGACATCATCGGTCTCGAGGGTGAGGACACCTTTGTCCGACCCATCTACGCCGGAAACGCCATTGCCACCCTTAAGAGCTCCGACAAGGTCAAGGTCTTCACCGTGCGAGGTACTGCCTTCGACGCTGCTGCTCAAGAGGGCGGAAGCGCCACCACCGAGGAGGTCAAGCCCGATGGCGTCGAATCGCTCACCGACTTTATCGAGGAGAAGGTCTCCGAATCGTCTCGTCCCGACCTTGCCACCGCCCCCCGTGTCGTATCCGGTGGTCGTGCGCTCAAGTCGGCCGACAACTTTGTCAAGTATATTGAACCGCTCGCTGATTCGCTCAATGCCGCTGTAGGTGCTTCGCGAGCCGCCGTCGATGCCGGATACGCCGACAACGCTCTCCAGGTGGGTCAGACGGGTAAGATCATCGCTCCCGAGCTCTACGTTGCCGTCGGTATCTCGGGTGCCATCCAGCACTTGGCCGGTATGAAGGACAGCAAGACCATCGTCGCCATCAACAAGGACGCAGACGCTCCCATCTTCCAGGTCGCCGATCTCGGTCTGGTCGCTGACCTGTACGAGGCTGTGCCCGAGATGCTCGAGAAGATCAAGTAGATTCGCATCTTCTCAAGTAATCCAGTGTATCTTTCCACGTGCCTTCGTATCGGTCGTGCCCTTGAGCTTGCGCGTACTGTTCATCTGTGCTCTTCATTGTATGAGATGTCTTTTGTGCAGATCTCAACTGCATCGATCGGATCGTCCAAAGGCTATGATTTGAGTGAGCATGTCGAATACACTGTATGCTTGACGAGCGTAACGCGTATAGGGAAAGCGAGTCGGCAAGAAAAGTGTCAATCAGATGAAATGAGAATGCACGGGCACCGATCCATTTTTGTCACTTTCTTGCTCCGCTCTCCTTTCTTTCCACTGTCCTTCGCACAACACCATGCAATAGCATCGCATCTAACATCATCACCGACTTCGAAATGCCGGTCTCACTCGTCGATGGATCCGTCGTCGGCGATGGTAGTCAGATCGGCATGTTTCCCGTTCTGGCGGACCAGCGTCTCGACAAGCCTGCCACCCTACTCCGCTCCTCCGCCAACCCTCGCATGGATCTCGTCCTGCTCATCGTGAAGGATGCAGCCGCACAGTCCACTCCTGCTGCCGCTGCACCTCCAGGTATGTCGGCTGCACAATTCGCGCTCGTACAGCGCATGTTAGCGGCACGTCAGCGTGGTGCACAAGCAGGCGGTGCACAGGGCCAACCCGAGCCAAAGCGTGGCCCGCAGATCCATCTCGTTCTCTGGCGCATGGGCGACGACAGCAGTGTTGTATGGTCTTCATCGCTCACTTTTGATAAGCTTATGGACTTGGCTCCCGACTTGCCTGGCGCTTCGCAACAAGAACACGAGGATGTCCACCTTCACGATGTCGCGTGGAGCCCTAAGGGCGATCGTATCGCCGCGCTAGCAAGCGTCAAGAGGTCACCCGTAACCTCTACGTCCACAGCCACCTCTCGAATCACAACTTTTCTCAGAACCTATTCGGTCCAAGACGGTCGCCTGCTCTCCACCATCCCCGTTCGCTCCGACAATGGCACCCTCAGCAATCAAGCTGACCACGACTTCGCAGAATCAAAGAGTCTAAGCTGGCTCGATGTCGACTTTGGTTTGGCAAACGATGTTATCGACGGCAGTAGCGAATCTCTTCTCGCAAAATTGCCGCCTCTTCCTCTCCTGCCTGCAGCAGACACTTTTGCCTCTGCCGGAGGTTCAGGCAACCTGATGCCCCACCAGCTCAGAATGATGCAGATGAGCGGTCAAAAGCCTCCACCCAGCTTCCAATATCCTTCTCACATCGCATTGCAAGGTAGGGGACCTCTGGAACGCATCCCTCGACTAGCGAAGGCAGATGCTGATTTGCGCTTGGTGGAAGGAGGCGAGATGTCGCTTGCTCTCGACTCGGATCTTGCGTGGCCATTGTCGCCCGAGACAGTCGTCCTTGTCTCTAGTCCCAATAGCGCGTCAACCAACTTGATCCTGGATGGTCAGATCGAGATTGGCTCGCTACAGCTTTCGCAGATCGTCAAGCAAGAGCAGAAAACCGGCTCACTCGCATCCTCGTCCTGCGCGGTCTTGCTGTCCCGCGACATGATGCGGGCCACGGCGATGTCAACAACTTCCGACTCGGGCATTTCTCATCATCAGCTTGAATTACCTCTGCCAGTGACCTCAACTTATGGACCTCTCGACGCACGTCGTAAGCTCTCCGCCGTCAGCCGCGCAAGTCACCTACTCCGTTTCTATCTCGGATACGCGCTTGATACCGCCTCCGCCTTGCAGCAAGTCTACCAGAAGGAGTTTGTGCAAAAGGTTACGAGCGAATGGACAAAGAACATCGACGACCTCAGCATCAAGTTTGGCGGCGACATGAAGTACGAGCTCATCAATGTCCTCCTCACCGGCCGTGCCGGTCCTGCAGCAGAACAGTTCTTGCTCGGTAACCTCACAGAAGGTGTGCTGACTCGGCTAGAGCAGCAAACTCTCACGGCGACATACACGCTCAAGAAGCTCATCTCTGAAAGTCTCAAGCCGGCCTTGGAACGCTGCATTGTTTGTCTTACGTGCCTTGTGGGTCAAGCTCAGTTTTTCGGTGAAAGCGAAGAAGAGTTGACGCAAGCGCTCGACTTCCTGCAACTTTCCTTGGATTCCACCTTGAGTCTGGCGGAAGACGTAGACCTCGAAGCGCTCATATCGCAAGAGTTCTACAGGTGGTGCAGGACCGAAAGAGAAAGGCAGGAGAGGATCAAGCAGGATCAAGACGAGCCTAGGCTGCCAATCACCTACGATGTTCACTACGTGGCCGGCTATATCGACAGAGGCTTCGAGAACGAGGACTTACAGGCGAGGCTCGGCAACGACGTCTCGTCTGACGCATTTCATCACGGTTTCGCGCCGCAACGAAGCACAGGTACGTTGCAGGATACTCTGAAGGAAGCAATGGCATTTCTGGCAGCACCCCGTGTCAGGAATCTGAAAGCAAAATCACAGCACGAGCTCTCGGATAAGGACAAGAAGGCAGCGCTCGCTATCGTCCCGACATTGATCAAGGCTATCGAGATCCTTGGTGGTCGAGTGACACAACTTCTGCGCGCGAATCTGGATCAGGCAACCGTCGAGCGAACAGGGTCGTGCCCAGCGGCAAGACAAGGTTGGAGTATGGCATTCGAACCAGCTCCCGCGCTTTCAATCTCCTCTACTGCAAATATCGAGGCGCTCACAAGCCGCACTTGCACCTCTGTCGTGCATGACGAGATGATGTTGTCTGCCCACATCCTTCGGTCTGACTCGGAACAGTCCTCCCCTCGCGAACCCATCCTCGTTGTTCGCCAGAGCCTTGCATCTGACTGCGATGCCACAGTCTACGCACAACTTTCCGTCTCCAGCGCAGAAGAGATCTCTATCCTCGACATCGGATTCTACGGCGACGCAGAGCTACTTGTCCTCGCAACATTGCCTTCTCCTTCGGTAGGGGTTCTGCTCGCGTTCGACCTAGCCGATCTCCCCTTCACCAATGATCGTAGTGGTCCGATCGCAACCGTCACCCCGGCTCGAGCCACCGAGTTTGAGAGCGACTTCAAGCCAGGCAGGCTCGCCGTCAACACGAACAAGCAGACGGTAGCGGTGATCGAAGAGGAGGCAAAGAGGATCATGTATCTAGACATATCTGTCGTCGAGCTCGCCGATATGGCGATGAACGAGGACGCATGAATTGGAAGAGGTGTGAATATCATAGTCCACTCCATCCCTTTGTGTGCTTGCGGTTGTTGTGTGCTTCCGATCGTTGAGGGCGGGACAGACTGGATGTGAGTGTACAGACCTTGTCACCTAGGCGAGACGAACGAGTCCAACCAGCGTTGGGAACGCCAGATCGCAACGCCGACGTGTCATAGACAACAAGCGGAGAAAAGTCACATACAGTCGCAATAGCATTGACAGCGATGCCACTGGCCTGCTCGTGTCTCTTGCCGTTTCGTGGGACCCATGGGTGGTCAATTTTCAGCACGATGGCAAGAGCGTGGCAGAGCAGCAGGATCAACACCCGCCGCAGGTGACACGACAGTCGCAATAGACGAAGAAACTGTTGTCGCGCAAACTGGGACGAGACAGGTGTGGTAAGCTTTGATTTGCGAGCTGGGTTTAACAGACTTTGCCTTCGGCGAGAGAGACTTTCGCGTTCAATTATTTTGAGGAACAATGCACGAAGTATCATCGTTCACTGGATGATACTGTCCAGAGATAAGTCAGCGTCAGCAACACACACCCGCATCTTCTTTTTTTTTTCCTGTGTGGGAGGCGGCGTCGGCCGTAGATCAAGCGACAAAAGTCAGCAGATATTGTCGCAAAATCTATCAGACAATTTGTTAGCAAAGCATCGGGAGGGTAATCATCGTGCAAAAGTGATCATTTTGTTGATGTCGATTCACTGGCACCGGATGTAGCGTGTCGGAGGGCGAAACCCCGTCAAGAAGCCCATATCGAATATTCGAGTGCAAATAGGGACAATTAACACGACTGTGCCGAACGCTCCTTGTCGACTATGCCGACAATGCTTCTATCTACCTACAGCGTACCAGAGTCTGAAGCGAAATATTTACAGAGTCGATAAATCCCATCGCTACCCTTAGCGTGCATCGCTGTTATGAACTTGATTTTGTCATGCTTATCGTGACTGTGCGCCACTGGCCTGTAATCGTCATACGACACGAGCAAGCCAGTGAAGACTGGGCACCATGATTGAACAAATTTGTCTCATCATCAAAGTTGCGAAGATCTTTTTTTTCAACACTCAATTTTCGAGGATACTTTTATCCTTCAAGATGAAACGAAAGCCGTGTACGAAGTCGCAAAGCGAGTCAATCGCCGACAGGTCCAAAAAAGGAGACGAAAATGAAACGCGATACGAGCCACGTACGATTTAATGTACCAAGTGACTAGGTTCGTATTCAAGAAAAAATAACGACAAAGGTCAGGTCGGGACTGGTCGTTGAGGTCCTTTGAAAATCTAGGCAGTCTAAGCAGGTTACAAATTGTCGTCAATAGGTGGCCAGTAGCCATATTTATAGGTCACCAATTCGCATATTCAAATGCGATTTGAGAGCGAGTACAATGATCACCTCAACAATGGCTGCCATCTGAACCACACGGGGTAGGCATGTGGCGGATGTAAATAGTAAATGCGAACGGATCTATCGAACGGATCTATCCTGCGTTCGAGCATTAAAAAAGCGAGCGTGCGCATGAGGCTCGGACAGCGGAACCTCTTTCGGAGTCGGAGGGACACTCCAAACGGGTCATCAAACTTTTAGAACGCGACAGCTCCGCAGAGTGGGTCAGGTACAGAAGGAGGACGACTATCTAGTAATAACAGAAGCAGAAGCTGGGTCTGAAGCAGCAGCATCCAGCAACGCGCGGGCGGGGACGGCGAGGGTTCCAACACTGACCAACACTCTGATGCTGCCAAGCGTGGGCCTGTGGCGCAGCAGGCCGACGTGTACCCGAGTGATGCGGCATCTCTACCATCAGCATGATACAACCGTGACAGACAGGAAGCTCATCAGCACGGCAAAGTCTGGCGGAGATCTACGCGGATCATCATCCAGCAGATTGGTGATGCGTTGCTCAGAGCTATTCGGGCGAAGTAGATGTGGCGGGCTCTTTCACGCGATCGGCCCCTTCGAGCAAAAGCGAACAAGAGGGTCCGTCCTTCTCTTCTTGTGGTCTGCAGCCTCTGACCCCGAATTCAACACAGATCCGAATGAGCTGCATCTGGGCGTCGCAGTTCTTCGCCTTTCCGTGAATTAGAATGCGCATCCGCATCCAGGCGAAGAGTAATTCAACACCGTTGTTGGAATGCACCATCAGCGTGTGGAGGCATGCACACCCATGTGATTGGAGCGGGTGATGTAGAATACGTCTCCGTGAATGCCCTTTCCACCATCGGCGACTCCGACAGACGCTTGATTGGATGCATCAGGCCGTCACGTCGTGCAGCTCACTGTCTCACCACCATCCTTGCCTCTCAATTAGAGCTCATCTCGGACTCATACCCACGTCGCCGCCTACCTCCGCCACACCCTCCTCGATACCCAGTCTAGATCCGCTTGCCACACTCTTCCCGCTGGTCCGCATCAAGTCATACGCACGCCAATACTCAGCCTCTCGGCTGCTAGCCCTCCACAATGCCGTCCGTTTTCAAGAACCTTCGCAAGACCTTCACAAAGTCTTCCGAGGGCAGATCATCGAAACGTAAGAGTTCAAGCTCGACCGCCGCTCTCGGCGCAGGGAAAGATACGAACAACATCAACGACGATGCCGCGCTCGCTTCACCTCAGACAACCGACACATCCAGCATCGCGAAGGGCTCCGCATCCACCAACTCGAGCCAATCAATACCCCATGGAAGTGCCTTGAACACTCAGCAGAGCTTCGACAGTGTTTCGTCAGCCGGTCGCAGCGCCACAAGTGGAAACAGAAGAAGCATGTTCCCGCTCGACATCGCCAAGCAAGCTGTAGACCAAATCGTGTCCAGAGCCACCATTTCGGTCGATTCAGTCAACGTCCGTGACTTGACCTCGGACGGCTTCCACGTCAGCCTGCACATCCACGTCGCCAAGACCGGCCCAGCAAAAGCCAAAATCACCTTTCCGGATGGCCTAGATCTCTACCTTCATCCAACGGACACGGTAAAGACTGCAAACATACGCCTATCTCCCATTAAGATCCGCACCGCCAACAGACAAAGTGGTCTCACAGTCGACGGTCTGCTCACTGCACGCCCTAGACACACGGCGTCTCGGGGCCTCGACGACCTCTTCCATACTCTGCTAGCTTCCACCGGTGATGTCGTCCTGAGGGCGGCCTCTGAAAACACCGAAGTCAAGGCGTATGGCATGTCGTTCAAGCGCATCGCACTCGAAAAACAGATCGTTATACAGGGCCTGAACAATCTCGGCGGCGTCCTCTCTTTTGATCCTCCACCGTCAGCTCCATCGTCATCGGTTGCTGCTCAACGTAGCAGCATCCAAGACTTTCAGATTCTTGGAGGGGATCCCACGGCTGGCATCTCGTTCCAAGCCAACGTCGAGCTCAACAACCCAGCAGAGATCACGGCCCAGATTGGTGACGTTCGCCTCAATCTGCAGACCGACATCGATGAGCTTAGAGCTGATGGCAAGGACCAGAACGCCATGATCGGACACGTGATTCTGCCAGACCTATTGCTCAAGCCAGGATCGTCAAGTGTCGTCATTCGCGGCAACGTACTCGTAGCGCCTCAGGACGACTCAGCGCGCACCGCTGGCATCACTCTGATCCGCTTCCTCCTCGAAAATCGCTCCATCTCGGTCAATGTAGTTGGCTCTGATACTTCTTCCGACATACCGTGGGTCGCTGCACTCTTCAAAAACGTCCGCATCTCCGCTCTGCTCCCTGCCCTCGGCATCAGTTCCAAATTGCTTGACGGCGCATCGCTCGTGCCTGCCGAAGAGATGGGTCCAGCACCACAGTCTCAGCTTTGTGCGCGCGCCACACTTCGCAACCAGCTCGGCCCGCCGCTGCACATCCACTCGCTCAAGGTGCGAGCGTTCCAGGACGTCCCCGAGCCGACTTCCAAGATACCATCCGCTGCTGCTTCTGACATCGAGCCCATCCACCTCGGCGACATCAGTACTCCTCCCGATTGGCCTGTGCTAACGCTCTCGTCGGACAATCCTGTCCATGCCAGTCTCCCTTTCAGCTTATCGGGAGGCGGGGCCTCATACGTACGCATCTTGCAGACGGAAGCGAAGCGCAAAGGTATCCAGCTGAACCGACAATTGGTCGCAGCATTGCGGCTCATGCCCACAAGTGATGGTCAGCAGATGGCGGCATCCGAGGCGCTTCAGTCGCCAAGCAGAGGCAAAGAGGAGCAGAACGAGGCGCTCGATCTGCCCAATGTCGTTGCCAGCGCCCTTTCTTCGCTCAAGGTCTCAGCACACGTCTCTGCCAATGTGTCCATCGGGGACTTTCGCATACCTGGCGAGATCGAGTTTGTCCAGAATCAGCTGCCCATCGCGATCACCGTAAAGACAGCCAGAACCATCCTCCCCACCGTCGGCGCCCCGCTCGTCGATGCGCTGATCGATCAGGCTAGAGTGTCCATTACCAGGCTCAAGATCTTGGACATGGACGAGAAAGGGCTCAACATCGAGGCAGACATCGGCTTGGTCGACTTTGGGCCGCTGGACGTTGAGATCCACTTTGACCAGGGACTCGACATCGTTCCCAGAACTGATGTGCATTCCGAAGAAACGGTAGATTCCATCGCTCGCATCGTCTTTGCGGAACCCGTGCGAGGAGTTGCCGGCAGCGAAGAGCTGCTGAAAACGCGACTGCGCATCCTTCCCACCGTCGGGCCAAAGAGTGTTGCAAAATTCGCCACCTTTGTCTCTCAGCTCGTCCAAGCCGACGAACTCCCCATCCGCATCTCATCCGACGCCTGCCGCGTCGTAGCTGGAGGCGCAGAGTTCCCTGCTGTGTTGACCAAGGCTGTCAGCTTGCCAGGATTAGGAGGTCTCACCGGCATGACTTTGAACGGACTTGACATTTATGACGAGGTAGCAGCCCCAGCAGGTCCTGGACGAGGAAGAGCTTTGAGCTCCTCATCTTCTTCGAGCGGCGGTTCCAGCTACCTGGTCGGCAAAGAGAAGGCGTTCAGGATGCGAACCAGGGTCCGCATCCCTCACAAGGGTCTGCTCGCGGTGGCCCTCGCCAAGATCGAAGCAGGTGTCGTATTTGAAGGCGTTCAGATCGGAATCATCTCTGCTGAAGATATCGTCTTTTCCCTCAATGCGGCCGACGTCGAATTCGAAGCCAACGGGTACATCTTCGTAGGCAGCGAATCAATCAAGGAGAAGCAGCCTGTGGCAGAATACCGAATCGCTGCTCTCCAGACTTTCGGCAAACTTGCCACCGCGCTCTTGTCGGGAACACCTGCCGAGCTCACCGTCACCGGGTACCGGGCATTTGCAATGGGCGAAGTGCAGCTCGGCTCCCTCAGTCGAAACCAGATGCCTTCCCAGCTTCTTAGCAGGCCGTCTGCAAGTTCGATGCGCAGGGCGTCCTCGACTTCGACACAAAAGCAGGAGACGAAGCTTCCGCGAGCCGGGTCCCTCAAAACATCAAGCAGCGCTACCTTTACGCAGAGACAAGTGCCGTGGTTAGATCAGGCTTTCCAGCAAGTCTCGATCAAGACAGTCCTTCAACAAAGCGTGCATCCGGTCATCAAAGATATGCAGATCGAGAAGATCTTTGCCAGCTTTCGTCGACAAGAAGCGATGCAAGCCGAGATCGACAAGCTTGCGTTCCACATTGAAGTGCCACTGAGTGTCCGCTTCGAAGTTATATCCATTCAGGCCGATATCGAGGTGCACTACGATGGCTACGGATGTGTCGGAACGGGCAAAATCGATGCCAACGTACAATCGTGCACGCCAATGGAAGCAAGCAACGGTGACGGCGGGGATGACGCAGTCGGTCGGTCGAGTTGCCTTGTTCGGCTTGCGCCCGGATCTTTCAAGCTCGTTACTCCACCTACCGAGGGACTGGCCCAGCTCGTTGCACATATCGCTGACAGCGAGCAGACCAACAAGATCAGCATCCGCGGCAAGGCTCGAGCTCGCGTCGAGGTTGCTCTGGGTGAGATCTTCGTGGATGTCGATCTTGGGAAGCAACCGCACGTTTTACACATGGACGGTGTGCGTGGATTGCGATCCAGTCCGGTCCAGTACACCAATCTGCAGGTCGTCGAGGCGTCCAGCGATTTCCTCAAGATTGTCTTCTCGCTCTACCTCAACAATCCCAGCAAGACCTTGCAGGTGGCTCTTCCAGACACGGACCTCACCATGGCTGCCTTTTACAAGGGGTCGTACGTTGGAAGAGCTCACATCCCCAAAGGCTTCAAGTTGGAGTCTGGGCCGGTGGCGGTGCACGACATCCACTTTCGATACTGCCCGCCGCCCGAGGTGGAAAAGGAGGTACGCGACATCCCTGCCAACCTCTTGTCAGGTCGCACAACCACGCTCGAGATTCGGGGAGACGACGAGTCGAGCGAGATTCCCATGCTCATCCCAGCTCTCAAGAACATCCACCTTTCATTTGATCTCAAGCCGATGATGGATCGTACGCTGATTGATAGCATCTCCATCACTCTGGGCGTCTCTGCATTGACTTCCGCCTCGGTCGACGCCGAATTTGTGGTCAACAATCCGTTAGGCGTGCCCTTTGACCTGGTCGCCATGTCTTTCATGGCCTCGTACCAGGGCCAACCCTTTGGCAGCTGCACGATCACGTACGCGTCTGAGCACCCGCTGCGTGTGCCTGCGGGCAGCGTCAAGCAGCCGGGTCAGCAGCGCAGCTCTCCCGTTACCGTTACCCTTGCACAACCACTCGAGAGCATGGTCGGTGCCTTCCTCAAGAGCAAGGGTCAAATCATGCTCGACTTGGAAGTGGCCGCCAGAGTCGAGATCCAAGGCTTCAAGATCCCCAACTTCAACTACAGGCAGCCGTCGCTTCCTCTCAGCATCAAGGGCCTCGACGGCATCTCTAAATGGATGAAGTTCCTCCCCTGATTCACAGGCCCAACATTCCAAGTTTGTTTCGGCAGCACAGCCTTTTGCCCCTGATACCCATGCCGCACATGTCGGCTGCTTTCATTTTGTTCGCTCTTTGCAAAAGCTGGATTCGCCAATCGATTCGCATTGTCACCGCGAGCTTTCCGAGAATGCTGATGTGTGAAAAGTGAGTTCTCCAGACTTGAGCGATGCGAATTGCTGTTCACCTCTTCTTGCTTGGTGGTGGAGGCAGTAGCGGTCCGCCGCCACCGAACATTCCACCGAGTCCTGATGACGAGGAACCGGAGCCAGAGGTGATCTTTCGGCCACCACCGCCTGGCAGCTTGATCGCAAAGGTCTCGCCTTCCTTGAGCGAGAAGTCCTTCTTTGGACCGGTGGGGAGATGTGGAGACGGACCGTCGTCGATGAGTGTGCTGTCGTCGTCGTTGGAAGGATTCGAGGCTCGATTGGCGGCTGCTTTCTGCCGTCTGTATCAGAATTCAAGGCGGCAGAGTGAGGAATAGGCAGCAATGGCGAGGGTTGTCAGGAAAGAGCTGTTAGCAGCGGGAAGAGGATGAAGGTCTAGCAGGAACTCACTTTGTCCAATCTTGAAGTGCGACGTTGAAGTCAAAGCTGTCGCTCCTATCTTGGAACTGTGAGCAGCCAGAAGGCGACGGATGAGGTCAATACTCAGCAACCTTGCCACCTGCACCGTGGGTCGATGAGCTGTTTCAATACTTACACCCATGCCGATGTATGCCTTCTTCTTCTTGCCGTCTGGACCTTGCGATTCGACTCTCAGCACAAAGTATCTGCTAGAATCGAGTACGGGCTCCACCGAGGTTCCGGTCACGTCGTAGGGGCATTCAGCGAAGAGTTCGCCCGAATCGCTGTCTTCCAGGCGGATCGAGCAGGTCGCCGAGTCGGAGATCTCCATGATGCGCAGACGACCTTTCCACAGGAACGCTTCCATATCACCCCATTCGCCCGCCTTGTAGCCTGCCGTTGAAGAGCGTGGAGGCACACGATACACGAAGCACTCGCGTGCTACAAAGAGCACCGTTTCGTAGCCGGACATAATGTGGGAATGGTCCGTAACAGAAAGTCTAGCGTGCGCTTGTGGTGAGGGACGTCTGATCAGCAAGCGGTGTGAACTGCAACAGATAAGGTATGTCGTCTGTTTGGGCGAAAAAAGGTTGCTGGATGTGACGAGACCGAACGACGTAGATCGAGCAATGTGATGTGGTGAGGAAGCAAGAAGAAACCACATCAACACGAGCTGTCAGAAATGCATAAACAACGTGGAACGTGCGAGCTGCATATTCCTCGCATTTCGAGCCTCACCTCCGTCAATGGGAAGAACTTTAACCTTCATTCCGACCTCATCGTGACATCATTGTTCGCACAACTCAAGTTCTTCGTCACCGCAAACGAACCAAATCGGCCAACTCGACAAGAGCACACAGGATAGAGACTATAAAGGGTCTGATTTTATGGAAAGAGAAAGATATGCACAATTGGGGGAAAGGCGACAAAGCGCCGCTTCGATTCCGACGCGTTCAGAGACGCGAGATGATCATCTTGACGCCAACAAGACCGGCAGCAACATCGCCAGAGCTGCTAGTGACGAGTTGCAAGTGGATGTTGAGCGCAGCTTGCTTGTTCCTTGCCTCGATGGCGGCGACGATCTGCATAAGACCAGAGACGGTCTTGGCGTCGATGGTGCCGCAGTTGAGGTGGTCGAGCAGCAGGTTGATGCGACGCTCAGTGTCGTCGACCATCCTCTTTTGAGCAGGAGGTGCCGTGGCCTTGAGGCGGGCGACTTCGCGCTGCAGAGCGTGCTGGATGGGTCGCTGATTCTCGGGGATGTGGGATCGATCACCGGGAGGATACTTCATCTGCGACGCTCCACGTGCTCCAGGCGTAGCGCTGCGAGGAGGTGCACCGGCTCCTCCACCAGGCGTCGCCGAGCGCTGGGGCACGCCAGGCGGGCCTGCCAGACCAGGTGCACCGGGTGGCGCCTGGCCAGGGGGTCGAAGCGCGCCCGCACCAGGACCTGCTGGCGGCGCGCCTGGCTGCTGCTGCTGCGGGACGCCGTTGCCGTAGGGACCACCGGGACCCGCGGGTGGTCGCGCGTAGGGACCGGCGGGAGGAGCGGCCTGACCGGGTGGACCGGACTGGTGCTGACCTGGAGCTGAAGCGCCATAGGGCTGCTGACCGGGACGGGGTTGACCCTGCATGGGCCCCGTGGGAGGCGGTCGAACTCCAGGCGGCCCAACGCGCTGCTGCGCCAAACCAGGTCCGGACGGCGGGCCTTGAGGCGGAGGACTCATCATGCCTCGCGAGGGTGTCGCACCACGAGGAGGTCCGGCAGGAGGCGCGCCAGGAGCGCCACTGAAAGGCGAAGGCGCCTGGGAGGGCGCATTAGGGAAGGGCGAGGTGATGGCAGAGTTAGACTTGTGCTGTGACATGGCGCTCGGAGTGCGTTTGGGAGCTGCGAGGCCTTCAGGAACGTCGTTCCAGCCGGATTGGTCACGCTTGAGAGGCGGCGGCGGAGGAAGTTGCAGTTGTTGTTGTTGCTGGAAGGACGAACCGCCAAAAGTGGGAGGAGCGGGGATCATGGTTTGAGCTGGCTGGTACGCCGATTGGTAGCCCTGAGCACCATACGCGCCGTAGCTGTTGTGCTGTGCCTGTTCCGGCTGGATCGCAGCAGGCAAGGGTGCGGGCACTGCTGGAGCGTATCGCGACTGAGTGGCGGGCTGAGAAGCGGCAACTGCAGGGGTAGGAGCAGCTGCAGCGTACGGATCCTGGTACGAGTTGGCTGCGGGCACAGAGGGTACAGAGGGGATGCTCGACGTAGTCGACTGCCCGTAGGGATCGTAGGGTGCGTATCCGTTGGAGGTGGGTGCGGCTGAGTACGAAGAGGTGGGTAAAGCAGCGTACGCAGAGGTCGACGCAGAGGTCGAAGCAGAAGTTGCGGCGACACCGGCGGTGGCCGAAGAAGAGGCGGTGGCATCGGGTTTGGGGCGTGCAATCTCGGCCTTGAGCAAGCGCTGCTTGAGGGCGGTAGCAGTGAGCGAGCCGGTGGCGCTGTGGTCGACAGGGCCTTGGGGACGATAGTCGGAGGGCGTCTGGTTGGCGAACTTGAGAGCCGGGGTAATGAGACCTTGATCAGCGAGCAGCTCGACGTACTCGTGGATACGGTCGTAGAGCGGAGCGAGCTTGTAGGAACGAGCACCGGTCTCTGCGACGATCGAGTCCTGGGTTGGCTGTTGTAGATCGACGTCGACGTATCCGACGGCGCTCTGGAAGACGGTGATCTTCTCCATGAAGGTCTGAAGCGCCTCGGCTCGTGCAGAATACAGAGTACCTTTGTCAGAGGCGTCGTCACCCTTGGTGCTGGATCGGAGCGCGAGCTCTTCCTCCTTCATCTCGTCGATCCACATGCTTGCCACCTTCTCCAGCTTACCGGCAGCGAGGTAGCAGAGGACGGCGTTCTTGCGGTGCTCCTTGGCCTGGGTCGTATCCGAGTTGCGTGCAACAGTGTACTGGAATTCGAGACGCTGACCGAGCTGTTCGGTCAGGTTGCTGAATTCGTCTTGCTTGGCGAAGGTGCAGAGGACGACAAAGATCTCTTGCCACTCGCCGAGGTCGGCGTTCTGCACCACATCGGAGAGGTCGTCCGAAACGATGCTCTGGAAGAGGCGCAGGTAAGGGAGCTGCGCCGTTCGCTTCTCGAAGTAGGCCTTTTGCGTTTTCGCCAGAAGCTCTTCACCACCTCGGACGGCGAGGAGGAAAGCATCGGCGAAGCGATCGCTGTTAATGCAGAGCGAGACAGCGCTCTCAAAGTCGCCGAGGACAAGGGCGCGTGTGATGAGCTTGTCGGCCTCGGACTCCTCGGAGGGATAAATCTTGAAGGTGGAAGGACGGATGTTTTCGCTTGCAACAGAGGAAGGTCTGGGCGATCCAATGGTCGCGGCCGGCGAATGAATGGGCTGCTGAGAGTCGGAGACGAGGTGACTTGGCAGAGCCGAGCGGACGGCTGGGGCTGCGTCGTTCGAAATCTGGCTGAAAAAGTCCGAGGCGTCCTTGTTGTCTGCTCCTGCAGCATCGTCGCCGAACAGACCGGGTTCTGCAGCGTCCTTCGCTTCGGTTTCTGGTTGCGCGTCGGCGGCGGCGGACTCGAGAGGCTCAGCGGCAGCGTCCGCAGACGTGGCTGGCTTGACAGGCTCTGGCTCGTCGGCTTCGTTTGCAGCCGCAGTAGGCTCTGGTGTCACAGCGACAGCACCGTTGGTCTTGAAAGCAGCGATGGATTGCGAGACCTTTTGGGCGACGTCCTCCTTGGAGAAGCCAAGCAAGGCGACGAGCTCGTCGCGAGAGTCGGCACGGAACAAAGTCTGGAGCGCCTTCCAGTTTGCAATGTCGTCGGGACGAGTGGAAGAGTCCTGGCTTCTTTCCGCACAGAATTCGGCGAGACTCTGACCGTCGAGAGCCTGTTGCAACTTGGTTGCCCTATCGACGATGGAGGGCTCCGAGACAAAGTCGCGAAGGTGGACGGTGGGAGTGAAGGGTTTGCTGGAGGGGCCACCGCTGGACACGAGCTGACCACCGAAGCCAAAGACTGCGGAGACGGGACGACGGAGCCACTTGGGGGGTTGCTTGAGCGACAAGCCCTTGGAGGTGGCCTCTGGAGCGGCGGACTGGTTAAAGAAGTCGGAGTCGTCCGCGAGCTGTTGTGCGGCGGGAGCGTCTGTTTCGGGAGCGTTGGTGCTCTGGAGAGAGTGCACGCCGATTTTGCCGTCGAAGCTGGCCGTGGCAAGCATGGCTGGGTTGCGAGGCGACCACTGCACCTCGAAGGACCAGTTGGAGCTGGAGGGGAGTTCGCCGACGATCTCGCACGTTTGCGGGTTCCAGCAGATGGATCGGTTGTCCTTACCACAGGAGAGGAGGAGGTCGGCGTCCTGCTTGCACCACGAGAGGGAGAGGACACCCTTGTCGTGACCGGTCATGATCTTTTCGGGAGCGCGCGAGTTTCTGAGATCCCAGAGCATGATGACGGGGCTCGAGTCGTCTTCGCTGGCGGTGACGAGTCTTGTGGGGGTGTCGGGATGCCAAGCGACAGCGCTCATACCGCGTCGGCCGCCGGCAGCGAGGGCGCCTCCGGCGTTGAAGCCAAGAGAGCCACCAGCAGTGCCGGCACCACCGCCATACTGAAGTGCGACGACTTCGCGCTTGCCCCTGAGATCCCAGACGACGGTGTATCCGCTGCTAGATGATGTGGCGAGAACGTGAGGCACTTGGCAATTCCAAGCCAACGAGGTGATCTCGTCGAGCTTCTGAGAACGTGCACCGGGCGAGTATGGCTTTGCAGGGGAGTTGAGATCCCAGATGAAGATTTCGCCAGCGACGGCACCACTGGAGAGCAGGTTGGGCTGGAGCGGGTTAAAGTCGAGACCGCGAACGGGACCGGAGTGTGTGGTGTTTTTAATGACCTGCGCATCCGACTCTGAAGCATCGGCGAGGATTTTTTGGGCATCCCAGATGCCAAGTTCACCATTCTCGAGACCAGCAGCGAGGAGACCTTTTGGGCGCGAAGGATTGGCGTAGCCCCAAGCGAGGCGGTTGAAGCGAGCACTGGTGTTGATGCTGCCAAGCGGTTTCGCATCCTTGGTGGCGGAAGCGGAAGCGGCATAGGAGGGCTCCCAGAGTTCAAGAACGCTCTCGTTGCTGAAGGATTCGTCGAGAGCGCCAGCCACGGTACCTGTTGCGATGTGGGGAGAATCCGACTCGTAGGCAGCGGGCGACCATGCGAAGGTGGCGGTGCGGTTAATGTAGGCCTTCATGATTGCGCGTTTGGAGGGGAGACCGACACCAGCTCGAGCGCTAGAGTGGTGCGCGGCGGATAAAAGGGCGGGACGGGGCCCAGCAGGAGGATCCGAAGGAGCGGGTGAAGCGCGTCAAGGGTCGATGGTTGTGCTGTCGTCTGTTCCAATGATCCAACAGTCAAAAGCAAGGTCGCTGTGATCGCCAAGCTGTGTCGACCGCTTTCACAACGTGATCGGTCGGAAAGTGACAAATGGCGAAGGAGGAGGAACTGCGCGAAGGAAGACGAGAGGAAGAAGACGAGCAAGATGCGGATGTGACCAACCTAAGTCCAAGACTGTCTTGTTTCGGATTGACCGAAGCGGGGGCGTGCGTCGTGTGGAAGCAACCGACACACACTCAGACACACACACACGCACACTGCCGCCGAAGCAGAACGATGCGTTGGAAGCTGCCGGTCAGCCAGCTCATCCGCTGGCCTTACTTGTCAGTGCGGTGGAAGCTCGAAAACTCGCATTGATTGTATTTGGCGAATACAATTTCCAGCCAAGTTGAAATGCAGACCCATATTTTGTAATCCAAAGACAATGCTGCCCTGGAAGCTACGCGTCAGTCCGCTCAAGAATGTTGCGAATGGTATCAGAACTGTCCTGCACTGGCTCGCCTCAGACGGAGCAAATTGGCCGAGCTTGTACGCTATTATGACGTTGTGTTGCTGAGCGGCCTAAATGGAATACAACGGAGGTCGGCTTCAAGAAGCAATCTTGCAGTAAAACATGGGAAGAGGAGGAAGAGCATGGCAATGCTTCAAGGGCTGGTGGCTGCCTCCAGCTTGTGTATGGCAACCTGGCGTCTCGATGCTTTCTTCGCGTTCACGGACCATCTCGAAAACTGAAATTCATACAAAAAATGTCTGTATTCCATATTCTAACAAAAGAGATAAATTGTGATCGGGACGCGTGTGCTTTGATGCAGCTGCCTTGGCTTGCTGCAACTCCACTTTTCAGAGGTGGAAGCAACACTCACACTCTTGGACTCACTCTTCCATCCTGGCATCCCACTCTATCACCAACCGTCATCAGCCACCTTTGCCCGCTTCAAGAGTATCGCATTCCCTTCGTCTGCACAGGTCTCAGCCTTGGACACCATACACAGCACCCAAACACGCTCGCACATCGACCACCATGTCGGCCACCAGCTCCAACTCACAAACCACCAAACCAGAGGCGCAGTCCTCCAAACTCACCGAAGAGAACAAGTCGGCGCTTCCATCTCTCGGCGCCCTCGACGAGGATGACGAGTTCGAAGAGTTCGATGAGCAGGGTAAGTCGCGCTCTTCTTGGCACTTCGCATATCTTGTCGGCAGCACAGCCATCGATTCACCGTACTGAACTTCTGCCTTCCTCCGTTGCTTTTCCACTTTCGCCTTGTCACAGACTGGAATGACGCAGAGACAGACCTTTCACATTTGACGTCAGGCACATCCAACGCACCCGGCGCTGGTGTTGGTCTCACCATGGGCGCCTCTTCCGCCAGCACGGGCGACCACCTCTGGCAAGACTCGTGGGACGACGACACCGTCGAGGACGACTTTAGCAAAGCGCTCAGGGCGGAACTCGATAAGCAGAGCAACGCGCCACAAGCCATGTCAACCTGATCTCACCGCCGTGTTACCTCTGCACTCGTAATCAATCCTTGCACTCCGACACTTGAACCACAACCATGCTCGATTGCAGTGATAGCTTGACACTAGACGAAAAAGATCATCTCGGCTACCAGCTCTGCGCTTGCCATAGCGGCGACGCATTCGACCACTTGCACCACTTCAGAGCCGTCGCCATCGTCACCTCCCTTTGGTGGTCCTCTCCGCAAGAACTCGCGCAGGATGTTGGATCTGAGAAGCGACTTGACGCCCTCCGCTTGCTTTTCGGCTTCGAGCACCCTAGCGTACTGCAAGAGATGAACTCCTGCGCTGGGCTCGATTGCGTCGGACGATCCTTTCAGCACGTGTTCCAGAGCACTGAGCATCGCCGTAGCATCCAACATTCCTGGCGGTGGCTTCGGCTTGGTCGGCACGCGCATATCAGCTCCTTCGTCGTCCTCTTCCATGCCCGAGTTGGAAGCTGGACGCGCTCTTTCTGCCTGGTCTCTGAGCGAGTGCTCGCCTTCTGTCCAACTGTAATGGCGCTCTGCGTCCAGGTCTGGGGTCACCTCGGCCAAGTTGCGCCACGTGTTGCTGTGGCAGTCGAGCACCTGACTGGGCCGGTATTCTGCTTTGTACTTCATCTTTTGGCATGTATGGATGTAGAAGCCCATGTAGTATCGTGTGACAGACGACATGGCGGTCGATCGAGCCAGACGTTGTGTCAGAGATATCTCTTGCAGCGCAGAGACCTTGCCGAGCTGCCACTCCTTGTATTCTGGATCATAAACCACATATACGCTGCTGACGCATTCGGGTAAGATGTCGAGCACGCCCACAGCGATGAGCTTGTCACCCAGTCGGTACTCTTGATGGTAGCAGCCGTACGGAAGCTCGTTGGGCAAATTTGTGGGATCGAGGCTCTTTGATCGCCACTGCAGCTCCTGTGTTGGCGAAAGCGGATCGCCGGAAGAAGGCCACGTCAGAGTGAGGCTTGTTTCGACCAAGAAGCGACGGAAGCCCTGTTCGCTGCTGATATCTTGGTCCGACTCTCCATGCACGCTGGCTTGATATTTGCGGAATAGCTGATACTTTTCATCCGAGGTGGCAGCGAGAGCAAGGCTCACTTGGAGTCTATTCGTGATGGGACCAGCGACCCTATCCGCCCACGACGACGATAAAGAGCTCGAATCGTGGCCCCGAGATGGATCCGGCGGCACGATCTCGTCCCAGCGCTGCTCTACATCCCAAGCTCGATCTCTGCTCCATCGTCCCTTCCACTTGGCCGGCTTCGGCTTGGTTTGCCGCACTTGAAAGAGCACATTGGTGAGGGCGCGTCTGTGGCTCTTCTTGGGTCGGAAGTCGCGAGCGTCGAGACGGATGGGAATCTGTGCGCAGCACGTCCGAAGCAGATCCGGCTTATAGACGTAGCTTCCCGATCGCCTCCAGCCTCTGTCGATGAGGCTCTGGTAGTGATGAGGCGAAAGATGATGTGCCCAGAAGCCGTACGACCTGCTCGACTTGTCTGAGCTTCGTTTGCCGGAGCCAGGGACAGTGCAATAGCCGCACGTGGACGCCGTATAGCCAGTGGGCGATACGAAAGACAGCTGCACTGTTGAGCGCATCGTACTTGCGCAGCGTCGTGATCGGATGCGTCGTAGCTAGCTAAGCCTCATGTCGAGTGTCACGAGGCGGATCAAGCCAAAGTGGAGGAGAAGCAGCTCGCTCAGCGTGGTTGGACCCTTCTTTTTCCACCGCATCGGCCATGCCGCTCAAATTTAAGTTCGCCTTTTTTTCCACGCTTCGCTCTCACTGGATCAACGTCTGCTGGAGCCACCTCCCCGTTGATCCATCCATCTTGGCCTTTGAGACGATCACACATCGGCAGCACCGATTGCTGCTGTGACAGAGCAAAGATGACACCACAGGCTTCGAGCTCGTACATCTCGGCGGCGTTCAATCGCGCCAACCACATCGCAGACTGGGCCAACGCCCCTCACAGCAACATCGCTTACGCAGCCAACAAGTCGATCGCAATTTGGGACAAGCCCGGCCATGCCTCGTCTCCAGGTGTCACGCAGATCCTATCCACAGGCTTCTCCGAGGCGATCACGTCACTCAAGTTCGCCGACCTCAAGGCCGTCTCCCCCTTCCCATGCATTGTAGCCGGTTCCGCCGAAGGAAGCATCGGCGTGTGGTCGTTTCAGGAGCAGCGCGGTTGGACAAAGGCACGAACTATTCTAGCAGCTCATCAAGGCTCAGTATCTGCGATCGGAGTGATCCGACCCTCCGAAGCTACGTCAGAGCTGTTCTCTGTCATCGTGTCGGGCGCTTCCGACGGCTTGCTCAAGGTTTGGATGCTGTCGGGTGACGCTGCGGAAGCGCCGGCGTTGGTCCAAACAATCAATCTCAAAGGTCGATTTCCTCTGGATGTTTCGATGCTACCATTACCATCCAGCACTACACCTCAACATCTTCTCATGGCTCTCGCCACGACGACCAACAAGATCGACATCTACGCCTCCACTTCAACCCACCAACTCGATTTCCAACACAAACTCTCTCTAGAAGGGCACGAGGACTGGGTCAAATCGCTCGATCTCTGCAACACCTTCATCTCGACGGATGACGGACAATCTATTCACACCATCATGCTGGCCAGTGGCTCTCAAGATTCGAGCGTCAGACTATGGAAGATCGCACCCACAGCTCAGCTTGATGATGCTACCTCTTCACGGCAGGCGCAGGCCCCTGCTCAGACCCGAGACGACGACTTTGAAAAGATGGTCGCCAAGATCGAATCTGATCGTAGCAACAAAGCTGGCGAAATATCAACTCGAGCACATCCCTTTGCGGTCGCTCTCGCTGACGGCAACGAGCAGACGTGGGCCATCACCTTTGATGCCTTGCTCGTCGGGCACGATAATTGGGTCACCGGCGTACGATGGCATCCCGCTGCGACATCCGCAAGCCGCCAGCTAGAACAGCCTGCTGCCCTCCTCTCGTCCTCGGCGGACAACAGTCTCATCCTCTGGACGCCTTCTTCCCACCTCTCAGACACACCATCAACGTCTCCCTTTCCCGCTTTCGACTCGGCTCTCCTCTCCACTGGAGGCGCACGGCGCGCCAGAGGTCCCACCTTGCACCACCTCGCTTCTTCCATCTGGATGCCATCTCAGCGCTTCGGTGAGGTGGGAGGCGCCAGCAACCTTGGCTTCTTTGGTGCGCTCTGGCAACCATGGCCATCCACGACACCCACTCTCGACGATCAGCAGCCCGTCTCTGCAGTGGTGGCGCATGGCTGGGGAGGCTCAGCACACATCTGGACGCTTCCTAAACAGCAGGTCACGTCGTCGAACGCCCGGTGGCAAGTTGCCGACCCGGTCACGGGACATTTCGCTGCCGCTAGATCCATCTCGTGGGAGCCTTGCGGAGAGTACCTCCTCAGCTGTTCCGACGACCAGACCACACGCCTTCATGCGAGACCCATGCGCAGGAATGCTCACAACATCGATCCCCACAGCGCTACCTGGCACGAGGTCGCGCGTCCACAATCACACGGATACGATTTGCACTCCGTCTCGTGGCTCGACCGGCTCAACTTTGTCTCGGCTGCGGACGAAAAGGTCTTGCGAGTCTTTGCTGCTCCCCGCGGATTCGTCGGTACCGTCGGCAAGGGCGGTCTGCATTGCGCTGCGCTCGGCTCCGAGGTCGAGTCTCGAGCAGCAGCCCGTCCGGTCGCGGGACAAGATGCGCTGCTCCACCTCTCCGTTGACCCGCGATTCGGTCTACTCGCCTCGGCCAAGAGGCACGGTGATCTCATCAGGAACACGGTAGAACAGTGTTGCCACGAGCAGAGCGATTCGGTCACTGCGATTGTCTCCTCTCCTCTCTTTCAAAGGCCCTTTGACGGTCTCAGCTTCAAGCAGATCGAGCTCTATCTCAAGTGGCTCTACGCCCAGGCGTGGAGCGTCGCCGTCAAGCGCGGCCTGATGCTCGCCAACATTACTGTACTGCTCGTCCCCGATACATCTCTTGAAAAGATCGCCCGATGCCTCTGTACTGGCGAGGCGAAAGTGCTCATTGACGCTAGCGTCGACCAGAATCATTATCTCGCAACGATCTGGCAGCATCTTGGAGCCGTTCCTCGCAAGGTCGATTCGAGCGTTGGCCTGCAGGAAAGTAGCGAGGCCGTAGGTCAAGACGATGGCAAGGGTCTCAAGTGCTATCCTGTCGTAGCGCTTGGAGGTACCTTTGATCATCTACACGTAGGGCACAAGATATTGCTCACTATGGCCTCTCTCATCGCCAACCACCGGATCATTGTCGGTGTCACGGACGATGCCATGCTCACCAAAAAGTCCAACGCTGCCGTCCTCGAGCCGATCGATGAGCGGATCGCTGCCGTCAACGCATTTATCGGGCTTGTTCGCCTTCCCTTCACTCCCCTCGACCAGCAAGTGGTCAAGCTCGAAGACGTAGCCGGCCCTGCAGCTACCGAGGCCAATCTGCAAGCTCTCGTCGTCACGGACGAGACGCTCTCCGGCGCTGACTTTATTGATGGCAAGAGAAAGGAGAACAATCTTGCCTCGCTTGAAAATTGGGTCATCGGTGTCGTGGGCAGCGAAGGTCAGACCGAGCTCAAGGGCGATGCTAAGGCATTGGCCGAGAGCAAGATCGGCAGCACGGCGATCCGCAAGTGGCTCGTCTCGCAGGGTGCACGCCGAGTTCAAGCCCTCGAGACCACCAAGCGACACCGACTTTCTCGCCAGCTTCGTCTGGCAGCGAGCAGCTCAGAGAACGCTGTGCACCAGAACAAAGGTGACGACGTTTCAGCGCGTCCAGTCGGAGCCAGCGTCCCCCCTCTCGGCCTTTCAAATCGAGCCGTGTTTGAGGGATCCACGATCGAAGAAGCGCCTTCCGCCAGTGGACAGCCTGTTGGATCGGCCAAGGAGTCGCTATCCGCGGTACTGCGTCAGCCACCGTCGGAAGAACAGCTTTCGGTCGAAACACTGTGGCCCGAGCTGGAGAAACTATACGGGCACGGGTACGAGATGCTCTGGGTCAGCGCCAACCCTCCCAATCCCGTCGACGGTGGACGGACGACGAGCGGAGGGCGGTTTGTCGCTTCGTGCTGCAAAGCGACCAGCGAAGACCACGCCGTGGTGCGCATCCACGATCGTCAACAGAACTGGCGAGAATGCGCCGTGCTGGAAGGTCACTCGCTCAGCATCACTCGCATCCATTGGAGCATCGACTCGCGCTTCGTGCTCACGTGCTCGAGAGACCGTAGCTGGAGGATGTTCGAACAGGTGACAGAGGCTGGCAGCGACGAGGTACGTTTTGTACCTTTCACAGGAGAGCGGTCGCATGCGCGAATTGTGTGGGACTGCGCTTGGTCGACGGACGTCTCCAGGCCGTACGTGTTTGCTACGGCGTCTAGGGACAAGACGATCAAGATCTTTGAATTGCAGCTCAAAGGTGAAGGCGAAAAGCCCTTTGTTCTGTTGCAGACGATCAAGTTCAACGAGGCTGCCACGGCGGTTGCGTTTGGAGCGGATCTGGTGATGGCGATGGGAAAGGAGGATGGCGGAGTCGAGATTCTTCAAAGACAGGCGGACGAGGACGGCCAGAAGGGCCAGCAGTGGTCGACGACGCTCACGATCAAGGACATGGCGTCGGAGCAGATCAACCAGCTGGCGTTTCGTCCTCCCGTGCTCGACGATGGTGACGACGCTATGCTCGCTTCCGCATCGGAGGATGGAAGTGTTCGTCTGGTCAAGATCACCGGGCTCTAGGAAGTTGCGCTTTGTCTGCAGAAATGCCAAAGCAGTCCACAAAATCGAATGCAGTGGTCTGATGGTGTATCTTTGCCGTGTGGGCGCCGTTGCGAAGAGATGAGGCGCACGCGACGTGCAGTGCGCAAGTGGTACGAACATCAGATGTGGAGCTGCCGAGTTGAGCTGAGCTTGGTGAAGGAAACGGGAATGACTTCGGAACCGGGAGAGGAATGCTAGTGTACAAAAGATGCTTGATGTGCATCAGCGACCATACCTGTGCAAGTAGCGTGAGAGGAACAAAGCGTTTTGGTCAGTAAACGGTCCGCCCACAGCATTTTGGGGCAGCAAGTGGTGGGTGTTGACTTACTTTTGGAGCTCCCACTCTCTGTTGTCGAGCGGGCAAACTTGACGTGTCTTGAGCCATCGGGAAATGCAGTGGAAGTGGAAGGCGTGCTGTTCGATGGCGGACGCAGGTGCGGATGGAAGAGGTGTCAGTGATGGACCGACTTGGCGGGTGAGTATGAGCGAATTGTGTGCGACTCACATTGCATTGACCCCAAGCGACGGTGCATTCTTCGGTGGTAGCAGAGCCCTGATTAGCTTGGCATTCGATGCCTGATGAGATGGGACGGGAGAAATGCGCAACAGCGAATGTGAGCTGACAACCTTTGTGAGAGGATCAGTCGAGGCGCGACGAGAGACTTACAGAGATCCATGATGTGGTTCCTGCAGATGGCACACTGGCGTAGCAGAAAAGCAAGAGAAGGGGTATGCGGAGTCAGTCGGCGTTGCTTCTGGCTCGCAGATCTCAGATGAAGGATCACATACGTTGTCGACTACGATATCCCAAGACCAGAGGCAGACGGCGTTCCACTGTGAGCGAGCAGAAGCAGAGGATGAGGCAAGATGTCGAAGGTCAGTGGCTGCTGTACACTTCAGGGATCTGGATTCCAGTCACACACCTTTTTGACCTGGAAGCGGGGTTGCTTTGTGCTCGGAGCATCGACCTCCATTGGTGCATTCTCTGCCATCTTGAGATGTGGATGTGGTGAGGCGATCGTAGTGAGATGATGGTGACGAGGAGAGTGGCAGGCGACCCTGTCGGTGACTTCTGCGGTGGGGAGAAATGTGCACAGACAGACAGACGCAGCGCAGTCACACAGTCCTTCTCGCGGCTGAGTGGAGGAGACACACGCGCGCATCGGGTAGCACCCGATTCAGCTGCAGAGCCAGAGAGCCATCTGAGTCGGAGAGGCCGGTTCAGGGTCCAATCTGCAGGTGTGGCCACGACTCAGCAACTCACATCCGATAAAGTCGAGGTGATGCTCAGCTGCTCTCGACTCGTGTTCTCCACCATCGCATTGCGCACAAGAGCCACACTATCGTATCGATCCGATCGATCTCTCAGCAACAATGGGCTGAGCCGTCACGGTATCGTCCTCGATCGTTGCGCCACCCGCGCGAGCCGCCCCAAGCTTTGTTTCTCATTTCATCACATTTATTCGAGACATGTGATCCATCCTTGAACTCCTTCATCCAGGCACACCCACGCCTCATAGCGACCGCGTCACCACCACAATTCGACGGAGAGACTTCATACGACGACATCATGACATCGACCTCGACCCAGAAGCCGGCGCGGCCTAGCCAGCCCCCATCTCGCCATTCGATCGGCGCTTCGTCCCAATCAAAACTCAAGGCCACCAGCGCGGCACAGACTCGTCTCGGATCTCGAGCTCAACCGCCGCCCGCTCGTGCCAAGCTCAAACATGCTGCCACTGCTCCCGTGGTACCAGCATTGGCAGCTCCTACTGCCTCGTCGCCCGCCCACCCGCACGCCTGTCAGCATTGCAATCAGATGGACACTCGCTTCTACTGCGACCCGTGCCTCGCTTCCAGGATCGAAGCCCACCATAGCGAGATGCGCAGACTTTCGCTTACTCGAGACAAAGCAAAAGCCTCAGTCGAGACATCGCTATTCGATCGCAACACCACTCAAATCAAGGCTGGAATCCCCGCCTCTTCGTCCAAGCCATCGCCGTCGTCAACGCCTATTCACACCATCAGCGAAGAATCGCTGCCAGACCCCTTCGACAACCCCGCAGAGCCATCATCACACCGTCAACAACAACATCATCATCTTGCTCTACACTCTTTGGTGCAATCACGAGCCAAGCGTTCCGCGATCATCGAACGCGTACAGAACATACACAGATGCATTTCCGAGTCGCAGCTCGCCCACCTTCAAGGCCAAGAGGTGCTCAAGGAGAAAACGGCGCACATTGCGCTGCGCAAACAGAACCTCGCAAAAGCATGGTCTGCACTCGAAGGTTCCTCAGCAGCAGCGCCCACATCGGCAGCTCAGCGCTCGCGCATGGCAGCCAAGTCTCGATGGCTCGCGCATCCCGCTGCCGACCACATCGACGTCCCTCTAGTCTACACCGATGTCTATACCCACTACGAACGTCAACCGGACGAATCCAGTGACGCTGCTCAACTATCAGCTAGCGATGCAATCGATCATCAGCTGGGCGCCGTCCTCACGCGTGCTCGACTTGACCTTGCAGCGCTACAAAGCGAGGCTGCAACGGTATCCGCCCAACTTGCCGTAACCAGAGCTGCACTCGCTCGCCAAGCTTTCGCTCTCTATTCGGTCACTCCTCCCACCACGCCAGCGTCCACTTTGGCTTCCCTGAGAGCCCGCCACGTCGATCTTTCAGCCAGCAATACCGTGGCGCAGCGTATCAGTCGACTCTCGGAAAGATACATGCCAGGAGCCTTTGGTCTCGGTCACGGCAGCGCAAGCACATCTCCTGTCCACGTCGGCGAAATGTATCGCGATCCAACACTTGACGCTCGCAACGCCAGACCGTCTACATCCAAGGTATCTGCAGCCGTGCCGCCGAGCGACTGGTCCATCGTGTCCCTCCCTCTGCCCTTACCTGTAGAAGCGCGACGGTATCAGCGCGAGGTCGTCAATGGTGCCGTCACGTACGCCGCCAATCTGCTTCAGCTCATCGCCGCCTACCTGGGCATCTCTTTGCCTTTCTCGATCGAACAGCACAAGGGCAGGCTAGCCATTCGTCCCAACCCGCTCTGGGACGGTGGCGGAGGCTCTAGTGCAAAGACGCTGCATCTCTCGTCGAGTGCATATACCCATCTTACCGCCTCTCTCTCGACTGCACCAAGATCGTCCAAGCTTAACCATCTCGCCGAGTCCACCTACGGCCTCGGCGCATCTACCTTGTCGACCATCGAATCGTACATCCATCTCTCCTCCGGAACCAGCCTGCCGTGGGGCTTGTCGTCAGCCGCAGCGCAGTCCGACAAGCTCGAAGCTGACGCGGACCGCGCCGATGCTGAAACGCGGCAGGATCGACGTTCAGAGGCAGATGCGCGCACGAGCTCCAAGTCCAAGCCGGATCAAGCCGCCAAGTCGTTCGTCTCGGCTCTCGTCATGCTTTGCTACAATGCAGCCTACCTCGCCACAAAGCAAGGCATTCAGCTCGACCTCGTGTCAGCAGCAGCCAACCCGCTTGACCTGTTGAGTAAGGCCATGCAGCGAGCCGAGCTCGGTCGCCTCGCACACGCCAACCACATTCGTGCTTCCAGCATCCAGGACCTCAGCTTGCCCGGATTGGACTACGAGCAGCTTGCTCAGATTCTGGAGCCCAACAATGCAGCCGCCGACAGCTACAAGCGCGGGTCATCCAAGCCCGTCAAGCCCGTCAAGTTCGATCTGACCAAGCCTGCTGCATCCCCTCGGTCTTCCACAAAGCATGGTAAAACAACGAAGATGCTCGAGCAAAGCTATGTCGATGTAGGCGAGGCAGCAGCTTCTGTGCTCGACATCAAGGATCCATCCTCGCGAGCCCAACAGCCGAGCAGCCATCAAGCGGCTAGTAAGGACCAGACCGCAAAAATAGCGCGCCCCTCGACCGCGACCACAAGCAGAGCGGCGGTCCGCCCAGATGCTGTCAGTAGCCTTCAGAAGCAGCGGGTTCGTGTGGATCAGCGCGGTCCCTCGGCAGTCACCGCACAGCCTCCTCCTTCGCTCGAGTTTTTGCGCCAGCGCGGACGCGACGCTTCCAAGGCAAAGCGTCATCCAACGGATGCGAAAGATGCAAATCAAGCACCGGCATCCGAATCTGTACCCGCCAAAGTCGGGCCTGGTGCCGTCATCTTCAACGGCGTCGAGGTGGGCGTTGGCAATCTTGCCTCGACCGACTCACAGCGCGGTGAATCCGGTAAAAAGTCCCGCACGCAGGCAGCCGACGAAGGATGGAGCCTCGTCTAAGTTATTTCCTCCACGTTTCTTTTCCCTGCATCCTAATGTCTATGTCTCGTGAAGCATCATCATGCCGCATACCATCCACAAGGAGTGAACTTGTTTAGTCATGGGAAATGCAGTTGAAGTGTTGACGAGGGTCGGCGAGACAGGGTCCAATTTGTGGTTTCCGCGATCCGACAAGTCGCCAAAAATTCCAAGTGTGTGCCAAAAGCTGAGTCCGAGCCAACCTCGACCAAGTCCTCCTCCACCTTTCCCAAGCTTCCACGTTGGCATCCTCCAACCATCACCTCGTTGCTGCCTCAGCGACGGTCTCGCACGCCAGTCATGGCGTCCAACTCCGAGCTGCGGCGCTGGATCAGCGACAACAGCATGCGCTTCTTCGGTCTTTCGCAATCCTCCATTATCGACTTTATCCAGGTATCAGCATCTTCGGCATCAACACCCACCGACCTGTTCCAGAGTCTTACTTCGCTCGGTCTGCCTTCCACCGAAGAGGCGCGCGGCTTTGCCAACGAGCTCTACAAACGTGTCCCTCGAGCCAGTCAGAGCACTTCTCGAGCTGCAGCTTCCACCTCGAATGGCGATGCCAAGGATGATGCGAAGCGCAGTAAGAAGCGATACGGACTCTTGCTGGATGAGGAGAATGGGCAGGAAGAGCTCAGCATCAAACCGGAAAGGAAGAAAAAGAAGAAGAGAGACAGCAGCGCGCCGCTCGATCGAGACCCGCAGCCCAGATCCAGGTCGCCCAGCATTGACAACAGACGAAGCAGGTCTCCCAGTCCGCATCGCGATGCATCCGGATCAGACTCTGACTCCCGAGAGCGTTCTCGACTCAAAGATCTCGCTGAACGAGACGAATTCGCCAAACGTATCCGCGACAAGGACAAGAGCAGCACGCGCAACGTCATCGAAGACCGCACCTCGGCACGTCTCAACCCGGAAGCAGCAGCGCGGAGACTACTGGCCGACGACGACGACGCACGCTCCGCAGCCATGCCCAGCCTTCGCGATCGTTCGAGGCAAGAGTACCTTGCCAAACGTTCGCAGCAACGTATGGAGCTGCTGCGCCTCGAGATTCAGGACGAGGAGCGCTTCTTTCGCGGTCTCAAGATGAGCAAGCGCGAGGAGCGAGATCTCGCGTACAAGAAGGAGGTGCTGCGCCTGGCGGAGGAGAGGGCACGTATAGATGATCGGGATACCGGCTACGCCATGCCCGAAGACTATATTACCGAAAAGGGAAAGCTCGACACGGCGAAGAAGGAGCAGGCGCTTTACCAGCGTTACAACGACGCACGCACCGAACGGCTCGCGCAGCAGTCGCACGTCACCGATGCCGAACAGTTTGAAAAGGAGCAGATCGATCGATCACGCTACGTCCCCGAGCCGGCGGCCAATGAGGCAGCCAAGGAGCTCGTCGAACAATACGACTATGTCTTTGACGAAAGCCAGACGATCCAATTCGTCGTCGAGTCGCAGATGGCCGGCACCTCCTCCAACGCCATGAGCGCCAAGGACAAGCTGCTGCAACAGCAGATCCAGGAAGCTGAGTCGAAAGCGGCCAAGATCCAAGCCACGCGCGAATCGTTGCCCGTCTATGCTCTGCGGCAAGAGCTGCTCGATGCGATCGACGAGTATCAGGTTCTCATCGTGGTCGGCGAGACGGGCTCGGGAAAGACGACGCAGCTGCCGCAGTTCTTGCACGAAGCTGGGTACACCAAGGACGGCAAAAAGGTGGGATGTACACAGCCGCGTCGTGTCGCTGCCATGAGCGTCGCGGCGCGTGTGGCCGAGGAGATGGGAGTGCGTCTGGGTCGAGAGTGCGGCTACAGCATCCGGTTCGAGGACTGCACGTCGGACGACACGGTGATCAAGTACATGACCGACGGGATGCTGCTGCGAGAGTTTCTGACCGAACCGGACTTGAGTTCATATTCGGCGCTCATCATCGACGAAGCGCACGAACGGACGCTCAGCACCGACGTGCTCTTCGGTCTGGTCAAGGACATTGCTCGCTTTCGACCTGACCTCAAATTGCTCATCTCGAGCGCTACGTTGGATGCAGAAAAGTTTTCCGAGTTTTTCGACGACGCACCTATTTTCAATGTGCCAGGACGAAGGTATCCGGTCGACATCCACTATACACCGCAGCCCGAGGCCAACTATCTGCACGCCGCCATCACGACCATCTTCCAGATCCACACCACCCAGCCGCGCGGAGACATCCTCGTCTTTCTGACTGGACAGGACGAGATCGATGCTGCCATGGAGAATCTGCAAGAAACGAGCCGTGCGTTGGGCAACAAGATCGCCGAGCTGATCGTGTGTCCGATCTATGCGAATCTGCCGAGCGAGATGCAGGCCAAGATCTTTGAACCGACGCCCGAGGGTGCGAGGAAGGTGGTGCTGGCGACCAACATTGCCGAGACGTCGATCACGATCGATGGGGTGGTATTTGTGATCGATCCCGGGTTTGTCAAGCAGAACTCGTACAATCCGCGGACGGGTATGTCGTCGCTGACGGTGGTGGCGTGTTCAAGGGCGTCGGCGAACCAGCGAGCGGGCAGAGCGGGTAGGGTGGGACCGGGCAAGTGTTTTAGACTGTTTACGAAATGGGCGTTTCAGAACGAGATGGACGAGAACACGACGCCGGAGATCCAGAGGACGAATCTGGCGAACGTGGTGCTGCTGCTCAAGTCATTGGGCATCAACGATTTGCTCAACTTTGACTTTATCGATCCGCCTCCTTCGGATACGCTGATGCGGTCGTTCGAGCTGCTGTACGCGCTGGGAGCGCTGAACGACAAGGGCGAGCTGACGAAGCTGGGACGGAGGATGGCCGAGTTCCCGGTGGATCCGCAGCTGTCCAAGGCGATCCTGGCGTCCGAGACGTACCGGTGTACGGAGGAGGTGCTTTCGATCGTGTCGATGCTGTCCGAGTCGTCTGCGCTATTCTTCCGGCCGAAGGACAAGAAGATGCACGCCGATCGTGCACGTGCTGCTTTCGTGCGCACGGGAGGCGACCACTTCACGCTGCTCAACGTGTGGGAGCAGTGGGTGCAGAGCAACTACGACCATCAGTTCTGCATCGACAATTTCGTCCAGCCCAAAGTGCTGGCGCGCGTCCGCGACGTTCGCGATCAGCTGGCGCAGCTGTGCGAACGCGTCGAGCTGACGCCCGAGTCGAACGCGGATCCGTCCGACATTTCGGGGATCCAACGATCGATCCTAGCGGGGTACTTTATGAACACGGCCCGCATCCAAAAGGGCGGCGAGGCGTACCGCGCCATCAAGCAGAGCACCACGATCCACGTGCATCCGTCGAGCTGCCTGTACAAGCAGATTCCGCAACCGCCGTTTCTGTGTTATTTCGAGCTGGTGGAGACGAGCAAGAACTTCATGCGGCAGGTGATGCAGATCCGGTCCGAGTGGCTGTTGGAGGTGGCTAAGCATTACTTTACAAAGGAGGAGGTGGAGGAAGAGGGGAAGAGGAAGGTGTACAAGGGGCATACGGCGAGCGCTGCTGATTTGAAGGGTGCGGGGAGGAGGTGATGGGTTGTCTGGCGAGAGCGATGCGAGGAGGTGGATTGGAAGAAAGAAAATGACATTGAATTGTTGTGATGCGAACAATGCGATTAACAGAGTGATGCGTGTCGAGATGGCTACTGAGCGAGGAAAACAACACCGATTCTTCGTCCTTTCAAATCGACGAGTGAAGACCCTGATGAACATCGCAAGCTCCCTTCAACGTGGAGATGGCATCGTCGTTGGAGCTCAACTGACCCTTGACGCAGAGGAGCGTCTTTCCCACGCCATCGGCGTGCTCGCGTGCGCCTTGACAGGCCATCTTGCCGCTGGCGACGAGGTAGGACGAGACCATGTCGGCCTTGGTACGCGACCGGGAAGGGTGGGTGGGGTGCGCGGGGATGGTGCATTGGGCGGCGTGGCCGTCGTCGAGTTCGAGGAGGACCGCCGAGTAAGGGTCGGTGGAGACGGTGGGGCGGACGAGTTGCGGGAGGGGCGAGGAGGATGTTTTGCTGAGCAAGGCGATGAGCGTGAATGCGAGGGCGGCGATGATGGTCAAGGATTTCATCTTGGCGACGACGAGAATTGGTCTGCGAGATGGGGGAAGAACAGCTCAGAGACGTGCACAATGGTGACTTTGGAGGCAAAGGGCTGACGATACTCACGAAGCGAACGAGTTGTTGTTGCTGGAACGCGAGACACGAAGTCGAATAGAGATGGTTTGACGGCCGGTCGCGAATGGAGTGGTCGCTGGGAGATAGAGATAAGGGATCACTCTTATATCTGTGCCTCGAATCTGCTCCTTGACGAGTTCGAGTGGGCTCAGCTGTAATGACGGGGACAGGCTTCATCTCATCTTTGCCGGCTGTGCCGTCGACACCTTTTTGCCCCCACTGGATCGGTTGTGAAGTTGAGCTGCTGATGCTGTGCAACATGACCCGCTGTGACGGGGCCGAAACCGTTCATCTATGCGTGGTATGTCGGCATCCGTCGGCCCACTCACCGTGTCGCGTTTGCCAGAAGCAGGACGCTCCTTAGACCGCTGAAAGCTGAGTCGAAGAGTACTGGACAAGGGGTCTTCGACGATTGGAGCACCCGTGTCACCAAACATTACATTTGTGCGGCTGCACGCCAGACGGCTTTGGATCACATGCGGCATTCGGATGCACCGCCAGATTCACACGCACACCGTCAACGTCTCATCTAGGAAAGGTGATGAAGGCGACACTTGGTCACGTCAATTCGGCTGCGGCTCCGATGTCGGCGTGTTGCCGACCTGCTCACACAGTCGTTGCGTCCGACTTTTACGTGATGCTTGCTGATTTTGACTTTGTTGTATTGCATGACATGCTTGTTGGATGGGACGTCCGTGTTCCGTGCTGTTCATGGTCGGAGAAGCCGGCTCTCAGCGCTTGCGAACCTGCACACGAGGGTCTCCCTTGGCCGCACGAGCCTGTAGCTTCTGCTGACGCTTCGAGACTGCCTCTCCGGGCTGCTGTTGAGCATTGGCATCTGCGCCGGCGGCACCTCCGTTCGACGATCCACCCAGCAGTCGCTGTATGGAAGCAAACGGACTCTGTCCACGGAAGAGGTAAGGGAGAAGGATCTTTTGGTAGATCACGTACGCTGCGTATCCGGGGATCTGTTGCGTTCAAAGTGACCATGCAGACAAAAATTGGTCAGCAGGAATCTCCTCTGATTCCGAGAGGGCGAGAATGGACGACTTACGATGAGGTAGAGATACCAGAACTTGGACCAGACCAACGAAGCCAGTTGGACAAACCACGTCACGTAGATTACGTCAAACATGTACTGCGTGAGACCGCTCTGCTGCAGATCGTTTCCCTGCGCCGCCATACTCTGCAGCGTCAACCACAGTGCGACGGCGATGGCCTCGGATGCGACGTAGCCGAACACGATGCGCTTTGACACGCTCGATCGAAAGAGCCAGAAGCGGACCAGGAGGTAGATGGTGTTGGTTGCGAGAAAGCCATTGCGAAGCAAGGTGAGGAGGAACGTGTTGCCAGAGGCCGTCTTTTTCGCGCTTCCCCGAGCCTGCGGTACCGCGACATTCGCCAAGTGGGGTGATCAGATGTCAGAGCAAATTCCTTGCTGCAGGAATGCGTTGGAAAGTGCGGAATACGTACCATGACTGCTGTTGTATCCGATGCAATGATGATGGCGAGACGGTGTGCAAAGTCGACAAGAAACGGTCGATTGGGTGTGCAGTCAAGTCGCGTCCTGTTCTGATTCGCCGGCCAATTCGCCAACGATGCAAGAGTGGGAGAGCTGCATGCGATTTTTGTGGAGTTAGCCAACCCAACCTCCGCGTTAGTATGCAGATTTGCTGCTATGCACATCTGCTAGCTGTCTAAAGTAGATCGATTAATGAGGTTTCGGCTCTGCCGTCGAGACAACACAATCGATGTACGACGGATCAGGCTCTCAGAAGGTTTGCGTCTAGCTACTCTGTTCAGCTTCGACACGAATGCGGAGGGATACCGCCCACCACACACACTTTGACTACACTGGGAACGGGAGAAAGAAAGTCCATTGCTGCGAGAGACATGCGGGTGATTATAGAATCCTGGGTGCTCGAAAGGCGCGAGTACGAGTGAGTGCGGAAGAACCCTGAAGTGCGTCAAGGGTAGTGGAACAAAGCGAGGGTCCGTCCGTGGTTGAAGCATGGTTCGAATCGATCGCGCGCGTTTGCGTATCCAAGTGTCTCTTGATCTCCTAGCGGCACAATGCTCTAACAGTCAGCGAGACGGCCCATAACGTCAAGCCATGCATCGCACCGGTCACTGCTCAGAGCAAAACCCAAACTCCAACACCCATCGCCAGGATGCTTGCCGAAACAGCCGCAAACGGTGCGCCCAGCATCTGAGCAGCGCTCACAATGTGACTGTCGTTGGGACCTGATGCCGCAGTTCCCTGAGCACCGGATGCGCCTCCAGGAACAGGAGCAGCTGCCGTGCCTGCCAGATAGCCGGTAGATGGTACGCTGGCGATGGGGAAGGTGGACGGGGTAGTGCTGGTGGTAGAAGCGGTGCTGTTGGTCGAGTTGGACGATGCCGTAGATGTAACGCTTCCGCTCGCGCTTCCGCTTCTTGAGCCAGACGCGGATGGAGACGCAGTTGCTGCCAGAGCCAACAACAAGCCAAGGAAAGGAAAAGAGAGGAAAAGAGAGGAAAAGGAGATGTCAGCACACCCGTTTTGGCATATCCATTGCCGACGCCTATCCGAGAGCGCTATACTTACCACCACCACTGGACGCGGCCGCAGTGCCGCTAGCAGCCGCTCTTGTTGATGAGACCGTGTTCTGTGCGGATACCGCTGCACAAAGAGCGAGCAGTGCAAGTGCAAGGCACTGGATCGTGATGCCGCGTTGAACCTTCATTGTGTGTGCAATCTGATCAACTTTCGGGTCGTCAGCTCTTGAGTGCAGTAATGGTGCAGATTTGAGTCGAGCGATGATCTGTTTTGGGCTTGAGCATCAAAGATGGTGTTGCGTCGAAAGAGAGACGAGAGAATGAAAGGAGGACGAGGTTGGTGCCGATGAAATCCTGCGAGCCAAGCTCAGGGTGCAGCTGCGTGTTCGCATCGGAACTCCGCTCCTCTCTCGGTACGCTACGTTGGCCAGCGGGTCCAGCGTTCCTCGTCAAATTCCTCACGCGCGAAATCAACACTCGACTCGACGCTGGACGACGATCTGAAAATCTGAAACCAACTTTCGAGCCTCGTCGTCCGTCTTTCTTTGCTGAAATGTTACCTCTACAGACACAACAATAGCCGAGAATCTTCGCACCCTCCTCAAAATTGCAGAGCGGCGATTGGCCGATCAAAAATTCAGCGAGGCAGCCAACAGCTCTCCGCATGATTATCGCAAGCCGCGAAAATGTCCGTCTTGTCGCCTTCTCGTCTGTCAGTCCAAAGTGACTCGGCAGCTCGCCGATTTTTTTGTGACACCAACTTGAGAAGAAGTGAAAGTGACAAGTGAAAGCACCAACCATCGCTCGTTTCTTCTCCATCACCACCCGATCATCACCACCCCATCCCCGCCCGCTCACCATGCTGCGATCCGCCCTCCGTCCCTCTGCGGGCTCCCTCCTTCGCGGCGGTCTCGCTCCCCGTCGCGCCCTCTCCACATCCTCGCCCGCACTCAACGCCGAGCGTGCTCCTCCCGGCGCCCTCAACAAGTACTCGCGAATTATCACCCGCCCCAAGGACCAGGGCGCTTCCCAGGCCATGCTCTACGCGACCGAAGGCATCCAGACCGACGAGGACCTCACCCGTGCCATGGTCGGCATCGGCTCCATCTGGTACGAGGGCAACCCGTGCAACGCCCACCTCCTCGCCATCTCGCAGCGTGTCAAGAAATCCGTCCAGCAGGCCGGCCTCACCGGTTACCAGTTTGGCGCCGTCGGTGTCTCGGACGGCATCTCGATGGGCACCGACGCCATGTCCTACTCGCTCCCCTCGCGTGACCTCATCGCCGACTCGGTCGAATCCGCGTGCGGCGGTCACTGGCTCGACGGAGCCGTCGTCATTCCAGGCTGCGACAAGAACATGCCTGGTGTGCTCATGGCCCTCGGTCGTCTCAACCGTCCTGGTATCATGCTCTACGGAGGCACCATTCGTCCCGGTGGATGCGCCAGCGTCGAAGGCACCCTCGACATTGTCTCGGCCTTCCAGTCCTACGGCCAGTACCTCGCCAACGGCGGCACCCCGGACGCAGAAAAGATCCGCTACGATACTGTCCGTAATGCTTGCCCCGGTCCAGGCGCCTGCGGTGGCATGTACACCGCCAACACCATGGCCTCGTGCGCCGAAGCCCTCGGCATGACCCTCCCCGGCAGCTCCTCCTTCCCCGCAGAATACCCCGAAAAGATTGCCGAGGCGGAAAACATGGGCGCCGCCATGCGTCTCATCCTCGAGCGCGACATCAAACCACGCGACATTATGACACGCGCCGCTTTCGAGGACGCCATCGCACTCACCATGGTCCTCGGAGGCAGCACCAACGCCGTGCTCCACCTCATCGCCATCGCCCACTCGGTCGGCATCGAGCTCAGCATCGACGACTTCCAACGCATCGCCGACGCCACCCCCTTCCTCGCTGACCTCAAGCCTTCCGGCAAGTACGTCATGGAGGACGTTCACTCCAAGATCGGCGGCATCCCCACCGTCATCCAGTACTGCATCGAGAACAAGCTCATGAAGGGAGAGCACATGACCGTCACCGGTCGCACCCTCGCCGAGAACGTCGACCGATGGACCCAGCAGCGCGGAAAGCTCCCCGCAGGTCAGGACGTCTTGCGGCCCGTCGACAAGCCTCTCAAGAGCACCGGTCACATTCGTATCCTCAAGGGCAACCTCGCTCCCGGTGGCGCCGTAGCCAAGATCACCGGCAAGGAGGGTTTGCGTTTCACTGGAAAAGCTCGCGTCTTTGACACCGAAGACGCCATGGTCGCCGCCGTCGAAAAGGGCGAGATCAAGAAGGGCGAAAAGACGGTCATCGTGCTCAGGTACAAGGGTCCCAAGGGTGGACCGGGCATGCCTGAGATGCTCAAGCCGACGAGTTTGATCATGGGTGCAGGTCTCGGTATGGATGTCGCGTGTCTCACCGACGGTCGCTTCTCGGGAGGAAGCCACGGGTTTGTCATTGGGCATGTCGTTCCCGAGGCGCAGGACGGTGGGCCTATCGGGCTGGTGCAGGATGGCGATGTCATTAGCATCGATGCCGAGACCAACTCGCTCGAGCTCGTCGGTGTCACCGAGACGGATCTCGAGAAGCGAAGAGCAGAGTGGAAGCCGTTGCCGCTCAAACCAAAGTCCGGTCATCTGCTCAAGTTTGTTCGTAACGTCGCGGATGCCTCGCACGGCTGTATTACTGACAAGTGATGCCCTCACTCCCAAAGCACTCATTCGCCATCTGTAACTTATTCGCCTTTTATATTCAAAAGCATTTGAAAAGCAATCGTTGGGCGTGTGTGACCGCCTGTGCCACCTAGAAGCGAAAGAACCCGCTCCTCCTCTCGCTCGCCATCCTCCTTCTGACCATATTCGCCGCATCTCCACCCCACACCTCTACGGGACTTCTTCCCTTCTTCAACACCTCCGTCTCATGCACTTTCGCCTGACTCCTCGAGAACAGCGCTACATTCTGAAAGCTCAGTGGTAGCGTCGAGTCCCACCTCTGCAACTGAGCTCCTGAAAGACTTTCGAATGGAGGGACGATGCTTCTTCCCCTGAAAACTTCTTCAAACAGATAGGCGATGTCGTTGATGCTGAAAGGGAGGTGATGTCGAGGACCTGTGTTGGACGTGTCCAGCGAAGGTGCGGTTCCGGGGAGTGGATGGCGGGATTCGGAAACGCTGAGATCGTGGAAGAGTTTCTCGTACAGTTTTCGTCGACCTTTGAAGGCGAGCGGTTCCATCTTTTGTCCGGAGATCTCGCAGATGATGAACGTGGCTACCGCGAGACCGAACATGGCGGGAAGGGGACCGAGGACGGGGAGGATGCGGACGCGGAAGTCTTCGAGCGCCGCTAGCTCGTCCACGTTGCCCTTGAGGAATTCGTCGTCGTCGAGTGGGAGGAGACGGGTGTCGGACTTTTCGGTGGAGTAGACGCACGGGATGAAGAACGACGGTTCGGTGAACTCGGTCGAGGCGGAAGGCGTGGGTGGGAGCGTCGGTTTGAAGGACGTTGAGCGGGAGAGGGCGGGGGAAGAGCCGGATGGCGAGGGCGAGAGTTCTTCTACTTCTGACACTCGTCTGCGGAGCGGATCAGCCTTCTTGGTGCGCGGTGCGGAGTGCGCTGCCAGGTCGACCGCCGTTGCATCGGACGCTGCGGCGCTGCTCTGAGACTCGCGTCGATCCAACAGTATCTGCGTCGACGCCAACGGTCCTCCCTCGCTCTCCGCCTCGATCCCGTCAACACCATCCTGCCCCTCGTCGAGCGGTCGAAGGCTCGTATCCTGATCGCCCTCATCCGGCAGCAGCGCAGCCATCTCATCCGAAGGCGTCGTCATGGGCGTCGCGTACGCGCCCGATCCGAACGACGAAACGCTGCTCGCTCGTCGACTGTGTCGAGGTGCTTGAGGCATGGCTGCAGAGACCGCCCGCGAGCTCGACACGCTAGCAGACCCGGCTAGGCTGCTATCGTTGGACGCGTTCAGAGCGGTGAGATCGGTTGAGCTGCCGCTTCGAGATGCGAGCGGCGAGGGCGAAGAAGCCATCTTGCGTGCGTGTCGAGGCTGCAACGAACCGGTGAATCGGTCGTTGGCGTTGGACGCGAGTGTCGGCGACGAAGCGCCGCTGCTGGTGTTGCTGTTGGTGGTGGCTGCGCTGCGACTCACCCCGTCGCTGGGGCTGGCCTTCATGGGTGTTCGGTCGAGGTCGACGTTGCTCGGCGCGTCGAGCTTGGACTGCTTGCCTCCCTTTTTGCCTTTTGCCAGATTGCTCGGCCGACCGGCGCTCTTGGTCTGCGCCTTTTCGAGCTGTTCGGCTTCGCGCTTCGCACGGTCCTCGACCTCCTTGGGCGGAATGGGCGGCAATCCAAGCGCCCTCAATCGACGACGCACGCTGCGCGCCAACGGATCCTCGGAAGTGACGCTAATGTCCGAAATCTGAATGCGGCTAGGGTCGCTCTTTGCCCCGGCTCCCATGGAGCTGATGACCTTGATCTTGCGTTCCGCACAAAACCGCAGCAGATCCACCTTGGTATCGATGTTGTCGATCGCATCCACCACGTACGTCGGATTGCCTCCCAGCAGACGCTCCGCCTCGTCGCCACGGAACAGCTCCACCCAGGCCTCGAGCTTGGCCCAGGGAGCGATCTGTGCAAACTTTTCGGCGCAGCACACTACCTTGGGACGACCGACATCCTCGAGCGTAGCGCACGCATGACGGTTGAGCGAAGAGAGCGAGACCTGGTCAAAGTCGATGAGTCGAAGCTTGGACACACCAGAGCGCAGCAGCATGAGCGCCGCCCATGATCCGACACCTCCAGCACCCACGACGATGACAAACGAGTTGCGGATGGCCGTCATGCCTTCTTCGCCGAGGAAGCTGTAATTGCGCGACAGCTGCTCGCGGATCAAACTCTCGTCCCACTGCTCGACCGACGGTTGGCGTTTGCGTGAGAAGGTGTCGTGCGGTCCCAGCGTATCCGCACGCGATGGGCCGGCAGGCGACTGCGGCATGTTGTTGGAAGAGTAGAAGCTGGTTGAGTTGCGCAGATGCGAGGCAGGCCGCAGCGAGTTGCTCTGAAGACCTGAGAGGTAGCGCGGCGTGCCTCCGTCGGTGGAGGACGACGCCTCATCGCGATGCAGGTCGAAGCGCTGCAGTCGATCCGATCCCTGAGCATTGGCCGACTTGGTGACGGTATCCGACAGGTCCTGTCGCTTCTTGCGTCGTGTGATTCGCTGCGTTCCAAAGATGGCCGCAGCCGTTGCAATCGACGAGCCGACAGCGATCGAGCCGAGCAGCAACGCGTTCCTGCCATTGGAGCTGGACAGCGTCGAGAGCCATGACGATGATGAGCTCGAGTCCGACATGATCGTCCCCACGTCTAGGCAAGGCGAAGAGGCGAAGTGATGGGAAGGAGGAAGCGATGTGACGGTGAGGAGCAAGGAACGGATGCGAGCAAAGCCCAGACCCGAATGTGGAGTGAGAAAATCAGAAATCACAAACAATTCGGAAATTCCGCTAAAATCTCAGGTCGCGTGGCTCCAACGTGGTACCAAAAAATAAACCGTGTTTGTGCGACCCTTTTTTCCCGTCGCAGAACCGGTCTTGACATCGCTCGCGACGCTGTTTCTGATGACTTTTTCTCACTTTTGAGTGGCCTAAGACGTCCGGAAGGGTTCAAAATGGTAAAAAGATGCTCACTACCCGGTTCGAACGAGTGATCTCGCCATGCCTGTAAGTCAGGACACTTCCGCAAGTGCGGACTCTGCTGAAGTGCCTTATGTACAAGTGGCGCGCTGTACCACTTAGCCAAGCGAGCGTTCGTTGGCAAGTAAGGAGCTTACAAACTTCATATAGTATGTTGTCAAAACCGAGCTTTGATCGATGGAAACGGGATGATGTTGCAAGAAAACGTCTTGTTTCTAAATCGTGAAATTCCGAGGCGCGTGGCTGCCTGGAATTTTCGAGCGCCACACCGTTGCACGAAAATCCCAGTCGGGTCGATCGGATATCCCGACACTTTTGCGGGGAAGCTGTTCCTGACTTAGCAAGTGAGGGTTCGCTGCACCGTGCACTGGTACACCTCTAGCTGCGTGTTTGCAGACGGATCGGCATTCAAACCGAGTAGTAGTGGCATCGGAACAGATTGCTTCGTGACGGACAGTGTGTGATTTCGCGAAGTACAATGTGTGATCCCGCGAAGTGAAACGGATTAGAGACCCTTTCCAGGCGATTCACCCCCTGAGAACTTGTTTCGAGGCAAAGCTGCGGCGGTGAACACAAGCTTCCTCTGACAAAGCGGGATTGAGACGCTTCCGCAAGTCGCCGGGGTTTCGACTGCGATGTCAGTCAAGATCAGCTCGAACTGAGCTCGCAGTCAAGTCAAAGTCAGATCATGTTGGTACTCTGTCAAGGTTCTTGTAGTGCCGCGTTTGTGCGTATCAGCGGAGCTCGTCTGCAGTCCAGAAGCGCTCGTCTGTTCAATCGAGCGAGTCAAGCGTTGAGCACAGCCTGAGATAGCAGACGATACAGGAACTTAAAAGATACCCAGCTCTGATTCGATTTGCGAGCGAGAATGCAAGCTCCTTGTTTTGCGGGATGTCGAGGCAATCACTTTGAGACCTAGCGTCATTCTACGATGCTTGCTGTGTCTTGACACCGTCATCTCAGAAAGTTCGCAGACGGTGCTCTTCGCAATGCTCTGAGCCAAGTGACGATGATTTCAGTTGAGTGGACAGCGTTGTGCGACTTACTACATTCTGGGAGATGATCACAAAGGCCTTGCCTCGACGGGCAACAGTCTTTCGCGTTCCATCAACCCGAGACTGCACAGTATACTGCTCTTTGGTTGTGCAGCTTCTAACAGCCTCACAACGGATCGGATAGGTCAAACAGCTTCTCGCGGCGTGCTCTTGAGTTGCGCTTTGTAGAGATCCACAAGGAATTTACGTTGATTCTGAATTTGCTGCCTGATCGATACATGTCGCTGTTGACATTTGTGCAAACAGAAGATCGCGGCATCAGTCGAGATTCGAACGAACACATCTCTTTCTGGCCAATGCTTGGAAGACTGCGGCCGGTATTGCTCAGCCGAAGCTCTGGATGAATGAGCACAGCGTTCACAGACCAATGCAGGGCTAAAAAGGACATCTTTAGCTTCAAAGCAAGACTTGACAAGCTGCTGGGCAGAGTCATCAGTAACAAGCACTCAAAACAGAACATTCCTACTCCAATAAGACAGCACAAAAAGCTCTCATATCTTTTTCAACAACATTTTCATAAAGTCTCAAAGGATTTGCTAAGTGCTTGCAGACATGGCAAAGGTTCATGAAGCATTTTGCAAATCTGCTTGGCATCAAAATGCCTTTGTTGGCAAGTGCAAAGCTGCAGGACCACTTCTCTGCAGGCACAATTGTGCAACAGTCAATTTGCTGCCAAAATTACACAAGCTATGGTTTATTCTTTGTTAAGATGCCAGGCACCTCTGGTGTGTGAATGAAAGACCCTATGGGCCATTGCGATGTTGCTGGTCTTCCGAAAATTGCGGATGGATGACTTGCCTGCTCTCTTCATCTTGAAGGCAAGCATTGCGGTTCAATTCATCAGCGAGTTCAAGCGATTTGTCCAGCATGATGACAGCGACCTGCCAAACTCTGCTGACGGCCGTCTGTGCTTGCTGAACCTCACCGCAAGCGAGGCAAAGCAGAAGGTGATCCCACAAGAATACATGTATTTCTGTGACAGCAATCTCGCTGTCTTTGTCACAAACAAGTCCACTGCTAGGGGTACCTCCAACTCGAAACATTTGTCCCCCTACCACGGTACAAACAAATATGGCTTTGTCGCATATGACGAGGTCCACAACCAGCCTCAGCCAATGGCGATCTCGTTCTCCGCCGAATTTTTCGTCTGTTGTTGCTTCACAGTGGGCTTTTCTGCAACGCCAATCTACAACGTCCAGAACTTCTTCTTCGTTCTTGGATTTTGCGGCCATCCTCAGGCCAAGATCACGAGCAAGTCCGTCGCCAAGCTCATCCAGCGAAAAATGGCAGCAGAAGGACGGTCCCGCCAAGCTCTACCAAGACTTGGTGATCAAGCTCACCAACGAGCGCAACCGGGCGATGGAGGGAGATAGGTCCCAGAAGGCGACCCTCGAGACCCTTGTGGCGCGTTTTGTCGAGCAGAAGCTCCCTCGCCCCGGAGAAGCTTTCACAAAGAAGCGTCACAACGAGCTCATCAAACAGCTCGACGCCATTGTCACGATCTCCAGGAGCGTTGGGGAAGGCCTTGTCAAGGTAGTTGTAGCCCACAACAAATTCCACCGGAATCTTCGCAAAGAGTACGTCTTTGTGAGCGCAGACCGCTCCACCGGACCCTTCGTTCTCAAGCGCAAACGAGCAATCACAGACTCGTTGCCTCCCACGCACGAGTACCACATCACCCTAGAGCAGAGCCAAGAGCACAATTGTTGGCTGGACAGCATCCATGAAGCGGCAATTTGACTCTTGACCGACGCCTTTTCCCAACAGTATAATTAGGAAAAGGCCAAGGAGATGGCTCTGAAGGCACCAGGTCTCAGAGACTACCAGCAGTACAGAGTTTACCATCCTGCTCTGGTTGCTTGCGCGTTTGCAGAAACAAACGTCCCAGTCAATGCCTTTGACCTGGCAGAGGAGGCTTTTGACAAGATTGGGTCCAGAAAAGCTCAGCTGGTTGTTGGACTCGTCGTTTGTATGCCGGAGATGTGGGGAGAGCGAGATTAAGCAGAGGCAGCTGTGCTGCCGAAGCTGTCCAATGATGACCTTCCTCTGCCTGTTGCAGATGATGATCTTCCCGTGGAAGATCATCATCTACTGCCAACACGCACAGGTTTGCGCCTTTCTGGGCTGGCACCTGTTTGATCTCGACATCCGTTCCCTAATCTTTACAGCGGAGACAATAAAGGCGGCCAGAATCTCCGCAGTTGAATCAAGAGATGGTCCGTTGATCAAGATGTCCCGGTGCTCTTCATCTCAAGCGCAATGTAAGTCTTCCTTTCTCTTTTTCTCCGGTATCACGTTCACTGACAAAGGCACAAGCAACGACAGACAAAAAATGAGCTAAATTCAACCATGGTGAGGAGCGTGATGAGGGTGTGATTGACAAGCGTGATGCCAACTGAGCCTCAAAAAGACTCAGCCAGAAACCCACTTGGCCAAAACAACCCTTGGATGGCTATGGTACAGACATGCGACCGGGAGACCTGGTGACAACAAACCAGCTAACTGACTCCTTTTCTCTGCGCTCCTTTTCTCTCGCTCACAGGGCCACTGGAATCAACATCACGGAAGCCAACGTGATGATCTTTGCCAAGCGCAACAGCAACAAGCTCGAGGATGTCCAGATCCGGGGACGCATCGTTCAAACGGGTCAAAATCGCAAGACATGGATCTGCATGCCTTGCATGCTCAAGACCTAAGCCAAGAACGTCTGCATGCAAGGTAAGGCAAAGCGGATGAATCAAGCTCCAATTGCCTCAGGCGCTGAGCGCCAATGCGCTCGGATCCTGGAGTTTGCCAAACTAGGAGACTTTGGCAAAGGCATGCAGCTCTGGGACCACTGATGTGCTGAGTCGCGCCTCAAAGTTTGGCCCACAGAGCTTTGGCAAGAGGGGGCTAATGTGCTGCCTTTGCTCTTTGATGACAATGAAGACTATGATGGACATCCAGTGTCAGCATGTGCAGGTCTGTACCTTCCTGATTTGGCACCCATTTGACCTAGACATTTGTTTCCTTGCCCTTCTTAGTGAAGACAACAAGGGATGCCAGATGATTTGCAATTGGACCAAGAGATGATCTGTCAATTGAGATGTCCTGCTGCCCTTCACCTTGAGCACAATGTAAAGATCCTGTCCACTGATTGAGCCGCTGGTGAATTGGCTGTCTCTGCTGCAACAGCTTCGGTTCCACCTCCAAACAATTCAACGCTGCATACTTGGCTAGCTCTCAGCTCTCGATCCGCATGTTGTCTCACAGAACCGACTTGTGTTTGACCTGTGCTTTTCTTGACATCGGACTTGGTGAGATCCTTTGGAGCATACCACAAATGGTCCGAGAATCGCATCGCTGAGATTGTCCGGATTGAAGGACTACATGTCTGTGAGAAACAAAGGACACTTGCCGAAACAGACTCGCCTAACACCTGTCGAGAATGCTTTGATCGATCAAGGATGGTCGCAACGATGCTCAATGCAAGCCTTGGCTCCTCATTGCTGACCAAGTGCTGAGTCTGTGCGATTGTCGTAAAGCGGAACTCGGGCTTGTACAAGCGAGTCAACAGGTCGTCGACAAGGTCAACGCTTGTATCAGAGTATCGGTTGTACTCTGTTGCTCGAAACGAGAAGCAGATGCTTGTGTACGATCACAACGTGCGCCGTATCAAAAGAGAACATCGAGAGACGCTGATTTTTGTTCAAAAAGAAGTTCGCACAGTCACAACTTGGACTCGATGCGGCAATCTTCACGATACTCGCTTCAAACAGAATCTTTCGCTGTCTGAAGCTTGGCTGCGGCTTCTTGGCTGATCGCGACCACAACGGCGCGGTCAACATGATCGTCAAAGCAATTCCACAGCCACACAGCCACGATCAAGATCACTGTCTCATCCTTTCGCTGCCTTGCCTTGTGCGCGCTGTCTCGTCGATCTAACTCGACCTTCTTCACATCTCGCCTTATGCAGCAGGTCAGGCGAGCGAGGTGCATTTGCCAGCGTGAAAGTCATCTCAGGCTCTGTTGCATTAAGTCAGCAAATCGCACAGTCTGTCGAAGCTGTTGCGGATCCTCGAACTGGCCAACATTCGCAGAGTTGCTCTGTATCGCAGTCTCAGAGGGCGCACGAGACTTTCGCAGTCGCACGTTCTCTCTTCCGTCGTTCTGTCTGTCGTGTTTGGATTGCGAGCTCTGATATACAGGTCCTGCTCTGAGCCCAACGAATCATCTCGCCTTGGCACTCCTCGTCAATGTCTCTGTCGCGCGCAGTGCAGTCGTCGGACAAAAATGATCTGTGTCACACTCGCTGATCGTGGAGCTTCAGCTAGCATGCTCCATCTTGAACAGTCCGCAACATGCTCCTGTCATTGAACAGCTTGTAGTACTCAGGAGCATCTTTCGAAGGGTCTGGTGTCTGCGAACGAGCTGGCTTCCTCGGTGTCCTTGCCATCTTGTGCTACGCTACGTACTCTCACTGATTCACTCATTTGTTTCCGCAAGAGCGTACCCTCGTTGCAGCTTCGCCTGTGAAAATGATGCTGATCGCGAGCGCAGTGGTCTGTTCGATAAGGCCGTCGAAGCAATCTGCGGCGCTACCTCGATTCTTGTGCATCTCGCGTCGTCTTGTCATTGACTCAGCTGCATCCGCGTTCACTTCCTGTTGTTTCAAGCAACATTCTGTCGCATCGGTCGCTGGACCTTTGTCACATTTGAACGGACCATTCTACCCAGACGACAGCTTGAGGGCGAAACATTTGGCTCACATCGATTCAAGACAGAAGAAATGAATCAAAAGCCGAGGAGGAAGATCGGCAAGATCGCGGATCGACGCACTGCTCCACAACCGCACCCGCAAGTCGGCTTCTTGGCTCACTCGAAGCCCGTTCTGCAAATCTGCTTTGACAGATTCGCTCAGGACCTTCCCTCCAAGCGCAGCACAGACGCAGTTTCGTCGCTCAACACAATCGATCCGCTGGATGCTGCCATGTATCACAAGCCTCATGCAAATGTGGAGCGCACCTGCGAGTCAGCGTAACAGCTTACTGGAGACCCGTTTCGCGAATCTTTTTTGATAGTCCGATTCCTCAGCTTCCCCTCAAGCGCAGTACAGACTTGCTTTTGTCGCTCGACACCATCAGTCTGTCTAGTTTTGCAAAGTACCGCGACCTCTGGACAAATATCAGCGACGAAATCGTGTCAACGACGCGCTTGGTCCAAATTGAGTTTCGGTTCCGATAGCTGTCCCACCAACCCGACTTTGCGGGAACGGATCCCTCGACTTCATGCCCACATGCATTCACCGGCAGACACATGTCAATTCACGTGCAACAGTGCATGCCGAGCTCACAGCCCAAGATGCCAGCCGGAACTCGTCACCTGGAAAATGATCATTGCATTCGCTGTTCGTGAACGTTACTTGGTGTGCTCCATCTTGAATACTGTCTTCAACACCTTCCTGTCGTTGAACAACTTGTAGTATTCAGGAGCGTCTTCGATGGGCCTCGTGTGCTGGATGAAGCTCTTGAAGAGATCGTGGTGTTTGCTGAGCAGTTTGACGGCAGGGTCAAAGACGGCGCGGACGGGGCAACGACCAAACTGGAAGCGCAAGTTTTTGTTGTACAGGTCGGGACCTTGCAGGGTGACGGTGTGTGTGTGGATGCCGCAGGAGGAGACGACGCCAAAGTTGCGTACGATCGAGACGGCGAGGTCGAGAGCGGGACCTGCGCCGACGACTTCGAGGGCGACATCTGCGCCTCTGCCTCCGGTGGCTTCCTTGACGGTCTTGACCGGGTCGTCGTCGGTGAGGTGGAGGGGGATGGCGCCGTGCTTCTTGGCTTCGGCGAGACGTTCAGGTACCGAATCGACAGCGTAGACCGTCTTGAAGAAGGAGCAAGCGGCGGTGATGGCGCAGAGGCCAACGGGACCGCATCCGATCACAACAGCAGTGACGTCCTTGCGTTCGGCTTCGTTGAGCATAGTATAAGCATTGTTGGCGACAAAGTAACCGGTGGGGAAGATGTCGGCGGTGAGAAGCATGATCTCGTCCGGAACATCTTCGGGAATCGGGTAGAGCGTAGTGTCTGCGAGCGGAACGAGGACGTACTCTGCCTGAGCGCCGTCGAGCGGAACGGAGCCAAAGACGCGCGACTGGGTGCAACGACCGGTCTGGTTGCGGTTGCAAAAGAAGCAATCGCCGCACGAGATGGTGAAGGGCGAGACGACCTTGTCGCCCTTTTTCCAGTTCGTGATGCCGTCGCCGGTCTCGTAGATCTCGCCGACGAATTCGTGGCCAAGCACGAAATCGTACTTGGGGACGGGTTGGTGACCGCGGTAGATGTGCAGGTCGGAACCGCAGAGAGCGGCGAGGCTGACCTTGACGACGACTTCGCCTTTGCCCGGTTTGGGGATGGGACGCTCCAGGACGGCGACCTGTTCGGGGCCCTGGATGACGACGGCTTTCATTGTGGTTGGGGCAGACATGGTGGCGGCGGACGAGGTGCGAGTGGTGGAGAGACAGGAGGAAGGCACGGACCTTGATGGCTCCTTCAATGCGATGTCGCGTGCGGCTTGAGAAGCTAAACTGCGCAAACTGACTTGAATTCCCCGCAAACACAGAAAGCGTCGACGTTTGGCTCGGCTGTCAAACCGGCTGTATCGGCGAAAAACCGGTCCAATGGTCGGAAGGGGTCAGATGACATGCACAGCGCTGGCCCTCTCCCGCAGCCCGTCCTGATGAATCACCTCGGCACCGGTCAGCGTCGATATCGCTGCTCAGCCACACCAACTCATTCGGCATGTCCGACCGAGGAGCAAGCCAACGATGCACTGCGAGCGCAGCTCTGTCTGAAATGTTAGGCCATCATTGGATACAATCGCACGCATTTCGCACCTCCACGTAGGCAGCAAGCTCGGAAATCGGAGACGCAGAGGCTGCAGGCGCTTGCTCAACTCGAGGTTACCGCTGACCTCGTCCTTCCTGTCATCTCTCGACCCCACCCGACCACCTCGACGAGATCGAGATCCATCGACAACGGCTCTTCTAGGGCGGAGCCCTCAGCTCACCATGCCAGCCCAAATCTCGGCTGCCTTGCATCACAGCCAGCACTGGCTCACTTCGACCGCAGGTGCGCCTCTCCGTGCAGCCTATGACTTTCTCTTTCCACCCCTGAACGAGGCGTTCGTACAGCCACAGACCATCACAAGGAGACAAGTCGGCGCGGACGAATCCATCGAACGCTTGGAAGTGTGGGATACCTTCTCCGACAGCCCGTGGAGCTTTGTCACCAGCCGCTACGCCATTGCGCTCGTGATCGTAGCCATCGTCAACAATCGAGTGCAGCACATCTGTCGTCCGCGAGGAGGCGCGACAGCGAGGCTTTCACAGCTCCAACGGGTGGCGCTGCGTCTGCCGAGCTTGGTGTTGCTGGCTCGAGCCGTGCTCATCCTCTTCACCGTCACGGCCGACGCCTTTCTCGCGGAATCCAATTTGGTCAATGTGTTGCTGCGCACCTGCACCACCGCAGCGTGGAGGAACGCATGGCTGGCCAACACACCCATGACCGGTTGGGCGTTCGACTGGTTCGGCATCAGCAGCAGAGACGCCCTCCTCCGCGCACGCGACGCAACGGCGCTCTGGGCAGCCTTCACCTCGACGTGCGTCGCCGTCGTCAGCGATTCCATCGTACGCAACCTCGACGCCGATCGTGACGAGCCTCCCGCGTTCAACCTCGTTGGCTTTGCGTTCCTTCTCCACTTTCACTCGTTCTCACCAGAAGCACCCGCCAACGAGCACGTCTACCTCTGCATCCTCCTCCAGATGCTTCAGATTCTGGCTATAGCCGTCTCACGCTGTCGTCGTCCCGTCTATGCCCCGCGTCTGGTCATCTCGAGCGTGTTCGGCGTCTCGTCCTTGATCCACTATGCGCTGGCGGCGAGATCGGGCAGGTATCCTTTCCTCGAAGCGCTCAGCCGCACGCCCGAGATCGCGCTCGTGCTGGTGGTGCTGCTGACCATCACGCTGCACGCACTGACCATGATGCTGTTGGAAGGCAAGATCGAGACGAGTCGGCTGCTCTTTTCGCGTTCGAATCTTCCTTCGCTGGACGAGGACTGGTCGTTGGCGCTGTTCAAGCTGGGCACGGCGTGTATGGAGTCGACGCGGCTGACCGGCTTGGAGAGGGAGGTGGAGCCGCTGGTAGCGTGGGATGCGCCGTACATCGAGCTTGCTTCCACCGGTCGCATCGAGCTGGTCGACCCGCTCGCAGCTCGCAACGCCAACTCGCATCAGCCGCACGACACTCTGCCATCCGCATACGCCAACACAGGCGGCGACGCTGCTTTCATCGGCGGCCTCTCTCGCGAAGTCAAACAAGTGCGTATCGAGCCGACGGTACGGAGCGCTTCGTCCACGTTTGGTCATGCGGGGTTGGCGAGGATGCGCGCTCTGCTCCACTTTGTCACGATCACGCTGCTGGTGGCTCGCAGCGTCGCGGCGATAGGTATGCGCAAGGTGCTGCATGCGGTGGGGTTGCCCGATCCGAGCGTTCCCGCGTGGGTGTTTCGGGCGTTGCGCTTCGCGAGGCTTGTCTGGCACGGCAGCAACGGCGAGGCGCGCAGGCGGGAGAGGCGAGCCGCGGAACAGAGACGCCAGCAGCACGAGCAGCAGCAGCGGTCGCAACGGTCGCAACGGCTCAGAACGCAGGACGTTTCAGCCGGGGTATCTGGGATCTCGTCAGGGATTACCGCGGAGAACCCGCAGCGACCCGCTTCGATGTCAGAAACGTATAGCACTGCTGCCACTCGTCCCAACCAGCCAGGCGATGTATGGGATGGCGACAGTGACGCAGAAGACGACGAGTACGACGTGACGCTTGCCGAGCATGATTCGGATCTCGAATCCGAGATCGACGAAGCCGACTCCCTCTCCCTCCCACCCGACGAGGTATCCGGCCTTCTCTCAGAGCTCGAATCTTTCTCCGCCGACGACACCGTCCCTCCTCCACCTACCACGCAGTTGACCACGCTGCACTCGGGCACAGAACCGTTCAACCAGCTCCTGCTGGCCCATCTCACCCGTCCCCCCACACAACCTCCGCTCACCCGCTCAGCGTACACCTCTCTCCTCTCACCCTTCTCCCCCTCGGACGTGTCTCTGGCACAAACCCTCCTCAACCGTCGCCCTGTTCCCGCCTTCACTTCCTCCACGGACGACACGCGCCGTCTGTGCGTCATCTGTTGCACCGCCGAACGAAACGTCATCTGCTGGCCCTGTCGCTGCCTCTCCCTCTGCATGGAGTGTCGCGAACACCTCGCCTCCCGACCCCCACCTCGTCGTCCCTTTACGACCACCCCAGATCGCCCCCGCTCAGAAGACGCTTCCCACCTCTGCCCTACCTGCAGAACCCCCGTACAAGCCTTCAGTCGATTATACATTCCATAGAGTCACGCTGCTAACGCCACGGAGCCGAGATGCACACAACATTCTGGGTATTTCAAAAAAGGGGAAAGTGTGGAAAAGATGCAGCAATGAATCCGGATCTGAGAACAAGGGGATCCTGGTATGAGAACAATGAGAGCGTTGATAGTCCATGACAAGAGTAATAAACGGAACCAAGGGGAAAAGGGAGAACTGATGCGCAGCTCAACGCAGCTCGTCATGCTGCAGCAGGGGTGCGTCCGAGGCGGAGCGCGTGCTGTCGCGGTTTGGGTATTGTTGCTGTGCGTCGTGCTGCGATTGCGTCTGTGTGTGCTGTTGCACGTTCGACTCGGGTTGCTGGGACATGCTGCGGGCCGAGTCCGACTGCGCCTGGCGTTGGGCCGAGGCATCCAGGAACGCCTTGCGCTCTTCGGCGGTGAGCGATGCGAGGTAGGCATTCTTGACTTGGCGTGCATCGACGTAGCCCGTCGACGAGACATCCCAGCTGACGAGACCGGCTGCGTGCAGATTTGTCGGATGGACGGGGACCTCCTCGCCCCATCGAGGATCCTCACCGCGACCGAGCTCGTCGTCGTGCATATCGTCGTCGAACACGCCATGTATGTGGTGCAGCTGGCGCGCCTTGGCACGCTGAGCGGGCGAGAGAGCCACCTGACTGCTGCTGTCGTCGTCCTTGCCAAGTAGCTCCATGGGCACGTTGACGCCGTCGATCTTCATGACGCTGTAGGGATTGCTCTGTTTCTTGGCGTGACCGTGGTGGGTGCCGCTCGAGGCGGTGCCCACGCCTGCCCCGCCTCCGGACTTTTCGGCTTGAGCGGCGAGGAGCGCGGCGCGGGCAGCCGCAATGCGACGGCGTCGGCGACGCAGACGCCAGAGCGCGACACCAAAGAGCACGCCGATGACGACGATGGCGCAGACACAGCCAATGACCACCTTGATGCCCTCCGAGAGGCCCTTGGAGTTGCCCGAGCCCGAGCCGGCAGGGCTTCCGTGGACACCGGACTGGCCGAGCGTCTGCTTCTTGATGCGCACCGCGGTGAACTGCTGGGTGGCGGCGGTCATGTTGACGAGCGGACGCAGACCGATGGACGCCTCGCACGGGCTGGTGACCGTCATGTTGGCGGCCTGCGCCTGGGTGGTGTTGAGCCCGCCGTCGCACGAAAACACGGTGTAGGCGCTTCGCATAAAGGCGGGCGAGAGCACAAAGTCGGCGGGGAGGAAGCTTGCGTTCAAGTTGGCGCCATTGGATGAGCCCGAGAGCGAGCGGAGCGCTTGGAACGAGCCGAGACACATGGTGCCGTCGCCAGAGGGGCCGTTGCCCGATCCGAGCTCGAGACTGGCGTCGAGTGGATGGATGGGGATCGAGGTGCCGCCGAGACCAAGCGTGATGTTCAACTGAAGATTGCAGGGTACGTAGTAGCCGCCATCCGAGGCGGGACCGATGCCCCAAGCGCCGTAGAGGGCGTTGAGCGTACTCTCTGGACCCAGATTGACGCTGGCGCCCGAAGCAAACACGGCGATGGGATTGGAGCCGGCAACGACGCTGGACGTACCAAAGGGGATGGATTCGGTGACGCCGTGTTGCAGTTCAACGGTGATCCCGGTGAGGGGAAGACGCCAGTGACGCACGACGCCGTCGGCATCGCCGATGGCGCTGGTGTAGTTGATGGTGGGATTGGTGCTGCCGGCGTAGGCTGGATCGTGGTTGCCGATGGTGAGCACGCTGTCGCCCTTGCCGCCGTCCTCCTCGAGGCGCTGCATGCCGATACCCATGAATCTGCGACCGGGACGTGCGCCGTTCCAAAAGCCTGCAAGGACGGCACCGGTCTGGGGTGGGCGCACGTTGACGTTGAGCGAGGCGGTGTTGCTGGTGGCGTTGAGGTCGGCCTGGATGAGACTGTTGGCGGGAGGACCCAAGCCGATGATGCCGGAATAGTCGCCCGAGTCCATGTCCTCGTTGGCGACCTGGCTGCACGAGCCAAACGCCTGCGAATTGATGATGAGGCGCGAGGTGATGGGATCGCCAAAGAGCATCGACGTGGTCTTTACCTGGCCAGAGGCGGAGCCGAGGAGGTAGCTGATGTTGAACGGGGTGTCTTGATCTACCACGGTATCGAGGTGGTCGTTGAATTTGGTGACGGTGAGGCCTTGGTGTCCTTTGCACGAATCCGAGTCGCAATCCTGATTTGCGAGCCAGAGGTCGCCGCTGCCCGTGTCGAGCTGGGCGTTGACCTGCTGATTTGCGGCGCTGATGGGTACGGTGTAGGTGAGTTGACCGTTGGAGAAGCCACGACCGAGGACGATGCGCGTGCTGTTGAGGTTGGCAGAAGCGGGCGAGCTCAGTCCATCACCATTGGAACCCAGTGAAGAGGACGCTGACGGCAAGTACGAGCTGGAAGACGAAGAGGCTGAGGACGGTGATGAGGAGGAAGCGGTGTTGAACGATACGGATGCGGATGCGGATGCGGATGTCGATGCAGAAGCGGAAGACGGCCTTGTGGAAGAAGAGGTGGCTGACGAGGCTTGACGTGGAAGTATAGGTCGAGCATCGTGAGCGTCTGCCAACGAGCGCACCAGTGGCGAAGCGGGGCCACGTGGAAGAGGCATGATGTACACTGCGTCGTCGCCGACGTCTGCGTCGATGGTGGTGATGCTGTTGCTCGCTTGGGTGTTGTTGAACGAGGCGACCTCGCGGGTACTAAAGGAGGAGCACGAATGCCATGCAGAGTGTATTATTGACGAGGTGGTCTCTCTGTGGCGAGTAGCAGTGGTGTATCGCGGCTGAGATCGTGATGGATGTGGAGCTCTTTGAGATCGTCCTTGAGCTAGAAAGGCGAAAGACGGTGGTGAGGGTTAGAAGCAGGAGGAGGACGAGAGAAGAGAGAGCGAGGGAGAGGTGTGATGGGTGGTACGGCAAGGCGGCGGCAGCAGACGGCAGCCTTCAACCCATAGCAAAAAGGCAACCGAGCCTCAGCACCGTGAGCCACCCAAACTCACAATTTCATATTTATACATTTTATAAATAAATATCTAAAATGAACAATCCAAGCAGACTGTGCGGAGAGAAGTTGGTTCGATGCTTGACCTCGTGCAGTGCGTGGTGCAGGAGCAGAGACCTGGCGGGGAAGCTAGAGTTGCTGCAGCTCACCAATCTGTTTGGTGGTTTAACGATGGAGTCGCCTGCACCCGAAGCCGATCAGCGCGTCGCATCTCGTGGCTACCTACAGCTGTCGTGCCCCGACGGCTGCCACCCATCGACGCAACCGTGATGGTGTCGAGAGGGGGTTCGATGCCAAGGTGCAAGCAAGCTGAGACATCCGGACACTAATTACAAAACCTATAAATGCGGTTCGACGACTGTGTGGGAGGACACAGACTCCTACCGAAATTAGCGCGTCTCAATCTAAGCGACAAGGCGGAAAGAAAAAGCCTCTCGATGGTCGGAACCCTTGCGATGGGCGGTCACAGGTTGGCGCAGCGTGCGACGCATGGTGCAATTTGACGCCTCCTCGTGACCCGTCTCTCGAATAGAGCTCGAGGAAGAGCCACGCGTGTACAGCTACTCAGCTCGCAGCAGAGGTCGGACTCAGCCGGCAGCTCACAGCGGGCCTGGAGCGCGTAGCAACATCAGAATGGCGGTATTCAGGTGCAGCTAGCACGGCATGCAGTAAGTTTCTGCGAGTTACATTACGCTGCGTCTTTTTTTGTTGCAACGCGTGTTCAGGGTTTTGATCGTCAGGGATCTCACTCGTTGTGCACCCGGACGATACCTCGTTTAGGGTCCTTGAGTGCTCTGCTGCCCGCTCAACAGTGAAACAGCGGTTGGAGTTGCCGTGCTTGGTAGCGCATTGTCGTGGCTTCTATCTGTGGTGCGCTGCATTCCACGAGTCACCTGTACGCAGTGTTCGAACAGACCTTCTAGAACACGAGATGCTTGCCTGCAGATGCGATCGTCCATCATCGTCAGTCAGACAGCGCGCAGCGGTAACGACGACGGAACCGCAGCAATTTCAGCGCTCGGTCTTTCAACTTTCCCTGTAGAAAGAGAAAGTGGACGACGAAAATGCGGATCGAAAAAGCTACACCGACCAACTGGACGCCCGCAGCAAGGGCCGACCATAAATGCTCGACTCAACGACGGCATGTGAACAACGACGCCAGCTACGCCTACACCAGATTCCATGCCAAGCCGAAGCACAGTCGTTCGCTGACCAGAGCTCGCGAGACAGACGGACTAGATGAGCCACGATACTTCGAGGAGGAAACGTGCGATATCAGAGAAGCTAGCGAAGCTCGCGACACACGCTTCGATCGCTTGCTCAGAAATAGATCCCTACTGTCAACTTTCCATGCTCTTCTCGAGAACGGCTGCCACTGACCTGCCATCATAGAATTTGCAGTCGAAAGCTGCGAGGTGCCAGGAACCATCGTGCCAGCCGACACAACTGCTGAAAGAGGGTCGCCGCGGCCTGTCGAAACAGGGGCCGACAGGAAACCTTGGAGCTGTGCACAGCCGCAGCGCGTAAAGATTGCCGAGCTCACAAGTTCGAAATCGAGGCCCCGCCATTCCCGAAGCACAGAAACAAGGGCATGGAATCGAACGTCTCATCCATCGACTGCTAAGCGCAATGCACGAGTCGGCCCTGTGTTGCAATCTCTACTGGTGCAACACCTCTGTAGGCGTCGTCCAAGGGTCAAAGCCCAAGCTGAATCAGTGAGTGGGCTAAGAGGGTTCGGTGCGGGTGCCTGACTTCTCGCCGTGTGTGCGTGCTCTCTCTGCTTCTTGCGCGCGTGGGCTTCGGCGGCCTCGCTTCCCGCATGCTCGTCTTGGCCAACACCACGAAGCACCTTCAAGTTGCTGTTTAACAAATCTGGCGGATCTTGCCAGCCAGCCAGCCAAGACGGCATGGATTTGTATTTTCTCAGCCATTCAAACGCCTGTCGCGTGAACTGAAATGCAGCCACGCATGGATGCAGCAGCCGATTACAGATGAAACAACACCTGAAAACCAAAGTCTGAATTGAAATCCGTTGGCCACCCCTGTCGTTCAAATGGTCAGGCTCGAGCCGATTTCAAAAGGAAAAGAAAAGTTGATTTCACTGCTGCTGAGTGCATGTCGTCTGATTTCGCCTTCTCGGGACTCTGTCGTTAAAATTGTTCACTCGAGTTGGTGGAATTTGAAACTTGATCTCTCGTGTGCCCTGTGCTCATCCTCGAGAAAGCCCACACAACCTTTTCCAATTTGGCTGGCTGGCTGGCTGGCTTAGATGGTCGGCCAGCTCGCGCGAGGACCAGCTGGAAAATCAAATCACATCAGGCCACACAGCACGACAGCACAGCAGCACATCCTCAAACCGACACTCAAACACACACACACACACACACACGCACACACACAATTACACCTGAGAGAAAGACCCTCCTCACACACTGAAAGCCCAAAAGTTATTGCGCGGCGCGAGCGCAGCACAGCATAGCACGGCACAGCACAGCACGGCGCACCAGAGCAATCCGCCGAGTGGGTCTCTGCTATCTCTCTTCTTTACTCCACAAACCATCACCTCGACCATCATCAACACCCAACGTCCATCCTTGATCACCCGCTTTGCACGTCTTCTCCTCGTCGTCACTGTCAGCACCGTCTGCCTACACTGCTCTTCGACGTCTCGATTCGCCGTTCGATCACCGATCTCAGCGCAGTTCACGCATCTCGATTGTCGGTGCATCCTCGCTATCGACGACCAGACTGCACTCACCTGATCGCCTGCTGCCTTTTGCCAACCTTGGAAGAAGCAGTTCAAAGTGTCATCTGCATCGGTACTGAGGATCCCTCTCGCACCTTCGCCTTTCCACTCTTCGATCTGCAACCCGTAGCCTGATTCGCTGATTCCCGTGTCAATCGCATCGTTCTCGGACTCTTTCTCCCCGCACACCACATACACATCACACACGACCATGTCTGAACTTCGCCGAAAGCTCGTCATCGTAGGCGACGGTGCCTGTGGTAAGACTTGTCTTCTTATCGTCTTTTCCAAGGTAAGTTGACACCATCGTGCCTCGCTACGGTGCAATGCCAGCAGTCGTGTCCCGTCGTCGGACGATACGCTCGCATCAGCGCCGATCAGTCAGCCATCGACTGGTCAATCACAGCGCATCAGCTTGCCTTCGCCTGCGCATCAGCAGCACTGCATGCGACACGGCAGGGACACGTCAATGGCCGACACCATGGCATGCACACACATATTGCGCACTTGTTTCTCTCGTATATCGGATCACATCCGCTGACCTTTGCATTACCTTCCTCTATCTCACGCTCGTTTTCGCACGCTCTCCTTCGGCATTTCCGCCCACCGCGTCTCTGCTCACCTGTGCCTCCTGCCTGCGCATCCGACTCTCCTCAATCGCCGCATCGCCGCATCGTTCCCCGTAGGGTACTTTCCCCGAGGTCTACGTCCCCACCGTCTTTGAAAACTACGTCGCCGATGTCGAGGTCGACGGTCGCCATGTAGAGCTCGCGCTTTGGGATACCGCTGGTCAGGAAGACTACGACCGTCTGCGTCCACTCTCGTACCCGGATTCGCACGTCATCCTCATCTGCTTTGCCGTCGACTCGCCCGACTCGCTCGACAACGTGCAGGAAAAGTGGATCTCCGAGGTGCTCCACTTTTGCCAGAACCTGCCCATCATCCTCGTCGGGTGCAAGAAGGATCTGCGACACGACCCCAAGATTGTCGACGAGCTGCGAAAGACGAGCCAGCGTCCCGTCTCTGCCGAGGAAGGTATGGCCGTCGCTCAGAAGATCGGCGCCGTCCGCTACCTCGAGTGCTCCGCCAAGACGGGCGAGGGCGTGCGCGAGGTGTTTGAGCACGCCACCCGTGCAGCGTTGGTCCAAAGAAGCCGTGGCTCCAAGAGGAAAGGATGCACCGTTCTCTAAGCAGTCGTCTTTTTTCTTGTGCAGCGCGGCACAGCTGGCTCTGCGTGGATGCAAGACACCCCAAACACGACGGCGCACGTCCATGCAACGCCTCACATTTGATATCCCTGCTGCCCTCTGCATTGCGCGCAACATGATGACACGCGAAGGCGCGGTCACCACATGGCCCTCTGTTCACGACTTACTGGTTTTCCGCTCCTCGCCGCTAGTGTTGCTCTCTTGGCTGTGTCTCCTTTTCTTTCCCTCCATTAATGACATGAATATCATTTTGCCTCGATGGGTATGTGACGTCTGCACAGGAGGTGAGGTTCATGAGAAAGATGTAACTCAGAGCAGCACGCGCTCGAGACTCGTGGAGGGGCGCGTGTTGGGTTGTGAGGCAGAAGGCTGCGTAGTCGACAGGATGGAGGTGTGCGTGTGGACGGGTGATCTTGCGCTCAAGGAGATCATCGAACAAGGAAAGGTCTGGGGGTTACGTTCTGCTGGTGGAACGAGATGCGGTAGATCTAGACATGTGATTGCGAAGAAAGGGAAGCAGAGAGGGATTGTCCGAGGATGTTTGAGGAAAAAGTTACATGAGAAGTGCTAGAGCTGCAGGGAGCAGGAGTGCTGCTAGTACGGTGGTGGAAGTGAAGATGGACGTGACTGAGGAAGGGGCGCTCGAGGTCTGCTGGGTGGTCGAGTTGGTGGGCTCCTGCAACTGGGTTACTGTCAGCAGCGCTACTCTGCCGTCCTGCACCGGTTGGCCGGGCAACGCGATCTCTGGGTGATTTATCCCTTCGCTGGTAGCGTTCAACAGCACACCCGCTGGAATCCACTCCACCTCGGTCTTCCATACGAAACCCTTGTAGCTCGTGGTCCTGTTCATCGTCGCGTTACCCACGATGTAGTCTCGACCACGATTGTACCCGTCCCGCTGGATCATGTGTCCCAGAGCGGCGGATTCCTCCATGGATGCAGCGATGAAGATGGCTCCGGAGAAGGCCGCGGTGCCGTTCTGGAGGAACCAGCGGAAGTGGTTGTCGCCCTCGATGGATTCCTTGCAGGTACCGAAGGTGGGGTCGCCGTAGTTCCAGCGAAGGACGCCGTTGCCTCCGCCGTAGTTGCCCTGTTCGCGGATGCCGAACCCGTCGCCGAGGTTGGCGTACTGGTTGGAGCCGTTGACGTTGCCCAGACAAGAGACGCCAAAGTTGATCGAGCTGCAAAGGGCACAAAGCGAGGTTGTGGGAGAAAAGGGTTCGAGGTCAGATCTTTTGATGGTTCGAGCAAAACGATGATGTGTTTGACGAAACTCACGTGGCATAGCGAAGGAAGCCTTCAGGACAAAGGACCTGAGCGGAAGAATTCGACGAGATGATCGCATTGATCGGTTCACCCGGTGTACCGTCCAGCCAGATCTGTAGCAGCAGAATGTGGGTTGAGAGCGGCAAACGAGGAGACAAAATGAAAAGAAGCGCACGTTCGTCAGACATGTGGGTCAGTCACAAAGAACATGAAGTTGCCATCTCGGTGGGTTCATCTCCACAAAAACGTACCGTGAGCATGCTTCCATTTGTGCCGTTGTTGGGGTTGAAGTAACCCTGCTGCGGTAGCGGGTTCATCCTCGAGGTGTTGTAGCGCTGAGTGCATTGTCGAAACACCGCGCTGCCGTCGACATCGGTGAATTCCTCGGCACGACGATCGAGCGGTAGGGAGGAGAGCGCGGCTGGCGAGGCGAGAGCTGCGGAGACGAGCAGCGTGCAGAGCACTAGCAGATGCAGCGCGATCCTCGCCATCATGTCGAGTTCGCTGCAGGAGGGCGGCGCGCGCGCGATCGGTACCGAGGTTGTCCTGGCTACGGCGGCGGGTTGGATGGAGGAGGTGGAGAAGGGCGTGTGATCCGTGGTCGATTGCGAAGCGGTCGGGAGCTTCCGACGCCTATCGATGCCGATCGGATCTGCCGCCGCGTCTAGTGTGTAGGAATCGAGCGTCGACCGACAGCCTGTCCTGTGATTGTATCACGGATCCGAGTCGACGTCCTTGCCCAGCAATGTGGCTGCTACGAATGATCCAGGGCCAGGGCGCTTCCGATGGTCTTGGGTCAAACCTTGATGTGGCAAACGATCTAGATCAAGTCGTGAAGACGAGGACGAAACTCTGCTACGTGTGTGACTGTATGGTGCTGCCTCTGAGCTGGAGTTGATTTGTGCTTGTGCTTGTGTGTGGCGATTGAGCAGAAGTGTGCGTTTTGATATTGTCGTCAAGATCACAAATCGTAATCCTCCGACAAGGATTCTTACGGATAAGCGCACACCAAGCCAGCGGAAGCACAAGGCCGAAAGTGACAAACTTGGCGAGGTGGAGTTCCAAATGATTTCTGCCGTACCCTGACTCTGCCAAGCCGGAAGATTTGTGATCCCTCTCGAGGAGATTTTCAAAGCAACACTCCCGCACTCGCTCACACTTTGCTCGCCGAGAGAAGGGTCGCATGCCGAGGGTTTGGCTCTAGACACTTTTTGTCAGCAGCTGCCATTGCGTCGACAACACGTTATAGCTCCATCGAGAGGAAGACGCCGTTTGTTCTTCTGCCTTGCCGCGACCCAAGAATGTCGACCACACTCTCTTTCTCGTCCTGCAGAGGGAGAGACTGCTCGGCTGCGATGCTATTGCTGCGCGCTGAGATCATTCTCATGCCGACGCGCGTAGAGCGAATTGTGTGCAAACGGCAGCAAGTCGACCTAACACCTTGTCATCCTCGGCGAAAAGACGTACGGCAGGTGCAGAGATTGGCATAGCAACAATTCTCCCGCACGGAACAAAGAGGAGGAAGGAGCTTCTGATGCGGAGGTTCACGGCGAAGGCCAACGCCGTTCCGGACGAGGGGCGTGTTTCTAGACCTGGTTCTGGACCTTGGTGGGAAGTCTACTGTACCAAGAGACCGGTCAACAGATCTGCGTCGGCCATCGAGCCCACCGAGGGCATGCCTGCATTCGGCATCTCTTCCGACCTCCTGATGAATGGAGACCAGCTCAAGCGCGGTCTCTCGAAGGGAATAAGGTTGGGAAGCAGAGGTGGAGCGGAGTTGATCCGATGCGCCACCAGAAATACTGCATATCTGCAGGCCGCCCCTACGCAGCCAAAGCGGGAAGGATGCTAAATCCGAACCAGGTTCTAGGCTCGGCCCATTTTTTCGACCGCTTTTGTTTGGTGAAAGCAATTAAGTGACCGACGATGGCCGCAGCGATCTCCTCCTCTGCTATGGCGATCGCACGACGGTAGGAAGCGGACTGGAGGAACGGGCCAATGGCCAACGTGGGCAAGAGAAAGCAAGCGTCTTTGGCACCACACCTTGGTCGAAGAAGGGGTGTGCTACTCTGTGCCTCGGCGCGGAAGAAAAAATCCGGTACGGCATGCCGTAAGCGAGCTTTGGAGGCTGCCGACAAATCAAGAGATCGGCGGGCTTGGACGCGCCGTGCTCTGTCCGCTCGAGCCCATTTTCAGTGGTAACTTAGCTATTTCTGCAGATGCGAGTTGGTTTTGGAGATGATGAGCACGCTAGACACGTCTCGAGTGAGGTCTTGCTGTTCGCGCGCTCGTGTCAAAGTCGCGGAAGACACTTCGGGATTGCAGCGAAGCCAAGGCCACGAGACGCCCGCCGCCCGCGCTGTTCCGTCGATCTTGGCGTAGAAGGATGATCTATGGCTAACGAGCTGTTCCTGGCTGGGCTTGGCCAGTTGCGAGCCATGCACAGTTTCCACAATGGATCCGAGCTGATCGACGTACAAAGTGCAGCATTCTCATCGTGGGGGAGGAGGTCAGGACTGCTGATGGCGAGATACAGCCAAGCCAATCGAGGAGCGTGTCACTTTCCCAAGCTCGTCTCGGACTGCATGAGTTATACCTTAGTGCAATTGGTGTCCAGCTCGGGCTCCGAGAAGAGCGCGGCAACAGCTTGCGAGCAAAGTGTCGCGTCCTGATTTTTGTTTCTCCGACAAAAGAAACCTCGCTACGAGGCACATTGGCTGTGTGTTGATTGACAGAGACATGGCGGGAGCTGGCTCTGACTGCTGCTGACACTGTGCCTCTCGATCTGCACCCTGCATTTTCCTCAACCTCGATGGCAACGGCCTTTTGCTGTTGCTCAGCCAATTTCTTCGCTTATGGAGGCCAGACGCCCACTTCAACTTGTTCTCGCTCAAAGAACTGGCTGGCACTCATGTCAGCTTTGGTCGAAGCGGTCGACAAGCTTACCACCCTCGTTCGACCCTATCCTGGCATGGCATGGCGTGGTCTTGCTCAATTCATCTGAGTCCTTGTTTGGTGTTGGCCTGACAAGGAGGATGTGAGCCAGGACTGCAGTCGCATGGAGCTTCCTGGTCGATGTGCGTGTCGGGCTTTTGGCTGATGCAGGAGCGCGTCTGACTGTCTGTTGACTGTCTGACGGCCTGAGAGGTGTGTGCATGTCCGGACAATTCAACTCCCGCCGTTCCCTGCCCTTTTCGGTGCTTTGGGACGCACGCTACAGATCACACACACACACACACACATCCACACAATGCGGTGGTCCGCAAAAGTGGCTGACTGGCCGGCTGCCAGTGTGTCCACTTTGGTCGGCTCGCTTCCATTTTATTGATATTTTGTTTTGTTTCCGAGGCTCCCTCCATCCCGCCCTGTCGCTCGTTCGTCGTGTGGCTGGCTGTCGGTGTATCCGTTCTCAAGATTCTCAATTGGCCATTCTCTGTGCGAGCGTTCCTCGGCCCTGTGTCTGTCTGTGCAAATTGCGGTGGTACAGCACAGCACGGCAAAGCACACGGGGCGTACCTTACCGTCTTGGAGCTTTCCTCTCGATTCGTGATTTCGTCGGGATCGTGGACGTGTGGCTCGCTCTGTTACACAATTCACACATCCGTGCCTGCTTTGCTGAGCCACCTTTTACGCAAGCGCCGCTCTCCAAGTCCAAGTCCAACTCCAACTCCTCGTCCTCATCCTCCTTCTTACTACAGTACCCCTCTGCGTCGTCGTTGGATCGCCTTGAGGCGTGCTTGCCATTACTGCTTCGTCAAGCTCACACTCAACCGGCCTCTTGGTTTACAATCTGATCTCCATCTCGACTCCAACTTCATCTCGACGAACGCCACGCTGCTATAGGTCGCGTTCCGTTCCGGTCTTCCCGCCGTGTTCCTCCTCAGACATCCTACCCGGTCAATCGTTCACCCTCGCATGCACCGCTCTCTTTGATCATCACCAACCATCTCGTTCTCGCCACAGGCATACCTGCCGTATCCGAACTGCATCACGGTTCGTCTCCAAAGGCCAGCACGCTCCGCACAAGATTCAGCGCCTTGTCTGCACACCACCTTGGCACGTCTCGTTTCGATTGCCTGACACCGTCACATCTCGCACATGGGTACTGTCTCGTTGTTCGTCTTCGCCTCATCTCACCGCTAGTGGACTCGACCAAGCCACAGCCCCCAAAACGGCTCACTTTCACCTCCTCGCCTTGCTGGTCGCCGTAGCCTGTTGGCATCAGGATCGGATCTTCGACGCACAAGTACGACACAAGCTGCTCTAACGGCTCAGCTGGCACAGACAACGATTGCAATCCCGCTGCCAGCAAATCCCATGCGGCAGCCCGTCTCTTGTTCGTCCATCATCTCCATCGTTTTGGACACATCCCTGCTCTGAACGACATCCAAACTACAATCCGGCACATGACTGCAACAGCATCAGATCTCTAGCTCCTTTCGCATCCCGTCAATCCACTCGCAACATCGAGCTCGCGCCTACGCCACCTCCATTGTCGAGTACGCTCCCTCGCAATCTGCGCCTACGGCCCTTCCGCCCTGCGCTTGCCGGCAAGTCATCATTGCTCAACTAGAGAGTAGGACGTCATCTCCTCAACATCCACGCGCATCGCCATGTCGTCGCCCCCCGACAGAGTCACGCAGGGGGCGCCTAAAGCGCCTCCGACACCCACCTCGTCCCACACCGCTGCCGCCACAGCAGCCGCCACAGCAGCCGCCATGCAGGCCACTCCGTCCTCGGTACGCTCCCCCACCGTCTCACAACCCTTCATCTACCCGATGCGATCTGCCGTCAGCATCAAACAGCCAAAAGCCGAAGTTCCTTCATCATCACAGCCGCCAGACCCGGCAATTCCCACCGCTCGCATCGCCTCGCGCCCAGCTTCCGCCGACAGCACCAAATCACCTCCCTCCAACCCAGACATCATCCACGAAGGACGCAATCGTCCAGAAGACGTAGACAAAGACGCAGATCGTGCCATGGCACAGATGAAGGTTCCAGGCAACGAGGACGTCGATCTTCGTGACCACCTCGAGCAGCTCACCACCACGCGCTTCGAGTACGTCAAAACCGACGAGGGTCACATGATCCTCACGGGCCGAGGAGGCAAGCTTGCACGCTGCGAGGACGAGCCCATCCACATCCCCGGTGCTGTCCAGTCTTTCGGCTGCATGGTCGTCGTGCGCATCTCGCCCGATGGCGAGATGATCGTCCGCCAGGCCTCCGAAAACTCGATCGACATCCTCGGTGTTTCGCCCTCGTACCTCTTCAGCCTACCTACCTTTCTCGACATTCTCGACGAGGACCAGGCCGACTTGCTCTGGGACAACATCGATTCGCTCGACCAGTCCAGCCAAGATCTCGCAGAGTCAGGTCCCACCGTCTTCCAGCTGCGCGGATACAACATGGCCGGCTATGATGAGCGCATCGCCCAAGGCTCGCAGCGATCGCGGTGGAACGCATGGTGCGGCGCTCATATTCCCGATCGCAGAAACGACGGCGAAGGCGAGCTCACGGTCGTACTCGAATTTGAGCTCGTCGACGATCTCGACAATCCCATCTCCACCTTTTCGCCACCCACAACCCCTCTCGACGATCGGGATCGCGAGTCCGGCAACGGCCCCGGCCTCGGCCTCGCCGCCGGTTGGAACAGACCTGCTGCCGCAGCCAGCTCGGGCGCAGAATCGCCTTCGATCAGCATTGGCACTCTCTACTCGAGCAGTAGCAGCTCCACCTCTGCCACTGCGCGCGACGCTGGCCCACGCCGCGGTCTCGAGGGCCTCGCCTACACGCCTTCACAAGATGAGCTCCGCGAATCCACGCACGCCGTACACAAGCCGCTCAAGGCGCTCTCGCGCATGCGTCGCAACGCCGAGATCAAATCGCAGACCCGCAGCCGTCGGCCTGCTGTGCTTCCCAGCGCTGGCGGGGGCGACGGCACTGGAGGCATGCTCGACTTGTTTGGCATCCTCAGTCAGGTCAATGACCAGCTCGCCGCGCAGAAGGACCTCAACGAATTCCTCAAGGTGCTCGTCGGCATCATCCGCGACATCACACTCTTCAGTCGAGTCATGATCTACCAGTTCGACGAGGCTTGGAACGGCCAGGTCGTATGCGAGCTTGTCGACTGGAACGATTCCCACGACCTCTATCGCGGTCTTCACTTTCCTGCCACCGACATTCCAGCTCAAGCTCGTGCGCTGTACAAGATCAACAAGGTCCGCCTCCTCTACGACCGCGACTCGCCCACCGCACGCATGGTATGCCGCGATCAGGCCGACCTCGACTTCCCCGTCGACATGACCCACGCCCTCATCCGCGCCATGTCGCCCATTCACATCAAATACCTCGCCAATATGGGCGTACGCTCCTCCATGTCGGTCTCCATCACCGCCTTCGGAGAGCTCTGGGGTCTCATCTCGCTTCACAACTACGGTGCGCACGGCAAGCGCGTCTCGTTCCCCATCCGACAACTGCTTCGCCTCATTGGCGAATCCGTCTCGAGCAACATTGAACGACTCAGCTACACGCGCAGGTTGTCGGCGCGCAAGTTGATCAACACGTTGCCCACCGATCAAAATCCGAGCGGTTACATCATCTCAAACGCCGAGGACCTCTTGACGCTCTTCGATGCCGACTACGGTGTCATTGCCGTCGGCAACGAGGCCAAGATCCTTGGACCCCTCAATGCTAGCCAGGAGGTGCTCGCGGTGACCGAGTATCTGAGGCTGAAGAAGTTTGAGCACCTCGTCACTTCGCAGGACGTGCGCCGCGATTTCCCCGATATGGTCCTGTCTACGGGCCTGCACGTCATCGCCGGTCTCTTGGTGGTGCCGCTGTCTGGCAGCGGTGTCGACTTCATCGCTTTCCTGCGCAAAGCGCAGCTGCGCCACGTCAACTGGGCTGGCAAGCCGTTCAAGGAGGGCAAGGAGGGCGACGCCGCGCTCGAGCCACGCAAATCGTTCAAGGTCTGGTCCGAGACCGTCGAGGGGACGTGCCGTGCCTGGAAGGATGAAGAGCTCGAAACCGCCTCGGTGCTCTGCCTCGTCTACGGAAAGTTCATCTCGGTCTGGCGTCAGCGTGAGCAAGCGCTTCACTACAACCAGCTCAACCGTCTGCTGCTCTCCAACGCGAGCCATGAGGTGCGCACACCGCTCAACCACATCATCAACTACCTCGAGCTGGCGCTCGACAGCAAGTTGGATGACGACACGCGCGAGAACCTCAGCAAATCCCACATTGCCTCCAAGAGTCTGCTGTTCGTCATCAACGACCTGCTCGATCTCACAAAGCAAGAGATCGGCAACGAGCTGCTTCTGCAGGAGCCGTTCGATCTGGCAGCAACGGTTCGCGAGGCGGTCGAGATGCATGAATGGGAGGCCAAGCGACGCAAGATTGACTTTTCCGTCTCGACCGATCCGGAGGTGTGCATGGTGCTCGGCGACAAAAATCGCGTTCGTCAGGTCATCACCAACACCGTCACCAACTCGGTCAAGTACACGCGAGAAGGCCAGATCACCGTGACGATGCGCAAACGCAGCGACGACGAACGCGAGGCGGACTTGCCTCCCGGCTGCGACATGGAGGTGGAGCTCGTGGTCGGCGATACGGGCGAAGGAATTCCGCAGGAGAAGCTTGAGGTCATCTTTAGGGAGTTTGAACAGGTCGAATCGGTGATTGCTCAGCCGGGTCGTCAGGATGCTTTGGAGCCCGAAGGAAGCGAGTCGAGTCTCGTGCGCACCGAACCTTCCGACGGCGGTCTCGGTCTTGGCCTGGCCATTGTAGCACGCGTCGTCAAAAACCTCGGTGGACAGCTGCGCGTCGATTCGCAAGTGGGCGAAGGGACCACATTCACCTACTACATCCCCTTCTGCTCTGCTGAGACTACCACGCCGACCGAGATGCCGGCCGTCGCGGGCAGTGGCGCCAGCGGCACGAAGCGCAGCAGCGATACTGTATCGATGCGCCGCTCGGCCTCGATCGGCAGTGGAAGTGCCAGCTCAGCGGGCAAGAGCGAGATCGACTCGCTCGTCGAAGCCATCCAGCAACCCGTGTTGCGCGATCAGGGCGTTATTGAAGATGCCACGCAGCAGAGGCGCAACGCAGATGGAACGTCCCCTATTTACAACGGTCCGAGGAATGTCGCGGCGGGTCCGCGCCCTGGTATTGCGAGTCAACGCACACGCTCTTTTGACAGCGGCTCACATTTCGTCGAGGGAAGCGGCATCCCCGTACGCTCGGTCAAAATCGATCCGCAGGCCCTCGATGTCAACGATCGTGCCGATCGTCGACCTCCCGCCACTTCCGCCTTCATGTCCAGCGCTACCACGCACGCAAGACCGGCTCGAAGCAGTCACACGAGCGACGCCGAGTCGTTCAAGGCCGAAGTCGAGCAACGTGCCCGCGAAAATGTCCCGACGCTGGATCAAGACACATTTCGGCTCAACGCTGGCAAGCTCCGGTCTGGACAGTCTGGCGCTGCCGCAACCACCACCGCCGCCTATGACAATGAATCATCCGATTCACCCGTCTCTCCAAGAACGGTGGCGAAGGACGACGCGTCTGCTTCACACACCGAAGCGACCACTCCCGAGTCTGACGACACGCAGAATGCCAATCACAAGGAAGCACGTCGTGGATCGTCGTCTTCGACGGCAGCACGGCGGAGGATGGCGGTGATGCGTGGACTGCACAAGGCACCAGGAGGACGTAGCGGAGAAAAGATTGCTCCTCTGCGCGTGCTCGTGGTGGAGGACGATCCGATCAACCGGATGATTCTCAAGAAGCGGCTCAGTATCGATGGACACACGACGTTGCTGGCGGTCAACGGCGAGGAGGGGGTGCGGCAGTTTGAGCAGGATGCCAAGGAGATCGATGTGATCCTGATGGATCTCCAGATGCCCATCTGCAACGGGCAGGAGGCGTGCATCCGTATCCGCGAGCTCGAGCGCAAGTGGGCTGAGGCCGGGGAGCGAGCCGATCGACCTGCTTCGCAGGTGTTGAACGGCCGTGTGCCCATCCTGGCGGTCTCTGCGACGCTGGTGCCGCAGATGCGCCAGGAGATGGTGGACATCGGCATGGACGGCTGGCTCTTGAAGCCGATCGACTTTGCGAGGCTGGGTGCGCTGTTGAAGGGGTTGCTGCATCCGGAGGATCGGGCGGCGAACCATTGGAGGCAGGGGTATGTGTGGGAGAAGGGCGGGTGGTTGTCGGAGCCTGCGCAGAGGGACGTCGTCGTGGCGGTCGGAGGTCAGGAGGTTAGCGAGCCAAGTGCGTAAGGGGGTGGTCCGCGGAAGCACCTGTAGCAGCATTGCGGAGTTCACTGAAATCTGCCCGGCTACCAGTGTGCATGCGATGCTCTTCTCTCTGGCTCTTTTCGTTCTCTCTTCCCTCTTTTTCCGTTCTCTCTCTTTCTCCTTATACCCTCTTTCTCTCTGTCTTTTCTCTCTTTCTCTCTCTCTCTCTCTCTTCTCTCGTTTCTTTCTCGCTCTCTTTCTCTCACATGTACTTGTTTCTCGTCTCTCTCTCTGGCTTATACACACATCGGATGGCATTTTAGGGGACTACAAAGGAATCAACAGCTTCTTTTCTCTGCGGCATAGAGTGCGAGTGACGCTTCTATGTGCAACTGGAACGCAGGCCTATGATGGTTTGGGTTTCGATGTGGGTGGTTATAGGTATCAGGTACGCACTGAACAGGGTCAACAGGTCGGAAGTGACGTTGCGTTGGTAGGGAGGATCTCCGGAGAAGGACGTTGAGAAGAGGTCGGTTTTCTGGGAGATGCGGGATAGGACGATCGATTCCTGCTTGTGATCTGTGAGTGCCGCAGAGATTTGAGCCGACTTGAAGGAAGGGGAAGAAGAGGTGTTGGTGAGGATGCGGCAGAAGGTTTCCGAAGAAGAGGTGAATTTCGAGAGGCCGATTGGATGACCGAGAAGTACACGTGCGGATGTGAGGTGCAAGAGAAGCGTATCGAGGTTGAGGAGGGAAGAGATGTCCGTCAAGGTGGTGTTGGGCGGAGGCAGGGTGTGAATTTGGGAGAGGAGGAAGTAGGAGATGCTCGTGGGATCGGCAGGTGTACGACCCGTAGACCAGATTCCGTCGACAGGCTGAGTCTGCGCATCGTGCGGGACAGCCGGTGTGACGTACCGAGTAGCCGGCGGGAACGGCGCGTCCGAACCAAACGCACGGCCGGAGGGAGTGGACAGCCATGCCTCGATCGACCGAGGTGCAGGGTACGGAGCGTTGATAAGCGCGGAGAGGATCAGCGAGCGTTCGTGAGGGAGGCTGACGCCGAAGGAGATGCGCGAGAGGTAGGTCTGGATGAGTGGCGTTTCGTAGTGCGCGAGCTGGGCGCGGAGGGTGGTGAGGTCGTCGACTGCCGGCTTGGATGGAGGAGAGGCAGCAGTGAGGCGGAGAGAGACGAGCAGCAGCACGAGGCTGTGGAGAGAGAGGAGCAGCTTCATTCTAGGAAAGCGGGTTCGAGGGGCGGAACGCAGGTGAGGAAGAAGAAGGAAGAGCGAACCTCGGCCAAGTATATGTACTACAACGAAGACGTACACGGTCTCCTCGTTTGGTGATCACCACAAGATTGACCTCAATATCGATCCAAGCTGAACCCACTTCACTTGTATGCGCGGTCCCTTTAGACCCACTTGCCTTGGTACGAAGAGACAGGGTCTCGTTCAACGCTAGAAAAGTGGTTTTAGCATAATCGAACTCGATTCGATGGTAGAATGCATTATGGCCCTAGCCGACGACGGTCGATCAATCCGACTCTACCTGATCAAGGGTTTTCCAAAAGCGATTGCCCGCAAGACGCCACCCAACGACATGATGCAGGATCGCGCAGCTTTGCACGGCACTCCTTCCGATGACCGATGCACACACGTCCAAGAGCGCGCGCCATATGCGCCGTAACTGCCTCTGTCTGACAGACACATCGGCGTCTTGCAAATCGACGCGTGATTTGTGCCAAGCCACACACACACTTGGTAAAGCGGTTATCTCCGCTCCGTGTTGCTGTTACGTACTTTTTGGGCATCGCGAGCCCGGAAAACCCTGGCAGCATGTTCTTCTCTCAACTTGTTACGTTCTTGCCTACCACCATCGACAGCCGGCTCCACACACACACGTTCGACGAGCAGCGAGCGAGATCTAAGTCCTCGACTCGGCACGTGGCTTCATTTATCCGGGGAGGCTCAAGTTGTTCGCACAGACAGGCAACTGGAGGGCTAGCTTCTCGACAACCATCAACAGCATTCACGATATGATACTTCGATAGCGCTTTCCAGCTTCAGCACCCCGCCCAACGTTCGGAAGTTAATCCTGCAGTCATAAGATGCCTGCCAACGCAGTCGCCGAAAAGTAAGTCCTCACATTCTACCTCGTCACCTTTGTTTTCTTTTGCTTCCGCAACAAACTCATCCATCCTCCTCGTTCCTCACCCTCCAGTGTGCTCGGAACGATCGGTACAGTGCTCTGGTCATTCCAACTAGTCCCGCAGATCATCAAGTCCTACCGAGCCAAGGACACTGACGGACTCTCGGCCTACCTCCTGCTCATCTGGGTCGCCGGCTCCATCCCACAAGGCACCTACCTCGTCGTCCAGAACATCAACATCCCGCTCATCATCCAACCGCAACTCTTCTCCACCTTTGCCATCATCGCTATGGCTCAATGTTGGCGGTACTCACACGGAGTTTCCACACGCAAATGCATCGTCGGTGCGGTAGCCACCGGGTTGATAGCGGGAGGATGCGAGGTCGGGTTCTACTTTTTGTGCAGGTTGGGCGAGAGTAGAGGTACGACTGCAGCGACAAAGACCATGGGAATCGTAGGAGCCGTGTTGATCGTGGTCGGGTTGGTTCCGCAGTACTACGAGATTTGGAGGTTGAAGGAGGTGAGGGGGATCAGTTTGTGGTTTTTGGCGATCGATTGTGCAGGTGGTGTGTTTAGTTTGTTGAGCTTGGTGTTCAAGAGCAGTTTCGATGGGATTGCTGCTGCAAAGTAAGTCCGAACCAGAACGGGGATGCGGATCGAAGGGCGTGATGATAGAGGCTAACGCATTTCGCTCTTTGCTTTTGGAAACAGCTACATCGGGATCGTCGTGCTCGAGCTAGGCATCTTTGCATGCTACCTCCTTCTCAACCCAAAAGCCGCGCGTCGAAGGCTCCGAGAACAGGAAACGTCTCCAGAAGAAATGCAGTCGAATCCAGCTACGGCGTTACCAGCATCAGCAGGAAGAGAGGCCGACCTCGAACAAGCAAACGACTCGCCGAGCACAGCCGTCAACACCCCAGACTGGTCCAGACACACAACACTAGAGGAAAAGTCAAAGCCCATCGATTCCACAGCACAGCCTATCAACTCCAACACAGCGATACCCGAGTGAAACGTGACCAAGCATACAACACATCCACACCTTCACAACTCTTCAGACCTTGCATAATAGCATTCACGGTTATACACTCGCACAGCCTGTGAAGAACGCTTCCCCCTCGCATCAACCCTCGTAACCCTGACTGATCAACCAGCGCTCAATGTCCTTCACAACGCCATCGTGCTTCTTGCCCTGAGCATCCATCACCGTCACCTTTCCCTCATGGTTGCTCGTGCTCGCACCACCGTTGGCCACGATGAGCGTGTTGAGCTTCGGATGCTTGCCGAACAAGGTCAGCGCCGAAGCGTCGTCGAGATCCGAGATCACCACGAGACCGGAGATGGCCGGTCTACCACCGAACATCCCCCCACCTCCGAAGAGTTTGCTCCAGAACGACGTCCCTCTTCCTCCTCCTCCACCTGTTCTGGTGGAGGTGGGTTCGATGTACGAGCTGACGATTTGACTCGTCGACTCTGGGTTGGAATCGGAGGTGTGATGGACGAACAGGACGGGTTGACGTTGCAAGTTGCTCAGCCTGATCTGTTCGTGCAGCTCGTCGGCGAGTCGAGCGGTGGTACTGTCTGATTTCGAGTGAGAGCCTGTGTCGCTGCCGTCGTTGCCAGGTAGCGCGAGGTTCATTTGAAGACAATCGTACCCTGCTTCGCGGAAATACCCAATCCAAGGAAACCACTTCTCCCGTTCACCCCCTCCCCCGCCAAAGTTGGACACCAGACTCTTGACCAACCCATTGCTAGAAGATTGCGAGGTGAGGAACACCAGCGTTACGGTCTGTCTTCGAGGTGCGGCAGGCGATGCTGGACGCAGCAGCGTGGATGATCCGTCGACCGAATTGCCATCACCTCTGTCCGACTCGAGAGGAGAGTGCACGGAAAAGCTTCGTGCTGCATCGTCGGTGGGGTTGCCGAGATAGTACCATCCGCTACCCGCTGCAACCAGTCCTCCGCCCAACGACTTGAGCGGCCATTGTCTGAAGGTCTGATCGGGACGAGTGTGAAAGCTTCGTGCGGTGTTGGGAACAACGGGAGTGACCGCGTGAATGCGAAATGCGGATGCGGCTGCTTGACTACGCAGCAGCATGTGCTGGCGGGTGATGAGCGAGGCTGACATCTTTGAAGTCGGAAGAGGGATGGAGGTAGGACCGAGGATGGATGGAGGTACAAGCCGATGCTGTTCATCCAGTAGACATGCCTCGTGCCATCACTGAGCACGGACGCAAGCCACAGAAATGTGGAGGCATAGACGAGGCATCAATCCGTCTCCTGATACAGTAGATTAACACCTGTACTTGCACTCCAAACAACTTGCTTCTTTAGCTCAGTTGGTACGAGCGTTCGACTGAAGATTTCAGTTCTTCGCATTTGGGACCCCCGTCCTATCCGCTATTCGAAAGGTCACCTGTTCGACCCAGGTAAGGAGCATTTCCTTTTTGGATTTTAATTCTGGGACTTTTTGCCCTAAGCTGCCTGTGAAAATGCACAAAGGCGAGAGAGGATCGACGTGACGTGCAGGCGCAGCCAATTTTGTCTTTCTGTCTCTTAACGCGTCGAAAGATCAACACTCGGATCATGCGCGGCAGCATGTCGTACAGCTAATCTTCATCATCATCATCATCATCATCATCACCATCACCATCACCATCACCGGCGTACACTACACGCATCGTCGACGACGGCTATGGTCTTCATCGTCAAGATACCCAACCGCTCGCGAGCTAATACCCCAGAAGCATCCAACACACCCTCCAACGAGTCGGTCCCACCGCTGCCCACCATGTCGCACCAGGCATTCCAGATGGATGTCGGACAGGCACCTCTGCCCGCACCAACTGCATCCGCTGGTATGGATGTTCCCGGTGCAGCATCGTCAAGCTTGCTACCTGTCACAAGCGCCGAAGCGAGCACACCTCCCACACAGCTTGGCGCAGAGCTCGATATCCTGCTGGCGCCCTCCGTGCTCAACCATAGATATGTACGCGGCGTCGATAAGAGCCTCATCGTAGAACGACCGGAGCGCATCCGTGCTGTCCTCCTCGGAATTGCGACCGCCATCGGAAAGACAACGTCAGACCGGCCACAGCAGCCGCCACTGCCGACACACACAACGCAGCACTCCCCCACCAAAGCTCCTATTCAACAGCAGAACGTATTCGATCTGTCCACGCCATCTCAATTGTCGGCCACTACGTCCGCTGCGACAGCGCAGCCAGCATCGGCAAACCATACTTCCGCTACTGAAGACGACGATCTCGTAGCGCGACTAAGCTCCCTCACTGTCCAGTCACAGTCGCTTCAGGTACAGCAGCCGGCTGTAACGGCACAGTTGCAAAAGTTCCGCGTCCTTCACTCGACAAGGTCCCTGCCGCTCGACCCACCTCATCCTGCCGTTGCTTTTGCGCATGCGCACTCGGACGAGCTCGTCACCGTTCTAGAAAGCGCCTACGACCAAGCCAAGCAGAAGCGACGAGATGCACGTGCAGCTTCCTCTATGCCGCCATCTGCAGCACTGCGATCTTCGCTCGACCCAGCTGATGCCAAGCCCGAACGCGAAACCACGCCTACCCCTGCATCCATCGCGTCTGACCCGTCACTGCAGCAGCAGGCGCAACCGGGCCCATCGCCCATATCGCCAGTGCGCACCTCTCACGCCGCTTACCTCGAATACCTTTGCAGTCGAGCGCCAAATCATCCACCGCTTTCACATCGTAAGCCAACACAATCGTCGCCAGCAAAGTCGATCCCCGAGGACAGCGAGGCGTACACTTCTAGCGATGGAGAGGGAGACGATGCCATGCATCTTTCCGAGGTGCCGGAGCACTTGCCTCAGGGTGACCTGTATCTCGCGGGTCCCGATGACCATGGTGGCCAGGACGGTGGATCGGGCCAGGCTATCCGTCATGCGATGGGTGCTTGCTGCGAGGCGGTGGACCGAGTCGTATCAGCGGCAGCAGCATCGACGGGGACCACATCATCGAAACCGTCGGTCCTTAGCGAGATTCACGTTGAAGACTCGGCTCACTCACCCAAACTTTCAGCTGATCCAGCTCCTGCCGCCAAGCGTGCATTTGTTCTGAGCCGACCACCCGGTCACCACTGCTCCGGCTCTACACCCCAAGGCTTCTGCTGGGTCAACAACGCCATCGTCGCTTCTGCCCACGCCTACCTCGAACACGCCATAGACCGCATCGTCATCTTCGACATCGACCTCCACCACGGCAACGGCACCCAGAACCTCGCCTGGCGCATCAACGCCGACGCCAACAAGCACGACGACCAGCGCGCCGAACGCATCTCCAGCCTGCGCGCTGCTGCGCTCGAGCGAGCGCGCCAAGCCCTCGTCGCAGCTGGTGGCAGCGGCCGTGCACACGCCAGCAGGCTCGCCAAAGTGGCGTTGACAGAGCAGGATGAGGCCGACGTGAGGAGGCAGGCGGGTCCGAGAGCGTTGAGGTTGTTCTACAGCTCGTTGCACGATATCGAGTCGTTCCCGTGCGAGGATGGAGATGCCAACATGATCAAGGATGCAAGCACGTGTGTCGAGGGCGCACACGGTCAGTGGATATGGAACGGTAAGTACTTTTTTGTGGGGGCCCGAATGCGGGACGTCAAGGATGAAGTAAGAAGCAAAATGGTAAAAGGTCTGAAGAAGGTCTGGCGTAGTTCGCTCGGCAGTCTTGTGACGTAAAGCTGTCTTCGAGTCCGCTGGAGCATCGCGGATGCGATGGTACCGGCCGACGTGATTGCGACATGAGGCGTTCCGAATCGGCGAGCATGGCAGAAATCTCAGGTATCGACGGAGCTTATGCTGACCACCGATACAAGTTGCTTCCCTTTTGCGATCGCAGTTCACCTGGACCACTATCGATCCGAATCCGACTTCCGCCGGCTCTACGACGAAAAGTACGCCATCCTCTTCCACAAAGCCGCGCGCTTCCTCTCCGCCACCTCCGCCACCGCCGAATCCACGCTCGTCCTCATCTCGGCTGGCTTTGATGCCTGCGCCTACGAGTACCCCGGCATGCAACGCCACGGCAAGCACGTCCCACCCTCGTTCTACCACACGTTTGCGCGCGATGCGGTGCGCTTTGCGGAATCGCACGCGGGCGGCAAACTCGTATCGGTGTTGGAGGGAGGATACAGCGATCGTGCGTTGTGCTCGGCTGCGTTGGCACATGTGACCGGGTTGGCGACGAGCGATGGTGCCGCTTCAGCGTCGACGACGGGTGCGGCGGGAGGGGAGGGCGAGGCTGAGTACTGGAAGTTGGAGAATCTGATCGCGGTGGAAAAGGTGGCCAAGAAGATGGCGGCACACGCCGCGGCTGCCGAGTCGGGTGGAGTGGGGAGTACGAACACGACGCCGAAGAGGAGACAGGCGGAGCTGGTACCGTGGTTGGCGTTGACGTCCAAGGTTTTCGCTGCGTTTGAACAGGCGTGTGGCAAGAGCAATGTTGTTGCTCTGGGTGCCACTGCTACGCCTCTGCGCGGTGCAGCGGCTGCAGCGTCCGCTAGAGCAGGCGGCGCCGCAAGCGCCATCAACAGTCCCGCCAACTTGGCCGCTGGAAGAGTCCTTCGTGACAGAGCACCGTTGAAGACCCGACAGGGTGCGTTTGACAGTGCCACGTCGACGCCGCAAGCGAGACGCGCTGCGAGCCCCACCAAGACTCCGACGAGGACAGCGGGCAGGAGGGATTCGCCCTCCAAGGCGAGGACGACAGGAAATCCGTTCGTCACGCCCGCGAAGAGCGAGTCGCGTCCGGAGGATGGGGATGTTTCGATGGCGGTGGATGGTGAGACGCCGACGAGGGGTGCGGCCGGAGAGGAGGTGTCGACGCCACCGCTGCCAGAACCGCCACAAGCCGAGAGCAAACATGTCGTCGTCGATACAAACCCGATCGTCCCAAACGTCCCACCTCTGGCCCCCGATGCCGTCCCCACCACCCCGTTGCCACCACCGTCCGTCCCCACAACCACCAACAGCATCACCTCCCCAAAACCCGGCACTACCTTCACCACCTCGGCATTCATCCCGACCTCATCGCCCGCCTTCTCCCCCGTCCCCCTCACCCTCGTCGACGCCATGTCTCCACCCTCCCGACGCATCGTCGACGTCAACACCGACGCCATCGTCACCAGCGACGTCGATCCTCTTGGGCTGGAGTTCTTGCGCAAACAGTCGTTCCAGTTCGCCAATGGTAGCCCGGCGGTGGCGGCGGTCAAGAAGGAGTTTGATGAGGGCGAAGAGGATGCGCCTGGATCGCCGGATCTGGGGATTGTGGGAGGGGGAAAGGAGAGCTACGAGGGGTATTTCCCGGTTATGCCCGGTGGGCTGGGTGATGCAGATAATGCGAGTTTGACGCGGGGTGAGCTGTCGGGTGATCAGCAGCAAGGGGTAGCGCAGAAGGATGGGTCCAGCACGAGTGTGGGCTCGTCCCTCTATCCACACTTGCCAAAATCATTCCCTCACACTCACACTCAACCGTCTCAGCAGTGAACACAATATCCGCGCACATTCTTCCTTGCACAAAACTTTCTCTCCATGTTGGTTATGAAATCGCAATGGCCCCTCCTTCAACGGGGCCGCTGCTCTCTCTTACTTGTGGTTTCGCTTCATCCTGCGCTTCTTCTCCGCCTTGGGCATCTTGGTCTTACGCTTTTCGCGGTTGGCCGCTTTGGTTTCGCGTTTGGCTTCCTTCTTGAGTGCTTTTGCTTGTTCCTTTGTGAGTTTGTTGTCTTTCGGGTGGGAGGGGGTGTCTTCCGAGTCCGAGTCGAAGTCCGAGTCGAGGTCTGAGGAGCCCGAGGAATCTGACTCGGAATCGATCGAGGTTGAGTTGGTGGGGAGGAGGGTGGATAGCGGAGCTTTCGTCGGTCCAGAGTCGAGGGTGGTGACGGGGTTTGCGGGGGTTTTCTGGAGCTCGATCTCGCGTTCGGGATCTTCGACCTCGTGGAGGGAGAAGGGGATGTAAGTCGCTTTGAAGACTTCGTCGTCGTCATTGTTGTTGTTCTTGGCGTCGACGGCAGAGCTGGCGTTGTCGCCGTTCGCAGTGGCTGTGGCAGGGACAGCAGTGGGATCGGGTTCGACAGAGAGCTGATGCATGAGCTGTGAAAGCGTCTCGATGAGCGAAGTCTCGCTTTCAGCAGTGGTGGCGTTGGATGTAGCGGAACCGCCGGTGATTGCGGTGGTGTTGCTGAGTCCGGTGTACCATGCGCCTCCACCGATGACCTTGTCCTTGGCAGCCGGAGCCGGCACTGCGTCCGCTTCCAGCTTGAGCTCTGCATCGTGTCTCTCATTCGGATTCGGTTTGCCCTCATCGAAATCAGCGTCCTGTTTCTCCAATCCTGCCCTTCCTCCCTTCCTCGCCACCTCGCCCTTCGGTGCGCCGACGACAAACTCGAACGTCCTTCTCAACCCCAACGTCTGCACACCCCTCTTCGCAAAGTACTCGTCAACATGTCCGATATCCGCCCGGAGGAAATCGTACGCTCTCGGATGATCGTGCTCCACCGACTGACTGACATCGATGATCCACAGATGTCCCTCGTGATACAGTATGTTGTACTCGGACAGATCCGCATGTACCAACCTACATTCGTGGTACATGATCCTCACGCTCGCCAACAGCTCCCGATACAGCCTCGCCCATTCCTGCGGATCCTGACCGATCATCTCGTCGGCATCCTTGAGGCGTGGACTAGCCCAACCCTCGGAATCGCCGAGGAACTGCATCACCAAGACGTGATCTCGCAATTCGACGGGGATCGGCGCTCGCAACCCGGCAGACACCATTCGTTTGAGGTTTCGTGCTTCCTTTTCTGCCCACAGACGCACCATCTTGCGTGGGTTGTGCTTGGCGTAGCCGTGGCGGAAACGGAATTCTCCGCTGACGTAACGATCGCGGTCCTTGAAGACGAGGATGGAGGTTTTGTAGATCTTGAGTGCGAGGCTGCCCTTTTCGGATGGAGATTCGGCGGTGGCGGCGGTGGTGGCGTGGTAGACGTTGGCCTCTTTGCCGGTGCTGATGCATCCGTTGACGGATTCGAGCAGACCGCGGTTGACCATCTTGTAGAGGATGAGCATGGTGCGTGGATCGAGAACGCCTTCGACGGTGGCGCGGTCGGCTTTGTCTTTGATTCGAACGGCGTCTCGTCCACCGAGGGCTTTTCGAGGGACGGTGGAGTTGACGCCTCCACCGATGGCCGAGGATGGGTCGTACATGTCTTGGACGCGAACGCGGGAGGCGAACTTGGAGAGCGACTCCATCTGAGAAGCGGTGTGGGTTTGGCCGGTGGATGGACCTGCGGTGGCGGCAGCTCCGGCAGCAGCGGCAGAATGCTTGCTGGAGGCGGACGAGGATGCTGCGGCTGGTGGTGGTCGACGTCGACGGTTCATGGCAGGAAGAGGAGTGGCAGAAGTAGCTGCTGCTGCTGCACCCGTGCTCGACCTTGATGCGGAGGCAGGGCCGCTAGAAGCCTTGATAGCCGTTGCGAGCTGACGCGATCGGTTGAACTGTTTGGTAAAGTCGCCTCTTGCCAGCTCCCAATCGGCATCCTCAACGGCACCGTAGCCAGTCATGTCGTCCTCGTAGTCCTCCTCGTCCTCTTCCTGGATGTAGTCATCTTCCTCATCATCTGACGCTTCGCCATCCGATGATGGTCGGAGCAGGTCAGATATCTCTTGACGACGTTCGCGCTGTGATTGTTGCGTGTCCTCGTCCTGAGCAACCTGCAGGTCGGAGTGTTGCTGGTGATGTGAAGTGGGCTGCTCGATCGCTTCCTGGTTTGGAGCGTCGTCGAACTGACCGGTATCCATCCTGACAGAGTGATTTGGCCGAGCGAAGCTGCTAGAAAGTATGATTCGAGATGATGGTACGAGTGACACGAAGTCTCTCCGCCATGAATCGAGCTCAAGAAGTTTTCGGAAGGGAAAAAGAGTTTTGGTGGACCCTTTCGGTAGGGAAATTTTGCCGCCGAGATCCGTAAGAGCAGAATTCCCCACTGTGCGGCCATAGGACATAACATAGTTTGTTTAATACTTGAGACCTCGCACGGGCGCGTGCGCTTTGCACTGCCTCTGAGCAAGAGAGCAACACTCTCTGACTGCATGCGTGTGCCAGAACGGAAGAGTTGGTCTCGGCTGAAGGCGCAAAGCTCAAAACGAACCGTAGGCTTCTTTCCAGGAACCAGGCTTTCCTCGCACTTCGATTCTTACCTTTCCAGATCAGCAGCACACCTCTTGATCTTCACACAGTCACCTGGGATCGGCAATTCCGACCGCACCGAGCAGGACTGTCTGGCTGATCGGCCAAGCCGGCATTACACTCATCATCTTCTCACGCCAAGAATGAGTCTGCCGTCGTCCTTGACGGTGGTGTATCCGCCTTCGTTCCAAAACTCGTTCTGGACGCATCCTTCCTACCGTCCAGGCGCACACAGCCTCTACGCCAAGCTGCAGGCAGGTCTCGACGAGAACGAGTCCATCCTCGCCTTCGTAGCGCACCGTGCAGAGCTTGAATACAACCATGCAGAGGCTCTGGCAACCCCACCACCACCCCCCTCGTTCGCTGCTCCCTTCTTCAAGCAGGCGGCCGGGATCCTCCACGAAGTGCTGCCAATCGATGGCCATGCGTCTACCGCTTCGACGCGAGGCTTCACCGCCAACACCTCGGCCACCTCGCGTGCGTTTCGAATGATCCAGGCCGAGACCAACACCACCCACGCCAACGCTCACGGCAAAATCGCTCGTCATCTCGAAAAGTCCATCCTCGAACCCTTTGGCAAGTGGGCCGCCGATCACCGACAACGCGTCACGCAGAGCTGGGAACACGTCGATGCCACTCTCGGTCGCTTTGAACGTCACAAGGCAGAGGTCGACAAGCTCAAAAATAGCTACGAGAACAAATGCCGCATCGCCGACGAAGCAGAGGACGATGCACGTTTCGCCCCCATCGACGAATCTGATGGCGTCCAATCACCTCCTGCTAGGTCATCCGATAGCACGCTTCGACCTCCAGCACCACCGGGCTCTGGCATTCAGCGCAGGAGCGTCTCGGCTGGCAGCAACAAGTCGATCGAAGGCAACGAGGACGAGACGGATGCTGAAAAGCTCAAACGCCGAGAAACGGTCCGCAAGCAATTTGGCTTTTCGCAACGGGCCACCTCGGCGACTCTGACCTCACCATCTGCCGAAAACGACTTTGCAGGAGTTAAGCTACCACCGCTTCCCACCGAGACCGAAGGACAAGCTCTGCTGAGTGCTGCCGAGACCAGCGCTAGCAGCCTCAAGCGATCCGGTACCATCTCGGCGTTTGTCAACTCGGCAGTGGAAAAGATGCCGGCGCCCATCAAGGCGGCTGTCGGCGGTGTCGTGTCCGCCGAACTTCGTCATCTCAGGCTCAGGCGCGACGCCGACAACGCAGAAAAGGTCTATGAGGAGGCGGTGCGCAACCTCGATCGCACCCGTTGCCATCTCGAAGAGGTCCTCTTCGAGCATTACGGACTTACTCAGCGCTGGGAAGCCGACCGCATCCGTGCAGTCCAGTCGGTGCTCGCCTCATACAATCAGGCCATCTCGGCTCAAGGTCCTATCCTGCAACAGTCGACTGCGCGGTCCTTCAAGATCCATCAGGGCCTGGACCCCACGCTCGAACTACGCGCCCTCATCCGCCAGGCTCGAACAGGCCCCTTCCATCCCGCCATTGAACGCTTCCAGCCGTACTATCACGACGAGACCTCGCTCGGTCGCAAGGCAGGTGCTCAAGGCGTGGCTCATGGATGGCTCGTCAAGAACGGTGGATTTGGGCTCAATTTGTCGCTGGTTGAGCGTCTTGATTACCTCGAGCGACTCGAGCGTCAGCAGTCGGGATCAGCTCCAGAGTCGAATCCTTCACAGCAGCTCGCTACGCTGCCACCAGTCCTGACTGCACTTCTGGCTGCATTGGATCGCGCCTACGCCGACACTGAGCGTTGGAACGTGCTCGTCAAAGCTCTATCTGCCCCTGTGAATGAAACCGACGATGCCGCGGAATCCACCGAAGAGAAAGGCGAAGTGGACAGCAAGCTGATCGGAAAAGAGAAGCGCAAGATATGGATCCTCGAAGTGCCCCTTTCCATCACCCACCGCTTGCGAGATGCGCTGATCGCTCACCTCAACCCTTCCCTCGCCGATCGTATCTATGGCGGCAACGGCGCCAGTCTCGCAGATGGCAATCCGATCCCAGACAAGCTTCTCGATGCTTACGATCCACCCGTTCTCGCTGCTTGCATCAAGCTGTGGCTGTTGGAGCTAGAGTATTCCCTCATCACCGAAGACCTTTGGGATCAGATCGATTCTGTCTATCGTGCTGCTGATGCTCAGGAGCACGAAGCGCTCGCTTCCACCACGCCGACCATGCCCAGTGCCAGAGAGGGTGTCGCAAGGGAGGACATTGCCGCGGATTCCTCGAATGTCTCTGCATCTCCAGCGAAGAAGCCGGAGATTGACGATGCTACTCGAGACAAGATCAAGGCTGGTGTACTGGAAGACCTTCGCGTAGTCCTCAACAAGCTTCCCAAAATCCACCTTGCCTGTCTCGATGCCATTTTCGGCCATCTTCGGAAGCTTTTGCTCTCGACCGAGTCGACCGAATCAGACGAAGTGTACGCAAACAAGCTCGGGTTGGCGTTTGGACGAGCCCTGTTACGACCCCAGAGGGAGACGGCATACACGGTGTCGTCCCAAATCGGAACGCTCGTCGTTGTGGATCTCGTACAGCACTACGATTCCATCTTCCCCGAGCTGGTCGAGAAGAAGCTCAAGGAAGTTGCCACTCCAAACGGCAAGAAAGGCTGGCAGAGGCCGACGCCGATCCGAAAGAGGACCAAGCCGGTCGATCAGAGAATCTCGCGCTCGAGCATTGGCAGCGACCTTCAGCAGGGAGCAAAGATTTTTGTCGAGCAAATGGGTCGCTCAGAAGAGCAACCTCCCCTGCCAGAGAAGCAGCTTGCCGACAGCGAAAAGACTCAAGCCATGCCACCAGTGATCGATACTTCGTCCAGCAACGCCACTGCTCAGCAAAAAATGGACGACGATCTTGCCGCACCAACTCCACTCACCGATCGAATGCTCTCCTCCTCCCATCAGCTCGAAGCAGAGACCATCTCCGCGGCATCCGAAACGGCCGAGTCCACCAAACTCGAGGACGACGACACCAAACCCCTCTCCAACGTCGCCAGGCTCTCGCGGCAGTTCGGCGCCCTGGGCTCCGGAGGTGCCACCGGCGCGACCAGCAAGAGGACCAGCTTGGGCGGCGTCAGGGGTCCTCGACCTGCAGGCGCCAGATCCGCCCGGATGTCCGGCCAATTCAGCGCCAGCTCCGATACCAGCGTCGGCGCCGAACCACCTGCACCGGCAAAGACCGCCTCGGACCAGTCGTAACACTTTCCACACACTCGCATTCTACACAACGTCAGCTTTCCCCCTCATGATCTGATAACGCTTGTCACCCAATTCACCGGCAATGAAAAAAAAAGACACATCTGTTACTTGCACTTGCAACTAAAGCACATGAGGCGCCGTCCAGCTGAAGCTCTGGAACTCCGCTTGGTCCTGAGCACTGAGCACGGAATGCACCGGAGTCAGCGTAGGTTTTTCCGAGGTAAACTCTGTATCGAACCAACTGGTGTCGCTGGGGTTCTTGAGAGTGGGGCAGAAGGGTGGGGGTACACGTTTGTTGAACATGTCGTCCCAGTTGATATCCCTAAAGAAGGGGTGAGCCTTGATCTCGGCGGCGTCGGTGGGACCTGAACCGAGACGTCGAGCAGGATCGCGCGTCAAGAGCTTCTCCAGAATCGAGACGGAATCGGCTGGCATGTGAAGAGGATACAGAGGTTCGTCTTCCAAGATAGCGTCGAAGATCTCATCCTCGTCGTCACCGCGGAACGGCGCTTGTCCCAAAAGCATCTCGTAGATGAGAATACCAAACGCCCACCAATCCACAGCCCGTCCGTACCGCTGTTCGAGCAAGATCTCCGGTGCCATAAACTCGGGCGTACCACAGAAAGTGCTCGTCGTGTTCCCATACCACATCTCCTCCTTGCACAACCCGTAATCCGCCACCTTGATATGTCCGTCCAGCGTCAGCATGATGTTGTCCAGCTTCAGATCACGATAGATGATCCCCTGCTTGTGGAAGTACTCCAACGCGAGCAGCACTTCAGCAGCGTAGAACTTGGCTCTTCGCGGCGTGAAAGGCTCTCGTTGAATGTGCAGCATGAGATCTCCTCCAGAGATGTACTCCATCACAAAGTACACGCGCGTCGTGGTCTGGAAGCACGAGTGCAAACCGAGCAGGAACGGATGTCGCTCCCGTGCAGCGGCGAGGAAGACCCGCTTCTCGGATTTGGTCGACTCGACCTCGTCGTTCTCGATGATGAACTCCTTCTTGAGAACCTTGATGGCGTACAGGTGGCCCGAACGCTTTTCCTCGGCCAGCATGACTTTTCCGAAGTTACCCTTGCCGAGCACGGCGAGGAAGTTGAAATCGTCCAGACCGATCTTGCGTCGTGAGGAGGGGAGCATTCGCGGAGGCTGCTGCTGTGGAGCGCCAGCTGGCACCATGGCGCCACCGCCACCAACGCCCATGTGCTGTTGCTGCTGCTGATTGATGGCGGAAGAAGGCGGTCCCTGCGATTGCGGCTGCTGAGGCTGCTGCTGCTGCGGTCTCGGCACGACATTGAGCGTAGACTGCGATGGAGGCATCTGATGCATCTGCGGCGGTTGCTGCTGGGACGGGACAGGTTGCTGTGCGTATCCGGAAGGCGGTTGAGGACGTGCGCCGTACATTCCAGTCTGCTGCTGCTGCTGCGACGGTGGCTGCTGCATCGGCGAGCCAGCATTCGACGGCTGCGGCAAAGGCCGAGGAGGGCGTGACATGTCCGACATGCGTCCATCGGCAGACGAAGGCGGCATCACCTCGCCAACCCGAGGCGGTTGGGGTCGACCGCCAAAGTTGGGGCCTGCACCAGGTCGTTGCTGCTGCTGCTGTTCAACAGCCTGCATCCTCTGGGATGGGGCAGAGCCATACGGAGGCTCGCCTGCGCCGGGTTTGAGCGACATCTGTTGCGTCTGCTTTTCGAGACCAGAGATGCGGCCGTCGGGACCTGCGGTGGCAAAAGGCGGCAATTGCGGAGCAGGGACGCGTCCGGGCGGGGCGGCGCCCATGGCGTTGCCACCATTTCCATAAAGGTTTTGCGATGATGCCGATGACGGCGGAGGTAGCTGCTGCTGCTGTTGGGGAGGCTGCTGGTACTGCTGTTGCGTCTTGGCCGACGACTTGACGCGGTTGATGGTCTCGATATCGCTGAGCAGCTGATTGGCCATCTCCATCGACATACCGCAAAAGTCTGGAACCAGATGCGCACAGTCCGTGTGGCAGGTAATGTCGCACTCGGAGCATTTGCGGGCGTTCTTGCGTCCAAGCGGTAGAATATAGCCGCAGTGGCAGCACCAGTTGGCGCTGAGGTTGGTGATGGGCTCGAAGCGATGCGGGATGCGGTGGTTGATCTTGACCTCGTCTCGATCGGCTTCGGCGTTGCTCTTCGAGATACACTTTGTGACGACTTTCTGCGCGCACTTCTTGTGGCAAGCGTAGCGGCAGTCCTCGCACTGACTGCCGGCAGCGTTGAGCAGGAACTCGCCGCATAGCGCGCAACGGAGCACCTGATAGAATTGCCGCGACACAAACTTGTGGCCGTTGATCTCGGCGACATCCTCCTTGCGCTTACGGAAAGCGCCCTGTCGACCGAGGCGAGCGTCGTAGGGGCGTTTGCGAACGTTTTGCTTGATGAAATTGAGGCGAAGGTAGATAGCGCCCGCAGGCTCGACGGCGAACCAGGCCTCGACACCATCGGTGGGGCCGTTTTGCACCGGTACGCCAGCGGGTGTGTTGTAGGCACCATCCGCGTTGAGACCCGAGCCTGGACCGAAGCCGCCGGGACCGCCGCGCGGCTGTACGCTGTCGGCAGTGACCCAGCCTTCGCTGGCGCCGTGACCGTGTTGGGAAGCATCGGGGACCTGCCCGAATTTCTTCTTTCGCTGCTCCTCGACAATGTCGCTGATGCGAATCCAGAGCATGCCGACGGGGACGGGATGCGCGTTGCCGACCTTGTCGTAGACCGTGACTTCGAGTTCGTTGGCGTTGTCGACGGGAATTTCAAAGTCTTCCTGCCAACGCTCGTTGCGGCTCGGGTGGGTGCGGGCGCGAGGCGTATCTTCGACCTTGATGACGACGGTGGACTCGCGGACGGATCGAGAGCCTCGTGGAACAGGAGCGTGGTCGATATCGCGAGCGCTGCGGATCGAGATCTGGAGCGTACCGGAGAGCGGCTTGCGAAGGTTCTGCTTTCTGTTCTCGACCGACTCGGGGCTGGCGTTGTCTTCCTCCTCTTCCATGACGTGGAGCTGCTTGTACCGCTTGAGCGCCTGCTGTAGCAGCACGATCTTGCTCTGACTCTCGATGCGCTTGGACTCGGCATCGTTGCGGCTTTTGCGATCACCTTCGGCCTGGTAGAGCTTCGCCATCTTGTCGATGCCTTGCTTGTACTGCTTTTCGATCTGCAGCTTGAATTCGAGCTGGTGGAGCATGCGTGAGATCTTTGCGGTGGTGTGAGGAGTCTCGTCCTTGATGAGATCGAGGTTGGTAAAGTTTCGCCTCGCGCTGGTGCCCATGCGATGCATCGCGGGTTGCCATGTCTCTGGACTTCCGACTGCGTATGCGGCGCCGTACGGGCCCTGGTTGGCGTACTGCGAGTAGGATCCGTCCGGACCTGCATAGGCACCGTTGTCGTGTGTTGGAGGAGGAGGAGGGCGACCATCATAGCGACGAGGATTGACGGCAGGCGAAGGTGGATCGGAGCCAAGATAGGAGGAGCTGCTGTCGCCTGGGTACGGGCGAGCTTGACCGATGGAACTGGCGCCGCCGCTGGTCTTGGATGAGGCGAAGCTTTGTCTAGAGTCGGCAGGCGTGGTGCTGCCAGTAGGACTGCCGGTGCGGAAGCCAGGGCCACCGCTTGCACGACGCGATTTGAGACTGTTGAGCGACTCCTGGAGATAGGAGATGTTTCGCTGCGCTTCTCGAATCTGGGATTCTGCCTGACGAATCACGTCGGGGTTGTTGGTAGCTGCTCGCAAAGCTTGGTTGCCTTCCATGATCCTGCGCTGGGTCTGGATGCGGGCATAGACCTCGGCGACCTTGGAGTCGCTTGGGTCCTGTGGGATGGCAAAAAGAAGAGGCGACGGTCAGCGAATTGCCCAAATGGTCGTATGCGATCGAGACGTGCGCGTTGCGCTGCGCCGTGAAGCATTGCATATCGATAGATGGAACTTACAGCCATGATGCTGTCCGGTAAGGTGCGCTGATTGGCGCAAGTTGGGGGACAGGGTATGGTAGGCCGGGATGTAAGATGCAATCGAGAATCAGCGACGGACGTGATAGTCTAGCCGGCACTCTAGAGAGCACGAGAAGCTGTGACGTATTAGGAAATGAGACCAGCTGAAGCCCGTCGTCTACGGCGATCGAATGTAGGTCGTTCCAGCTGAACAATAGCGTATCTACAAGCTTTGACAGGTCGTTCGGTTCGTATGGTCGGTGGATTTGCGCTTATACCTCGAATCCGATGGATGAAGCTGTACGGTCGCGGATGCGGGGGAGAATCCGAGAGGCCGGCTGAAGAGATCGTAGGCAAGATGGTGCACGCGCTCGATGCGGACTGGTTTGTCGTAAAGAGAAGCGTAGCGCAGAAAGGTACGCGACGAACGAGTGCTGCGGGGGTGTGGTAGATGCTGAAATGGAGTGGATACGAGGTTGATGGTTGAGGAGCAGCAAAATGCAAACGGCGACGACACACTCTGCACCAAGTCCAAAATCGGAGCGAAGCGGCCAGCCTGCCTGTGTTGTGTGTGTCGCATGTTCCCTGAGACTGTAAAGTCGCAGCAAGCCCCTCTACAGAGTGTAAGCTCGAACGCAAAGCACCAGCCAGCCTTGGGGTTTTGTGATTGTTTTACGAGCCTTGGGTGAGACACTCACGCAGAGCGCGCTCACACACCATACTGAGTAGCGACGACACGAAATCCCAGCAATTTCCCCAATTTCAAAAGGTAACAAAGCTAAAAATACAACACACAACGACGTGACTTTACAGCGCAGAGACGCGCCGGGTCTCCTTTCTTTCCCCTTTGCCCCTTTTCCTTTTCACAGGCAGCAGAGTGCGAACACGGCACAGCATGGAGCGTCATGGACACGGTCAAATGCTGTGTTGGTTCGAAACGCGCTGACCAACGTCGTTTCTTCTCTCTCTCGCCTTTTTCAGTTACCGATTGATTCGCCTGGCTGTTCCGATGTCGTGCGTCTTGAAGAAATGACCTTGGACCACCCTAGCAGCCACGGACAGCTGCACCATTCAGCGGCATTGACTCTGCTTTCAACATGTCTGTCGTCGTCTTTGAATGTCACAGAGCATCGGTATAAGAGCATACTTGCCTTGACCCACGCAACTGGTGCCGCACAAATCAGCAGCATCGTTTCACAAAAGCCCTGCTCGAGAATTCACGGCTCATGTTCCGAACCGTCGCGTGTTGCTGCTGTTGAAAAACGCTTTCGAGCTCGGCTCAGGTCCGATCGATTCATCTGGCTATGATCCGATCCGGTCCGCTCGCTCAGAGCTGCTAACTTGACTCTCGAGCTCCCTGCGATCTCAACGCCGACTCTGAACTCATACCGCCCAGCCACTGTATGCGAGCCTCAGCATGCTCTACGTTGCGAGCTGAGCTGCTGAAAAAACATAAAAAGGGTACAAGTACACACGTTGAGTGCTAGTGAAGCTATCTACACCCGCTCGCCAACAGCCCTGCGCGGAGGTGAGAACGGGTATCTAGTGCAAAGGGAAAGGGGATATGGCATGTCAACGACGAGTCGAGGTGCTGTTGAACGTCTCGCCGTCGTCGCAGCCTTTTTCTTTGGGCAAAGCGAGCACCATCCTGCTCGTCCAAGCGGGCGATCAGCAATGCTTCGCGTGCCAAGCGTTTCCGACGCTAAGCTCTGGGCTTGGAAGGCGTTCTCTTACCGCGATTGCGTGTACCAGAGGCGGGCCCCTCGCTTTCGAGAAGAGCCTGCTTTTCGGCTTCGGCCCTCTTCTTCTTGTCCGCCTGCTTGTAAATGTTGGCCGTGAAGGGCTCCTCGAAGCGGAGGGCCAGCGTGTAAACGATCACCACAAGAACGCTGAGCAGCAGCCCGGCAGGCTTGCCAAACCACAGAGCAACGGCTACGAAGCTCATCGAGCTGCCCCAGTACATGGGGTTGGCCATCACGTTGAACGGAAAGCCGGTGACGATGCTCTCCATGAGGATGCCAAAGTAGTCTCCTAGGTAGGTGCCAGTGACACCCAAGGCCCACATGGACGAGAGCACAAAGATGTTGCCCGACGCAAACAATACGGCCGCTGCGGGTTTGACCCAGGCCTGTTGCAGCAGCGGGTGTGTCGGCTGGTGCTTGAGCGCGACGTTGTACAGGTGGTCACGCACGATGCCGAGCGAGAAGATGGACACGGCGAGCAGGTAGCACCCGAGGTATCGTCGCCCGCCGAGCAGCTTGGTGATGGTCTTGTTGTGATACTCGTTCTGCGCCACGATGTTCCAGTAGAGCGGGTTAAAGCAGATGCTACCGACGGCGATCCACAGCGAAGGTTGCGTCAGGTCGATGACGCCAGGCACCACGTACGGGCTCGATTTGTAGAAAAGAGACGCCATCTTGCACGAAGAGCAGCTTCCGAGATCCAGGTCCTCAAAGAGCAAATTCGCTTCGTTAAGGTGCAGAATGGTGGATGATGATGATCACGCAAAGGAATCAGAGACGCCTCGTATCTCCTCTACACAGGCCCAGGGTCCGCAATGCGGGACACCAAATTTAGTCACCCCAAGTTGTGCAGCGTGTCCCTCGACGCACGGTCACAAATCGGAAGAAAGACCCTTTCCTCGCACGTCACGCGTCACTGCGTGATTTTCATATTCAACGAAAAAAAAAGAGGGGACACCGCATGGTGCCGATCTGACACACCTGCCACATCGAAAGTAAGCTGGTGTCGAGCGTTTCGGCTTCGGTGACTTCCGACAATGATACGACGCGGGGTGACACACATCCTTCGGCTCGTGATCCGACCAACCTAGTCGAGAGCGAATGAAGCGCCAACCCACTTGCGTTGCCTGGCAATCCACGGCGAATCTCTGAATTGTGGCTTCACCGACCACGCCTTGCTGTCCCGGGGCCTGTGGCGGAAACCGACTGAGCCTAGTCCAAGTGAGCGAGCGAGCCAGTCTGTCCCGTGTATACCGCTCACCATCGCAGCGACATCACCTCCATTGTCTCCATGAAGCGCCACGAGAGCCAGGAAGCGTGCCAAGCCGAGCCAAGCTTGCCGTCGTCCTTCGACGTGACCAGTCACCTTGGTGTGCATTTGTACGTCTCGTGGTTCGACCTGCCGCATCCGAGCATTCATGACAAAACTACAACGATCGTCCAGGCCGCGGACGTGGGCGATCAATTTGTCGTCACTGCTACCATCATGGCACCAGACTCTAAAACACTGGCAGTAGACGACCCTTCCTTGTTGGCAATGGTAAAACCGATGACAGAAGATATCCGTTCGGTGAGTTGACGCTCGGGAAATTGAGTCTCTGATCGAGCATATCTTCCGACCATCGAACTGAAAGTTTGGAGTTCATACCAGCTTCGCGAAGGCTGGCTCAACATTGCTGACCTTAGCGCGCGGCCTGCCAGCGACGCGGAGCGTCAAGAGTTCTCGGGCAACCATGCTACAAATCCAACTGTCGAACACCTTTGTGAGCTGGCAACGTCTCCAATAATGCAAGAGGGTGGACGATGCGGACTATCGCTGACCAGCGCGTGCATCTTGCCTCTGCGACGCTGTAGACATCATCACACTGGTCCCAGCGGGCAGCCCTGTCCACCTTACAGGCAACAGACGCTTTCGTGTTCACCTGGAATGGAAAGACTTGCGTACAGGACGTGCTGTGCCGCTCCGGGAGCTCTTCGTACTCACGACGTTGCCCTTGCTCTTACGCGACCTGGTCAGCCAAGCCACTTCGCGTCTCATGTTCGAAACGTTGCTCCGCGATACCCCGACGGCAAAAGTCTATCACCGATCCTGGCAGCACCGCCAACGTGACATCGTGCCTTTGATCAGCAGCATCGCCACATCCATGCGCTCGCTGATAACACACGCCTCGCAATCGGACCAGCTCGACCCAGTGCTGCAACAGCTCGGACTATCACAATCACTGCCAAGCGTGATCATCCTAGTCAACTTTCTGACCAAGCTGGACATGGACTACCATCCCCCGTCCAAAACACACTTGCCGGCTGCCAGTCGTGCCAGATCGAATCGAAAGCCAGGCGGTCACACCGATGTCCCAGCAGTCGTGTTTGCCCCGGACCAAGATGACGATGCCTTCGGCTGGATTGACAACCTGCCGGCGCAGCAATCCACCAGATCGCATCAGGCTGAACACGATGACAACTCAAGCCAGGTTTGCTTTGCGCCGGACGACGACGACCAAGACCAAGAAGACACACATCTCTGCTGGTCAGAGATCTTGCGATTCTCTCAGGAGTAGTACAAGTACATTTCGTGGAGTGAGTCGAGTCAATCTGCTTGAGCAGACATCCGATCCTTCGACGAGGAAGGCGTTATATCCGCTGGCAGACGCCAACTTTGCGCGCGTACACTCGTCACGACAGAGGAACAAAACAGCACACCAAAACTGATGGCAGTCCGCAAGGTGCGATTTTCATCTCGAAGATGCCCCTCGTCGGCACGACGGTGCTGCTGCCATCAGCGTTTGGCCGCAAGATCTCGGCATTCCAGTACAAAGGCGTCGTGTTCCCCACCGAGGGGATGTACGTCCCATCTTCCGCCTGATGTCCGCCGACTGCGAGCCCGTACAGTCGAAAGAACCCGGACGCCGAGCTCTCCGTCATGAGCTCGTAACACGAAAGCCTTCCACCCGTCATATCCTGCCTCGTCCTCCCGCAAAGATCCTGCGCAAGCTGATTAGACGCGTAGACTTCGCCAGCCTTGCGACAGACCAGCATTGGAATGGGTGTGAAGGGAAGCACCGACTCGGAAAAGTAGCGCACATTGCCCGCCCACTCTGCTTGGAGCTGGATCATGCTCGACGGCTGAATGTTGTCCTCCAACGAGAACCAAAGACGTCGAATCTTGCACAAGGCCGCCTCCACCGATCGAATCGACTGCTCGGACCAATTTTGCTCCGTCATGTATCGCATCAGAGACGCATATCCCTTCCGATAGGGATACGGAGCATACACGTCGCCGGGTCTCTGCCGTCCTGGTGAATCGTGGCTGTCGGTACTTGAAGGAGGCTTGGTCTCCCGTTCATTCGCGCCATGCCTTGCTGCTGTCGGAGCAGAAAGGACCGCCAAGTTGCTAGAGGTTGCTGCTTCGCCGTCGGTAGATGCCGAGGTCGGCGGATTCCTTTGCGCGTGGGTGCTTGCATCAGATTGCCGCCCCTGATGGTGCGGCGGGAACCCTACCTCATTCGGTGACCGAAAGTAGCGCGGACTAGCCCCTGCAGGGATCAAGTGGCCCATCTGAGGAGCCTGCAGAGGAGTTGCACCAGCATTACGAAGACCATCGTGGCGTTGAGAAGCAGGTGCGTGGATGACCTGCTGGTGAGCGTGGAGCGCAGACCCCTGCGCTGCCGCATGAGGCGGAGGCATACCTTGGTGTTGGACACCGTTCTCCCTCCCACTGAACGCGTCGGCCACGTCGAAAAAGTAGGTAGAGAAGAGCGAGTCGAGTTCTGCTGAGGAAGGGGGCTGGAAGATGGGTTGCCCTTGGAGCAATTGCGACGGCGCTCCCCTAGCTGCCAACGGCTCTGACTGCATGCCCAACGAATTCGGTATCGATGCATCATGGGAGATGCTAGGAGCCGGTATTGCGTTGCTCAGCGAGGATGCTTGCACGTTTGTTGCAGGATCTGCATGGTGGGGTCCGTAATTGGCAGGCTGAGCATACGTTGACGCTGTGTGCGATTCGGCAAACGAGTCGCGGGATGAATGCTGGTCGGAGTGCGGCGCGGCTAGGCCGTATTGTCGATGCGACTCGGCAGAGCTGCTGCGATGGGCCTCCGACTTTGTCTTTCTCTTCCTCTTCTGTCCGCCATCCGATCCTGGGAGCGTCGAAGCGAGTGCCGATGTCAAAGGTATACTGGCGTCGTCTGTTGAATCAGCATCGGCGCTCGTCTCTGCGGCACCTGGCCACGAGGTTTCCGGCAGCAGCTGTGCGTCTTGCGGAGGATCAACACATCGATCCGCGATGCCTCGTTTCACGCAGCGATGGCAAGGACGCTTCTCTTCGCAGACCAGATGCGATCTTCGGCAATAGACGCAAGCTTGTCTCAACTTCTTCTTCCTGCGAGGCAGGAATCCCAGAGCGCCAGCGGAAGTATCGCTCAAATCTCCCGCACTGCTGGCTGCGTTTGCGAAGCCGGCAGCTGTGTCGGAACCATGGCGTGAGCTCTCGCCCGCGGACGGCGGGTGAGAAAGTGACGTCCCGGAAGCACGGTCGGACGACGGTCTGGTGTCGGGTGCGGGCACGTAGTCGTCCAGTAGGTAGTTGGGTAGCACCTTGCGGGTGCCTCGAAGAGAGTCCATGGCTGCAAGAGGCCGACCTGCGCAATGCGAGCGAGGTCCCCAACGGCGATGCGCTCTTCTTGTGCGCCCTCGTCAGCGCCAACAGCCCGGACACACCGAAGACGAGGACAACGCGCGACGATGGGTGGCGAAGACGAGGGACGGACGAAGCGATGGAAGTGCGGAAAACGTGGCGTCGAAGAGAAGAAAGGGAAAAGGACCCATGAAATTTGGAATGCGGAATGTACCGGCAAGATCACATCGGACGTCAAGAGTTACAGCCTCCCTGTCACCGAGCCAGAGTCGCCGACGTTGGATCTACCGAATCGTTGGGTGTGCAGGAAGGATATTCAGGCATCGCTTGCGTCGAGTCGAGCTCGCCTGTGTCAGGCCACGGAGCAAGTCTGTCCGCCTGTCGTGGGCGGGTTTCGGCAGCTCCGGAAGAGGCGGGGAGCAGAATTGTGGTGGAGGCTGGATGCTGAAAGTCTAGTCGACTAGTGGGCCCGTCTCGCTTCGCCCTTGCCAGCAGCTTCTTGTTCCGATCGAGGGTAGCAAAGGACAAGTGGACGATCACCAATGGCCATGCAAGCAACAAGATGTCAGAATTGCTGTTTCGAACACGGCACATACCAACGGACAAGAGAAACACGATTCTGCTCGTTTCTCAACACCACGCGGGACCTCAAAGTAAGACGAGAGGTCGGATTGCAGATCCTTGGCTTTCATCACTTTGTTGAATCTGGCTTTCGTTGAGACGATCCAGTTCCGAACAATTGCCAGCTGTGCGCTCGAGCGCGGAAGGTCAAAACCGCCGTTGTCGGGTTGGAACGATCCATGAGTGACGGCCTCTTGCCGACCTCCTTCGTCCGGCTGATGTACCATAATCAGGAGCTAGCTGAATTCGGCTGCCTCTCGCATGATGAGCACTACCTTTCATTTCGAGTCGGCAAGCCCACATTGAAATGCATGAACTCGAACGACGAGGGCCGTCGGCTCTATGTCAGACTTTGTTGGACGGCAAGAGACCAGTATCTGTTCCCAGCCTCGGCTGCATCATCTGTTTGCGAGCGGATCCCCATCGGTCTGGTTTTCCAAACTCCCAGGTTTGGCAACAAGACCTCGCTTAGGACTGCGAAGCAGAAAAGCAGAGAAGACGTCGTCGATACCCACGGGATCGCTCATTGGTCAGTCGAGCATCTTCACACGGGAAGAGCACGACGAATGAATTCGGGATCGGAAACGGAAGCAGAAACTCGCACCAACCAGACGCAAGAATGGAGAGATCCGGTGAGCTGGGTTTCCGATTTCCCTCCAAGACACCAAATGCTTGCTATCTGCCGAAGGGGGACCTCGGATACAGCTAGCCATCAACTCGCTGCGAGAAGAACGCCACGAAGACAAATGGGCATCAAAGAGCAAAGGACAATCAAGTCTCAAGTACAGTATGGACCCTCGTCACCGAATCACATGCCACGCGCCGGCAATCGTCAGGGTCCAACTGTGCGCCACAACGGGATACCGTGACCGGTGCGCCACAACGGGAAACAGTGACCGATAGGGCACAGTGGCCGAGATCGATTCAATCGGGGGATCTTCGCCGTCCGCTCAACTACGCCTTGAAATCTTGGCCTCTTTGTCGCTCGTCGGAGAATTGTTGCCACGATCTCACAAATGACGCCGTCTTCTCCATAGATGAGAATGGAAGAGGGCGGAATCAATTTCACCAACACGACATATCCGACCGCATCCTGCGTATGGTTTCAAATCCCTCAGGCTGCCCCCGCACACTCACAAGCTTGAGCTGTTCACATGCAAGAACTTCTCGGAATGAGTTGAGCAAGTCATGAATTGCATTCGAGAATTCGTCACTTGCCGGTCTTCTGCCTCTTCGCAGCGCTCTGCGCCTTCATCCCTTGGATCCTGTAAATCTCCTTCATCTCGGCCTTCCTCTTGCTCGCGCGGATCTCCTCATCCTTTTGCGCCAACTTCATCTTCTCTCCCTGCTTCTCCTTGTTCTTGGCCTTCCTCTTGTCCTCCTTTTCGCGCTGAACCGTCTTCATCTGCTGCAGCAACGCGAGCGCCTTCTTCTCCTCTCCTTCCAGCACCACCGCTCTCCTCGCCAGGTACGAGGTCGATTTGGACGCCGCCATCTGCTTCGGCTTGCTCTTGAACGGCAGCTCTGCTTGGAGGGCTCGTGGTACGCGGAGCGGGTTGAACTTGCGTTCGGTCCTCTCCACGCCACGGTAGCTCGAGTTGATGTGGTTGGGAGCTTTGAGCTGTCTCTCCTTCCTAACCGCTCCTGTCAATCGCATCCCTTGCCATGTCCTCCTCTCCCCGGAGAGCAAGAGACTCGTGACCGGGTTGTAGAACTTGCGAGGCGAGATCGTGTACCACGCTCGGAGGAACACGATATCGCTCATCAAGATCTTGTCCTCGAAAGTAGCCCTGAACTGACCCTCGGGCTTCGCCAGCGCCTTCTTCACCTGTCCCCTGATCCCCGAAACCGTCTTGACATGCGCACCTTCGAACTTGGCCACCTCCAACGCCGATGTGAACATGTCCTTGATAAACGCGGTGTTCTTGTAGATCTTCGCCGGCGTACCGGTCAGCTTCAGCTTCTTCACGATCTTCTGCGAACCGGCGTCGACGTCGAGCACGACACCCGTAGCAGAGACGCGGAAGGAAGGCGCCGAGGTCGACAGGGTGTTGAAGGCGCAGAACCCAGTATTGGGTGCAGAGATGGGACCGTAGAACGACGCCAAGCAGTGCATGTGTTCCGGCGTATACTTGAGCATCCTATTCCTCGTTCCGTCGTCCAGCGAGTAGATGGGGATCGACTGGAAACGTCTCCACCCAAGGGAGAAGATGAGCGGATCGTTGGTCTTGAGGATCTTCTGGTGCCATCGATGACGTTTGATACGCACTTGGATGAAACCGAACGACTCTTCGCTCGCCAGCAGTCCACCGACGAGGAGTGGGTAGGTAGGATCGAAGTTTTCGACCAGCTCGTAGGCGACTTTGGACAGTTCGATGCGGACGTACGATCCGGGCTGGTAGCCTACGACAGAGTGACGGATGGATTCGTCGACGGAAGCAAACTCGGCCTTGTTGAGCGCGGCTTGGGCGGCGAGGATATCCTTCTGCTCGTCGTACCAATCCTGCTTGGTGTCTGCGTCAGGGTCGTCGTACTGCTCGTCGAAGCGTCGTTTGAGGGCTTCCTTCTTCAGGGCGAGGGCTTTTGCGCGAGCGTCCTCCGTAGAGTCTGCATCGTCTTGATCACCCTGATGCTCTGCCCCGGAATCAGCGTCCTCGTCGGCGTCGTCTTTGTCGACCACTTCGCCTCGCTTTCCGTCCTTCCGCTCTTCCAGGTTGTCCGGCTCATCCCCAGTGATGAAGAAGCGTCGAATCGAGTCCAAAACACGCTCCTCCGCCCAGTGACTGAGCTTCTCCGCTTTGGTGATCGAGCGCGCCTGATCAGGTACATCCTGGTACTCTTCGTCCATCTCCCCAGTCTTGGCCGACGAAGCTGGCTTACCGTTGGCAGGACGGAAGAAGTCGTCGCCGTCGTCCTGATCGGCCATCTTGCGGATGTCGTCTTCATCGTCGTCGTCGCTGTAGATGTCGCCGGAGGCGATCTGTTCGGGCGTCTTGTCGGAGTTGTAGATGAGACGGGCGAGGTCGAGCGGCTTGCGGGACTTGTTGGCGCGGACGGTGGCTTCTGCTTGTGCGGCGAGGTTGCGCTTCCAAGGTGCGATCTCGTCTTCGTCGGAGCCAGAGCCGAAGGAGCCGGAAGCTTCGTCATCCGATGGATCCTCGTCCTCTTCCTCATCTTCGGATCCCAGACCCATGTCGGAGTCGCTATCGGCAAAGGGGATCTCTTTGGATGCTGGACCGTCTGCTTCATCCGCTTCGACCGCTTTGCGTGTGAACGCTCTGCGTTTGCCAGCTGCATCCTCGTCGTCATCATCGTCATCATCAAAGCCTGCTTCATCCTCGTCATCTTCAGCATCGTCATCATCAACATCGTCGTCGAGCAGCACGTCGTCGTCGAAAGCAGCACGTCGAACGCGTTTGCCCTTACCAGACGTAGCATACTCGAAAGACTCGTCCGCATCGTCTTGCTCGACAGCCGAGATGCCGGCACGATCCGAATCGAACAGTCGCAACTCGCTTTGCGCGGCAAGGTTGTCCAGCGTGGTATGCGCGTCCTGAAGGTCCATCACCATCTTCTCTCCCTCGCCTGCCGGTTCATCTGCACTGTCGCCATTGCGCGTAAAGTTCCCTGGCACGTTGATATAGACGGCATCCTTGTCGAACATGACACCGCCGACATCGCTCATGGGAGCGTGGATGAGCTTGGCCTTGTCCGAGAGCTTCCTTCGCTTCTCGCTGTCCACGGTCGGGAGGGGACAGGGATCGTTTAGCTTTTCGATCGAGGTGATGGAGAGGTCGCCTGCACCTGGGATGTGAACGCGTTGCGATTCGCGCAGGTGAGTTCCGTGGAGGTAGCCGTAGACGGTGATGGTTCGATCGGCCTTAGGGTTGGTGCGGATCTCTTCTCTGGGTGTGAGGTCTTCCATTCGGTCTGCGAGAACGTAGGGATGAGCGTTGCGGAAGATGAGCGGGCGGAACTTCATGACGCCGATGAAGCGAGATAGATTCTGAATTTCCGTGTCGGGATATCGACCGTTGATGATGCCGGAGAGGTAGAAGAGCTTGGCACCGTCGTAGATTTCGGTCCAGAAACGATGCTTCAAGCGCTTCTTGGTTGCTTTGAGCGTCTTGGCCTTCTTGATGAGGTCGAGGTGTGTCAAGACGCCAATCACTTTGGGGAAACCGTGCGATTGCAACACGTTGAGGAACTCCATGGTCTCCATCTCGAAACCGAAGGAGCCGTCGATCATGAGCAAGACCAAGTCTGCCACCTTGCCGATATCGATCATGCTGTTGATGTCGTTGTTGCACTCGATGAAAGTGACCCTTCGCTTCTTGCCTGTGACGACAGTGACGGGACCCTTGATCTCTGCGAGCGTGTGCTTGGTGTATCTGCGAATGAGCGAGCGCATGAGCGTCGTCTTGCCTACGCCCTCTGGGCCTACCACGGCAACGATGATGGGAGGCGGTTCATCTTCGGGTGTCCTGTCGGCGAGGGGTACGTGGTATCGCTTCTGGTCCTTTTCGGCATTGCGTAGGATCTGCTTTTGGGCGACATTGATGTTGGCCGAGATGAAGGCTTTCGGGTTGAAGCCGTTGGTGTGCTTAGCCTTGCCCTTTTCGGCCTTGCCACCGGTCTTGGCTTTGCGATGCGCCTTGTTGGATTGCTGTGCATCGGCCATGGTGACGAAACTTGTGGGTGGGATTGACTAAGCAGATACTCTGTGAGCGATATCAAGTCGAGTCGATCGACCTGAAGCAGAGGCGCTCGCGTTGCAACGAAGAGTCGTGTCGCGATCCGCTTGCGGATGCCCGCTCCGATGCAGCAACCACGATTCGTTTGCCTCGGTCCTTAAGTGTTAGTGTTGTCAGAGACGGTGATGAGCAGCAAGGAAGGTGAAGATGTGAGCCGCTGCAGGAGGATGATGGCGGTGGCTAAAGCTGAGCAGGGTTGTAGCAACATCCGAAACATGAGAAGAAACCATTCGAAAGGGTCTTGCCGTCCACAACTCAAATTTCTCGAAAAAATTTCCGGGCGCTATGCTATTGCTCCACTCACCGAGACCCTCTTGCTGCACTCTGCTTAGCGCGCAATACGTAAGCATGGTCCAAAAATGGACAAAAAAGAATTCTTGCTCCTTACCTGGGTCGAACAGGTGACCTTTCGAATGGCGGCTGAGTTCCTAACGGTTCTTGCTGCAAAGAACTGAAATCTTCAGTCGAACGCTCGTACCAACTGAGCTAAAGAAGCGGTTGCGATGCCGGTGATGAGCAAGCAAATATATAGTACATACAGCTTGCTTCAGCCTTGGAGGGAAACGGCGAGACTGAGATCGTCTTTCAGCGGGCAAGGTAGCGTAGACCGGAGGGTGTGATGGACGGAATTGGGAGAGGGTGTCAGAAGCCTAACACTCTGTAAGGCCATCCGAAAGTGGCCTGATTGAGACAGACGGTCAGGTCCTCGCGGCATTCGAAAATGACCACAAATTCCTTCGAAAATCAGGCGTAGCTGATCAGATGCAGGGTCGTGGTCCGATTTAGAGCTGTCTGGCGCAGAGCGGGCAAGCCGACACAGCCCAGCCGCTCCACACCAAAATCGTACGATGCTGCCTCACTCTACGCCACGGCTGGCTTGCATCTTGACACATTTGGATGCTTCATACTTTCGTATGGCTTGATCAACAGTCATCGGCGGCATTCCGAATGCTCCTCTCTCCCTCATTCTCAGCTCATCCAGCTCTCACTACAGCCTTTGACACTGCGAACACGCAAACCGAACTCACAGCTCAGATCGGCTCCATCCGGCACATCTTGTCAGCGCAGTAATCATTTCTGCGAACAGAGTGACAGGAGCATAGACCTTGTTCGGTCGATTCGTCCAGCACGATCCTTAGCCTCCCTACTTCCATCATCTCTCATTGTCATTGGCTGTCTCGACCGCCATGTTCCCCACACCCGTCAGCGACGGCGGCTCCTCCGTCTCACCGCTCCATCATCAACAGCAGCAACAACAACAGAAGCAGCAGTACCAACAGCATGCTCACGACCAACACCGTACCGAGTCTCTCGATGCCCACCTCATGCACTTGCATCAGCAGCAAGCTCAGCTCGAAGCTATGCGCATCCTTCAGCAGCAGCAGCACGTCCTGCCTAGCATCGTCGCACACAAAGACGAGCAAATCGGCGTCCTCCACAACCCTCCCTCGGGCCCTTGGTCCAGCGACGACTACGACTCCATGATGCGATCCATCCTCGACGCCACTTTGCCCTCGGACCACTTCACCGACCTCGAGGCTCCAGCATCTCTAGCATCCTTCTCCCATTCTTACGCAGGCTCGTATGTCTCTGGGTCCAGCGACAGCGGCGCGAGCCCTCACAGCATCAATGACCTCGTCTACGGTGCTGCCAACTTCCCCACTCCGCCAGACTCGGACATCGGCTCCTCTGCTCGCAACTTTTCCTTCTCGTTCACCCCTCACAATGCAGCCGCCATCAGCCCAGACGGCAGCTTCGACCTCTCAAATGCTTCGTATACGCAGTCCCACCCTGGCTCCGACACCACCTCGCCCTATGCACAGCACTTCAACCCCCATGCCTCGACTTCCACATCACCGTTTGGCCTGCCGTCAGCTCCCCTTCCTGCAACTTCGTTGCCTATGCACGGCATCGCCTCCACTTCTCAACAGTGGGATGCCAACTTCCTCGCCCCTACAGGCGCCGGTCTTCAGCCCTCTCCAGCACCACAAGCGACCTTCCAAGCCTCTGCAGAGTCAGCGCCATCTACCGAGCCATCCACGTCCAGCACTGCCAATGGAACCAGCCGGAAGAGGCGCGCTGCAGATGCCAAGGCCGAATCGAAGAAAGCTCCTGCTGCAGCTGCGCCCAAGCCTGAGCCGGTGGACGACGCTCGCAAGACAAAGAAGGCCAAGTCGGCCGTCGAAACCAAGACAGCATCCACCAGCAACGTTGTGCCCATGTCCCAACTCAGCACCAAGCTGCCTCACATGGAAGTTGGTAGTAACGCAACCGCTCTCGCCGCCATCGAGAGGCTCAAGGCCAAGCGTCTTCAGGAATCACAAGCACAAGCCGCTGCAAAGGCTGCGCGCGAATCTGAGACAGCACACGGTGCTTCCGAGACATCCGGCCTAGTCGCGTCCACCGACAGAGCCCAGCTGGATCCTGCCACCCGTCAGCAGAAGAAGGTGGCTCACAATGCCATCGAGAGGAGGTACCGCAACAACATCAACGATCGAATCGCTGCCCTCCGTCGCGCCGTGCCAGCCCTACGCGAGATCCGTCCTCGCAAGACGCCTTCCGGTCGCAGGAGCCGCAAGGCGCAGCAGGAGGAGGACCTCGTCGATGGTGTCCCCGCTGCCACCAAGCTCAACAAGGCCACCATCCTCGGCAAAGCCACAGACTACATCAAGTATCTCAAGTCTCGGGAGTTGCGCTTGACCAGCGAGGTCGCCGGACTTCGTGAGCTCGTTCGCAGTCTTGAAGGAGGCGAGGAACTTCTTGAGCTGTGGGAGGGTGAGATGGACAAGGTGGTTGCAGAGCAAGAGGCCCTCGCCGCTGCCGCTGCTGCCAAAGAAGAAGAAGAAGAAGCCGATGACGACGACGTCGATGTCGATGACGCAGAGGACGATGACGACGACGACGAGGCAGAGGCTGCCGAAAGCTCTTACGCCAGCGCCTCCTCCTCTTCACCTCCTTCTGCCCGAAGTCGCACTGGATCCAAGGCAGGTCGCGGCCGTCGCTCGGGTATCGGCGGTGCCATCTCTTCCGTCGCCTCATCTCGATACATGCTTGCCACCTTTTTGGGCATCAGCTTCATTGGCTCGGGTGCCGAATTCGCCATGGACGCGACAGCATCGGATGCAAGTTATGCGGTCTCACATCCCGCCGCCGGCAAGGTCATGGTCGGCGCGAGTCGTCAGTTGCTCAAGCGTTCCGCCGCCTACCTGGCTCCTGACACCTCGCTTGCCCAAGACTTGCACGCTTTCGATGCCGTTCCCACACACGCCCTCGCCTTTGAAGTGCTGCGCGTCGTCTCGTTCGCCTTTTGCTTCCTCTTCCTCGTCTGGCCACTCTTCTCCCGCCTCTTTGCGTCGCGCTCGACCTCCTCATCGCAAGGCATCAGCGACGCTGACGCAGAGCAGGACGAAGATCACATCGGCGGAAGCCGCAAGCTGCGTCTGGCTCTGACCAGGGGCGAGATCGATGTTGCCACGTTCGATGCCGCTGTGCGCCACCGGATCGCGGCACCCACTTCTGCCGTTCTTGCATTGCCCTCTGTCGCCATGGCCACGTCGCGCCTTGCCCTCAGCAGGATGTCTCGCGTCCGCAGAGTTGTGCCTGTTCAGGCTCTGTCGGACGAGGACGCAGCCGCGCTGGGTCGCCTCTTGGAAGTCGAGACCCTCTGTGAAGGCAAGTCTCAATCGTCCTGGCTGCTGCGACTTCACACGGCACTCCGTCTGGCTAACAGCAACCTCGAAGGAAATGTCGCCGCCACTCGCGATCCTGTGCTGGCCTCTCCCAGGCTCAAAGCCACGCTCGCGCTCTCGCTCGCCCGTCTAGGCGAAGGTATGGACTTCGTGCAAGATCTTGCAGACCATCTCTGGACGGACGCACGGTCGAGTCTTCGCAATGCCGCCTTCGATCGCGTGTCATCGAGCGAGGCTGAGGCCAACCCCACCTCGGCTTCGGACAGAGACGAGAGCCTGGTCCAGTCCGAGGATGCTTCTTGGCTGTCGAGTGTCCTCTCGCTCGACCTCGACAGCGCTCTTGACCTGCTTTCGTCTGCGTCCTCGTCGGCTGATGCTTCCAATTGCGACTACTCTGCCGTGCTGGCCATCGCCGATGTCTACTACTGCGCGCGACTCACCGCCGTATGGAACCGTCTTTTGGCCAGCCTCGTCGATGCTTCGTGCCCCTCCGCAGCCGAAGCTCCTTCCTCGTCGCTGGTTACCGACTTTGTCTCGCTGCAAGCAAAGCAGAGGCTTGATCTTGACGTTGTCCGTGACGCCGAGAAGCGCAGAGATCTGCACGCAGAGATCACCTCGCTCGCCCGCACGGCTCCTCCTACCGCTCGAGCTTGGCAGATGGCCCAGGTGACACTTGCTACGTGGTCCGCATTGCTGGGCAACCTCGCTCTGGCACGACACGTTGCTTCGATCTTGCGCGAACATCCCTTCTCCGTCGACGGCCCTGTCAAGCTGGCAAGCGTTGCGACGCTTCACTCGTTCGTCGCTGTCGATGCCTCGCCGGAGTCGGCCCCGGCCGCGGCCCGCGATGAGCTGGACGCCAAAGCCAACCTCTGCCTGGGCTGGATGCGATTCCTCCGCACCTTTGCCGACGCTCGCACCAACCCCGGAGATCTGCACGCTGCCGCGTTGCACGTTCGCAAGCTCGTCGCTGCCGTCACCATGCCTGCCGCCTCCGCCTCGGCGGACGTCTCTGATGCTGATCTGGAAAGCAGCCTTGACCTCGTCACCGATCTGTGTACCGCTCTGGGACGCAGGCTCAACCGACTTCCAGCAACCTCCAACGGATCAGTGGTCAAGATCCTGCTCGACTCTTCGGACGATGACCGAGATTCTGGCATCGAGGTGTGATGCAATCCAGGCGCACGTGCAGAACTCACTTGCCAACTCGGATGTCTCGTCCCGCGTTTCTGCCTCCGAACACTCTCGCTTTGTCATGTTCTGATTTGTTAATTGATTAAAAAGAATGACGAAGCCAAGGACGGTTTGTCCGTGCACGTGTGATGTGTGGACAAGTGAAGTGGGAAATCTAAGAAGATGTATAAGAAGCTGTCTAAGAGATTGTGATGCTCGAAAAAGGAGTGTGATGGAGAGAAAGAGTAGAAAGAGACGTTGATCACGAGAAAAGGGGCAAGAGAGGCATTGTGGAGTGTGTGTGAGTGTGAAGAAGCGGGAGGAGAAGAGAGAGTGACGACGAAAGGGGTCCCTGTTCGTAAGGAACATCGTTGCAGAGGTTCGGGCGATTTCGAGCTGGGGTATACGTAAAACTTCCAACAGCCTTTCCAAATTTTCCTTGCCCCTTCACAACGCACCATCCAACACGGCCCTAACGTCGTCCACATCCGCCAGATCCGCCAAAAACGGACACAGATCCGTCAACTCGGTATCGTGCGGATCGTTGAACCAACTGCTGATAGGAACCGCATTGTTCGGATGGAAAATGTAACTCGCTGGCGAATTGTCAATGATGATCGTATCGCCAATCTCCCTCCCCAACTGCGAGAGGTCCTTGACGTAGTTGCCCTTGTGGTTGTAACAGCTCTCCCTGAAGAGTCGGTGTCGAACGGCGTGGTGGATGTCGAGCATGTCGAGCACCGGATCGGCGTACTTGGACAGCGAAGCGGTGAACACCACCACCTCGTAGATGAGACCCATCTGACGCATGAACTCGTCCACACCGGGACGTTTGATCACGTACACGTTGTGCACCGTGCCGTCAATCTCGACGGGGACGATAAAGTCGGCGTTCTGGATCATCTTGAAACTGCTATGCACCAGCGTCTCGTCCAGATCGAGCACGAGACACTTTCGCCCGGTATCGATGGCGCCGATTCCAGGAAGCAGTGGAGATGGGTTACCAAACTCGTCCACGGGAATACCGATGCCGCCTTGCATTATCAACCTCTGCTCTTCCGTCTGATCGTCCGTAAGGTAGTCTTCATCTTCGAGATCCATCTCGTCGTCATCCTCGTCTTCGTCATCGTCCTCTTCGTCCGAGGAGGAAAGAGAGGCGCCGTGAAGACTCGACGCTCGAGACTTGCGCGCTTCGTCCGCTGTCACGAACGATGCTCCGGGAGGGACGACGGCGCCGGACATGACATCGCCCGTCTCTGCTCGAGGCAGCTTGGTGCCTCCACCAGGAGTGGTGGGATAGTCAGACCCAGCTGCCCCGGAAGCGTCCTTGGAGTTGGGCGTTCGTGGTGGTGCCTGTACGCTGCTAGCGCCTGTTCCTGTTGGTGCTGCAGAAGCGTTGCGCGCTGGGACGTTGGCTGTGGCGGTCGGGCGGCTCTTCTCGCGCATCTCCTCTTGCTGCACAGCAGCACCGGTGACGGACGAGCACGTGAGGAACGCCATCAGCTTCTCTCCAAAGCTCGGTTTCTTTGCTTTGCTCGACTTGCTCGTCGTTGCTGGTGCTGCTCTTGATGTCGATGTGGGTTTCGCTGCTCCTGCCTTGGCAGCAGGTGACGATGCAGGGGCGGCAGAGGCAGACTGGGTTGGAGGTTTCGCGGTCTTGACAGTCGAAGCAGGCGCGGTCGCACCACCGGCTGCTGGTGCACCCGTCGCCGCTTGACTGGATGCATGCGTACGTGGAGGCACATCGATCAGTCCATCCTTCTCCACCGTCCCCTCGCTGCTCTCGGTGGCCGTTGGCAGACCAGACTTTTCGACCACGTCCTCCTGCTCTCCAGCCGCGGCACCATTCGCACCTTCGGCAGGGAGTACAGCGCTGTGCGTCAACGTGTTGCCGGCTGTCGAGGTGCCGAGCAACGTGGACGAAGCCTGATGTGAGTGTTGGGCGTCTACGTCCTCTCGTGTCTCTGATGGTGGCGCGATCGTAGCAGACGAAAGCGCAGGTGCGGGAACTGCCGTGGAAGCGCTGACGGAGTTGCCTCTCGCCTGCGAGTGTGCAGCTTGCGAGCCTAGTCGCGCTGCAGCGGCCACAGCTTCATCCTGCGATCGGAGGTGAGCCGCTTCTTCGGCTTGTGCGGTGGAAGCAGCAGCTGCGTTCTTCTTCTTCTTTTTCTTCTTGCCCGCAGCGTCGGCCGCCTTTTTCGAGGTGGCTTGTGTGGGTCGAACGGTTCGCGTGGCGGTGGGCACTCGACCAGGTTGGACTTGTGTGATGATGGATGCCAGTGCCGAAGACTCGGATGGATCGGGGACGCTGGTGATTGGTGAGCTCATTGTGGAGAGGATGGTTCCTGGTCAGAGCGGTGGAGGGATGCTGGCGGATTGGTATGCAAGGGATGGAGAGAGCGGTACGGGACGATGCCGGAAAAGAGGTGCTGTGAGATGCAATGTCGTTGAGTCGGGATGTATGCTGTTTGCCTGTGATCACCCAATAGTACAGACCACCACGAACGACCGCGGCTGTCCCGATCGACAAGTTCGGAAGGATGAAGATGCAAGGTCTGGCGCGCGGCGAGTCCTCAAAAGATCGTTTTCAAGCGCTCTCGAGAGTATGACCTTGGATCGCAGACAACTACTCCGCTGATCGCGTCCTTCCGATCGTATGATTATGACGGCAAGTTGTTTCAAGGCCCTGAACCCCGCGATACGCTTCAATATGCGTCTTGATCTCGCAGAAAGAGAGAGAGAGAGAGTAAATGACAGGGCGACGGATGCTTTCCGAGAGCGCGCGGACGGAACTCCGATATGCAATGGTGGTATCTTCTGAGGCCGATGCGGGTTGCTTGGTGTCCGAGTAGGGCGTGTCAAATTGTACAGATGCTGTCGATCTCGTGACTAGATTCTTGAGTGAGTGTGGGAAGGGCGAGGTGACGAAGAATAGAGACGACGACGAGGATCGATTTACAAGGGGAGGAGGAGGATTGAGTGCGATGCGATGCAACAATGTCGAAACAACGTTTGGGCTGCCAACGACGCGCGGGGGGGACGACGGAGGGTCAAAGAGCGAAGTTGAACTCTGCAGAGGCGTGCTCAGACAAAAACACACGTAGCAAAG